CCCACCTCCTATCCTAATCCTATTGCCTGTTCAGGTGGATCCAACAAAAAAGTTAAAAAGAAAAACAACAAGGAAAAGCACTAGAAAAGAGGGGAAATTTTGGTGTTTGCTGCAGAATTATGACCTTATCATTTAGAAAATTTGAAGGCTCAGCTCATAAACTCCCAAAAAAAACAAACTTGCTACCTTGTGGTTAGTAGTGGCCGACCCATTATGCTGGTGGGTAATGCCTACACAAACATATTGATATATTTACCCAAATAAAAAAAGAGAGAAATAAAATAAAATATGATGTAATAGTCCAAATTAGACCTATGTAGGCATAGCAATATTACATGTGAGGGGGAGAGGGAGAGAGGGGTCCTCGTTTTGTTTGGATTGTTTTATCATTTTCTTATGTGTTGCTTGAGGTATGGATTCCAAAGTGGGTTGTGGGCTCCATTTGGGGTGTTGTCTGGTGAGTTTTGGTGCACTTCACACCCTTTCATGCCCCATCCTTGGCTCTTTTTTTTAGACCAATCTAATCGTGTGAGCAATTGGACCACACCCCCCTTCCTCTTTCTATAAAGAAGCTGAACCCCCCTTTGGCCTTTGCACTTCGAAACCAATTCACACAAGCACATTCCCTCAAAAACCCTCATTTGACTTGCAAAAACTCAGCACCAGTCAAAGAGAAAAACAAAACAGATTGTAAAGATATGAAGATTGTGAGCAATTCCACCATGGCAGGCAGCAAGAGAAGGCTTTCTTCAAGCAAAGGACTTGGAGGGGTCCTCAGAGAGCAAAGAGCAAGGCTTTACATCATAAGGAGGTGTGTGGTCATGCTCCTTTGCTGGCATGATTAATTCAAGTCCTAGCTATAGTTTTAAAAGTCCCAATAGTCCATGGCATGATGGGCAAGAAGATTTTGGTTCCCTTTTTCTTCTTCTTAATTTCCCCCCTTTTTTTTCTATCTCGATCTTCTTGGTTGAGTGTAAATAGCAGCAATGTTCTTCTATCAGGAAGTTGAAACAAAATTTTGTATGGGTTGGCCTTGCGGGGCTAGATATGTACATCGGATAGCATAATATAAAGTTTGATATTTATATTGCAAGCTAGAGTTGTTGGTGTTCCTCATCCTCTCTGAATATTACAAGCTTGAGTTTGTTATGTTTATATGATTGAGCTTCAATGATCAACATTCATGTGATTCGGGCCTTAAATTTGGAAGAAAGTTCCAAACTTGCAACTATGAAGATTCAAAAAAGAGGGGGGTATAAAGTTTCTTCAATCATCACCTCCCTAAAGCCTTTGCTTTACCTCAGAAGGTCAAAGCAACTAAAGCCTAAGCTTTTCACTTCCTATAATGAAAGTCCTCTTGGGCTTAGCCTATAATGAACTTTTGTTTGTTAAAATTGAAGATTCACATGCATGCCTATCCCAAGTTTTCTTCCTTTTGAGAGGGTTTTCTCAATCTGTTGATTCAAAAGAAGAATTATGAACAGATCAAATTGGTGCTAATCAGCTTAAATATCTTCTCACAGTGTTGTTAAAGGAAATGGACCATAAGCATTCTCATATTAATCATTTAAATTTCAAGTGAGGATTGGATTTGGAAATTGTAGGGTTCATTCAAACTGTTCACTTCAATCCTCCACATAATTTGTATTTTTTTGGATTGCATGTCCAAAAAGTGCAGAGACCATAAGATGATAGATGCGTTCATAATTAGTACTTGATTTAGTAGGTTGATGACAAAATTGTACCTGAGACCAGGTTTAATTAAACTTAAACAAGCAACTGCAGTTGGGCCCATCATCACCAATCACTATAACATTATAAGCTTTGATTGTGATCTTCTTGTCTTCAACCCCAACAGCACCAGCACCAGCACCAGCACCACCAGCATATCCTCAAAATCAATCCCACCTAAGCTTTGTCTTCAACTAAGCGAGCGCCCAAACATGGCCTTGTGAAAACAGCTTTTCACGTTTGGGTCAAAACCCAAACTCAAAGCTCCCCCTTCCTTTGTGGGCCACTTGAATTATTGGATCCCAACTCATGTTCACGTGTGCCACGTCGCACTGTAGTCATGGGCCTACCCCCAATAGTATTCCCTTTTGTCTCTTCTTACCTTTTAGAGGAAGAAGTAGGGAAGGGTTAAAAGGAAAAAATTCCAGCAGCTTCTACTTTTGTTGGAGTCATAAGTAAACTCCATCTACTCTCCGGAGCACCATAATACTCTACGCACTCGCATAATACGTTGACACGTAGTTGCACAATGGTAACTGGACACGTGGCATACGATCTATTATCTTTGTAAAAACAAAAAACAGCTCTATTTTGTTGTCGTTATAAATTTTCTTCCTCTTGTTTTGTGGGTCAGAATGTCAGATGCACAGGAGCTGAATATGCAATCTTATATTCTGTTGTCGGCCACATAGGATAGTGCCACCTCTCTCTCCGTTTTCCTATCTTTTTTTTGTAAGTTGGAGAAATACTTCCTTAATCCCGTTTAATTTTCTCTTTCTTCTTATTTGTATCCTCTTTAACAAATGACATGAGAAGATTAATAAGGAAACAGGGCAACTAAACAGGAATATGAAAAAATTTCTCCTCACAGAGGGAGGCTTTTAGGATTTCAAGAGCTTCTACAATGAAGAGTTTAAAGTGAGAAGTTTATTTGAGGGGTTAAATAGCACCATCAACCATCAAATCACTTAGAATGTTTAAGTCCATTGATTTTATCATATTTATTAATAATATGATTGAACCCCTCAAATAAGCTCTTCATTCTAAACTCCTCGTCTTTTCCGCAGTATTTTAGGCTCTCTCTTCTCTTTTGGGCTATTTCAGCTATAAAAAACAAGCCCAGAGGTCCCCGACAGAAAGCAATTGGGTCAAAGCAGCCTTATCACGCCCACGTGCGCCTCCCCAATCTTCGACCCCACCACACAACCGATTCTATTCTAATCAAACATGCGGCCCACGTGTGGTCCACACTTAGCACATCCCCTGTTCTCCAATAATGAAAATGTTAATCATCGTAATAAGTGCAAGTGTAACATGGATGATATGCATTATATCCAATTACCCATCCACATCAACATTGAATCTGGATAAGTATGCAGCTTCATCATCAATCATGAAGATGAAGAAGATTCTCCAATACCCTTTTGCTGTTTTCTTTGTAGGATTATAAACAAATTATTTAGGATGATATTAGCATTAATACCGTGTGAGTGCGTAACTCAATTTCGGGTCTCGCACTCATCAATGACACTTTAATACTGATGGGCGTCACTAAAATGCTACTGATGATAACTAATCACGATTGATCGGTGATTACACTCAATTCCTTGTTAGGATGTGGGTGGATTATGGAAGGGAGAAAGTTTAGTGTCTTGGCATGGTTATCATTTAATTAATCACGTTGACTTAGAGCTTACTTACATTCTTGGGATTATTGGAGAAAGATGGGTCCTGGTGTGTCCCCAATATTAAGAAGGTGGCCTATTAACTCTATATGATATAAATATACGATATAGGATAGAAGATTATGTTGTGCCGGGTGCCAACCAGGTTGCTGAATCTCATCTCTAAGACCCCTAACTGCATAGCATGTATACACATATTGTTAGCAGCTGAGGTCAGGTAATTACAATCATTAGCAACATATTCTTAATGTCTTATTCAAACTAGTGATTAATTAAGATTGAATCATAAACTAATTTAGCTTCAAAGTAATTCAAGATTTTTTTAGTGGCATTTCTTCAGTTGGAGCCAAAAAAAAATTGCCAGGGTGCTGTGGCCCTCTGTGTATACTCTTTAGCCGCATCAAGGCATCAAAAGAGAAGACCAAGGCCCGGCGGCACCGGACGCTTTTGCAACACAAAAGGGTACGTTTCCAAGTGCATATTGTGTTAAGGAGAAAAGCTTTAGGTAGGTCTTGCTAATACAACAAGGGTGGGTGCCCTACTTTCCAACAAGGGTACTTACCCTACAACATGCTTACCAGGCCACCAGCAAAGGGTGCTTGCTAGGCTAGGTCTTAATCTGCCTTCCCCACCAATCAAGATCATGCCTGCTCATCAACAAGCACTTGGAACCTCAAAAGTGATTAATTCATAAGCAGGCTAGGTCCAGTGGCGCTAGGCTAGGTCTTAATCTGCCTTCCCCACCCAGCAAGATCATGCCTGCTCATCAACAAGCACTTGGAACCTCAAAAGTGATTAATTCATAAGCAGGCAAGGTCCACTGGCGCTAGGCTAGGTCTTAATCTGCCTTCCCCACCAAGCAAGATCATGCCTGCTCATCAACAAGCACTTGGAACCTCAAAAGTGATTAATTCAGCAGGCTAGGTCCAGTGGTCTCTCAAGCCATTTTCAAAAGGTAACTTGCTTGTTCTATAAAGCCCTCTAAGTTGATCAATGTCTTATTGGTCCAACTGTGCTTCTCATTTTATTACATGTCAGCAATTCACTAGTGCTTTCCTTGGCATAAAGTTTCCAATAATTTGCTGGTCCACACGTTTATGTACTTTTAGTTTTGTTTTTCTTGCGCTTTTTCTATAGTTCAAAATCCAGAATTTCCATTTTAGATGTTCAACATAAGTAAAATGTCCGGCTCACATCTTAAAATGCAATTCACTACATAAGCACTTTGCTGGAAGCAGCAACTAAAATTTAGCCTGGTGAATAAGAGAATTAATAGGTTTATATATTTGGATGTCAATGTTTCCAATCCAAAGATGCAAAGCAAACCAGATAAAACAACTGCATTTCAGCTTGAAGCTTAAAGAGAGCAGAAGTGTAAGTTTGATCAATGCTCAAACCCAAAATATCGGTGAATTACAGTTACAAAGAGTCTTTTCACAACAGATATCACGATTCAAGCTGTTTGGCAAAAGGTTAGATCTCAGAACCTGTAGATGATTTGACAGGCAAAATTAAATCAAAATGTAGCTACAAAATATTTACCACCATGTAACCATACTCAACACTAGAAAGCCCAAACCATATTCAGTCAGCCAACTTGACACCCCAAGAAAGGAAACTTTCCTGTGACCCGAATTCCTACAAAACCGAATGAAGAAATGCATTGCCATAAGAAAATGCAAAGAGAAAAAATTGACTAAAAGAATAAGAAGCAAAATTAAAAGGCAGAGAAGGTGACTTACGAGCTGGCTAAGTCGGAAATCTGGAGGTGTATCTTCTAACATAATATTTGGAGGATCAAGGACAATATTTTCGCACTCCTCTAGATCCTTCTTTAAATTCTCTGGTCCTAGCTTAGCATAATCAGCAAGACGGGGTTTGACCTGTGCTGGTTCATCATTTTCATGTCCAGCCCTAATTGGAGATTGACTCTGAAGAAGATCATCACACAGAGCCAGCCCTTCCACAAGTTGTTGCGAATCCAGAAGATTCTGTGACTCGCTGTCCCACCATTTTGGATCTTCCTGAGCATTGTTTTCAGTGTTATTTATTACTTCATCGGCTTCATTTTCTACGTTGTGTTGATCATAATGGTCAGGCTTTTCAAATTCAGGATGAACTTCATCTTCAGCATGGTCCATCGCAGGATGAACTTCATCTTCAGCATGGTCCATCGCAGGATGAACTTCATCTTCAGCATGGTCCATCTCAGGATGAACTTCATCTTCAGCTTGGTCCATCTCCGGATGCTTCAGTTGAATACAGAAGCCACAAAAATAAGCCCATATCAGTATCTCTTTTGATCATTTACATTAAATCATAAAAATCTTAGGCAGCTTGCTTATATCTTAGAAACATGCCACTACCAATTACAGCATCCAACATCCCTTTTCTATTAATGGAGAGAGTATCCATTAGGGCAAGAATGTGAATGCAGAAAGTATAATATTTAACTCTTCAATTTAGTATGTTCGACACAAACAATAAATATGTCTTGACGCGCGGTTAGCAGAAAACTGGAAGTAAACTAAAAATCAAATATAGAAAACAAACTATACCTGAGGAAAGGGATCTCTGGAAGTAGCAGGAGTATCTTGTCCCAAATCAAAATCAGCAAGCTTTCGTTCAGTGCGTGGAGGTTCAGGCGTCACCGACTTGGGAGTGACTGGATCTACTTTTGTGATAACCAGATCAAAATTTTCAGGAAGATCTTGATCAGTTTTATCAGCTTGCTTGACTTGCTGCTGCTGCTGGTAATATATTTTAGATATAACATAGTCTCCATCCTTCTCATCCTCCTCAGTTCCCAGGTGATATTGATGCATAACCCAATTGGTTTTCTTAGGTTTGCCTCCTCCGACCATGCTCATGTAGAGAACCATAATCTTCTTACATCCTCTTTGAACCCCATCCAACATCACTGGTTTAGTCCTTCCAGTCTTGTGCCAGCGAACATCACCATCACCATCATGTATTTTTCGGCGCTTTCGGGTTCCAGTATTGTAAGCCTTAATTGCTCTGTGAAAGAAGTGGGATGCACTTCCATCTTGCTTAACACCTAAATTTAATTTTTCGAATCAATTAATAAAACATTAAAGACCAGCATTAAATCAAAAAATAAATGTTAGCCACTTACTTGGTAGTTTGTGAGGATGGGAACAACAAATTCCTTCATCATCATCAACAGTTATGATAAACTCATCAATAAAAGGATGGGGTTTCAAATCCTCTGCACCAGATTTTGCAATTAAGTGCCATATAATCTCTTGATCAGTTGGATCAAATTTTACACCCTTGGGTAAACCCGGCCACTCTTGAGCAACCTGGAAAGAGAAATTGTAAACGACTTTTGTTAATAAAGAAGATCCAAGAAAAAGAAACATTCATTAACTAAATTGTTGGAAATGTTTTCCAACAAGAGCTTCTCTAACTGATGGGTTTTCATTGATGAACGTTAAAAGTGTAATATCTGGATGAAAAAACAAAAACAAGAATCTTACATCACTATTGTCAATCGTATATTGGCAATTTGGACAAGCTCTAGTTGGGTTGCTTTGCCACTTAATTCTTTCAGGATCACAGGTTCCAGATGCACTCTTGATTTTTGTGGCGATTCTATTTTTGTCCACCAACCATGATGGTCTGAATATATCACACAAATGATTACACTTGAAAAAATCTGCTGCTCCAACATATGGATCAGAAAAATACTGTAAACTCTGAACCCATCTTAATTAAAACCAGATATTCTAATTAAGCTCGGAGTACACTGAAAATATACATAATGTTATAACCAGCATAGGACAAAGACGATTGAGAAGAAACAACATATGAAAGATTAATCAATCATAATATGCCACCAAAGTATTAAAAGTGCCCAAATTATCAGAACACACACAGAGGTGTGTCATTGCAAACTGCGAATACAGGTGACCTCTGACTCGATGAGAACACAGCAAAGCTCATACTATTTAGAGGCTGTTTATGTTAGCTCAGGTGCACACGGCCTCTTCCATCTCTTGGAAAATAAATGTATTAGACATTATTATGAATCCCTCTCTCAACCTTCCCACCTAAATATAATTAAGGGTACAATTTGAAACAGAATAAAAACCGTCTGAGGGCATAACGATTAATACATGAAATATACACACATACCCACAAAAAAGAAAAAAGAAAAAAAAGAGATTATGGATCTAAGAGTATAGCTCAGCACTCAACAATGACAGCAGAACAATAATCATTGCTAAACATTCAGCATGGCTCTCAACTGAACGAAAGTAGTTTACACTTGTCAGAGCTTAAGCATTGTCATTTGTCAATTGATAATCCACTGTCATTTAAAGCTTACAGATTGATTGCCACTGTTCAGTCCACTGACAAAATACTACATGTCCTAAATCGATAACTGTTTTTCATGGTACATTGATCAGATGAACACATAAACTATAACAAATTGAATCAAAAACTAAGAAAATTCCATGATAAATCTGAAAGAAGCATCAATAAATAAATATACACACAATTTTAAAACAAAAAATAGAAAGCTAAAAACTCCAAAGTCATCCAAAACAGGCCCAAACTAAAATAGCAACAGAGAGAGTCGCATACCCAGCCATAGGTGAGCAATGACGATGAACAAGCCCAACTCAGAGTTCAGAGCTTCAAAGGCCGCCGACTTGCTTCTCTTTCTCTCTGCGCTTCGTCTACTTCGACTGACCGACAGGTTGACTCGAACAAGACTTCAGGTATTTATATTTAACTCGACTTTGTTATTCCCATTTACCTCGTATTTTATGAAAAAAGCAAGAACTAATAAAATATTTCTTTTTAAAATTTGATTTTTGAATATTGAAACCGCGTGTTCTTTTCTTCAAACAAATAGCTTACAGATTAATTACGAATGTTACTGTTCATCCCCCAAAAAAAAAATCCAGAACAGCAGCCCCTCCCCTTTGTTACTGTTTATTAGACCAGTTTTTGGGCTACCATCTCCTCCTCCGGCCACCCCAAGCGACAACATGGGTATCAAAAGAACCAGCACGTTGTCCTTTACTAGCCTCAAATCTCAGCCGCTGCCAACCGCTGTATGGATCGCCGAAAAAGGCAAGAAATTGGCCGGTTTTTACCTAAAATCTCCATCGCTCGTTCGAGCGATTCCGAGCACCATTTGCTTCGATCCATGTATGGTTTTTCAACCTCTCGAGTTGTTCTTGCTGCTAGTTGTGTTGGTTAGGAGAAATTTCTGAGTTTTGAAGGGTAAATAAGCGATGAACAATAACAAATGGGAGGGGCTGCTGTTCTTGATTTTTTTTTGCGCGGAGGGGGGGGAGGGGATGAATAGTAACGTTCATAATGGAACGTCAAAAAAATTGACGGAACGGGTAACGTGAGATGGTTTCCCATTCCGTCAGTTTTTTAAACTTTGGGGGATACTTTCTGAGTTTTTTAACGTTAGCATGATTCGTGGCTTGTAGCTTGTGTTGGTGGCTCTTATAAATTTCCTTTTATCCCGATTGAGCTTATTTTGCATCCAATTACCCATATTGGGCTAAGGATTAATTTGGGCTTAGCCCCTTGGATTTTTGGGCCTCAACATTAGCCCCCTTGATTATTGGGGCCATGAGTAACTTTGAAATGGGTCAAATAATCAAACCTGGCCCAAAAGAAAAGTCAAATCCAGGTTGCTGACGTGACCTTCCCGTTTCCCGCGTGTGTGCTGCCATGATTATTTTCCAGCGGTCTCTTGCATTCTCCAGGTACGCTTCCATCAATCCCGTTTTATTTTATTTTATTCTTCTTTCCTTTTCTTCTCTTCTTTTTTTTTCTCTTCGTCTCTGACTCCCTTCTTCTGTGCACGCGAGCCCTAAAATTGGTTGCCCCCCTTTTCGTTTTTGTTGGTTCCTTCTCATACACAGGTCTAGGGAATCCTTGGGAAATGAGAAATCTCAGTGAGGCCCCATCCACAACCGCTGGTTGGTTACGTTCAGGAAACCGCTCGCAACCCTCGGGGAAAAGCCACAATTCTTCTTTAAAATCCCTCAAATTTCTTCAATTCGCTCTTCAATCCGTCCAAAACCAAGCTTAGCAGAGTCACTTGGCAAAGTGTGGAGCAATTTCTGTGGTGGGATCGCAAGGCAGTTCCCTCCTCTTTCGACTTCGGCAAGCTGCTGGAAGAATCCCATCGATAGCAGTGGTAAGCATCGTTCCCCCATTTTTGTTTTCTACTTCTTGTTACTCTGGGCACATGCATCTACACACATGCACACATACATACACATATATGGGCATGTGGAGGCACCATTTATATTTTTCGGGAATTCCTCATGAACAGGGCACCTTTCCCAGTCTGGGTTTCATCTAATTTCCCAACCCTAGGCTCGAATTTCGGGTATAGACCACTGATCTGGGATTTTAAGCGTGCTCAAGGCGATATCTTGCCTTGATTAACCACAAAACCTCTAAATGGCGTCAACGCATGGTGGAAGGGATGGGAACAGCCACCCCATGGCTTCCTTCGCATATTTTATCCCTGTGACTCATTCTCCTCCTCTTTTAGCACCAGATAATCTTTTCCCCTCTCATAGGGAAGATTTGCATGATGATATTGAATTGGTCTTCTTTTTCTTCCTTGATATGGTCCTGGCATGATATTACAGAGATGTGCGTGCATTCAACAACTCGTGAGGGTGCTGGAACTTATGCATTTTGTTCTTTCTTCCTTTCTTGCAGGTGTCCGTGACTTAGTAGGCCTGCCATGGCGTCCACTAACCTTCCGCCGATCATGCTAGACCACCTCTACTCCATGGATGACGATCTTAAAACAGAAGGGCCGCTCCTGCTGCTTAAAGATGCCCGTAAAAATCCCGTTGTTGGTGATGAGCCATCCCCTGAGACTGCTCCTGTAATTAATCCTGCCTCCATATCCAGATGCTGCATTGAAAAGGGCCTCTTTCCAGCCGTTCCCCTATTCTTCCAGTATCCTTGCAGCATCAGTAAAGGTTGGTCAGAATGGGTCGATCGTGAACTGCGGGATCCATCCACATGCAACATCCTGCGCAGAGCACAAGTCCTTGATGCCATCTTCCTTTCCAAATTGTGGGACATCCATATCGAAGCGAAGATGCTTCGTCACGTGGTCCGGAGGTGGAGCACCGCTACTCACACCTTTGTGTGTTCATGGGGGGAATTTACCCCTACCCTTGAAGATGTGGCGAATATCTCTCGCCTTCCTGTCTGTGGCGACCGTAGTCCTTTCGGCATTGCCCTCACTCCAGAGGAAATAGATAGTCTTGCAGTCTTGCGAAGAGGCGCTCCCACCTCTCCCAGCACTTCGCTCCGGTTTAACAACTGGATACAATATTTTGGGGATGCAAACAGACAGAGTCCCTGCCGGTTGGCTGCCTTTATAGCTCTGTGGCTTGGGCGGTTCGTGCTCTGTGACTTTTCTCAGGATTGCCTTCATGAGCGTGTATTCCCTTTGGCTTTGGCGATAGCCCGAGGTGATACGATCCCCTTAGCCCCCATGTTCCTGGGACATCTATACCATCTTCTTAATCGAACCCAGCTTCTGGAAAAGAGTGCATCAGGAACCATGGGTGTGGAGACCCTCCTAAATTCTGGTTTCTTGCAGGTGTTCTTGTGGGAGCGTCTCAAAGGGTTGGATGTGTATTCACTCCCTCACTCGCACGCTATAAAGTTGGCTGACTGGGGCAATGGTTCCTTTATGCCAAACAATCTTCCATTAGTTTGCAGGTGGTTCAAGAGAATGCAGAGGAAAGGCCAGAATTTCTTAAAGCTGCTAGACAATGTCGAGAATTTTGTCTTTCGCCCTTACGGCACCTCAGCAGAGACCTTCACTTTCGTGCCCTTCTATACTGACGCCAGTGATACGGTTGAGGTTCCAGCAGCCGTGTCGCAGAGTAACCAGTTTCGGAGGCATGCTTTGTTGAATGTTGCTCCCATCCCCTTACCTACTCTTGGAGACCACTGTGCAGAGGTTTCCGTGACCTACTCTCCACACCGAGTCAGGAGGCAGTTCGGGCTTGACCAAGGGGTACCCAGCAGTCCTAACCATGATGACCCTTTTGCTTTACACAGGATCTTCTGGAGCAATGACCACATACCAGCCAGTTGCAGGCCCCTCGTTCTAGCAAGCAAGGCGAGGGTTGGTGGCTTCTCTAGAGGCTACCAAGCCTACTGGAACCGCTGTCTCTCTTCCTTCCGTGAGTTCCAATCCTTTCCCGGGGACAGACTGCCTCCTACAACGGCTCGTCTTGTGGGCTTGGTTTCGGAAGAGAAAGCCATCCCTCTTAGCCAAAAACGCAACTTGCCCTTCATTTCCAAGAGTGGTGACATCGTTGGAGAATTTCCTAAGATGAAGCCAAAGCCGGGGGCACAGAGTCCTGGCGGCTCCGGAAAAAGTGCAACGCCAGTGTCAGGCAAAAGGAAGCGAGAGGAGGAGCGAAATGTGAGTGAGAAGCAGACTGCCGGTAAACCCAAAAGGTTCATTCCGAAGGTAGCCCCGAGTGGCCCTCCTCGAACCAAAGAAGCAACTCCCCCGGAACAGCCACAGTCTTCGAAGCCTGCTGCATCCGGGAGCCGGGGTCGTGCTGGCAAGATGCTGGAAACTACCCCTCTCCGCCGTAAGTGTTCTCCACTTCCAGTACTTCTTCATGCCCCTCTTTTTGCTTTGCGTGCATGATATGTGGGTAGATACTTATTTATTATATACATATTTTTTTTATAGGGAAAATGGGTACAACCCCGAAGAGAAAGAGAAGTGACACACCCCCGGTATCTCCTCAGGTGACCCCTAAACGTCGAAGCGTGCGCATTCTACATGCAAGATTTTCTGGAACACGCACCAGTACTGTTGAAGCTGCCGGAACCCCAACTGTAGTGACAGTTGACGATGATAGTGATGATAGTGACACCACCGAATCCGAGGCTAATGTTCCAGAGCAAGAGAACGTTGACGATGCCAGTGAAGATTCTGACAGGGACTCCAATGAGGGTTGCAGTGAGGATGCATTTGCTTATTCCAGCGACTATCCAGGAGGACAAGGTGGTTCAGATGTTTTCTTCGAGTCCGCCGGTAGCAGTACACGCCGTTTTAGCGCTGAGCAGGTAACTGACGCGTTTTAAGTTTTGTCCCCCTTCTCCTTCCTTACACCATAATCTGTACACTCGACGCGTGCTCATCCTGCAGGTTATTGACATTGCTGAGGACCCAAACCCTGCTGCAGCCATTGCTGATCCTGCCCGGACCCCCTTGAGGTATCCGTACCGATAATATTCTATTTACCTTCTTCTCCTACTCATCTGTCAATACCCATTACCTGTCAATTATCACGTACTAATCCTTGCATGCACCCCTTTCCTTTTTGCAGGCTGAGCATCTCGCTTCAAATTTAGAAATTGTGCCCGTAGTACCTTCTTCCTTCAACACATTCGATACACTGGTCGAGGCAGCCCTCGCAGGATCCTCTCCAACCATGACACCAACGGATTCTCGGGATGAAATGCCTACGCTCCAAGTTACAAGCCCTTTACCACCTATCTTCCAGCATTTTCTCCAGAGGGACCTTGATCCTGCCATTTCGCCAGCCTTTCCAGCAGCCTTTCGGAGCAACACCTTTGTCGTCCATACAACCCTGCCCGTTCCATCTCACGTTCAACCACTTCTCCGGGCGACAGGGCCTAGTCCCCTAGCACTTCTTCCAGCGGTTCAATGTGACAATGCGAGCACTGCTGAAAACGCCCAGGCTATCATTACCGTCGCCGGGAATGCTGCTGCAGAACACCCTCGCAGCATGTCTTGGCTGGAGTGGGAGGAATCATTTACTACCTTCATGGCTTTCTTTGACAGCGGTGCTCAGGTCCTTCGATCTGCAGATGAACTCCTGCCGCTCTACCATCGGTTTAATGGTTACGCACTTTTCCGGGGAATTCTTGTTTATCCCGAGACAGTCGCGGCTTTGAAGAAATTTCTGGACAAGTACGGGGATTTCATGGACATGACTGGTATTACTTCTTCATTCTCGCGATGTGCTGCTTTCCGGGCCCTCGGCTTGGTGCTCCATGGGATGGATACCGTGCAGCTGCTGGACATTACTGATCACAGGCTCCTTTGCTGGCGGGATGCAGTTTGCGAGGCTATGACTCTGGGCTTTCGAGCAGAGTCTCTTCTGAACCTGGTGAAGGGTTTGGCACGTGCTGCATTTGGGGCACGGGCTGTTCATAACATGAAGTCAAATCCCGGCCCTGATGAAATAAGGGCAGCAGCAGAGGCTTTGGTCTTCAAGCAGCACGAACTGGAAAACCAGCGCAGGGAATTGCGTGGCCTCCTTTCTGCCCAAGGTGTCTCTTCCGACAGTGCTGACTGCGTGATGGAGGCAGTGACAAGATCTTCTCACGGGGCCTCCTCCGTTCCCTTCTAGCCATCCTTGATGGTACTTTGAGGTTCGTGACTCTTCGTCCTTCCCTCATGTTCCCTCATTCTACATATGTTCAATGTTACTCTGATTTCTCCTGACATTCTTTTTTTTTGTTCTGTTTTGCAGGTCGCATTTTGCTTGGTGTAGGATTGACTAGCTTGACACATTCTAGAGTTTCGTTCGGGATTGAAGCACACATTACTTCTTAGCATGTATAGCTTGATTTTGACTTATGTTGTAAAACTTGTACTGTGGCAGCTTGGCATTTTAGTGCTGTTGTGTTCCAGCTGCCGGAACCTATGTTCCCCCTTTTTTTTTCTTTTGCCAGAAACACATTGTAGCTTTTATTTAGCATGTATAAAATGCCTGGTTGGTAGAATCCTTTGCTTGAATTTTAGATTGGGTATCCTTTTGAAGCATGGTGGTTGTTGCCAAAATTTTGTTAGGATGGCCCTTTGACACTGCTATTTTCTTTGAAGGTTCTCGGACCTTATGAGCATGCTAGCTTCCTTTTGCGGGTGCTTAGCTTGGCTTGTTCCTTTTCATTTTGCCAAAGCGTGAAAGCTGCTACAGACCTAGGATCCCATTCAAATGGCTTTGCTTGGCATGTCTTTTGCTAAGTAATATTTTTCCTCCACCTTTTTTTAGATATCCGCCGTATATTTATATGTAATTGTAAACGCATGTCCAAAAAGAAATTCGAGGTACGAAAAAGGGCAAACTTCCAGAGACAATTTTTTTTTCAAAATACTCCTTCATTTTCATTTCAAACCCCATGCTACCATGATGATACAAAAGCTTTTCAAAACAAAGAGCATAGAAGGAGACAACATTTTTTTAGATAAAAGGAAATGCAATAACACGAAAATAAGATATTATGCCTACTTAGCAGTAGTAGGGCTTGAGCCATTTTCCATTGATGGGATCCATTAGCATGCCTTCCTTGACAGAGATCAAGCGATAATAACCGCTGCTGTGTACCTCCTTGACTGCGAATGGACCCTCCCATTGTGGGGCAAATTTGGAAGGTCCTGACATTTGCCTTCTCACATGTTCAACGACTTTTAGCACGAGATCTCCTTGCTTGAAGGCTTGAGGCTTAACGGTCCTGTTATAGGCTTGGGCAACAGTCTTGTTGTAAAGTGCCATCCTTCTTTCAGCTTCCATCCTTTTCTCATCAACTGCTTCGAGATCTAGCAAACGCCAATCTGAGCATGTCTTTGCATCCCATTCAAGATCATTGACAGCTGCTATCCTGGCTGTCGGGATGGTGATTTCCACGGGTGAAATAGCCTCAGATCCGTACACAAGTGAGTAAGGTGAAAAACCTGTAGCGCTCCTTGGTGAGGTGCGATAAGCCCACAAAGCATCCGGCAGGTGAACACTCCAGCCTTCTTGATACTCATATACCATCTTGCTTAGAATCCTCAATATCGTCTTATTGGTAGCTTCTGCTTGACCGTTTCCCTGCGGGTAATAAGGCGTAGAGCGACGATGCTTGATACCGTACCCACTAAGGGTTGAACTCACTTGCTTGTTAACAAAAGGTGTGCCATTGTCGGTGACCATCTTGTATGGGATTCCGAACCTACACACAATGTATTCCCGAATGAAATTCGAGACAGCAGCTCCTGTGGCCTTTCGAAGGGGAATTGCCTCAACCCATTTCGTGAAATACTCCGTAGCGGTGAGGATCCATATGTAGCCATCGGAAGGGGGATGGATTGTCCCAATTAAATCAAGCCCCCAAGTATGGAAAGGCCAGGGAGTGCGCATGTCTTGCAGCAATGTAGGAGGTTTGTGGCTTAGATTAGCATAGATTTGGCATGTGTGGCATTTCTTAACAAAGTCATGTGCATCCTTCTTCATGGTAGGCCAATAATACCCAATGCTTAGTAGCTGCCGGTGAAGCTTCTTCATTCCTTGGTGCTCTCCGCACTCTCCAGCATGTATCTCTTGCATGGCTTGACGTGCCTCTGATTCTCCCAAGCATTTTAATGGCTCACCATTAAACCCCTTCCGATAGAGAGTTGACCCATCAACAAAATACCTCTTCATGGTCTTTTTGAGCTTATAGGCAAGCTTGGGGTTGGTCGGCAGAGTTCCTCCAACAAAGAATGCCAAGTATGGAGCCCGCCAATCTTCTGCAAATGAAACAGTGAATGACTCCTCTGTAGAGGGTATCGTAGAACAGGTGGGACAATCGGATTGTAGTTCAGCTGCTTGCTTCTTCATCTCTGGCCAATAATAACCTTTGCGTTGCAAGCGCCGGTACAGGCTGATTACTGGTTCCAAGCCGCAAGTGGCATCGTGTACCTCTTGCAACCTCCTTCTTGCTTCTGCCATCCCAACACACCGGGTCAGAACACCTCCCGGAAGACGTCTGTAGAGTTCCCCAAAGATAGTCACATAGTCTTTCAAGTCTTTAATGCTGCTCTCTTCACCTAATTTTTTCTTCAGTGGCTTTCTCCAATCATCCTCTTCCAGCAGGTCCCCTTGGGCCATTGCTTCGACCACTGGTGTGCTTCTCCTTATCACGGTGATGTTGGGCTGTTCTTGCACAAATGAGAGCTTCGATCCCAATGTGGCCAAAGCATCAGCGTACCTATTGGTGGCTCCTGGAATGTGCTCCATCACGATTTGCTTGAAGGAATTAATGAGCCTTTCAGCAGCTGTCCGATATGGTGCCAAGGTTGCTTCCTTCACCGCAAAGCTTCCTTGCAATTGACTTAGTACCAGGTTCGAATCGCCGATGATCTTCACCTTTTCTGCGCCCATTTCTCTTGCTGTGGACAATCCCACAATAAAAGCTTCGTATTCTGCCACGTTATTCGTGCATGGAAAGTCTAGCTTGAATGAGAGAGCCGTAGCTTGCCCATAGGGATTAATGAGCACAACACCTGCCCCTCCACCTTTTGATGTGGAAGACCCATCAAAGTAGAGGGTCCATGGTTCCTCCTCTGTAACAGTAGCAACCATTTCCGGCAGCTCTCCCAGGACTTCCTTGGAAAGGGTTGATCCTTCTACTTCGGGGAATAGAGCTAGCATGTCAATCACAGCTTGTCCCTTGATGGCCTTAGGAGTTGTGCATATGATATCAAATTCGGAAAGCTGCAATAACCAACGTGCGAGACGACCGGATAATACCGGCCTTGTGAGCAGATATCTTACGGGATCGGACTTTACTATGAGTTGTAACTTGTGAGCAAGGAAGTAGTGTCGCAAGCGCTGCGCAGCATAGACAAGAGCAAGGCATAAGAGTTCCGTTTTTGGGTACCTTGCCTCAGCTCCTCTCAGTTGTCGGCTTACATAATAAACGGGGCTTTCCTCCCCGTCATGGCCATCCTGCGCAAGCAAAGCTCCAACCGCAGCATTTGTCGCAGCCAAGTAAAGCTTGAGTGGAAGTCCTGGAATAGGTGCCCTCATCGTGGGCAGCTTGGTGATCAGTTGTTGTACCCGTTGGTAAGCTTCTTGGCATCCCTGGCTCCATATATATGGCTTCCCTTTTTTAAGGAGAGGAGTGAAAACACTCATCATTGCAGCAAGGCCTGGAATAAAACGCCGAATGTATGACAATCTTCCCATAAAACTTTTCAACTCCTTTGGATTCTTAGGTGGTGCAAGAGAGCATATGGCTTTGGTTTTCTCAGAATCCACATCTATACCACGCTGGTGTACCTGAAAGCCCAGGAACTTGCCAGATGAGACTCCGAATGCGCATTTCTTTGGGTTCATTTTTAACCCATACAGCCGGCACCTTTCCAGCACCCGCCTCAGAACTCCCTGATGACTTTCTCTGGTTTTGGATTTTACTACGAGGTCATCCACATAGTCTTCCACCTCTTTTCCCATCATATCATGAAACACTGCCGTCATGGCCCGTTGGTAGGTAGCACCGGCATTCTTGAGACCAAATGGCATGACCGTGTAGTAGAAATTTCCATAAGGTGTTCGAAAGGCTGTTTTCTCGGCATCCTTGGGAGACATCTTGATTTGATTATAGCCACTAAATCCGTCCATGAAGGATAGCATGCCTTGACCCGAGGTTGAATCAATCAAGATATCCATGTTGGGCAGCGGGAATTCATCTTTTGGGCAGGCTCGATTGAGATCACGATAGTCTGTGCATATTCTGATTACCCCAGTTTTCTTCTTCACGGGTACGATATTTGCTAGCCATGTCGGGTGTTTGATTGGCTTGATGAATCCAGCGGCTAGCAGCTTTTCAACTTCCACCTTGATTTGTTTCTCAATTTCAGGATGAAAATTCCTTCGTGGTTGTACAACAGGTCTTGCACCGAGCTCAATATTCAGCGTATGACTCACCAAGTTTGGATTAAGGCCGGGCATCTCTTCATAACTCCAAGCAAACACATCTCGAAATTCCTTCAATAACGACACCAAAGCTTCCCTTTCTTCCCCCGTTAAATGAACACTGACAGAGATGGGTCTTGGGGCAGAGGGGTCATCACTTAAATTAACTGTTTCCAACCGCTCAGCTACTGCCGTTGAGCCATCTTGCATGTGCTTGGGTGCTATCATTGGTTCTTGGAAAGGACAAGGCAAGGGTGCCTTGCCATCTAGACTCCCGCGGCTGTCTGCTTGCATAGCTTCTCCACCATACTCGGGGCTTTCCCGTAGGATACGGTCAAGCCCCCAATCCCGTCATAAGCGATATACAGTGCGCCCATCTGGCAGCGTAACCTTTGAGCATTGAGGATGATCGTAGGCATGGTTGTTGGCCTCCGAGTGCCTTTTTCTTTCTCGATCGACGATGGTTATGAGCTCCTCGTTGCTCAGATCACGAATCTCGGTCCACGATGGCAGGTAAGTCCCAGAATTCTTGGATGGGTTGCTTCCGGCGCCTGTGCACTCAGTGTAGAATTCTGCCTCGGAGTAGTGAGCTTCGCTTTGATTGAACGGTGCTTGATTCCCTGGTATACGGAGTGGTCTTAGCCCAATTCTTCCCTTTACACATTGATGGTACGTAGAGACCACAAGTTTATGTTTGTTGAGCCATGGCCTTCCCAACAAAGCATGATAAGCCACATCTACGTCCACCACATAGAACTTGGTAAGTGACCGGATGGGCCCTACCTTCAAATTTACTTGCATATATCCAACCGTAACCTCACTTTGATTCCCAAAACCGCTAATGCTCGTTTGGGACTGCACGATCTTGGATAGTGGAATACCAGCTGCTGTAAGTACAGACAGAGGCAAGATGTTAACAGAAGAACCCGTGTCTACCAGAGCCCTCCGTATGAACACATCATTGATTTGTCCCTCCAGGTAAAGCGGCCTCCTATGATCCGGGTATGGAACTTCCATGTCCTCGTCTGTGAAAACGATAGCATTGTCATTTTCCAAGAATGACCTTTGAGGTTGAGCAGTGAAGCAATGGGGGTTGGCTCCTGCAGAAATATTCATAAGGGCTACAGCAGCTGCTTCCCTCGCTTGAGGCCCGAAACCAAGTTGGTCAAAGAGTGACTTAACTCTAGGATTCCTCTGGAGGGCCTGTGAAGCTGTGGGTCCTTGCTTCGAGCCCAGATATCGCTCCATTACAGTCGCCTCAGCTTCTGTAAGGGTGTGAAATGTCACAGCAGACGTTTCCTGCTGTCCGGACGAGGCTTTCCGGCATTGTTCTTCCGGCATGTCCAACATGAACACCCCATTGTCTGCACAGTCATCCCATCCATCAGCGAGTGGCCATGGCGTGTCGTAGCTTGACGGTTTCGAGTATTTGCACCAGTAAGCTTTATCCATGTTTCCACAAGGCTCCCAAATAGCCTCTGGTGGCTTTGGATCATTCCTCCATGGGTGGCACAATTCGTCATCGTCGAGCAAATCATCTGAACACGTAATAACAGCAGCTGTTTCTTTCCCCCTCCGTTTTGGCAAAGGGTCCTCATCAATAGCCTGCTTCCTAGAGGGAAGCTCAAGAACTCCCTCATGTATTTTGCCATGTAAGATCCTCCTTAAACTCTGACAAGCGATGGTCGGATGTCCTACAAACTGGTGGTAGCGACAGTATCTGGGATCACTTTTTTCTTCCCTGGTGGGGACCTTGTAGGGCCTGAGAGGTTTGATTGCGCCGTCAGCAATCATTGTGTCGAGGATGGCATGAAACTCTTCCTCTTTGCAAGGCAATGGCGGGTACGTCTCCCTATCTTTTCGTTTGCGTGAGCTGTAGTCATTAGATGGCTTCTCATCCGTGGCTAACACCTGATGTGATTCCTTCTTCTCACTCCTCCAGCCCCTTTGTCCAGTCGGTTTGACAGACATGCTTGTCTTTCTTACCGCTTCCAGCAGCCGGGAAAATTGGCTTATGCCAATATTCTCCAAGTATACTCTATAGTCTGCCACAATGTTGCTGATGCAAATCTCAACAAGTGCCTCCTCATCTTTTTCGTCATAGCAATCGAGAGCCAAGTCCCGGAATCTTCTCACGAAGTCCACAGGATCCTCCCCTTGCTTTTGGCGAGTGTTGTTGAGCTGCGTGGTGGTGACCCTCTCCTCGTGCTGAAAATATTTTTTACAAAACCTGCTTGCCAAATCGTCCCAAGAACGCATAGAGCCTGGTGCCAATGTGGTGTACCATGTATAAGCCCGATCGGTGAGGCTCTTTGAGAATTCTCGGAGTCGCAGATTATAATCACCAGCGTGTGGCCCCAAAGCATCAAGGAATCGGTTGACATGTTCCTTCGGGCTTCCTTTCCTCCCATCGAAGAGAACAAAGGTTGGTGTTTCGTAACCTTTGGGATAGGGCTGCTGGAGTAAACTTGCTGGGTACGGTGGCTGAGGAATGTACTTCCAATCCTCCTGACTTCGACTAAGCTCCCTTTCCAGCATGGCAACGACATCCTCCTGGGTGACAAAAGACGGTCCCCTTTGTTCAGACCCCTTTCCAGCAGCGGCAGATTCTTCTTGCGGACGTCTATCCTCTTCGCTTGGCTTGGAAGCAGCATTTTTTAATTCTTTGATAGTGTCCATCATCTCCTTCTGGGTTTCCCCCATGGCCTGCATAGCCGTGATGAGATCAGTGAGGGTGAAGGCTTCCTCACTTGCACGTTCTTGTCCTCTAGAGGAAGCATTTTGCCTTGATTCAGAATCACCATGGTCGGGTCCATCTTGGGAGGCCATGGTGTTGCTTCGGGTTTTCTTTCTTGGAGGCATTAGTAAGATGGCAGCTTGTTCCCCAGCAGAGTCGCCAATTTATGTAGGGGGTTTTTTGTTGACGAATGGGCCTGGGCTGCTGTGAGAAGACAACGAGCAAAATCCCCCAAATGCCTGAGTTCGAAAAACAAGCTCCCAAGAGAGTTTTTAGAAAATCTAATGAGATTTTAAAAGAACACTCTCAGGATCACTTCACTAACACCCAAATAAGCATGAGGATTTCATTAATGGCTTAGCTTGAGGAGCATGTGGCATGGGAGCTAAGCTTTCACAAGTTTAGCAATTTGAGAGAGAGAAAACAGCGTGGGTTTCTTACAGAAGAAATATTAGTGCGAGCCCTATCCTAAGAAGAAGAAAGATGAACAGAAGAGAGGTTTGGGTGGCTTGAGTAAATTCCAGATTTGCTTGACAAAGCTTGGTCAAGGTCTGGATCGTTGTGTTGTGGATGTCTTTTCTGGGTAGCAAAAGTCTCCTTTTATAGGCGTTAGGAGCTCTAATTTCGTCTGGTTTTCTTCTTCCTTTTTCCTTGGCAGCTCCTACTTAGCCCTATTTTGATGAATTTCTCCATCCAAGGAGCATGGGTAAGGAACCCTTTATGGTTCCAACGGTTTGACGCAGCTGGGCTTTCCCATAGAGGGGAAGGCGCCACCTGCTTTCCTTATGTTTTCTCCAAGGCAGAGCTTACAGAGGAAAAGGGGAGAGATGGAGCCTTTTGTCCGATGGACACTTCCCTCACCCCCATGGATTTCCTCTGGTCTTGCCATGGCTCCCTTATGACCATTGTTTGGAATTCAAACGGGAATAGGACTTGACGCCAGATTTTTGTAAGTTGCTGGGCTTGGGCTTGTACATATGGTATTGGGTCCTCTGGCTTTGTTGCTTCTATCGTTTGGCAGGCTTTCGTCAAGCTGCTGGAAAGGCTTTCCCTTTAATTCTATTGATGTGGGCTGGGCTAAATATCTTGGTAGGTTCTTTGGTGTCTTCCTAGAGCATGGGTCAATTTTTTCTCCTCTCTCTCATGCTAACCCATATGCTTGGGTTCTAGGAACGGGCTTGAGTTCCAAAGCCCCCAAGTGGCTTTGAAACCTACGTTCCTTGAACCCTCAATGGGCCCCGTGATTGCTTGTCACCTTCCATACCACAACCTTCTCAGTAAGCCCCGGTTAATTTTGTGGCTTGGGCCCACTTAAGCTCGTGACGTAGCTTGGTATTAGAATGCGCATGATTTCTATGCTCGTGCTTGGGGTTTTATTATGCCATGATAGGCTAGAGTCGGGCCAAGTAGCACCGAATGAGCATGTGAGCGTGATTTAGTAATATCGGTATGTCCTTGGCTCCTTCTGCACGTGCTTGTTTAGCATGATTCGTGGCTTGTAGCTTGTGTTGGCGGCTCTTATAAATTTCCTTTTATCCCGATTGAGCTTATTTTGCATCCAATTACCCATATTGGGCTAAGGATTAATTTGGGCTTAGCCCCTTGGATTTTTTTTTTTTTTTTTTTTTTTTTTTTTTTTTTTTTTTTTTTTTTTTTTTTTTTTTTTTTTTTTTTTTTTTTTTTTTTTTTTTTTTTTTTTTTTTTTTTTTTTTTTTTTTTTTTTTTTTTTTTTTTTTTTTTTTTTTTTTTTTTTTTTTTTTTTTTTTTTTTTTTTTTTTTTTTTTTTTTTTTTTTTTTTTTTTTTTTTTTTTTTTTTTTTTTTTTTTTTTTTTTTTTTTTTTTTTTTTTTTTTTTTTTTTTTTTTTTTTTTTTTTTTTTTTTTTTTTTTTTTTTTTTTTTTTTTTTTTTTTTTTTTTTTTTTTTTTTTTTTTTTTTTTTTTTTTTTTTTTTTTTTTTTTTTTTTTTTTTTTTTTTTTTTTTTTTTTTTTTTTTTTTTTTTTTTTTGGGGCTCTCAACAGGTTTTAATACTTATGAATCAAATTTTGTTTTGGATATGCTCAAAGAGGAGACCCAGATTCGTTGGGTCTGTCTAAATTATAAAGGTAAAATACAATTTTACCCTTTTGTTTAAAATCATATCTCAACCCCTATCTCTCTCCTTTTCCTTATTCACTTCATTAACGACGACGCCTTAACGACGCCCTCTCTTTCTCTTCTTCCTTTTTCGCTCAATCAACGACGACGACACCCGCTCTCTCTCTTCTTCCTTATTTGCTCCATCGATGACGACATCCTCTCTCTCATCTTCCTTCTCACGCGAAGCTCTATTTTTCATCTAGTGATAAGATTTGGTTTCAGATTCTTATTTCAATTTTGTAGTTATGTTTTGGTTTGAGAAGTTGATTTTGAAGTATTTGATGTAGATTTTGTTCTCATTTCGCCTTTTGTGATAAAATTTGAGTTTGGAGGTGCTTTTTTGCTAGTGATATTTTGCTATTATGGGGATGGATGAGCTTAGTGAAGATGATAAGTTGATAGTCGCATGTGCCTGTAAAATTCAACGTTTCTTGAGCCAGCCTTTCCATGTTGCAGAGGTTTTCATTGGTGCCCCTAGAAAATACGTGGAGTTCAAAGAAAGCATTACCAACTTCCAGGTATCCTTTCCTCCTCTCTCCCTCTCTGTTCTGTTTGCATGTTTTGTGTGCCTAATAAAACACGGTCATAAACTGATTGGAGGGACTTCCCTTCGGCCCTGGCGCCTACCGTTTCGTCAAGCATTTCGCCCTCCTAAGAGCAAAAGAAAAGCTGCAAAGGCAGAATCCTCTCGGCCTCGCGACTGCAGTTTTGAAGGTCGAGGCCGAAGGCCGCAAAAGACACGGTCTGAAAAGGCTGTGGTTGAATCGCCACGTGGCCTTAGGGCCCCACGCTCCATTTAATGAAGTAATGCCGTTGACTTCGCAGCAAAACCCACTAGTCATAAGAAGCATTCAATGCACGAGGGAAGTGACTAAAGTCAGGATTTGGTGATGGGAATCAGGGTGGTTAAGCGCAGACATTCTCACAAGTAATCTTACGACTTAGGGTCAGATCATCAACCACCAGTCCAGGGCATTAAATGCGTTCCCACGGCTAAGAGGGCAGAACCCACGATCAGGGCGGTGGTCGAGATTTGCCGAGATTTATGGGGGTCACACCACCATGCTTCTCAACCCTAGACCACCATGCTTCACGATCCCAAATGCCAATTTGACTACCCACTTGCCCGGCCAGGCTTCACCACGCAGGTCTTGTCAGCCTCGAATGTCCATCCAGGACTCCTATAAATGCTAAGCTCAGGACTACATCCAAAAGGTTCAAACACCAAAACCAAAAGCCTCCCACGGAGCAAATTATATTTTCCTGTAATGCACTTTCAATAACTTTATTTGCTTTCTTAGGAGTAGTGTAGACTGTAGGGAAAATATATTCATCAATATATCATACGACCCTTGATTTTCAAGGCGCCGGAGCACCATCTCTGTTATCACTTCACTCACCCCATATATCATACGACCGTCGCTCTCTGAGCAACGCACCGGAGCACCGCCTAAAATCCACCACCAACACCACCACTAAACGGCCTTGTAGCTCAGGCCGTGAACCTGACGGCCGAGATTCGTTCCTCACTCGGCCACAATCGTTTGATTAGGAGTCGAACGCAAAACAGGCGCAACATTTAAATCATCTTCTACCCGAACCTCATCATCATCTCGACGAACGGTAGACCTTGCTGGCACGCCCGTGCACAATCGCACCGCATCTAAAAAGAGGACGTCACGTGTTGACGCACATCCCCTCGGCCTGGAGCACCAGGCCTCGAGATTTGCGACGGACCAACAGTTTCCTCATTTCTGATATTGAAGTTTTGTTTATTACTTTGACAATTACTGGTGGAATTCGTCTCTTGGAGAAACTATTAATTATATAGTTATCAAGGGCGGATCTATTACTAGGCTGGAGTGGGCTCCAGCCTAGGGGATGATTTTTAAATATTAAATATAGTTAAGTTTATTGCTACTCCAATAAATATTAGCCCACTACACCAATAAATATAATAAACTAATAATAGCCCAATTTAAGTAAAGTAAATAATAACTTTATTTTAAATAAGCTCATTCCTGAAGCATATAGGAAATAATAAATATCAATCCAAAGTTATATAAATTTGATTAGAAGTAGAACTCACGCTAAGGCTCTACCAACTTGAATTATGTTTGAGTTTATTATTTGCTTTGTTTAAGGTATTATTTGATTTAAGAACATTACTGGTGGTTCTGTTTCGAATTATTTGAAGGCCGGATGCCTATTACGTAAAGTTGCATGTTATTATCTTGTGTATGCTGCTGTTAAGAACATTGCTGGTGGTTCTGTTTCTAATTATTTGGGAAATGTTCAATTTACAGGGGAGACTCTGCCGAAATTTTGGTAGAAAGTCTCGTGCCCCTATTCCTTTTCATGAAAGGAGGCTATAGTTTTAAGGGAGTGGGCCCGACATCGGTGTAATGTCGGAATTTCCACAAGATTCGTCCCGGGTTCCGAGGAATTCAGGGTGGGTCTTGTCAATTTGGAAATGGTATTGCAAAACTACATTGTACATGTTCTGCATTGTAGTTTTGCACAAACTACATTGCAGTTTTCAATTAATTGCAATTGGATTTTTGCTCTTTCCTTGGCCTTCAACCTCACCAATTTGAAGAATAGAGGCTTGGATTTTCAATTTTGTCCTGGAAACTTGAGATCATATTGCAGTTCTTAGGATAGAGATGCTTGTTGTTTATGACATAATCTTATTGCGCAATGCTTCTTTTGGTTTTGTTGAGTTTCTAGCAAAAACTCTTCTACCCAGGTTCTAACCTTGTGCTCATTTTTCTTTCTTGCAGTTGCTCAGGACTTATAGATAATAGAGATTCATCGTTTGAAGGCTTCTTAGTTTTATATAGTTTTTACGAGCCAAGTTCCAGGTTCTGCATTGTAGTTTTGCACAAACTACATTGCAGTTTTCATTTAATTACAATTGGATGTTTACTCTTTCCTTGGCCTTCAACCTCACCAATTTGAAGAGTATAGGCTACTCAGATGAGGAATTGAGAGGGCAAGAGAAGAGTAGAACTACCCAAGAGCAAGGGAACTCAAAATTGGACTTTTGGAAACTACATTGCCAGAAACAGAGTATTTTACCAACATGTATTGAATAAAAAAATATTGATTTGTTTTGTTTAACTTTAGAGCTGAGCATTTTTGCCCAAATTCAGCATTGCAGTTTTCATTTTTGTATTGCAGTTTCTGTTTATGCATTGCAGTTTCTGCTTCTACATTGCGGTTTTCGTTTCTGCATCACAGTTTCCATTTTAGTACTTTCATCTTGGTTCCTCCATTTTGCTTCAATAAAATTACTTTTTGTTTTTGTAGCTGTTTTTATTTTTTTTATATAAAAATAATCATTGATTGTTTATATAAATATTGTATAACTAAATAAATATTATAAAATCAAGTTTGGTGTAGTGGTTTATGAGTGAGCCTTCCTCCTTTGAGGGTCAAGTTTTGATATGACACCGATGTAACACTATTTTTTTTAATTTATCATAAATATATAATATTAAAAATAAAATAAAAACTTGGGAAATAGCTGCCACACATTTTATAATTTTTTGTGAAAATACCACTCATCCCTTAAAATTTTAAAACTACCACCTATAAATACATCTTTATTGTAGACTAATTGCACCCATATCACTTTTTCAGAAATTGGGTTCTCTCTCAACTCTCTTGGCTCCGTCTCTCTCTTGGCTCCGTCTATCTCTATCGCTCAGCTCTGTTGCGCAGCTCTCTCTCTCTCTCTCTCTCTCTCTCTCTCTCTCTCTCTCTCTCTCTCTCTCTCTCCGACACAGTGGTCTTCCTCCCTCTACGATGTGTGTTCATCCAAGCTTAACTCCATGGTTCACATCCACAAGGTACTGTTCATCGTCATTTTCTTAGAAATTTGGGGTTTTTGTGAAATTGGTTTAGGGTGTATGGATTTGTATGAAATTGGTTTAGGGGTTTCTTCGAAATTGGTTCAGGGTTTTAGGGTTTAAGGGTTGCTCTGAAATTGGTTTGGGGTTTATGGGTTTCTATGAAATTGGTTTAGGGGTTTCTTCGAAATTGGTTTAGGGTTTAGGGGTTCATTGGTACACCACATCTTTCTTGCCCTTTAATTCTGTTGAGTGTTGGTTTTTAGATGCTTGTATTAGCTACAAACTTGCATTCTCTTCCGTTAAGTGGAATGAATTTGAGACGTGTGCTATATTTTAACCCAAGTAATGACATTCTCAGCCTGTATAACTCTCTAATAATATCTATTATATTATAGCATGGGTTCGTCTGAGTGCTTAACGGTGTTTATCATGTTTGCATCTCATGCCTTAACTCCCTCGGTTCTCTCGGGCTTATGACTTGGGAATTCACTGTGCTCTTTAATTATGTCAGGAACTCCTTTATATGAAGATGCAGACATAGAAGCTTTGCTGGAGGTGCTTTATATGGTAATCCAACCTTTTTGATAGGGCTAGTTGGTTTAGTTATTATTCGTAACAAGGTCAAATCATTTCCCGAGTCTTCAGCCCTTTTGTACATTGTGAAGTGTAATATTGTACAGTCTACAAGTGGTGGCTAATTACCTTATATGGCCCTGTTGTACATTTTGAAGGTGAACTATTTCGTACACCTCTATATATAAACATAGTTGCTTTTTATGGAGGTATAACAGTTTACTTGTTCGAAACGACGTGTTCGTTTCCACTGAATGCTGCTCATTTTTGTATCCATTGTTGACATTTAGTCTCTGTGGTTTTCTTTGCAATTTATGTGATATAGGTATATTTCATTTCTTGCACTAGGAATCTGTTAGTGGACTTAGTGAAGCATACAACTTTCTTAAGATTTCTCAAATTAGTTTTGACTTTGTTCCTTTTAAATAATTTATGCAGCAATTCTACCTTTTTGCTTAGGATTCTGTTGTTATTGGAATTTGGAACCTAATAATGTTTAGAAAGGGGTAAGATATACTTTACCCCCATGAAAAAATGTGAAAAATCACTTAACACGCTTCCACCACAATATTAGAAAAATAAGTTACTCGTTTGTTCATAATTTTTCATTAATAACTATTCTGTCAGTATATTTACCATTAGTACAGTTTTAGGGCCAAGTTCGTATGAGCAAATGACTAAGTTGAAATATGTAATCGATCATTTTGCCCTCTGACTCAATCTTTGAAACATTGGTATGGTCATTAATAGATGCGCAGATGTGTAATACGCAGTGTGCATGTACAAATAAATGTGCAGATTTGTTTGTTTCCTTCCATATGTTGGAAATCATGGTAATTTAACAGTTTTATCACAGAAGAATGAAGGTTTGGAATGCATAGAAGCCTACAATATACACTAACTATAGAGATGGTTACCAAATATCATGTTGACCACTGTGACCCGTGCAAAGTTAAACTGCAAAAATTAGTTTACTAGTTGTTCTTTATCTTTTTGAAGATTCATTATTTGTTCCAAAAATTAGTTATCCCTATTAGATCACATAATGTTTGAACTAATGGTCATAAACTCAATCCTGCCTTTGCTTGCTTGGAGAAGCTCTGTTGTTTACTTTCTTTCTTTTTTGTCAAAAGGTGTAATGGAAAGCTATATATCCATTCCAAATTAAATTCATGTGTTCTTTGTGATCCTTACAGGAAAATGGAGGTGAAACAATGGACTTGTGTCAAAAATGAAAAATAGAGGAAGTGCATAATTCATTTCTGCCTAAAACGCAATAAACTGGTGATACGTTAGTGATACAGTGGTGATACAAAAGCGATAAAAGGGTGCTAGAAATTTCTGTTTTTGTATATTTTGGGCTTCTACTTTTGTTTCATTTCATTTACTTAGCTTTAATAATTGGATGATTACAAGATTCATTTGTGTAAATTATTAATACAATAATTACGTATATAAAGATTAAGACGAACAACATATCATATCACCAAACATAATGAAACCACCAAATGTAATCATCCTTTTCTTCAACCCATCATGAAGCATTTGCATATTTATTCATACCTTTCTTTTTTTGTAAATAATTTGTTAGTTGTTATTATTTTTTAAAGTAATTTCTTACAATGTCTTACGGTGCAATTATGATGCACCTGATTGCCAGTTTTTTAAAGGCACGTTGTTTCTTTCTCTTCGTCGTATTCTTTTTGAATGAAGTAGGGCCTAAACCGTAAACTCATTGATGAGCCGTAGTCAATATACATACAATATAATGGCAATATTAGGCCAATATACATGCACTAGAGAGGCAATATTAGGCCAATATAACCGCAATACGACAACAATAGTATCACAATATACATGCAATCGGGTGGCAATATGCATACAATATCTATACAATACACATGCAATATTAGTACAATACACGTGCAATAGGACAACAATATTACGTCAATCTACATACAATACACACACATCCATTACATACTACAATTTAGACATGCAAAATAAATCGCCACCGAACCCTAACAATATTATCCTGAGAAGGGAAAAGGAAGGCAACACTTTGACATCGCATCACCCAGCACCACATGAGCCGAACTAGCACTCACCCTTACTATAGGTCCATCAAAAGATCCATGTCTTTGGCATTCCTCCTCGTTGCATGCATGAGGCTATGATGAGCTATTCCCTCTCCACCCATATTCAGCACCTCCCAAACACCAGCTACATCAATTTCACTCCAATTGTAGTCTGGTGAGATGATCGAAGCATAATCTCTGAACATTTCAAATCCGTTGTTGAAACATTCAACCATGTCATGGTTATATTCTTCCGATTTTGTAAATTTTTCGACAGCATATTTCTTTATCTCTTTCAATTTTAACTTGAGGGACTCTATCTCTTTACTCCGAATTTTTGCTTTAGAGTTTGCTTCACTTCTCCAGCATATGCTTTATTCAACTTGTTGGCCAAGTTTCCCATAACTTGGTCATGAATATCACATTTGCTCTCCCACCAATCTGTTGCCTTAGACAAATAATGGAGGTCGTGCTTAACGACAGAGATTGTGTCAAGTGAATCATTGCTCTCAGCCTCACTTCCAGATGAAGTGGGATCGTGATTGGAAGTCATAGGTAGAGATGGGAATGGCACATGTGTCCAAATATACTTCTCCATCATTTACACCGACCACATTGTACAGGTTTTGTTCACCCATTTGAGCCAAATAATGTTCACGAGTGGGTTCAAATTCTCCTCCTAAACACATTATTGGCAATTAGGCATATGTGTTCAAAGGGCCTAAAATAGGAGGGGCAAAGTACACTGGCACTTCATTTCTTTCAATACCATCATCACCACCATGCATCTCCTCCACCTTGCTACAATCAATCATGTCCATAAAATCTGTCCCAACATCACCTCTCACATCAGTGACATTTGTATTATTCCAAGTTACTTCATTGCTTTCAACAATAACAGCTAAAGAACGACCCATCCGACTACTATATGTCGTGATATGCATACTATTAACTACATAATTTGTCAGTCCTTTATCTTCTATACTCACGAGTAAGGGAGCTAGTTTTGAAGGTGTTACCTCACAATTGTACTTCATAACAAATTTGACATCGTCATCGTCCTCAATCTTTATGTGCTTCCACTCATTCGAGGCCACCAAAACTGAGAACTTTAAGCAAACCTTGTCTTCCCTGCTATTTGTATTACCAGTCTGACGCACACGATCCAACAGTTCAACAAATGTGATGGTCCGTGGAACTATTAAGGCTTTTGAGTCACCCCCTTTGTATTTGCACATATTCTTTAAGGTTACCCATTTACCATTATAGCAAACCAGAATAACAATTGTCTCCATTTCTAACCATGACAAAACAACATTTTATTACCACAGTACAACCACGATAAACAGGTAATAAGCAGGCAATACAATAGCAATATAATAGCAATATAACAACAATATAATAGCAATATAACAGCAACATAATGACAATACGACAACAAAATAACAAGAACACAACAACATGCACTACATCAAATGGAAAATCCCAAGTTTCAAGATTCACATATCCAGATTAATCTAAATGCAATTGGTAACCCAGATGGATGAGCATGAAGATTCAAAAAACCTAATCAAAAGCAATTAAACCCAAAACCAATTTAACATAAACCCAAGCAATCAAAACAAAACAAATTTCACATAATCCCACATATATTAAGAAAATAACCATCAACCCTACCTTTTCGAGGTTGGCGATCCAGTTGAGTTTCAAGGTTGCAAGTAGCTATTCAGAAGACATACCTAAAATATGGGATTGAGGGAAGGGTTCGTGATTCAGAACAGAGAGAGAGAGAGAGAGAGAGAGAGAGAGAGAGAGCAAGGAGAGAAACACAGAGAGAAAACGGGGGTGAGCGAGCTGAGAGAACCAAATTTCTGAAAATGTGATATGTGTATAATAAGTGGACAAAAAATATATATTTATAGGTGATAATTACAAAAAAGAAAAAAAGAAAAAAAAAGAAAAAGGGAGGGGTTGGTATTTTTACAAAAAATTATAAAATGAGTGGCATTTTCAGTTATTTCCCTGAAAACTTTACCTTCTTTGTCAAAATTTCTAATTTATTTTGTCATTGGAACCCAAAAAATTCATATGAAAGGAATACCACAGGTACTCATATTTTATTTTTGGAAAAAAGGAAAAAAAGAAGCAAAAAATATATTTTTAAGGGTCCGCTAAAATGACTAGACTAGACTTGGGTAGGAAGTAGTGAATAGTAAAAGTAAGTAGCGAATCGGCGATTTCTGTTCCCAATTAATCCCAAATTCCCCTTCGTCGCTTTCCCACTCTCTTCTCCGTTCGAATACTGCGAAATCCCCAATCACCACCATGAGCAGCAGAGCCAGAAACTTCCGCCGCCGTGCCGACGACGATGACGACAAAAACGACGACCCAAACGACACCGGAACCCCTGCGACGATACCCACCGTCAAATCCTCATCAAAACCCTCTTCTTCCTCCTCCTCCAAGCCCAAGAAGCTACACAATCAAGCCCCAAAGCTCCTCAGCTTCGTCGACGACGAAGAAAGCGCCGCAGCCCCATCTCGCTCCTCATCTTCCAAACCCGATAAGCCCTCTTCTCGTCTCGGCAAGCCCTCTTCAGCCCACAAGATGACAGCTCTCAAAGACCGTCTCGCTCATACCTCTTCTGTGTCGACTTCTCTGCCCTCCAACGTCCAACCCCAAGCTGGAACCTACACCAAAGAAGCGCTTCGTGAGCTCCAGAAAAACACGCGAACCCTAGCCAGCTCTCGACCCTCCTCCGAACCCACCATTGTTTTAAAGGGCCTTGTCAAACCCACCGGCACAATCTCCGATACGTTGAGAGAAGCCCGGGAGTTGGACTCCGACAACGACGAAGAGCAAGAGAAGGAAAGGGCTAGTTTGTTTAGGAGGGACAAGGACGACGCCGAGGCCCGATTGGCCTCGATGGGAATTGACAAGGCAAAGGGCTCATCTGGGTTGTTTCCTGATCAAGCCACCATAAATGCGATTCGGGCGAAGAGGGAACGGCTCAGAAAATCGAGGGCGGCGGCCCCGGATTTTATTTCATTGGATTCAGGGAGTAATCATGGCGCTGCTGAAGGGTTGAGCGATGAGGAGCCCGAGTTTCGAGGTCGAATCGCGATGTTTGGGGATAATATGGAGGGTTCTAAAAAGGGTGTGTTTGAGGATGTTGATGATAGGGCAGCGGATACTGTATTGAGGCAAGAAAGCATCGACCGTGATGAGGATGAAGACGAGGAAGAGAAGATTTGGGAAGAAGAGCAGTTCAGGAAAGGGTTGGGAAAAAGGATGGATGATGGTTCTAGTATAGGCGTGGTCAGCACTAGTGCTCCCGTGGTTCAGAGTGTGCCCCAACCGAAGGCTACTTACTCTGCAATGGCGGGGTATAGTTCAGTACAGAGCGTGCCTGTTGGGCCAAGTATAGGAGGGGTCATTGTAGCATCACAAGGTTCTAATGTGATGTCGATAAAGGCGCAAGCTGAGATTGCTAAGAAAGCTTTGGAGGAAAATGTGATGAAGCTCAAGGTATGAAATGCTGCTCTTCTTGTCAAAAATGAATTATTTTTTTAATTGAAATTTTTTATGTTAGTGACATTTCAAGGCCTCATGGGAATTAATAATGGAAAGAAATATTGGCTTCTACTCTCGACGTCAATTTCTGCTCACTAGTTTTGTTTTTAAGCTATGTGTAGAATAAAGATTTGTCACTTTCCAACAGCTTTTTTGGGATTTGACATTAAGAACAACGGTATACCGTAGAATACATAGCTGAATATGCAAACCATACTTTTGGAAACAAAAGACTCTGCCAGTGTCGGAAACTCATTTCTGCTTGATATATCCACATTCTTGGGGGCGTTTATAGCATATGCATATGTATGACTGTCCACTAAGAATATGTTTTCTGATTCATATGATTTGCTCCTTTTTTATTTTTAATGAACTCTCAGGAAAGTCATGGCAGAACCGTGTTGTCACTAACTAAGACTGATGAAAATTTGTCTTCCTCACTATTGAATATTACTGCTCTCGAGAAGTCTCTGTCTGCTGCTGATGAGAAGTATAAGTTCACGCAAAAGCTTCGTGACTTTGTTTCTGTCTTATGTAACTTTTTGCAGGTATGTTGGGGAGTTTATATTGTTTATGTTTCTTCTTTGAATTGGTAGTGCCATTTTACTTTCAGTTTAAAAACTACTTATGTTTCTTCTTTTGTTTTCAATTTTAATCCCAGTATGGACATCATTTGTCCAGAACTAATCTTCTTTTGCTGTAATTCTTCATTTTCAGGTTAAAGCTCCTTTGATAGAAGAGCTTGAAGAGGAAATGCAGAAAATTCATGAACAGCGTGCATCTGCTACTTTGGAAAGAAGAAGTGCAGATGATGATGAAATGATGGAAGTAGAAGCAGCTGTAAAAGCAGCAATGTCTGTCTTCAGTAAAGAAGGTAGCAGTGCTGAAATAATTGCAGCTGCTAAAAGTGCAGCACAAGCTGCAACTACTGCTGAGAGGGAACAAACAAATCTACCAGTGAAATTAGATGAATTTGGTAGAGATATGAACCTTCAGAAACGTAGGGATATGAAAGGGAGGTCTGAGGCTCATCAACACAGGAAAAGAAGGTACGAATCTAAGAGACTGTCATCCATGGAAGTGGACAGTACCCATCGAACAATAGAAGGGGAATCAAGCACCGATGAGAGTGACAGTGAGAGTAATGCATACCACAAACACCGCCAGTTAGTACTCGAGACTGCTGCTCAAGTTTTCAGTGATGCAGCCGAGGAATATTCCAAACTTTCATTGGTCAAAGAAAGGTTTGAAGAATGGAAGAGAGACTATGCATCCAGCTACCGTGATGCTTACATGTCATTAAGTGCTCCTGCTATATTTTCTCCATATGTAAGGCTGGAGCTTGTAAAGTGGGATCCTCTCCGTGAAAAAACAGATTTTCTAAATATGAGCTGGTACTTGTTCATAAATTTGAAGTGCAAAATATTTCACACCTTCTAGACAGACTTGCTTCTCTTGTTGGGTGTAGCCTGCTTGGTTGCTTGGTTGAGGCATTAGCCATATTACATCTTTTATAAAAGAACACTGAAGCACACACTGTTGTAGTGCTGCTGCTTTGTTCCATCTTTCTAATAAGTTCTTTTCCCTGTTCAGGCATTCATTGTTAGCGGACTATAATTTACCGGAGGATGGAAGTGATTTTGCACCAGATGATGCTGATGCTAACCTTGTCCCTTATCTGGTGGAAAAGGTTGCATTACCCATTTTGCATCACCAAGTTGTTCACTGCTGGGACATTCTCAGTACACGAGAGACAAAGAATGCAGTTGCTGCCACAAGTGTGGTAACAGATTATGTTCCGCCTTCTAGTGAGGCTCTTGCAGATTTGTTGGTTGCTATTCGTACGCGTCTGGCTGATGCTGTCACTAATCTTACGGTATAACTTTTGGATTATCAAACTAAGTTTTAAGACATTTAAGCAGGCATATGGACTGTTATGTGGCTATTGACATATTTTTGCATTATGTATTTAATGTATGCAAGTAGTGTATTTATGTTTTATGCAATTGAAGTATTAATGCCATCTAACTTATGTTTTAATTATCTACCTGTCAACTCTAGATTGTAACTGAGTTGATATTGTTTCTTTTCTCTTTCTTTCATAATTTCCAATTTATAGGTCCCAACATGGAGCCCACTTGTATTGACAGCAGTGCCAAATGCGGCACGGATTGCAGCATATCGATTTGGTTTGTCTGTTCGTTTGATGAAAAACATCTGCTTGTGGAAAGAAATCCTCGCTTTTCCAGTTCTAGAGAAGCTTGCTATTGAGGAGCTCTTATGTGGCAAAGTTCTACCTCATGTTCGAAGCATTGCTGCAAATGTTCATGATGCAATTGCAAGAACTGAAAGGATTGTTGCTTCTCTATCTGGGGTGTGGGCCGGCTCAAATGTCACAGGGGACCGGTAGGTATTGCTAATGACAATAGTGTTTTAATAATATTGAATTTCCTGCCATTCAAAATATCCCCTGTTGCACTTTCAACTAACACAGTAAACTTCCTTGCATGAGTTTGCTTACTAATATTAGCTGTGCGAATGTTAAGGATGATGATCTGGCTCTGAAATAGTTACTTCTTTGTCCCATGTCTGTTATGCATACTTGACTTCAACTAATGATTTTAAGGATGTGATGTTTCAAGTTTAACCCCAGTTAATCTGGTGCTTGAAATTGGTAACAGATGTAGCCTTCTCCTTTCCTTCCATTCTCCTCCTCCCCTCACCTTGTTGAAGGTTGTCCCTACATTTGCATCCAGGGTATTGCAGAGGTTGACGAAAATTGTAACTAGTTGAGTTGAACATCACATTTATCATAGACCAACTCTACATTCCCTTTATAACATAGCAAACTTCTTTATTTAGAAGCCTTAGAACTGTCAAATCTAATTGTATTTTGTTAGTACGTCTGGCTTAAAATGTTGTTGCATCGTAAAACCCTCCCCCCTTTCCCCCTCTCTGCACCCTTCCCCGTCAGTTCCCTTTTCTGTAGGTTTTTTGTTTTTACCTTAAGTTTTATATTCCAACCACTAGATGAGTTATATAAACTGATATTTGTTTACTATATAATGCCTTTAACTGCATGTTCATTGCTCTCTACTCATTTTCCTTACATTGTGCAGCCGTAAGTTGCAATCGCTGGTGGATTATGTGCTCTCACTGGGAAGGACTCTGGAGAAGAAGCATTCGCTAGGTGTGACACAAAGTGAAACTAGTGGACTTGCCCGTAGATTGAAGAAAATGTTGGTTGACTTGAACGAGTATGACAAGGCTAGGGACATAACTAGGACCTTCAATCTTAAGGAGGCATTATGAATTGTTAGAAGCCTGAAGAGATTTCAAGAGAAGCACCCCCAAGAAAAAAAGTAAAAGGTCACGGCTACATTTTTGAGCTATCCGTCTAGAGAGGCACTTTGAGCAAACACCAGGTGCAAATCTTGGACCTAAATTTCAAGCAGACGCTTCTCTCCCGTGTTATCGGTGGACATACTATATATCAAGCATAGGAACGAGCCGTTCAAGCAGGCCCTTTTATTTGATAGTTGCCCCATTGGTAGATGTGTTTTATAGCATGAGTTCTAGGGGTTAGGTTTCTTAACATGAAAAGAAAAGGAAAACACTAAGTTCTTATTCAATTTCGTCCCACTCATAAGGGAATTAGGATGTGAATTTTTTTAGAGAAGCATTCTGTGAATTTTTGGGGATAAATTTCAAGTAGTTATTTCGCTTCTGCTTTTACCCTGATGGGATAGCAAAATTCGACCAAAATTTTTAGGCTGAGAAAGAGACGTTATATTTTGCCTAAAATTGAATTATAGGGCTTCTTGATTACGAATTCTTAACACCCACTTTGTAGGTAGTATTCTGAATTTGCACCTAATGCCGGTATGAAGCTTCACCGTCCATCGCTGGAAGCTCGCCGACAAAATCTCGGACAAAAGAACAGAAGTTGCTTTCAACAAAATCAAAGATTTCACGTATTATATGGCCGCAGTTATTTAGGTGGGTGGGTATGGAGGTGGTTGGGGAGAGTGGGGGCAATGTCTCAAAGATTTTACTCTCTGGCCGCAGTTATTTAGAGCATCTCCACCCCAAAAGGCAGGGGCAAGGCAAAGACAATGCAATGTTTGATACTATTCACGTGAATAGTGTCAGCCTTGTCATTTTTGGTTCCACCCCAAAGGGCAATGACAAACACTATTCACTTTACTTTATTTTCTATTTTTTCATACTTAACCATTAATTTTGATAAGCTTTTCAAATAATATTTTCAATTGCCACGTGTCACTATTTATTATAAAATTTTCACTTAAAATTTCATATAACATTTTCGGATAAAATTTTCGATTTAAATTTTCGGTTGCCACGTGTCCATCAAATTTCAGATCAGATTTTTGGATGAGATTCTCAATTGCCACGTGCCTTATTTCAAATAAGATTTTCGGATATTTATTATATAAAAAAATTATAATCTTAGATTTCAGATAATATTTTCACCAACTAAAATTGCGTCACGTGTCCCATGTTAGATAAGATTTTCATATATTTATTTAAATATTATAATCTCATATTTCAGATAAGATTTTCACCTGATAAAATTGCGCCACATGTCATCTCTATCTTCTAAATCCCTCTATAAAACTACACTCTCAACTCATACATCTCACACCATATCTTTTTCTATTCTTTCATCTCTCAAATTTTACAAAACACATGTCTAACATGAGGAGGGCGTTGGAGAGGCAAGAGCGAGAAGATGAAGAAATCAAGCACAGACGTGCTGAAGAAGATCATGACGCCGATGAAGAAGAGGAAGAAATGGTTGTAGCAGTGTGTATGCTCAATGAATCAAGGCAACACCACCATCGTTGTGGCTTGAATGTGGATGGACATAGGCAATCTCGGGGTAAGAATCTCTTGGAAGATTACTTTATCTCAAATTCGTTATATCATGTTTCTTATTTTCGAGAGAGATATAAAATGCAGCCTCATTTGTTCCAAAAATCATGCATGATATTTTTAATTACAACACATACTTCATTCAGAAGTATGATGTTGTTGGGGTTTTGGGTGATGTTATTGGGGTTTTGGGTCTTCTTCTGAAGCAAAAACTTATAATTGCTTTGCGGATGCTTGCTTATGGGGCATCTGCAGAGTAGGTGGATGAGATTGCGCATATGGGAAAATCAACTATCCTAGAGTGCTTGGTGAGATTCTGTGATGCAATAGAAAATCTGTACAAAAGGGAGTACCTTAGCAAACCTACGGCTAGGGACCTTCGAAGGCTTGTACAAAAAGCTGAGGCTCGAGGTTTCCCAGGAATGATTAGAAGCATCAATTGCATGCACTGACAGTGGAAGAATTGCTCAACTGTTTGGCAAGGAGATTATGGGAATCGAAAGGGCCAAAAAAGTATAATTCTGGAGGCCGTAGCTTCATTCGACACTTGGGTTTGGCATGCCTTCTTCGAAGTTGCTGGATCTTATAATGACCTCAATATGCTTGGTCAATATTTGGTGTTCAACGATGTATTGTGAGGTCATTCCCCACAGATCACATACCGAATCAACAATACTTTCTACTCGGGTGCGTACGATTCCGAATCCCCAATCCGAGAAGGAAAAAAGCTTTGCTGCCTTTCAAGAAGGTTATAGAAAAGACGTGGAAAGGTGTTTCGGTATCTTGTAAGTTCGTTGGGCAATTATTAGGGGTGTTGCTCGGATGCTTGATGAGGAGGTGTTGTGGAACATTATGATGACTTGCATCATCCTCCATAACATGATTGTGGAGGATGAGTATGATTATGATGTTTCAAAGGTGTTCGAACCCGATTCCATGAATACGGCGTTGACAAGAATTTATGAAAGGCCGATGAGACCAAATGGACAACCAATAGAGCACAAACTGTTAATTCGGGAAAGTCAAGATTAATGCTTTGTTTGGAATTATGCTTTATTTTGTGTGTGGTGTGTTTGGAATTATGCTTTGTTTTGTGTGTTGTTTGCAATAAATTAAGGTTTGTTTTTAATTAACTTTGTTTTGATGTGCAAATGTTTTTAAAAAATAGTCATATTATTTAATGCTTTCTTTATTGAATAAAAAGGAAACAATACAACAAATTAATACATATGGCAAATCTTTCAATACAACCTAATGGTTTTGATCATTTAACCAATATGTATTGCTAGATCCGTAGTCATGGAAAAGTTTTCTTCTCATCACACCCCTTCGTTTTAGCTTCCAATAGGACTTTGTTTCAGGAGACATATGGCTCATATCCATGGCCATGATTTTCATCTCTCTATCCTCCATGTTTTGTTCTTGTGTCTTTTGCCTTTAAATTACAAATGTTTCATGTCGTGCCTTGTTCGCTTCTTCTCTTTTCAAGTCTCTCAATTCTCAGTGCGTTGTTCTTAGCTATTTGCTCTAAAAATTGTGCACATTCATTGTTCAAAGTGCTCCCTCTCTTGGTCTTTGCCGTCTTTCTCCCAATAGGTCTCGGCACATGTGGGAGTGGTGAGTCTTGATCTATTGGGGAGTCCAATGGCGAATCGTGGAGCGGCATCTCATTCAACACAATCTGCGGACTGGTGGAAATAATTTTGAATCTCGAACAATTCTTCACAACTTCCCAACATTGTGCTTGTAGGATCTATTAAAAATAAATAATTGGAAATGCAAGAAAAAAAAAGAATATGCAAGAAAATATAAACAAATTGGAAATGCAAGAAATAAATTGATTATGGAAGAAAATATAAACAAATTGGAAATGCAAAAAAAATAAAATAAAATTGGAAATGCAAGAAAAAAAAATTACATTAAATTGAATAAAACAACAATTATAAATATTTTACCTTGTCAGAAAGATGTTGACCGCTTCGAATGTTGTCCCTTGCTTTTGCCAAGACATCTCTCCATTTCCCTAACTCTTTATTCAGAATTTTCCATCTACTAGCCAAGGTCATTTCAGTCCTAGGCGAATTTTTCATCTACTAGCCAAGGCCACTTCATCTCATTGCCCATGACAGGGCAATGACTAACTTTCACTCAACACTCACACAACACAATATCTTCCTGAGTTGTCCACGCGCCTCTGGCTTCGACAGAAGAGCCCATTTGTTTTTGGATACAAATGGAAAGTAGTAGAAAAATGTGAGTGGAAAGTAAAAAATATTAGAAGGAGAAGAGTTTGTATAAAGATTTGGTGTGGAAAGTGAATAAAATTGTTAGGTATTTATATGGAAAAAATCCAGAATGTTTTGGTTTTTTTTGCAATTTTTTAAGCCAAAAAAATCAAGGCCGTCAGATTTCTGGAAGAAAAAAAAATTCATCGCAGCGTCAAGGAAGAGCCACGTGGCGTTTTCCAGTTGGGTTTAGTCATGGTTGACGTCAGTGGTGATGTCATGCTGACATTAGTGCCTTCGGGCTTGAGCCCAGTCAAGAATTGCCCACGGGCTTGCCCGGGCTGGTTTCATTGCGCTGGAGGGGATTTTGGGCTCTCGGTGGGCCTGTTGCCAGAGGCGGCCCTGGCCCAAGGCGACCAGGGCTACACAGCCCAGGGCCCAAAGTTGAGAAGGGCACACAATTTTTTATTATAATTTTATAGCCCATATGTGTATATTAAAAGAAAAAAAAACAAGGAACCAAACCTTCAAAATTAGAAGGAGCCATTCCTGATATGGTGTGGTGGCATGTCACAAATCACTTTTTGATATTCTCAAGGAAATTTCCTTACATGGAAAACACAAAGTCAAATATATATTATATATTATATAATATAATAAAAGAAAAACAAAACATTGGGAAAATAAACAAAGATAAACCAACACGCCTTCTTCTTTTTCTTTTAATCAAAAAGCAAAAAGGCTCTCAAATGCAAGCAAATTTTTATTTTTATTTTTTGTGATTCTCTTCTTCTCCAACACTGAGTTGGAAAACAATCCTCCACAAGACCAGACCAGTGCCTTTCTTTCAAGGTTTTTTTTATTTATCAAATCTTTCAAGGTTCTTCCTTTTTTATAGATAGATATAGATGTATAAATTTTATAATACATTATACACATCTTTATTAACTTCTTTTTTCTTTATTATTTGATTCAACAAAAAACTTGGCAAATATTCTTGTTCTCTACAATTGGAAGTTTCAAGTTAAAGAAAAGATGCTCCAAATTCAAGTTATATTGTTATTTGTTAATTAGTTATTTGTTATTGTTTTGTGTTTATTATAAAAATCAAACTGCCACCTCCAGTTGGCGATCTACCTGGTGCCTTAATGACAGGTGTTCGAAACTCGTTGGAAGCACTTTGTGGCCATGGAAATCTCAAAAGACAAAAAAGAAAAAGAAGAAGAAATTTTTCCAAGTGTAAGAGGATCTATGAATAATTATTTTGTTAAAAAGACCAATGCTTCATTTGAAAATTTATCAAATGCATTTGAGCAGTGTTTAATTTTGATAAAAATTGTAATTTTAGTGTTTAATTTGTCTAAAGGAGCACACTTTCAAAATTTGCCCAGGGCCTTAGAAAACCCTGGACCGTCTCTGCCTGTTGCCAAGGTAGGCCCCTTGCATTGCACATGCTCTTAGGTGGGTTTAGGGTTTGCTTTTTTTATTTCCCCTTTCAATTGTATGTTATTTTATTGTGTTGTTTAATTAATTTATATTTTTTTTAGAAGTATTTAAATGTAAAGGATTTTTTTATTAACATTTTGTTCATCGTGGAGTGGGCTCCACTTTGCCATGTTGCCTACTCATATTGGTGGTAAATGATCAATGTGTAAGAAATTACAAATCACGTCATCAAACTTAACTGACTTTTGGATAGAGTTGATGACGGGGGGGCAAGGTGGGACACCAAACCTTGGTCAAAAGTGCAAAATATGTCATTTTAACTTTCAAGGGGCAACGGGGGACACCAAACCTTGATCAAGGGTGCAAAGTATGTCATTTTTAACTTTCAGGGAGCAAAGTGAGATTTGATCAAAGTTTCAGGGGGCACTACAATAAATAAGCCTTTAGAAAATTGAGATTGGTGGTGCATCATGTCTTGTCACGTCAGTTTATTTTAACCCTCACCATAAACATTTTAATTAGTAGGTGAGTGGCGGCCTTTAATTAGTATTGTCTTAGGATTGTTAATCACCACCTGCTCTTCCTAAAACGCAAGCACTTTTTTCTTCATTTTACCTCAACCATAAATTTTTACAACAAAAAACCATTTTCACGTGTATCTAGCAACCTAAATGAGGATTTTTTGTATTTATGTATATATATATATATATATATATATTCCAATAATGTCCCAATACGAATAGTAGGTGTTACATAGGTTCTAATAATTTAGGTTTATTTGTATTTCCAATACAATATGAATAATAGGTTCTAATATGTATATATGTATTGGGGAAAGCTAGCAACCTTCTCTCTAACATTCTCTTTTGGACATTCTCTCTTCTCTTCATGACATGTGTCACTTCTCTTTCACTTAAATCAATGTTTTTAATTTCAGAAAAAATATGAATTGTGTTTCCATATTTGTCCTTGATAAACTAGTTCAATTCTCCTGTTTCTTTTATCATCGTGGAAAACACAAAAACTAATTCTTAAAGATAAAACAAAAATCAGACAAAAAAATAAGGATGGAAATATGAAATTTAAAATAAATTAAATTAAATTAAAGTTCTGAACGCAGAAACAAAAAGAACTGAACTCAGAAAGTGAACAGCCACCAAAGCTCCACACCCAACCTCGTCTTCCACCACACCCCGGCGGCAGCAAACCCTCTTCTCCTTGACCATATCTGGATCGCTCTCATATAACCTTATGACCCAAAATATGTAATTGGAGGTAGAAAGCACGTATCAGATTTCCTTCAATTTGGTATAGTTTGGCGTTTTGGCAAACACATGTTAAGAGCAAAAGATGTCGTCTTGCTCCTAAACATCCATGGGTTATGCTATGTTCTCATCCCTTCTTCAACATACATCATTGCTTCTTAAGTCTAAGTGATTGGAAAGTTCATAAATTGCTTTTTAAGTCTAAATAATTTATCTTGTTTGATCTGGATCCATATCTAATGTGGGAAAGAGAGAGAAAAGGTGTTTCCGGAGGCGGGGAGGAAGGGGTTTGCCGGCATGGTTGTTTTTTTTTTTTTTTTTTTTTTTTTTTTTTTTTTTTTTTTTGGTGGGTGGGTTTTTTTTTTTTTTTTTTTTTGGTTATTTGTGTTTTCCATGTTGATAAAAGAAGGAATTGGACTGGTTTATTCAAGGGCAAATATGGAAACATAATTATTATTTTTTCTGTAATTAAAAACATTGATTTAAGTGAAAAAAGAAGTGAAATGTCATGAAGAGAAAAGAGAATGTTCAAAAGAGAAGGTTAGAGAAAATGTTGCTAGCATTCCCCCGTATGTATTTCCCTTCAGATTGTCTCCTTCTTTTTTTTGGGTTAATAATTGTGTCTTGTTCTTATATGTAGTCTAAACTTAATTATCAAGATTCCAGTTTCACATGCCAGATTCGAATGCTGATTATTCGAGTAATTAAAATATTTATTAGGATAAAGATAGTGGATTAGGATTTGGATTTGTATGCTGATTGGTTGAGCACACTTGAAATTTCTATTAATATAAATCTCTTCACGCTGATTATGGAGATTTGCTCCATACTAATTGGACAAGCTTCCCGCCGTTTCGCATATATTTAATCAGCTGCTTAGTCATTTTGATAATCACTTTCACCAAACGCTACCTGCTGTGTTAATATTCTAGCAATTTCTATCTGTCCTACCTCTCCCTACATGTCCAGATTCCCAGCTCATCAGATCTTCTGCAGATTGTAGACCTGCTGCCTTTCTTCTTCTTCTGCTCTCTTTCGTTTTCTTTATCCTTTTTCTTTCCTAACCCCTTACAGTAGAACAAGTAAAGTCCGTGTTTTTCTACTAATTAGGTAGAGCGAGTGACATTTAAAATTTCAAGTTGCTCTGTACTTTATCATGCATGGGGTCGGGGGTTCTATTCATTCATGAACTTAAAACTATGAATATTGTCAATACCAATTCAACAAGACAAATATGAACAGCTAATTCAAAGTGTGGTCTGCACTCATCCCTATGAAGCTTGTAAGATCCCGACAAGATCATGAATACTAATAAGCATTTGTGTTAGACCAGGACATATGCCATGCATGTGTCTGCATATGGAGAAGATATATATATACTGCCCTATTTCCAGTTCCGTTTGTATACAATTAAATTTGTCTATCTCTATCTTCTTCTGACTGTTCACATGATAAAAGAGATAGAAACGTGAATACACCTAAGAATCTCTTGGTTAAAATAAAGAATACATGCCATAGAAACGTGATTACACCTAAGAATCTCTTGGTTAAAACAAATAATAAGCATGTATAGATCATAGGATTGGTGCTTGCATATTGTTCTCATTGAACAAATAAATCTACAGCTAATCAGTTCAATAAAATCCATTATTTTGCTTCTAATTCACGTCGCGTGTTTGGTCAATTCACCATGTTAATTGATGAGCTCCTTCTCCATACCTTTTGCTGATAAAAGACAACCTGAACTTGAAACCTAACAAGGTTGAATTTTCATGTAATATAAATGCCGCCCAAGTGTCTAACCGTTTTCTTGTCTTGTTGGTCTTCCAAAGAAAAATAAGCATGATAGTTATAATTTCATACCTAACAAGGTTCAACTGTAACTTTGACGCACCCGTGCGTGAAGATGTGTAGGTGCTGATGATCATATGACTGCATCTGCATGCCCTTGGTTGTTGAAACTTGGAAGCTTCAAACCATTACTAATTAAATGACGTTGAATTTGTTTACACTATAATGATGACTAATTAGCCATTTAATCATTATGAAAAAAAGAAAAGAAGAGCTGAGACGTGTCACGTGGCAAAGGTGTGTGCTTTGTGCAGTACTAGTTTTGAGTTGTGTGCGTATTTAAATTAGGGGTCGTGTAAACCAATCAGACAAGTTTTTTTCTAGGGATATTTATAGAAATGTCACCTAAACTTATACCTTAGTTTCAATTTGTCACCTTAAAAAAAATTAAGAGAAATGTCACCTGAATTTTTCAAAATCTATAATTTGTCATCTGACTTTAACATCATTCAATTTTTCATCCATAATTAAGGGTATTTTAGTCTTTTCATTTTTAAGGGTGGTTTAAAAATGGAAAAATTATTATACAAAATTGTATATATATTTTAAAATAAACCATTAAAAATCAAGATTCTTTCCTAACAAACATTAAAAAAATTGAAAATTGCATTTTTTTTTTTCCATCTGGGGGTTGGTTGCAGGTGGGGATGGGGTGCTAAGGTCTTGGGGGAGAAAAAAAACAGAGGAGAGGGGAGTTGTGGTTGGGGAGGAAGGGAGAATAGAGAGAAACGATAGGGGGATGGAATAATCAATATATCGCGATATGAAACTAAAAAAGACAAGAAAAATGTTGAAAAGCCTCCCCTTGTCATCTGACTTTAACATCATTCAATTTTTCATCCATAATTAAGGGTATTTTAGTCTTTTCATTTTTAAGGGTGGTTTAAAAATGGAAAAATTATTATACAAAATTGTATATATATTTTAAAATAAACCATTAAAAATCAAGATTCTTTCCTAACAAACATTAAAAAATTGAAAATTGCATTTTTTTTTTCCATCTGGGGGTTGGTTGCAGGTGGGGATGGGGTGCTAAGGTCTTGGGGGAGAAAAAAAACAGAGGAGAGGGGAGTTGTGGTTGGGGAGGAAGGGAGAATAGAGAGAAACAATAGGGGGATGGAATAATCAATATATCGCGATATGAAACTAAAAAAGACAAGAAAAATGTTGAAAAGCCTCCCCATCTTGCACACAGAGGGATTCGAACCCACTCCCTTTCTCATCAAAGCCAGCGCCTTATCCAACTCAGCTGCAGCTGAGTTTTGTGTTTATACCTTCAACTTGTAATATTTATAAGGTCTTTAAAAATGTCTGCAAGCTAATATTATCTAAGATAAATTTCCATATTAAAAAAATTCCCTAAGAATAAATTTAAGCATAAATTTAATGTTATTTATTATTTTATAATGGAGTAGTATTTTTTTGTTGTTATATATTATGGAGTTTTATTATTATTCACTTCGAGTTTTAATATTGTTCATTATATGTGATACTAAGTTTTAATTTTAATAGGAATTATTTCTATGTGGTACTAAGTTACTCATACATTTTATCTTTGTTTTTTTGGTTAAGCTCATATATTTCATCATATGTATCAAGTGTAATATATTGAAGTACATTATTATAACTAAAAAATTATGGTGTGTTTAATTTTCTTTCATTAATTACTACATATTTTCTAAAGTCACAGTGTTTGTCAGGTCGCTACATAATTAACTTAACTCACTCAAACCCACCATGCCATGCATTTCCTTCGAATTTTTTGTGATAAAATAATAGACAATTGACTAAGTAAACATCATCTAAAGTTTCAATAAAAATTTCCAAGTTTTTCTCATAATTTCCGTGATTTTTATTCAATTTTTATCGACCTCGATATTTCCATCGATATATCCGTGTTTTTGGACCATCGATATTCCGAAACTCCCGATATTTTAGACCTTAGTTTGGATAAGTGAGAAAGCCCCACCTCTGTTGTTTCTATTATTAATCGGTACCTACACTAGTACACATGTTTGAAGAAAGGAAAACAATTGTCGGTAATGTGGCACTCAAATTGGAAGTGAATGTAAAATCTCAAAAAGGTCAAAACTTTACTCATTCAACGCAAACTCAAAGCCCTGGCAGACTTGTAGATGAGCTGATGAGCTAGCTGCCAACTTCCATTTTGGTTCCATTGTGGTTGTAGTTTTTGTATTTCATAATTTTAGTTTATTGATGATTTGGTAGTGACCTCTAACTCATGGCCCTTGTGGATTGTAAAATAAAAAGAATAGATACAGAAATTTAGGATCTACTTAGATGATCATTGTCCCTCCACGTTATCATTAATCAAATTTTTAGGTTACATGATCAACGTGATGTTTAAACAATTTTTGTTGAATTAGTGAAGTCACTTGATAGTCAAGGCTCTATCTTCCGGATCAAGCTATTGCAACGTACGTAATTAGCAGTATTTTGCTTGTATATGAAGGTATGGGGACTTTGAATTTGGTACGTAATTATTATAAGTGTGGGTTTTAAAGTTTATTAATTAATTTTAAGCATCTTTCTTGTGCTGTTCAAACTCCGTCCCTCTAGTCTTTCTATAATGCAAAACTTGTTACATGAACATGGTCAAGAGAGGAACTCATTTTTGGATTGTGATGATAACACCAATAATATAAAGGTTTCTTGATGTCAAATCTCCAGTGAATTTGGACTTGGAATATAATGATCCAAGATTAGACAATGGACATAAAAACAAATTTTTTGGAATCCAACTGGGAATTGTTTTAACCTTATAAACAAACAGTGCCTAAATTCAAAAGATGAAGAAACAGAGTCGGTTTTATATAGCTAAGCTATCAGTCAACGCATGGAAACAGAGCAGTTAGCTGCACTTCAAAACACTCGATCATGATCAGAGAAATACACCACCAAAATTTGTATGTTGAAGGGTAGCTGAAAATAAATTAGGGCCAGCCATGCCTTAATCCCTCATAGGTTCAATAAAAACAAATTCAAATCACCCCTACACGAAAATATATGGTAGGATATTACTCTCCTCTATATATAGAATCCCATATTTCTGACACTTGCACACCCAAATCGTGTCAGGCTTTAAGAAGTCAAATATCAATCAAAGGCCAGCCATTTTAAGTTACTTGGGAAAAAGACTTAAAATTTGAAAAGAAATAACAAAAGGGTGAAGGGCTATAGGAGCAGCCAGCAACCAGCAGCCAGCCATGACCGTGTCAACTTGTGTTTCTGCAGCCAAGAATGGCAGAATCTTCATTGTTGGTGCTACTGGTTTCATCGGGAGGTTTGTGGCTGAAGCTAGCCTTGATGCTGGCCAACCCACTTATGTTCTGGTCCGGCCAGGCCCTCTTGACCCTTCTAAGGCTGACATCATCAAAGCCCTCAAAGACAGAGGCGCTATAATCTTACACGTATGTGTATATGTCTGTGAATAAATATAGGTGTCTCTGTTTTTCTCTGTTTTTGCTTTCTGGGGTCTAATTTTTCTTGTTGATTCTGTAACATGTGTTTGTAATTTTGAGTATTTTCAGGGGGTGATTTCTGATAAGGCACTGATGGAGAAACTGCTAAGAGAGCATGAGATTGAGGTGGTAATATCAGCCGTGGGTGGTGGAACAATATTGGACCAGATCACCCTGGTTGAGGCCAGTCAAGCTGTTGGCACAATTAAGGTATATACATAGATAATAAAACCTTAAAAATGAATGTAACAAAATATGTCAATATGAATTTCATTTTCTCATGGTAATGCAACACAATTTGTGTTGCAGAGGTTTTTGCCGTCAGAGTTTGGGCACGATGTGGACAGGGCTGATCCGGTGGAACCAGGGCTCACCATGTACTTGGAGAAGCGCCAAGTCAGGCGGTGTGTTGAGAAATCTGGGGTGCCCTACACCTACATTTGCTGCAATTCCATTGCTTCTTGGCCCTACTTCGACAACAAGCATCCTTCTGAGGTTCTTCCACCGTTGGATCAGTTCCAAATCTACGGTGATGGCAGCGTTAAAGGTATGATACACATATTATTGGGTTTCTTTTGTTGGGTGGATCCACTTTTTCTGCGGCACGGATTCGTAAGCTTTATCATGTTTTGACTAATAAATAATATCGAAGAAGTCCCTTTTAATCCCCAAACACAGGGGAAAAATCGTTTGTTAATATTCTGATGGATAGATCAAGCACACGTGGCACTTTTGGTAATATTCTTAAAAAATTGTTTTTAGTTTCAAACACTAAATTTAAAGTAGCTGATTTTTTCACTCATCTTTTGACCACTTACACTCCTTTTTATTTTTTAATACTTTTTAATCATTTTTGTTCATTTTTGTTCTTTCTCTTCCCTATTCTACCTCACTCTAGATAACTGAAATTAAGAAAAGTTAACACAAAAAAAGGAAAAGTCCCAGCTATAAAAATAAAAAATAAAAAAATCCATGTACAATATTCTAGCAAACTAAACCATTTTAAACTTGTGTTTTAATTTTGTTATTAGGACAGATGAGAGGTGTTTCTCCATATATATCACTTTAAATAATTTTAATCAATACAATACTAGTTAAATACTTATTTATATGTATAAGAAATTATTATCGTGTGTGACACTAACACTAATTTATAATGCTTTTTTCAACAACAAAAAAAAATCAGAGTGATATTATTTATTTATTGAAAGTGATAAATTTATATGATGGGTCCAACAAAGCCTAAACTTGCACCATATGTTACAACGAAGAACTGTTTCTTTATTTTGTGATCAACGAATAGACTAGTGTCCACATCTTATAGAATTTTGCCACATTCATAAGAACGGAAACTGTTTACTTTTTGTTGATTTTTAGAAAAAGGTTCACTTTTTGTTGATTTTTAGAAAAAGGTTCACTTTTATAACATGTCCACATGTTCGGAACTCCTTCCCCAAAATCAGAATAATTTTTGGATGTTCTAGGTAAATCACGTACCATAGAACATGTCGAATATTTTTAATACAGTTAGTTACATATCATAAAAAGTAATGTAGTAAGTTATAGAATAGTTTCATATGTTTTATGTGTATTGGATTATACACCATATGATGTATTCGAAACACATAAAAATTTATCCCAAAATCAAGACTTTGTGCCCAATGGGCCATCCCATCCAAACTTTGGGTCACGCTCTACCCACATCACATAAATACTCCACACACATCTAAATTCTTTCACCGGCTGTCACCATCCTTTACCAACCAATCATATTTCTTGACATTGAATTATTATAGTCTGAATTATTGTAATGCACCAATAAAAAATACGAATTCGTATGTACGAATCGTCTTAATCAACTGACCTAATTATTATTTTATTTATTTATACACAGCCTACTTTATAGACGGCACTGATATTGGAAAGTTCACAATGAAAACGGTGGACGACATCCGAGCCATCAACAAAAATGTTCATTTTCGACCCCCTTCCAATATATCCGACGTCAATGGTCTGGCATCTCTGTGGGAGAAGAAAATTGGCCGCACCCTTCCCAGAGTTACCATCACTGAAGATGACCTACTAAACATTGCTGCAGGTCATTTCTGAATTTGGATTGTGATAAAAACTTTATCTTTTTTCTTGTTTTATGACATTAACGTTGTTATTTTTCGTTGTTGTTGCAGAGAACCGCATACCAGAAAGTATAGTGGCCTCATTCACTCACGATATCTTTATCAAAGGTTGCCAGGTCAATTTCCCCGTGGAGGGCCCTCACGATGTGGAGATTGGGGCCCTTTACCCAGGAGAATCTTTCAGGACCTTGGATGAGTGCTTTAATGACTTTCTTCTCAAATTGGAGGACAGGCTAGAGCTAGAGAAAAACAAAGTTTCCACCAAAACCACTGCAGTTGTTGAACCCAGGGCTGTCACAGCCACGTGTGCTTGATCTACCCATCACTCTCTGACACCCAAGAGACATTCATCTACTGTTTTATTTTTTTAAGGTTGGTCTTATTTCTCCTCCCCCTCTCTCCCCTCATAAAAAAAGGACATTACAAACTGTCCAACAATTTGGGAGTGACTATGTTAAATTAGCATGGAGGCTTACCATGTTGTCCGTCTTCCGAGACACATGCTAATTTGATTGTTTGGTTTCTAGAAAAGGAAACTGGATTTCCTCTGCAAAATTAAAGTATCCAGTTTGTTATGATTGTTTGATAATTCAATGTAATAGTATGTACCCTCATGTATGATCTTCAAGTTCAACCATGCTTTTTACTACGAGTTACCAAACTTTGTCTGTACTGTCATCTTTATTTTACTCCAATAATAAGAAATTGCCTATGGCATCTTTTCAATTTGTACTACCACTGTTATTTTCTTCACTAATGATTACCAAAAGTGAAAACATGAAGGAAACGAAATAACAAGTAACAAAAATTACCTACTTCATTGCAGGGCCTCATTTTTCTTATTTCTCTCCTCATGTCACTTATAAAGCACGAGAGAGAGATAGGAAGAATAAGGCAATGCAACATAGGTAAAAAAGCAATATAAATTCTTCAATAAGTATTTTATGTTAATAAATTGGTTGCATACTTTGGGAAATGCTAGAAACCTTCTCTTTTGTACATTCTCATTTCTTGTCATAACATGTGTCACTTTATTTACACTTAAAATAATGTCATTAATAATCAAATAAGTTAGTTTTTGTTTTCCAAATTTACTCTTATTAAATGAAATATTTAATTTAAATATATTGACTTCCCTAATTTCTTCAATTTAAAAAATATTTTCTCTCTCCATCTCACTCTTAATCCTCTCTCTATCCTTCCTCTACCTCCCCACTAATACCCAGCAATGACCCATGACCAGAACCCAGACAAGCATATGAAAGAAACCTACTTCCTCTACCCCTCATTACCACCAAACAACATCTCCCTTATCCCTACCCAACAGTCCCCCCACCTTCCCACCTCCTTCGCTTTCTCTGTTGTTTGTAATCGAACAAATTTTTTATTTTATTTCTCAAATCTCACCACCAAAGCACTATTTTCTATTTTTATTTGGTTTTGTTTATTAAAAAAAAAATGTTTGAACTTTCATGATTTGGGAAGCAAGGGGTATGTAGAGGTTAGAGAGACAAAAATCTTGGATTTTTTTTCTCATCGCACAAATGTGAGAGCGAGAGAGGTTGGGCTATGTCGTGGTTGGGTGGAGTGGCTTGGGATGGGGCTGTGAAAACTCAAAGGATTTTTGACTTTTTAGTTTCTGTCAAGGGCATATATGGAAATACAATTTAATATATTTTTTTAATTAAAAAAATTATTTTGAGTGAGAGAGAAGTGTCACATGTCATTAGGAAAAGGTAGAAGGTCCAAATGAGAAGGTTGCTACCATTTCCCTACATACTTTTAATCTTGACTATTGGATTGTATTCATTAATTATATTAGTATTCTCTTAAATGCAATCCAACAATTGAAATTAAAAGTATGTAACCAATCCCTAACTTAAATATTTATTGCAAAATCTCCAAAAGAAGCATCGTTCAATTTGCAGCCACAAACATGAACCCAAAACAACAACAAAATCTTGATAACCAAAATTTTTGACTTTCCAAATGGTCAATTTCTCATTCCTAAGTTGATAGATTGCAAACATACGATATGGACAAGAAAACATCAACCAACTCCAGTGTAGTCGGTGACTATAAGGGCACTTCCACCACAAGGACCTAGCCCGAGCAAGAGAGGGCATAGGCCTTGCCCAGCACACAACAACAAGCACGGGCAAAGCGTGGAGCCCACCAACCCAAGCAAGCCTACAAGTAGAAATGACTCGAGCTATTGCCTTGGGGTAGCTTAGGCCATCTCCAATCATGGCCATATGCCAAATATAGCCATAAATAATGCAAAACTCATCTCTAGTCATGGGGAAAAAAAATTTGGCCAAATTTAGAGGGCCACATTTGGCCCTTTAGCCCTCCAACTAGGCCAAATGTAGCCCAGCTTTGGCATAGGTAAAAAAAATTTGTGGGCCTAGCGGATGTGCTTTCCAAGAGAAGAAAGTATTATGCGTGAGCAAGTGCACGAAACATCTCATACAATTGTAGATCCAACAACCAATATTAAGGGTGCGTTAACATCATTGATGACGTCAGCTAGCCGTTAGGTTTTTATTTTTATTCTTAATAACCTTTAAAAAAAAATTAAATTTGTTTTGTTTTAAAAATATATATATATATATATATATAATTGGTTTCTGACTGGAGAAAGATGGCCTTACATCATCACTGACACCACAAACATCAATTATATCTTATTAAATAACTAATCTTTGCCTATATTCAAACCCAAAATTCTATAAATAAAAAAATTTGAATAGATTCAGAGTATGCAATGTGGCGTAAAAAAAAACCCCATTTTAAGTTATACGAAACAAAATTTACCGACATGATAATGTTCTCTCATTTTCTTCATATAATGGTGCTATTATTACAGTTCCTATTACTACACACGCCAACATTAAAAATAAAAAATAAAACTGACGTCAGCGCAACTTTACCCAACGGCTCTAAGTCACATGGTGACTCCTAGAGGGTCTAATCCAAAGTTTGTGCTCCAATCCAATGGCTGCCAATTTTTTGACTAAAAAAATTGAAAAAATCAAAATCAAAATTTTTTGTTAAAAAAAAACCAAAGAATTATGAATTTTTTTTCTATAAATACTTACCAAAATTTTAAAACTTGATTTTTTTCCGTTAAAAAATAAATATATAAGTGAATAGTATTTGCCATTTACCATAGCAATGGAAGGAAACACACGAAGCCTTTGTAAGGGTTGACATTATTCACATGAATAGTAACAACCCTTATTTTTGCACATTTCAATAAGTATTTTATGTTAATAATTGGTTGCATACTTTTGGGAATGCTAGAAACCTTCTCTTTTGCACATTCTCCATTCTTGTCATGGCATGTGTCACTTTATTTACACTTAAAATAATGTCATTAATAATTAAATAAGTTAGTTTTTGTTTTCCAAATTTACCCTTATTAAATGAAATATTTAATTTAAATATATTGACTTCCCAAATTTCTTCAATTTCAAAAATATTTTCTCTCTCCATCTCACTCTTAATCCTCTCTCTATCCTTCCTCTACCTCCCCGCTAATACCCAGCAATGACCCATGACCAGAACCCAAACAAGCATATGAAAGAAACCTACTTCCTCTACCCCTCATTACCACCAAACAACATCTCCCTTATCCCTACCCAACAGTCCCCCACCTTCCCACCTCCTTTGCTTTCTCTGTTGTTTGTAATCGAACAAATTTTTTATTTTATTTCTCAAATCTCACCACCAAAGCACTAATTTCTATTTTTATTTGGTTTTGTTTAAAAAAAAAAAAAAAAAAAAATATTGAACTTTCATTGATTTGGGAAGCAAGGGGTATGTAGAGGTTAGAGAGAGACAAAAATCTTGGATTTTTTTTCTCATCGCACAAATGTGAGAGCGATAGAGGTTGGGCTATGTCGTGGTTGGGTGGAGTGGCTTGGGATGGGGCTGTGAAAACTCAAAGGATTTTTGACTTTTTAGTTTCTGTCAAGGGCATATATGGAAATACAATTTAATATTTTTTTTTAATTAAAAAAATTATTTTGAGTGAGAGAGAAGTGTCACATGTCATTATGAAAAGGTAGAAGGTCCAAATGAGAAGGTTGCTACCATTTCCCTACATACTTTTAATCTTGACTATTGGATTGTATTCATTAATTATAGGGAGTTTCACTAAAACACCCAAAATGGAGGTTGAAATTATAAAAAAAACCCAACACCCAAAACACTTTATAAACACACCCAAAACCCATCATTACACACACTCAAAACCCATTTATAAACACACCCAAAAAGTTGACTCTGGGGTTGATTTTGGGTGTGTTTCTATGTTTAAATAGTGCTTGGGTTTTTTTATAAATACATGTCCAGGATTGGGTTTATTTGAAATTAAAAGTATGTAACCAATCCCTAACTTAAATATTTATTGCAAAATCTCCAAAAGAAGCATCGTTCAATTTGCAGCCACAAACAAACCCAAAAAAAAAAAAAAAAAAAAAAAAAAAAAAAAAAAAAAAAACACCCAACCCACAAAAAATTTTTTTTTTTTTGTGTTTCAATCTCAATTTCTTTCTTTTATTTGATTAGATTTGAAACATACGATATGGACAAGAAAACATCAACCAACTTCAGTGTAGTCGGTGACTATAAGGGCACTTCCACCACAAGGACCTAGCCCGAGCAGGAGAGGGCTTAGGCCTTGCCCAGCACACAACAACAAGCACGGGCAAAGCGTGGAGCCCACCAACCCAAGCAAGCCTACAAGTAGAAATGACTCGAGCTGCTGCCTTGGGGTAGCTTAGGCCATCTCTAATTATGGCCATATGCCAAATATAGCCATAAATAATGCAAAACTCATCTCTAGCCATGGGGAAAAAAAATTTGGCCAAATTTAGAGGGCCGCATTTGGCATAGGTCAAAAAAATTTGTGGGCCTAGCGGATGTGCTTTCCAAGAGAAGAAAGTATCATGCGTGGGCAAGTGCACGAAACATCTCGTACAACTGTAGATCCAACAACCAATATTAAGGGTGCGTTGACATCATTGATGACGTCAGCTAGCCGTTAGGTTTTTATTTTTATTCTTAATAACCTTTAAAAAAAATTTAAATTTGTTTTGTTTTTAAAATATATATATATATAATTGGTTTCTAACTGGAGATGGCCTTACAACATCACTGACGCCACAAACATCAATTATATCTTATTAAATACCTAATCTTTGCCTATATTCAAACCCAAAATTCTATAAATAAAAAAATTTGAATAGATTCATAGTATGCAATGTGGCGTAAAAAAAACCACATTTTAAGTTATACGAAACAAAATTTACCGACATGATAATGTTCTCTCATTTTCTTCATATAATGGTGCTATTATTACAATTCCTATTATTACACACGCCAACATTAAAAATAAAAAATAAAACTGACGTCAGCGCAACTTTACCCAACGGCTCTAAGTCACATGGTGACTCCTAGAGGGTCCAATCCAAAGTTTGTGCTCCAATTCAATGGCTGTCAATTTTTTGACTAAAAAAATTGAAAAAATCAAAATCAAAATTTTTTTTGTAAAAAAAAAAAAAAAAAAAAAAAAAATATGAATTATTTTTTTCTATAAATACTTACCAAAATTTTAAAACTTGATTTTTTTCCGTTAAAAAATAAATATATAAGTGAATAGTATTTGCCATTTACCATAGCAATGGAAGGAAACACACGAAGCCTTTGTAAGGGTTGACATTATTCACGTGAATAGTAACAACTCTTATTTTTGCACATTTCCATCTATGCATCGTCAATTTATCGAAAATTTCCTAGATAATTTCCAGATCTTAAACTCACGCGCATAGGAGTTCGAACCCCTCCTCCTTCCAAGATCTATAGTCATTTAACCACCACGCTAGTCATCACTTTGTGATTAGTACCTATGGAATCTCGTATTACGCTAGTCATCACTTTCTCAAAATATAAATTAACATAATTACTTATTGTTTTATATTGTTGCTCAGTTACTTAATTACTTAATATAATTTCTTTCTTTCATATTTAATCCATTTAATGTTATTCATTATTTTATTATTCATTATAAGTACTTACATCATTAAATTCCCCTTCAAATTGTTGCTTAATTACTTAAATCTCTATAATCATTTTCTTTATTTCCTATTTAATTCTTCCTTAGATAAATTTATTTATGTTCTTAGTTAATTTTCAATCTTCACTATTATTTTTTAAGCATGGTAAAATGCCTAATTTTCATGACAAATCAAGTTGGTTTACATATTTATTTATTTATTTATTTATTATAAATAATAAATATAAGAACGTGTACCATGTCCAATGAAATAAGATTACTTATGTATCTTACCATGCAATTTATAAAGTGTAAAATATTATGCTAAAAAATAATAAATAAATTACTAGGAAGTGTTTAATTCTCTTTCATTAATTACTCTAGATTTTCTAAGTCGCGAAATTTGTCAGCTCGCAATATAATCAACTTATATCACTCAAACCCACTATGCAATGCATTTCCTTCTAATTTTTTGTGTCGAAATAATAGATGATTGACTAAATAAACTTCTTCTAAAGTTTCATTAAAAAATTCCATGTATTTATTACAATTTCCGAGGTTTTTATCCAATTTTTATCGATATCGATATTTTTCCGATATTTCCGTGTTTTTGAACCACCGATATTTCCGAAACCCTCGATATTTAAGACCTTGGGTTGAAGCGCTCAAAGAGGGTGTATATACAATTCTTTGGCACGATGCTACAAGATAATGACATCAACAAAGAAAACAAATTTTTCCAGCTTCCAACTGCTTGATATACAACCTAAAATCACAAGCAACTTTAGAGTTCCGGAACTGCTGGTCTTCTTGCTTTACACATGATATATGGGCAGTCGATGTTCAATGGAGACGCGGCATATGGGGCACTTTTTACACTTCGCACAGCAAGTGCTGAAATTCATTTAGAATTATGATTAAGACGAATAAAATCACTGTAAATTGTTACGATGAAATGGTGAAAACAAGTTAGGTGTGAAAGGTATATGAAGGTACCTGCAAAGAACATGATGCCTGCATGGAAGGAGGACTATATTAATCTGCTCCTCAAAGCATACTCGACATAAAATCTTTTCCTGTTGGATTCAATTGAAACAGGTAAGCCCCAAACTAGATCCTCACACTGGAACAAGAATAGTGGCACAAACTATGGATAATATTCAATTTGATTTCTTCTAGAATACTCCATTCCATACTGAGTCTTCAGTTTGAAAATATTAACTTGCTTTATCTAAGCAATTGTTATGCAAGTAAAGTTGAGTAATACAGGAAAATAAAAAATTTAGAATACTCTTTTGTGTCAAGAACAGCAACAAATACCCAAGGAAAATAACCGAATTAGGGAACAAAAGAACTTTTTGAGGTATATTGACCTGTTCTGTAGTTAGAGAGATGTCACCTTCTCTACAAGAAACAATCAGAACTGATGAGTGATTCTACTTCTTGTTATTGCCAGAGGGATTGGACAGGATTCATCTTACTACTGGAACTACAGGTCTGTGCAGACCTTGTACTCATAAATTCTCTACTCCACCAGCAGAACTCACTGGTTTTTAGTTAAATGACATTTCACTCTTGAGCTTCTTGAGTATAATGATTCTTGAAAGCTAAATCAATAGGTTATAAAGAGAACCACTAAAGGTAGGAACAAGATTATTCAAGATGCAATGGAGACTGGCTCATGACTGGAGAAGTGGCGAAAAGAATTTATGTTCACGACTCTATCACAGAAGGAATCATGTAGCTAACCCAATTGTTTGATGTGGTTGACTTGAGTTGTTAGGAACGAAATTTATGAAATCAACAGGAAAATATTCATATACTCATTATGTGGAAAACAACAGGTCATTTGAACCATTACATTCTGAAGTCTTTCATACTCCTGCTGGCTAAATTTCGTGATTTCTGTTTGCTCACTGAGTGCAGCTTGCAGTTTCCAAATCTGAGATAGGAAAACAGAAATATTATAAGCTGATATTACATGTCTCAAATATCAATTAGATAGTAAAAGAATGCTGAAACCAAGACAAATGGTTCAATTAAGAGGCAACCATGACCCAATAGAATCAGAAATAGTGTTCACCTCCTGAACAAGGTCCGATCTAGGCAACTTCTTCACTATATCAGGTGAAAAAGTGTCATACCTGAAAGAAGGATCAGAGCAAGGATTGACAATGATAACTTTGTATTATTTTGCAAGATACGTCTATTTTCATGCAATTTAACAGATATCTATCTATGCAACAGCACCTACAAGAAAGCCATGTAGGCAAGTTGCAACACATCCCAACAATGTTTCTATTTCAGAAAACATGTACGAAAGCATATTCATGCATTAACGAACATTGTAGAAATTCAGGGAATTGCAACAACACAAAGCTTAAAATATTTGTATTTCCAGTTATAAAGTGTGCAATGTATTACATGCATTGCAAATCAAGCATTATATTCACCACATGAGAACGCACCATAGTGCAGCATCTATCCAACATTTTGAGGTACTTAGAACTTCTAATTGAGAGAATACAAGGACTCTTTAATATTGTTTCAATAAGAAAGCAGGAGGCATGGAAGAAGATTGCCTAAATATTGCAGAAAATGAATGCAGTTATGAAGAGTAAGGGAATCACAGACCCTGAAGCCCCTGCACAATACAGTCTAGCCTGTTCCTCTCGACTTCCTTCGTCAATCGACCACCAACCCAAAAACCTGCCAACAGGAAGATTTAACCAACAATGACTACATAGTAACTTGAATTTTGTTTAAAGTTTGTGTTGAGTAGAGATCTCTAAAGATCATTTGAAAGCTCTATTTCTAAAAATAAGTCCTTACCTTGAACCATGGCGAAAGAACCCAAAATACTCACGAACTTTTGATGTTATGTCCAAGTATCTTCCAGAAAAAACTCCATTATGTACTAAAAGAAGAATTTTCTCTGTTAATCTATATGCAGCAAATAAAACACCGGCTCCTTGCAGTAAAAGAAGAGGAGTGAAAAGAACAGGAATTGAGATATGCCTAGCAACAGAGGGTCTTCCCTGAAATGATAAATGTACTTAAGATGATGACTTGTTGAGAACACTCCAAAACTATCAACAGATAGATCTTTTAAACATTGAACACACCTCTAAGTGCATAAAGAGTAGGATCTGGAAACAGATTAGAGGAATTTTCATAATATGTCCACCAATATCCTGCAGGCTGCATACTGCACTCTCGTCTTGATCTTCATCTGAAGAAACTACTAAGCCACTATTCCAGTCAAGGTATCTTATAGTCATTGAAGGTGAACATGGTTCTTGAATGTGAGCATGTCTGTGAATAGCTGGATTATACCACTTTGTGCAAACAAGAAAGGCAAAACACTCTGCAATTCTGTAAAAGGATATATAGAAGCTACTTCAGGAGGTTAAGACAAAGAATACTAAACATTAATAGTCAAACATCATTGTAAACACAAATGTAACAGTACCCAAAGTTAATAAACAAGTCCCACCAGCCTAAAACAGAAATATCACCTGCACGTTGAATAAAGTTAATCAGGCCAGGAAATATTGTAAGAGACGAATGCATATCATTGCAATACGTGCCATTAAATACAAGTACAAAACTAGAGAACCAAAACTTACCATTTATCTTTAGAAGAGTAAATATTGTGGCAGCAGTAAGGAAGACCATGGATATAGAGATCCAGAAGTGCTGGAAAACCAAAGATTGGTAATTTAGCATAGAAAGTATAAAGGAGTTTATAGCCATAATTTTTTTTCCATAAATACTACATAGGCAAGGAAAATATCACACAACAATTACCATCTTTAAATTCACTACATGTACAGATAATGCAAATTTCATTACCCATCACACATATTATTAGAGGGTGAAAAGATCTTAACTGCCATTAATATTTCTTTCTTTCTCAAAAACAGATTTAATTATCACTTTTCAGCATGCCACATAATTTCATGTTTAGATTTTTTCCAGCTTACAATATAAACAGAAGTTACTGGTAAAATAACCGCAATCCTCTTAGTCACAAACAACTAGGTGACCAGAACAAACAGATGAAGCAAACATTTCAATTCATAATCAAGAATTGAATTCATTTAAGCCTAATAACAATAAGAAATACCTATTCCAACTCAATCCTTCTATAATAAAATAGTGGCAAACTTACAGGAAGCGTTTCCCATATCACATCATCACTCACATGCTCATCATCACTAGGCATTAGAGCCTTACACATCCTATACAACAGAAACATTAATTACTTAAGCTGAAGTACAATTTACTCAACCAAAACATTACATTGTAAAATACAAGATACATAGCCTTATAGAACAACTTAAGTAACGCGAATTTTCAGATCAAGTGAAGGTTAAGATTTGGCGATAGAATCAGAAGTCATAGAATAAAATTTTGGTGAAGTTTTACGATAATTCATTAATCTACGATCTGGATGTCTCAATGGATTTTATCGGGACTCTGCTCCAGATTGTCATAAAGCAGGTCCAATTACTATTACAGGGTTGAAACTAGTCAAAAAGTAGTATCGGGAGGGGGGTGAACCTGAAAAATAAAACTTATTGAAGCAAATATAGACACCTGATATTATCAAATAGAATTGCGAGTTCCAACGCCACCAAAGGTGCAAAGACAATCTTCAAGCTTACAACTGTTCACAAAAATAGGAATTAGTGACACATCTGATAATCCATTTATCTACATACCAAAATGTATAAATGTTTAAAGAAAAGAAACATGGTTTTAATGATGATTGTCATTTAGTATGTTGCCTCTATACCATATCTGCTCTCAAGATAGATACAAAGCATTAGTTCAAATGCGACAAGCAACGGTGTCGCCATGACAGCATGAAAAGGTGCCCACTGTCCATAAGAAAGAAATATTTACTGTTTTGTAAATAGGATCGTCCACAAAAACATTACAACACAGATACGTGGGAAACATGAAAAATCCAAAAAAGAAAAAAAAATTGGAAATAGTATCTCATACGTTGCGATCATTAGGCAGCTTTGGAGCAGGTAACGAAAATCTGCCTCGTGCTACAACTGCATGGAAAAGCCACAGAGGGGAAAATATGATCCTGCAGTTTTAAGACAACAAAACATTATACATTAAACCAATATCGAAAACATCAGTTGATGTAGTAGACAAATCAGAGGAATCATTCGGAAGCATTGGGTTTCTTTTTTCTTTTTAAGGAAAGTTATGCTTCACCAAAGAGGTTTGGAACCCTCAATACGATTACAGCTACAAAACCTAAACTATCAGGCAGCTTTCTTGCATGAGATGACTTTAAATGGTTCTTTCTACAATCTTCACTGCTCAGCTACAACCATGAATAAATGAATGGCTTAGACCTTGGTAAGTTCGTGGTGAACAGGTATGTTTTCAACTCTGTTTTTAAAGGTTTGGTAGTGCATTGGTCAGTTTGAATTATCTTGCAAAAATGGCTTCATTGAGTTATGAAATCTCCAAACCAAAATCATATAGTGCACGTAGGAATTTGAAACAGTAAGCATAAGAAAACCTAACTAAAAACATAAAAATCAAAGATCACTTTATGCTCAATGAAGCAGCAACCCTCCATGATCACTGAAAATGCATATCCAATACAATAAATATTAAATTGCCAATCAGAACACAAAAAAAATATTTTACTCGAAAATTGAGTGTGATTCTCAGCAATTAACTCCATAAGACACCTAGAAATACAGAAATTTGAACCCACAAAGGTAAAAACTTCATAAACTCGCAAAATAGGCACCTTTAGTTTCCCAGAACAATGCAGTACAAGAAGAGAAACTACAGTATGTAACACTCTCCCTCGCGGAATTAAATGCTTATGAAAATTCCATTTTTTTTCCCTTTATTTTCTTTCAGTTTCTCGGCAACCAAACAAAAACAACACACAAAAAAGGAAAAAGCAGAGGGAAAAGAAAATTACGAACCACCAATGGTACCGCACGGCATGGTGGAGTTTAAGGACGAGGAAAATCGTGAATGTGAAAAGCGAGGCATGGGCAAGAAGAGGTTGCAGAGACTTGGCCACCGACCTCCACGTCATCACTCTCCGCGGAACCAACATTTCCAGAAAGTATTTGTGCGCAGAAATTGAGCCTCTCTTTCTCTATCTCTTCTATCTACAGAGAAGGGATTTACAGGGACTGTACGGAAACAAACAGTAGAGAGGGCGAGGAGCGAAGAGGAAGAAGAAACAGAAGCTGTCGAAGGTTTTAAACTTTTGAGAGAAAAAGACACAAAAGGAGACTTCTTCTTCGAGGTGGTCTGGTGTGTATAAGGTATAAGCGTTTTTTGTTTTGTTTTTTATTTCCTCCTTCACTTCACTTTCACGCGAAGAGCCAAGCGGCCCAAGTCGTTTGCTTACGACAGACAACTGTTGTGGACGAAACTACCCTCGCATTTGTGTGTAACGAGACCAGGGAAGGATGGGCTGAAATTGTCCGCGTGGAATAAAGGGGAGAAAAACGATATACCTATTCTATAAGTAATGCTTCACAAAATCATATACCAGGCCGTGAGTAATTTTCAGTCGTTGATGCTCGTGAATCTCATAACACTCTTAGAGCATCTTCAAGGGAGATGTCAAATACCAAATATCAAATTTAAATTTGATGGCTGATGTGACAATTTGACATATTATAAAACTCTTTATCCAACCAAGATGTCAAATATACATTTTATTTTATTATTTTTAAAGGCAGGTAGGCCCGATATTTAAGAGTAAAATATTGAATAGAGTTAAGAACTATACATGGAAGAGGAGAGAAGAAAGTGGGCTCAGCATTAAAATAATAATAAAAAATAAAAAGACATCTCAACATCTTGGCGTCAATTTTGATAGCAAAAGTGAAGGATGTCAATCCAAGTAGGATTTGACATCATGGTTGGAAGGCTTAAAATGTCTTTTTTTTTGGGTTAAAACTTGCCATGTTAGAATTGGCATTTCGGTTGGAGATGCTCTTAACATACAAGAGTAACTCTGTCACCTCTATGTTCTTCTATTAATAGCATTGGGGAGACTAGAAATTAAGGTTTAGTGACGTAAAGTACTTATAAAGCAATACATATTTGTAATTGGATATTTATGAGTTTTTGGGTTGATGGTTTAAAGCGGATAAGATCTGAGAGTGAGGTGGTATTGGAAGTACAGATGGCAGGCACAGCTGCGGTTCTTTTGATTGGTGCATTAGCATTTTGATTGCAGCATCTACTTTAACCAATTGTTTATCGTGTCCGAATCAATTTATAATTGAGTGGTCAAATCCAGTTTTCTTTTTCTTTTTCTTTTTCTTTTAAGAACACAACTTTATTTTTGTTGTCGTTGAACAAGAATAGTTAAATGAAAGAATGTATCAGATTCATTTCCGTCTATGACTATGAATATATTTAAGAGATAATAACCAAAAAAGATGAGGTTTTTTCCTTAACAAACTTCAATCCCTTTCACACCATAAACGAATATCTGTGCGAGAAAAAAAGAGAAAATTGTTATTAAAGTTTACCAAAAAAAAAATCATCATATACTTTTTTACTATATTTTTTTCTACAACAAAGTGGAATGCAAAATAATATTTTTGAAGTGTCAATAACAATTTTTTTTAAGGGAACAAAGCCCAACAAAACACAAAAATTACCCAACAAGGTCAAAAACATAAGAAACAACAGAAGGATGGGGTTGTCGAAGAACATATACCACCCGAGTCATTCTATGGTGAGGGCTTTATGAGGCTCTATTTTTTAATTGTTAGATCAAACTAGCCAATTTAATCAAATGACTAACCAATTTAAAAACGATTAAAAAATAGAGTCTATTTTATGGGCCTTATATAAAATTCTACCATACGACCCAGCTTCACCTACATAGTTAAAAAAACTCAGTTATCTGTTGAACAGTCAAAAAATATATTAAAAATTGAAGCATTCATTTCCGTGATCCATTCCATCTCACGAAATTTAGGTTTCATGTTTGATAATCTGCTATTCTTAAGGATTGGGCCTACGAGGAAGCTTCCTCACACGCCCCACTATACGAACTCGGAAGAGACAAGGTTGGGCTGTTTTTAGACAAATTACCAAACATATTATTATTATATACTAGTATATTTGCATGCGATTCTACATTTGCGATAGGTTTTTTCTAAAATAAATTTAAATTTATTTTAGAATTAAAAAAGATAATGGGTAGTTATAACTTATGTTCCATAAAAATAAGATATATTATCTGATTTTAATTTTAATTTTAATTTTTTTAATATAAAAAATATAAATTTACCATATTATCATCATTTAATTAATAATTTCAATTCTTAATGTTTGCATTTTCTAGTATTTTGAATGTTTTACCATTCTCTGCCTTTTGCTTTATATATATAGATAGAGTACTCATATTGTATTTCCAAAAAAAAAAAAAAAAAAAATATAAAAAATATGTAAAAATACTAAATACAAAGTAAGCAATTAATGTTTGCATGCACCTAATTTATATATAGATATGTAGTTCATATGATGAAAAGCTAAAATAAAATAAAAAAATATGTGGTTTTATTTTCTAAGAGCATATGCATTTATCCAAGAAAAGAAAAGGGGTTGGAGTCGTATTTGCAATTAAGTAAAACGAGATTCGAATTAAAATACAAAAGAAGGCAAAAGGAAAACAAATTCATTTTAAATAAACATGCCTATTGATTGCAGACTGGCCATTGCCAAGTTTAGAATTTTGCTTCCGTCACATACTCGTCAATAAACACGTCAGCGTGTTTTCAGCAGTCGAATAAAATATTGGATGAGGTTGACCCGAAGGTCAAGGGCTTTAAGCAGCCCAGCCCAGCATGAGCGCAAAGCCAAGCCTTCTAACGTCCTTTATTATTATTATTATTATTATTTTAATTTAAGTATTTTTCTCACTTAAAATTAAAATGAATCTAAACTTGCGTCTTTGTAAGGTTGTGAAAGATTTTGGCAAATTGCGAATTGCGAGTGCAGCCAAAAGTTTTGTTTTGGATTTGTTCATTCGTCAATATCGTTTTTATGAACAAAAAGATTCACAAAGTCCTCATTATTTTGGGGTGCTATCGAACTAATAACATTGCATGCAATGACGTTGTCATAACAGTTTGTATTATCCCAGTCAAATTGTCCTTCGAATGCTGCTTTTTCCGAGTAAAACAAGTCATGGAAACCCAACTAACGTGAAAAGTGTGTTTATTTTATGTCACGGGAACATCAAATTAATGGAAACCCAAATGACGCTTCACATAACCGAGTAAAAGAATCATGCAGATGCACATATTCACACAAAGAATAACGCATACATGATATACATGCATTAATTTCCTTTTTAAGATCCTCTTGCTCTTGCTTTTTCTTTTTAAGCTCCTCACACAAAGAAAATAGAAAATTATACATGGACCGTTCACATTTTCTTTTTGCATGAACTACATATATATATATATATATATATTAGGTGCATATCTAATTACAGCTTTTCGACCTGCAAATTGCATCTCCTTTAACCAACACCACTGCAGTAACTGTCGGGTAATGCATCGTAAACCCTTGATTTTCTTTTTCTTTTTCTATATATTTTCAAGTATAAATTCATTACAAATAATAATTAAATTGCAGCATAAAATGAATAAAAGAAAAAGAAAAAAAAAAAGAGCAAGAAGATATTTTCTATATGCAATGCAGGTTCTTACAGACATTACATTGCATCATATGTAGCATATATACGTACCAATTACCAAGCACATATGTAAAACTCCAAAAAATGACAAAAACAAAGAGGACGAGAGAGGCAACAAAAGGTGAAATACAAAAAGCATATATTTATGTAGTAGAATATGTACATACAGGTAGCTCTGATGAAACTGAAACATGCATGCCTCGCTCTCTCGCTCGTTAGGGTTTTGAGGGATTTTCTTTTTCACCAGAAAAAAAACTCTGCACGTACGAATTGTAGTAAGAGAGTGGTACCTGCTCTGAGTCTGAGTGAGTGGTGGCCAATGTGTTGTGCGGACGACATTAATTACGTACCATATGACAAAACTACGTCGTCACTACATAGTTCCACCAGTACACTATAACTAGTCTGATCAATTCTCTGATTAGATAGAGAGTGATCAACAAAACTCGTGGAAAAAAACAAAAACACCACTGCAACTTTGAGTTCAAACCGGATCAAATCAAAACAGCAACACGCCATCATGCATTTTGGTTTCTATCTTTGGATTTTATATAAGGTTTCTCTCCCCACGAAAAAGATACTTCACTGTTTTTTCCCTTCCTAAATAACAAACCAAGCTCATCCACACTCTCTCTCTCTCTCTCTCTCTCTCACATCTATTTTTTTGGAGCAATGCAGGTAGTACACAAACCACACCATCATTACCCATTTGTTCACTCACGGAAATACACCACACCAAACACGCAACCAAGAAAAGAAAAGAAAACCCAAAACCCCACTAAGAAAATAAAAACAAAAAGAGAAAAAACAACAAGAAGAAGAAGATTAATTAACTAGCCTTGATAATAATAGCTGGTTAAAGAGACCTGTCTGTGTTTCAGTTAAGGATATTGATGTTATTAGTCCTTTGCCTCTTAACACTCCCAGAAGAAGACTGCTCATGTTCCCCACCTGTCTTCTCCATCACAGCCTTAAGCGCTTCTTCAATCGAACTGATACAATATTGCTGCTGCTGATGCTGATGTGGCATTTGATGCTGCTGCTCTTGCTCCCCTCCGCTGCTGCTCGAGTCTTCTTCCCCGGTGATGAACAGCACGTTCTTCACACGTCCCCCCAGCGTTGTGATCTCAGCTTTCAGTGTTCTCAAGCGCAAGGCCTTCAGTGTCTTGATGAGGTCGGGCAAGAGATCTGAACGGTCTTCGCAGCACAGCGAGGCTTTTATCACAAATTTCCCGTCCTCGTCCGACGCATCGTCGACTATTAGCTCGTCCATTTCGGTCGGCACCGGACTTGTCTCCGCGATCAAAGAAGTCTGCCGTTTCAGCTCTTTCACATGTTGTATTACTTCTGCTAGTAAGGAAGCTTTGTCCGTCTATATATCACCAGAAACAAAAGAAAAGTATTAAGGTTGATATTTGTTCGACATTTGATGTCTGATTGATACTGCATTTACATGCACTCGAAACCAAAAAAAAAAACAAGATTAAGAAAGTTGGCTACTTAATTAATGTATTTTAATGAATGGCGTGGTTTTTGAAGGAACGGCATGGGATGGGTGCATATTTTGACTGACAAGGATGCTAGTTTGTCTGGCTTTAAGTTTCTCGAACATGGTTTGACTGATGGGTGATATATGTGATATATCCGGCAAGAAATTTCTATGGGAAGCTTTTTAACTGCTCCATGGTTCCTCTTTATCATATCAACCCAGCGACATTACCCTTATTCCTCCTCCCCTCCCTCCGCTTTTCTTCCCTTTTTTTCTTTTTTCTTTTTCTACTTCTCACCTCGGAACTACCACACGACTCAGAATGAAGAAACCAAGAGAAACAACAAAAAGATGGAAAAAGCTAATTCATAAAGGGAATGTAGCTCATTTCTAATGAATGGTAGCTAGGTCTTGAGACTCTTGATCGAAGGCATGCATAATCCTAGAGGGACGAATTAGAATCTTAGGAAGATCCACAAAGATCTTAGATTGGAAAAGCTGTGTTTAGCCGATCATGATAAAACAAATAACTAAAAAAGGGATAATGCCACACCCTATATAAAATACATGTTGTACACGCATGAATATCACACATGTATATGAGTATTTTGTTTTTTCTTTTCAGTGATATATAAATATGATAATTATTTTTAGTATAAACTTACTTTGGTGGTGCTGGGCAATAAGCTGCGCAACTTGGCGAGATGGTTATTGATTCTCTCTCTCCGTCTCCGCTCGGCCTCGCTATGACTCTTAGAAGCTGCGAGAGCCTTGGCGTCCATGATTTCTTGGGCGGTCAACTTACCCAACTCGGCTTGAAGCCCAAACGGGGCGGAACCGGGTTGAACCATGGGTCCAAGTGTCTCGGATAAGATTCTGAGATGGTGATGGTGTTCAGATGCTGAACCGTCATATGTGAACTGGAGAGGAGCTCTTCGGTTGAAGAAACTAGCATAGGATGATGACGATGGAATTGGAGGAGGAGGAGTTGGGAGAAGAAACTGGTCGTGGGCTGATGGGTTGAAGGTCTGGATCGGAGGGAGAGTCCATGGCTGCAAGATTGGCGGTTGGGCTTGATGATCATGAGGGAAAATCAAACCTTGTTGTTGATGATGTTGTTGTTGCATCTGATGTTGTTGTTGTTGTTGTATCTGATGTTGTTGTTGGAGAAACAAGTGTTCTTGGAAGGCTTGTAGGTTTTGGACAGACTGAGAACACTCCCCTTGATCTTCTTTCTTCCCACACATCATCTTCACTTCTTATGTTATATATATAGTGGTTGTGTATGTCTAGCTAGGGCTCTAAACAATTAGTTTCTCAAAAGTATAGGGCTTTAATTGAAGCTAAGAAATTGAAGAGAAATGGATAGAAGGGAATCAAGGAAGAAACATTGGGAGAAAAGAAAATATATATGTAAGACAAAAACCTTTGGTTGATTTAATGATGGAGGGTTTTGGTGTTTCTGATTATCAGTTCTCTCTCCCTGGCTAGCTTTCTCTCTCTCTCTCTCTCTCTCTCTCTCTCTCTCTCTCTCTCTCTCTCTCTCTCTCTCTTGTGGTTTTGGTGCTTCGCTCTCCCTGTCTCTCTATCTCTATCACTTGGGGTAGGTTTTTTGATCTGCCACGCCTTTGTGGGCTTTGTGTTTGTGGGGGTGATGACCCTTTTTATCCTTGGGTTTCAACTGAGCTTTCCTTTTCCTTTGTGCTTTGTTGGTATCTTTTTGCTTCCTTTGTTTTTTTTTGCTCTCTCTCTCTCTCTCTCTCTCTCTCTCTCTCTCTCTCTATAACCGTGATGTGGTCTCTGTGACTCTCTGCACCCTTTCCACCACTCTAAATATATAGTCTGTTGAGTACTGCTAGTCTCTTTTCCTTTCTTCTTACGGCATTCTCTATCCATTCCATTCCTGTATCTTTCAGGGTGGGGATGGATCCCTTCTTCTTTTTCATTCAATTCAATTCACTCGTTTATTTTATATATTTTTAATTTATATTCACATATAAAATTCAATTAATACAAAAAATGTAATCCCCCATGTAAAAGAAAATAGTCTTTTGTGATTGGTTGAAAGCAAATAATTACACTGTGTGAGTGCAGTAGTAGCTTGGGGGAGAGAGAGAGAGAGAGAGAGAGTGGAAGGAGGTATAGGGATGGGAAACACAACACAAGCGAGAAGCAGCACAATTAAACAGAGTGAACACACAACACACAGATTGTCGACCGACCAAAGACCAAAAAGGCTGAGAGTATCATCATGATAAAAGGCTTTCCTTTTTGTTTTCCTTATTTTGAATTTATTTATATATACATATAATTATTTAAATCATTTTTCATCTTTTCTGATTAGGCACTTTCCTTTCCTTTCCTTTCTTATATACCTCGGTCAAGTCCCCACGTTCTTCCATACTGTTGGCTATTTCCATGCCAATCCTTTCTGCTTCCCCAAGACTTTGTAATCATTGTGTCTTGGAACACACTCCACCCCCCTACTTCCTTCTCCCATTTCATCATCATCATCATCATCCATCTCTCTCCCTCTAGCCTCTTCCTCCTCCTAAGTTATTAATATTATACCTTGGTTTCAGTCTCATGTCTCTCTACAAATACGTCGGTGTACGATTGTATATTACTTACTGCTCCCTTAGGATTTTGCACATTGTACAATTTTATTATTCAGGGGAAGTTTGAGAGGAGGGAAGAGGAGAGGCATCTTCATGCATACTCACTCATAACCCATTACATGTCATTGATTAAAATTGTTGTAATTTATTTCTTTGTCACATTCCAACGAGGACAAAATGATGAAAGACTGGGAAAAATATCAAAAAGTGTATATAATTTGGTAGTTGGTAAGATTTCCCATTAAAACTTGAAAGGCCAAAACAACACCAAAGGGAATAATTTGATGTTTCCAAACACTTTTGTTGTTGTTGTGTTGTGTGGCAACTGGCACGATATTCCAAGCTTATAGCTTCTCCTCCCTTTTGCCAAATATTGTTCTCCTAATCTTGCACCAGGAGCTCTACTTCCCCTGCCCCTATTGGTTACTGGTTGGGCCTAAAGAGGTTTCCATCTTTCTTTTTACTTATGATGTCTTTATGGTAAAAACAAGATGCAGGAATATATATCATGCCTTAAAGCTACTCACTCACACTGTCAAGGCCTTGTAGGTAATCACACAGTTACCTAAATCCCCCATTACAGTATTATTATATCGTGCATTCCCTTCCCTATGTTTATTATAGAAGCAGCTAGCATGGGTAACCAAAAATCATTAACGCTGGTTACCTTTTAGTTGTTCCCCTTCCCAACACAATATATAATTTTATTTCTTCTTTGTCTTAAACCCTTTGAACTTATTTTATTTTATTTTATTTTTTTGGTCTGAAAAAACAAATTTGATATATATATTTTCAGTGAAAGTGGCTTTAGCTTTTAGCTAAATTAGTAAATACATTTTGAAAACTTTAAAATGTTTGATTAAAACCCATCAAGTAACAAGTTCATTCCCAATGTCTCCTCTAGTCTAGACTCCAGAGCACCTCTTCTCCCTACATTTTTGTACGGCAGTCTTCTCTTTACCATATTGGGTCAGTCACAAGGCACTGCTAATATATTTTCTTCTGCACTAGCCTGGAACATCTTTATACATGTTCAGTCTACTTTTATTTTTTATATAATAATATATATATGTATTCAAATTCTAGCTAGGGCTTGGAGACTATGGGAAGGGAGAGGAGAGGGTTATCTTTGAAGAGAAATATCACTTTGTAAATTGTGGTCACTGGTCACACGCATGGCTGGTTTGGTCCCAATTCTTTTCTTTTTATATATCTTTCTATGTATTTGTAGCTTAGTATTATATTTTTATTATAAACTTATATATATATATTACAGCATGCTGATTCAAACATTTGATGATAGCTGCAGCACCACTAACATAACGCACGAGAAGGGCTTTCTTTTCTATGTGGGGTTTATGATGACATCAATCCCACCCTGTCATGACGCTTGTTCCCTTTGAGAGCACTATTGCTGCTTATTGGTGCTTGCTTAACTTATATATGCCTCTTCCTCTGCATTTCCTGGCATACATAGATCGTGAGAGAGAAACCTTGCACTTACCAGTACCTGTTGTCTGTTGCCTTGTACTAATGATGAGTGCTCTTTGAATTCTCCTTCACATTTTTCACTTTCATATGCTTTTTCTGGTTTTTTCTTATCCACCATTCATGCATGTCTTCAGTCTTTACCAAAATAAATAATCTAAACTCATAAACGCAAAAACCAAATTATGTTACATGTTGGATCTCATGGATATTAATTATGAATGAAATATTTAGATTTTAGCACAAGCAAGAAAAAAGAAAAGAAAAAAACCTACATTCGTCTGCAATCATGAAAACCAGGGGTTAAGTACACGCATGATGGATCTCTTGTGGAAAAGCCTTAAGTTACCTTCACAAGCAAACTTTAATTCTTAGTGGGCCAACCATACTACTCTCCTATACTACTATATACATCTTGTTGTAGCACTAAAATTAAATTACAAAAGAGCTCGACTGACATACCTCCAACATCACAGAAGATCATATGTCCAATTTATATGCTCTTTGTGAATTGTGACCGTTACTGGTTTATTTGTAGAAACAAAACAATGCCATCCCGAAAGGGGTCTGAAATTACTTAAACACTACGGGAGCTAGCGAAAGAGCTTATTTAAACTTAGGTGCAAGGAAGCGAACAAACTGGCTTGACCAATTGACCTAAATCACGTATGCACCTTGCTAATACATTTTTAATCGTACAAATTACAACAAAGCATGAAATCTTCCAGTGTGGTGGAAGTTGGAACTGCCGAATTTGAAGTTAACAAAGGCAGGTTCCACTTCCATAATTGATGCTTAGTACTTGGCCTACATATTTTTTTTTGTTTTCCCATTTCACTCATTCAGCTGCTTCCTATCTTTCTAGAGATTTCTAGCTACCCACTTGCAAACCCTAGTGCTCTGTACCTGTCACTCAATAAAATATTTATGATGAATCCAAATCAGTCCTTGTACCAGTCACGTACCCAAAACAAAAACCATCCCATCTTCATTTTCAATTTCCAGATTCATTTTTTCCCCGAATTAATATCAAATAAATAGTAGGATACATATGTAAGATCGTACGGAGGAACAATTGTTTAAGTTGAAGTGGTATATTAATTATAAAAAAAAGGGCTTTTTGGCAGGCTTAGTGTGCTTGCAAGTTGCAGCAAAGACTAGCAGTAACGAAGTCCACAACTTTAAGCTTCTCTGCAAATATATTAAGCACCCTCTGAGTTTGCTCTGTTATAAAACAGAGAAGAGATTAGGCACTCGTTTAAATAAAACCATATCCTTTTGTCACTTATTAGATAAAGTAATAGGATCCTTTCCTTTGTGTCTGTCTGTGTTTATATATAAAATAAAATGCAGAAACTTTTCTTACATACGTAATATTATTCCCATTAAGTCATTATCAAAATACATTTCTCTCCAAAAGCCTACACTTGAACTCCAACCAAACGTTGAAACCTACCTACCTATCAATTTGGGTACTGCCTTTTTTGACAGAGAAGCAAACAAATTAAGATTCACCAGCTGCAACCTGCAAGTTATAACATACCTAATATTTCATACGAGCGAAGGCATCATCTTAAAAATAATCTAATGGTTGATGTTGTTCCATTAATTAGCATTAATGCAGATCATTAAGTTAAGCAACCAACATTTTAATCTCAGGGTCGTAAACTAACCAAAAGGAAGCCAACATGAATGGACGGTCATATTGTTAGCTAAATGTGATGATCAATAGGATCTCTGAGTGGGGCCATACAAAATCTCTGCTTTGAGCCAAATTCCACAAAACTTCAAATTCCCAATAAAGCAGTCCATGGTGCTTGACTGGGTATAGTATAGTGTTTTTCTACCCCTATACCTGAGTAGCTGTCCAAGTCATGGATGAACAAGAATATTGAGTTGGAGATCGTTTATCCTTTGATTTGTAGGACAAGAACACCCAATTTTCCAAAGGGATGTGTCCCCATGGTGGGACAGTGCTCTTCTGCTTCCAATCATACCCTCCACCAGTTCATACGTCTTTGTCAACTATACCAGAAATTTCATTTTTCTCCAGCCGAAAGTGAAGTAACAAACCCCTATATATATTGTAAACCAGAGAGAGAGAGAGCTGAAAATGGCAGAGTCTTTAGAAAGTGCAACACATGTACCTGCCAGGTTACTAGGGGGGCTTTGGCCTAATGACTTTTATCTTAAGCAGGGTCTCCCTATCTAATTTTTGGGATGGGAAAGCAAAGGTGCTTTTGAAGTATTTTTAGATGATCATAAAAATGAACCTCATCTAGCAATTGCCTACATTTCTTTTTCTTCTGCTAAAAGATATTTCCATGAAATCGTTTCAAACCAACTACAAGGAGTTGATGCTGTATATTATACAGCACAGAAAATATATGCAAAACCTTTTAGTCACAAGAAACTTATAAGTCAAGTGGTTATGATAATTTACTCATGTACGCACCTGAAGTTTTGAGTTCGATTTCCCACTCCTCTAGTATCTCTTCTATAAAACAAAAAAACTCAAAGTCTTTTTCATACACCTTACAAACCCCTTCCAACTTAGTGTATTTTTCAGTTTTACCTGCATTAATTGCATTAGTTCTCAAACAACAAAACAAATGGGTTTTGTGGGCTTTATCAATCAGATGTTAATGATGAAATGGGATCAAGGCCCTAGTCTAATCACAGGCTATAAGAAGTGTGCGTTGGCCCAAGGTGGATGCACTTGGAGCTTGGCAAATGAAGGGTGGGTGTGTGAATCATTGAATATTGGACCCATCTATGGAATGGATATGGACGCAGTGTCTGGGAAATTTTGGAAGCATCGGATAATGCAAGAGCCAGAGACATAATAGTAAAGCCAGGTTTAGTCTCTTGGAATGTTTGTTGGTGTGTGGCAAGCGAATGATTGCTTCTGCATTATCCTACCAAACATTGATATACATTTTCTTTGCCCACCACCCACAACCACAAGATGGTCGAATTCATAAGCAAAAAGGATTATAAGCAGACCTTTATTAATTAGTACTAATAACATTAAGAAATGTTCCTAATTATTTCCTTAGTAATAAATAAGAATGTTAATTGTGTTTTTTATTTGTATATGCCATGCTCGTGTTCATGATCACATATATACAACAGCTGACAATTATGATGATTTGTATTTTGTAGAGAGAGAGAGAGAGAGAGAGAGAGAGAGAGAGAGTTGCTGCGGCCATAGACTAATGATGAGAGTGAGAGAGAGAGAGAGAGAGAGAGAGAGAGAGAGATAAGGATTGTGTTGTGTTGTGTCCATATATGTGTGTGTGTGTATATATATATATATATGCATGATTTATTAATGTTCATCTCCGCGACAGAAACAGAAACAGAAATTAATGCAAAGGAGGCCCAGCTGAAGTTTAGAGAGCAGTCATGGCAGCTAGCCAGCTGTGAGGAAGATAGCTAGGATAGGATCATCAGTAATTTCCCTCACATCATATGCATGTTATGTCATGCTCTCTCTCTCTCTCTCTCTCTCTCTCTCTCTCTCTCTCTCTCATACCCTGCTCTTTTATTTATTTATTGTCACATTTTTACTTGGACATATTTATTATGAATAATATATATATATGTCTCATGCTCTTCAACTTCTTAGTCAATCTCTATATTATTACTTCTTGAATGAAATAAGTCATCTCTCTCTGCAAATTGCCAATGCACATTCAGTTGTTTGCATTTTTTAAGTGTTACTCATGGGGTAAAGTAGGTGATATTTAACAACTGTTAATATTTTTTGTAATTTAGTAATATTTTTTGTGCAAATGGTAGCCTAAATTTTTTTACCAAAATCGAATATTCTCATTATTAATGAAAAAACACAGCCTTGAGAAAGGAGCATTGTCGTCATTCACTGAGAAAATTACAGGACAAAAAAAAAGAAAAAAAAGATCATATCATTGTCCCGAAAGGACCACCTCGACCATTGACGTGACAAGAGAATATTGCTCCACAAAGCACCTTCAATTCCAATTTCACGACATCATCAAACTCGGACGGCTCGGATCCGGACAACACAATCACAGCCATGTAACTTTATTTCTTTAATGTTTTTTAATCCAAAAATAATTTGATAGCCAATCCATGCAATCCGATTTGCACCTCAACTAAAATCCGCAAGTGTCCCACCCACGGGTTTTATTAGTAACGACCACAAGATTAAAGTTAACAACTTCTGTCTGCTATAATCACCTAATTCACAATGTCATTGGACTCTCATGTACGCTACCTTACATGACCCAAATTCATTATTTCTTAATCCCATACCTCTAATGACTACAATGCCCCCACCATTATAATCTATGAGATAGTCTAAATTATTATAAATCAATTTAATTTACGGAAAAAAATTTGAACTTTAATACGAGAAGACGAATTCGCTATCCTACCCAACTAACCCACACTTTATTGTTAAGTAAATTTCGAAATGAAAATAAATAAGTACAGCGGCACTTGGAGTTGATGAAAACCAATTCAAAAAGGAAAAACCAAAACAACCAAATCCCCTCCCCACACACAAGACACAACACAACACGATGTCCAAAAATAATTTCACTCTATCTCTATACGTAGAAACAATTAATTATTAAAATCAAAGAGGAAAAAAATAAAAAGAAGAGGAAAACAAAATGAGTTTGGACTCCGCCAGCCCCGAGTCATGCCTCGGACTTGTTTCGTTGTCACGGTCGCGCACAGCCATGACGTGAAAAACCGAGCCGCGACTTGTCCCTGTCAAACTCGAACAGGAATCCTTGTTGCATCAGATTCCCTATCACCCCAAAACCCGACCCGGAATCCACCGGCTGGATCGCCAAGCACTTGACCTGCTCCGCCGTGTCTATGAAGTAGCTACTCGGCGGCGGAGCGAACAACGCGTTCCCGACGAGTCTGAAACTCAGCCTGGGTAGACTCGGCCTCGCCACGCCCGACACGTTGATGCAAAGATCGAAGCCCCGAGTCGGCTCGGCTGGCTTCGCAAGGTGTCTCAAGCTCCGCTTAAACGCCGCCAGGATGAGGCGGTAAGCCGGCTTGGGCAAAATGGTTAGCGTGGTTCCTGAGTCGATGACTGTGCCGCCATCACCGGACTGGTCGAGGGACCAGACGGAAGGGTGAATAGGTAATTTAACGCCGTTGACGGATGCACTTTTGATCCCAATGTAGTAAAATGTGGGGGAGAGAGGGTTCACTAGCAAGGGGGTGAAGCGAATTTTCGAAACGACGTCGTGCGGGAAGCCTCCGCCGATTCTCAGGTAGCTCGTCGGAGGCGGGGATAGGGTGTAGTCCATGAGACAGTACGAGAACTTGTTCCCGAACCGGCGGCCCAGTTGAGACGCGAACGAGATGGGCCCACGTCCCAGGCCCATAACTCCGTGTGCCCCATTGAAGCTCGGACCGGTGACACTCGGACCCGAGACCCGAAACCCGCACCCGAACGATAAGTTTGGAAGCTGGGTTTCTCTTCCGGAGCTGGTTTTCAACGTCGTCGTTTCTCTGGAGAAGAACCCGGCCGTTAGGGATCCGTCGGAGTAGGTGTACTCGTAACGACAAGGGCTGTGGAGGCGGGTGCGATTGCAGGGACTCGGGTCGGGTTGGGGGACGAGTGTGCAGGCGGAGTCGTAGCAGTGGTAGGGGGAGAATGTGGAGGAGTGGCGGGCGAGGAAAGCCGAACCGGGGTCGCGATTAGAGCAGTTGGTGCAGGCGGAGCAGGTGAGCCATATCAGATCACTGCCCGTATCTGCAACGAGAAGGAGGCTCTGGGGTGGGGTGCCGAGGCGGAGATCGACGAAGTACTGGCCGGAGCCGGTGGATGCGCCGGAAACGACGGGGGATTTGATGTCGTGGCGGCGAGCGTGGAGGAGGGAGAGGCGGTGGGTGTCGTGGGAGAGGGCTTGTGAGGGCGAAGAGAAGGGCTTCTTGTGGAGAAGTGGGAGCTGGAGGTAATCTTTGGTGGTGGTGGGTTGTTGGGAGTTGCAGGGGTTCGTGAAGGTGAAGAAGACGAAGAAGACGAAGAAGAAAGACAATAGTGACACCATTGCTGTGGGCGCAGAGAGAGAAAGAGGGAAAGGAGAGGAAATGAGTAGTCAATGAGAGTGAGGACAGGGAGTGAGGCGTAGTGGGCTTCTGAAAAGGCCGTACGGTCTGTATGTATACGTATAACGTATTTCTGTACTTAAGCATTAATTTTTGGGTTTAGCATAGAAGAAGAAGCTCTTGGCCTGATTTCTAGCTAATAATGCATCAACTGGAAGTTTATTTGGACAAAGATGGAGCTTTCGGAACAAATCACAGATATTAATTTAACATGAGAGAAATCAGAAATAATAATAATAATAATAATGGGTTTCAGATTTTGAGTTCAATGGACTAGATTAGATGGATGAACCTTAGATTTTGGGCCAATCAGAAGCCTAGCGGAATCAAGGCTCGGATATGGGTCTAACGCCATGAACGAGTCATTTGGGCTTTAGTGATAAATTTAAGTGCTACTAGATTTGAAATTCGTCAAAATGAAACTTGATAATCGTCCCGTTGTATTCAAGTTCGAATTCCGATCTTCGAAAAGATGTTTTTGGTGTAAATAAATTTGAGCATGGCAGCAGATGAGAGTGGATGGACAAAATCCATAGATAGATGCATGGCTATGGTTGACTGATGGATGGTGGTTGAAGTTTTAATTAATTTTGTTGAAGAAAAGCACGAGCCAAAGAAAAGCATGGAGCCGGGAATAGATTTCAAAGTTTGCCAGTTGGATCTCAGACAAAGCTGTAAAATATAAAAAAAAATCGTACGTAAACAGAAGGATCTGCTGCTCCCTCTATCCATTAAATGTACGTGTTTTATGCATTGTTGTCAGTAGTTGGTCACCGTTTTACGCTAGATTACGACTTTGCTGTCTATCGCTAGCCTAAGCTAAGCTACTCTCTCAGATTACGATTGGCTTTTATTTATATAGATTCCTACAGTAGTCCCGTGGTCGTGGATTTCGCTACAAAGCTTAAGACGGTGGCACATCACATGCGCATGCTCTGATGCTCAGCTCAAGAGGATCATCATCTGAGAGAGAGAGAGAGACTGAGATCTTTGTCCTATATTAATTAATTAATATATACTATATACCCAAGTTAATTTCTATAATGTCACAAACTCAGATTCTATTAATTAATTAATTAATTTTAATTTTCTATAATTGCTATATATAATAATCTACTGTTGAAATTTGGGCTCATCCCACTAAAAGGAAATTCCTAATATACCCACCTTACCTTTCCCAACCACAGCCCACCCCTTCAGCCTCTCCTTGTAGTAACGGGCCATTGCCATTGCCGAACACCTCTCCAAAGTTCATTTGAAGTCCCAATGTTTAAGCCCTGGTTCTTGACAGTGTGCAGCCCAATTGCCTTGAGCATGATAGTTAATGGATCTTAGCTAGTAAGCCCAATAATTGGTGCTAGATGATCCAAGAAGATGAGTGGTGTTGCTTAGGTGGCCAAATTTGTGAATAATAGCAGTGTTGCTTGTAGTGGATTGTTGATCCGTCTCTCTAAAATTTAACAAAGCACAAGAACGAACAAATAATTTTTGCCCTTTTATTTTATTTTATGAAATTTGAAATTTAGATATGTTTCGGGTGTTAGTGTTTTACGTATTCTTGTGTAACACATCGGCTCGCAGCAAGCAACAATGATTATATATCACCCTAATTGGAGCATGAGGACTTATAAAGCATGCATGCATACATGTAATTTGTAAACAGCAAGCACTCAATTCTCTTTAGGTTGTGCTGTGCATCATCTGTGTTCAGCTTTTGGGAAGCAGTTTCACGTGTGCACCTTCACACCCTCATTAAAAAGGAAGTATTTTTACTTACTATTTTAACTCAAAGTGTACTTTTATTACTATTCTCAAATGTTGACATATGTCTTTGAGTTTAACTATAGTTAATTTTTTACTTTAATATAGCTTTTCCACATTTATCCTTATTCTAACCCTGCAAGCTTTCCACCTTTCTTGATTAATTGCAAAGCAAGCGAACAAAAATTTTAACACGTATGGAGCAGGACCATCATTACTCAAAAAAAAACACTTTGACAACAAAAAAAATTAAAAAAGAAGAAGACTCTTGAACACCACTTCAAAAAAAAAAAAACGAAACCTAAAATTGGCCCAGTCTGGTCTCTCTATAACCCAAGCTTTGGAGTGGTTTTGTGACAAACACCAACCACCCCCCCAAAAACAACAAAAGATCATATATGTTGTCTCGTTGGAAGACTTGTTTTGTAGTTTTTTTGCTTTGCTTTTTTTTTTTTTTTTTTTTTTTTTTGTTTTGGGGTTGCAAGGCCGAAGCTAGAAAAGAAAACAAACGCTAGTAAGGCACAACCTTACTATGGGCTCTTTTGAAACTTAATAAACCATCGCTTTATCTATAAAAATAAAAAATAAAAATAAAAACTGATCGAACGAGAAAAGAGAAGACAAAATGAAAAACTTCTGGTAAGCATGTATAAAAGCATGAGTTGTTATAGTCGAATTTTTGGCTTTGTTACAGAATACTCCAAACAAAAAAAAAAAAAAAAAAAAAAAAAAAAAAGCAGCATATGTGTACACTATCTTTCGCTTTGAACAAAAGGAGGAAGCCTGCAATTGTCGAGCAGTGCACTCTTGGAGCTGTTAAGTCTTCAAATATGAGCACCCAATTTATGGATAATCAAGGAATTATAAAATAAGGGTAAATTATTAAAGCCTTGTTTCTCTCTCATAATAATATAAAACAAATAAAAAATAAATAGTTAACTGTAGTTAAACCAATAAACATGTGTCAACTTTTGAGAAGGGTGGTGAGGGTACACCCGCCAAGCAGAGAGGTCGCAACGAGCTAGTAAAATGTATTAGTTCCAAGAATCTGCCCTCATTGTCCTGTCAAGCACCGCTTGACTTGGCCATAGTCCGTTACAATACGGCAGAGCTCAAGCACAAACATGCCACACGAAACGCAACGTTTAGCAAAGAAAACCTTCATTTTGATATTAAGCCACGCAACAAACTTAAGTGGGCCCAAGCCAAGCAAATGTCTGGGGCTTGCTGAGAGGGTTGTGTTATGTACGGTTATGAGTGTTCGTGAAGACCACTAATGGTCCAAGAAGTGAAAGTTTTGGGCTGTTTTGGAGCACCAAACTCAAGCCCATTTCTTGAGCCCAAATATATAGGTATGCATAAGAGAGAAAAAATAGCTTAACACCTTAGAAAATATCCCAGCACACTAATAAAACCAAATCAAAACCAAGCCATCGTCGAAACCAAGTCAAACCCATATGCATGGGCTGCTGGAAGTAAGACACCTTTTAGACTAGCACCCTTACCCATTCTTTCATCTACAAACTTTGGTAGGAAAATCAGGAGGAAAAGCAAGAGGCGCCTCACTCATCATGGAAGAAGTCAGCTGCAGGAAAACCTTGGAGCCCCAAAATTGCTTTGCCTCAATGTGCTTGGATTAAGGAATTTTCACCAAAAAGGATTGAATCGAAGGAAGTGAAGGGAAATGGAGACTTGGCAAAATTTGGGGAAAGTTAGTAGAAAACCTACTCAAGCCACCCATCCATTTATCCACAGCTCCCCCTCTCTTCCCTCATCAAATCTTCCCAAATTTCACTATCTGCTTGTTCTGAACATCTATTTCCTATAAGAAATCCAAGTTCTCTCTCTCTCTCTCTCTCTCTCTCTCTCTCTATTGCTAAACCCATGGAGGCTTAGCTCCCATGCCACAAGCTCCTCAGGCCAAGCCATAAATTAATATGTAACAATTGTCTGTCTTGTTGGTGAAGGGAACCAAAGTGCTTCGTAAGCCCATTTGCAGTTGCTGAAACAAAAAAGCCCATACAAAACCAAATGTTTCTTGTTACAAATCAAGCCACTTGATAATAATAACCCTCACTCTCCATTTTTTATAATTAAAACTATCTAGAAATGATAGGATGAGCTACTTAAAAATAACACCCAACAATTCAAAAAATGAAATTTCTAAATAAGGGTGTGTGTGTTTTTATATTCACAGACCCGTTTGATAACCATTTCAATTTTAATTTTTAGTTTTTAGTTTTTATTTTTTGTGTAAGAGTATAAAGGAAAAAGAGAGAGAATAGAAGTGAGAATGAGAATGAAGATGGGATTGAGAGGGGGATGATTGGAGGAATGAGTAATAAAAGTGAAAACTAAAAACTGAAATCTATTTGAAATGGTTTTCACTTTTGAGTTTTTGTTTTCCCTTTTGTAACTCATCCCTTCCATCATCTCTCTCAATCTCATCCTCACTCTCATTTTCTTCTATACTCTAGCATAAAAAAATTAAGACTAAAAACTAAAATTAAAATTGTTATCAAACATGCCCTTAAAATCTCATTGATAAGAAAGTTACCACAATACTAAGGGCCAGTTTGACATTGCTGTACTGTGAAAATAATCACTTTCAAATTTGCTGTGATAGAAATCAACTGTGAATGAAAGTAATTGAGTGTTTGGTATACTACATGCTAAAAGTGATGTGGGTACAAAATCAATTTTATGAGTATTTGGTAACCTATAATGTAAAAGTGTTGTAGTTATGTACAATGACTAAAATAGACATGATACTGAAAATAACTTCTTATTTAACTATTTGGTAAAGAAAAGATTTTCACTTTCATTTATGCAAGCTTGTACCAAAAAATTACACACCCCAAAAATATTTCAACTATAAAATAATAAAGGTAAACAAATAACAAGTTGTGAACTTGAAGCTTCTATTATCTATTGTCCAGCCTCAAATGTCCTTAAGCTTATGTTTCTCAAATGTATTCATTGGCAACGTCTTTGATCTTCCTTCCTCCCTCCCTTAATTTAAAAAAAAGAAGAAAAAAAAAGAACAGAAAATGCCTCAAATTCTTTGGATCGAGGATGGGCTGAACAATCCTCAGCTTTGTTATTCTTCCACATGACATATCATTCTTCTTCCAGGTTCCTCTGCTATACAGAGCTTTTTCTGAGTTTGCCAAAAACAGTTGAGTCCCACCTATGGTCACTTTTAAGAATCTTTCTTCTTTGACAAAGAAAAAACAAAACACCCATTGCTTTTCTCACATCCGAATCATAGTTCAATTTGTTGTGGGTGGGCGTACGTCTGTTTTTGTTTTTTGTTTTTGTTTTTGTGGGCAATCTGTTTTGCAAATGGAAAATGTAGGAGTTTAAATAGAATCTCTTTACCAAATTATTATTCGAGGGTTTCAGAAAATTTAATAAGTAATCAAATTGGATAGTTTTCTCCTTGAAATTCTGACAAAGAGCTTGCGGGGAGAGGTAAATCGTGCACGTACGTGAGAAAGAACATGAAGGATAATTGATGTAATTTGTTTAAATTGATAAGGATACTGTTGGTATTTTAGAAAATTTCATTAAACACCACCGGTTGTAAAAAGCAGCCTCTCGGCTGATTCTCCAAATGGTTGTGGCTGACCGCGATTTCTCATAAATAAAAAAAACAGATTTCTCATATTTTACCAAACGGATTATGTAACCAAATTTTTTAAAGATAATAATTTTGACCTTAAACAAGCAATATCAAACAAGCACTAAGCACTGGTTGTTATCAAACCTTCTATTATATATATATATATATATATATACAAAATCAACGGAAATGCTTAGTTGCAACTTGCATGTGGCCCTCAAAATTTTGACATTATCAGAGAACTGTTTGATGGAATGGAATGAAATTGACAAGATAGAGATAAATAACCAGAGAGTTTTCAAATACTTTTTGATTAACCTTATGATGATTTTACAGATTATCAGTAGTTCTTTTTTTTTTTCTTGATAAATTTATAAAATAGTGAAAAAAGATAGACATTGTTGAAGCGAGTCAGAGAACGAAAGGGACATTTGGTAAACCAGTCAAAGCAAAGCGTTGCCTTCTATGGTGGTAATTAAAAGCAGCTGGCTCTAAAATATTGTACAAATGTAGCCTCTCTCTGTGTTAGACTGTTACATTCATCACATAATTGTCCTTCCCCTTCTCTCTTTTTTCCCTCTCTCTCTTTCTAGGGTACCTATATTTATGAAGGTGGTCAGTTTTAGCCCTCTCAAAATTCTCATAGAGCTATGAATAAGTTTTTCAGAACCCTCTCTCTCTCTCTCTCTTTATTTATTTTCTTTCTCATACACACACACACAGTCCACACATACTGAAAAAGAATGGCTAGGTTAGGTCGCTTTCGAGCTCCCACCCCTGCACCCACCCACGTGATATGTTCAAATTAAGACTCGAAGAGAGAGATATCATCAGATGTACAGCTACCTCTTATATAGCTCATCAGCTTAGCCATAGCTTTAGCTTTAGCTTTACCTAGCTCCCTTAAGTACCCTTCCTCTCTGCAACCCTGAGCTCGTCCCTCTTTCCATATTTCTTGTATCCACTCACTTTCTTCCTTTCTATCTCTCTTTCTCGTCACCACTGTTGATTGCACTTGCCTTTTCTCTTAAAAGATTATTTAAGGTCATGAACATGAATAGTGAACCAAATACCAGTTTCCTGATCTTCTTTTAGCTCTACACACCACCAACAAGGAGTCAAGACCGCCATCACCCTCATCAGGTTGTGCACTTTATGTTTTTTTCTTAAGAGCTTGGCAGTAGTTGCCTCCCCTTTCTCTTTAAAGCTCTCTTTCTAGCTTAATTGCATATATATCCATATCTACATATATTGTAGCAGAACAGTCACCCCCGGCCTCTCTTAATTTCTCTTTACTGTTGGTGTTGTGTTCCGGCGGTTCAAAACAGTACCCGTTGAAGAGACTTTCCCTCATCCAAAATCTAAGGGTTGAAAGAGAGGAGAGATTTGACCAAAAAAAAAAAAAAGAGAGAAGAGAGAGAGAGCTAATTAAGGATCCATTATTATATGACCATGTTTCCTTCTAGCAGCAGCGCTAGTAATTACCAGCTGCCTTTTCCCTGTGATACCAACCAGCAGCCGCAGCTGCTCGAAAAGTCCTCTACAAATATCATTGATCAACATGGTCATGAAAACCCTAACTCAATATCACATGATGACCATCATCTTCGTCAGTACTATTCACACTACTCTGAAGATCATCAGCAGCAGGCACCTAATAATTTTCTTGAACACGACGGGCTGCTTTTGAGCTACTTGCTATCTCAGCAGCAGCTCTTGGTTGGCAGCTCCAGTCCCAATATGAACAGTGCTACTTCTCATCATGTTCAAGTTCATGATACTACTGAAATCAGCGTTGTGGCTTCCAATTCAAACAAAAATGTAATGGATCGTGTTGACGAGGGTCGGACTGCCCCAGCTGCAACTTCGAAAGGGTGCTCTTCAAAGAAGAAGAGTAATACATCAAATGGAGAAGCAAGAACGCGAAGGCTCCTCGAAAGAGATCAAGCGGGAATAAAGACAGGCACAGCAAGATCTACACAGCTCAAGGCCCAAGAGACCGCAGAATGAGGCTGTCTCTTCAAATTGCCCGCAAGTTCTTTGATCTTCAAGACATGCTGGGGTTTGATAAAGCCAGCAAAACCATCGAGTGGCTATTCACAAAGTCCAAGACTTCCATCAAGGAACTCAAGCAGCACCTCAACATCTCACCCCTGGCAGCTTACAGCTGTAGCACCAATGCCAACGCCACTTCTACCAGCACAATCACTGCAAAGATGAATTCGTCCACTTCTGAGAATAGCGAAGTTGCATCCAAGATTCAGGAGACTGCAAATGGCGACGTACACTCGATTGGGACATTAGAGAGAGATAAAAAGAACAGGAAGTTATGTGTGGTTGCGAGAGAATCGAGGGTCGAGGCAAGAGCAAGGGCAAGGGAGAGAACAAGGGAGAAGATGATGAGGACCAGATCAGGTTTGGATCAATATCAGAATTTAAGAAAACAAAGCCCTGATCATGATCAAGTACCACAAAACCCTAATAATGATCAATTCTCGGGCGGTCACTACTTATGGTCCTCTAATTGTCCTAATGATCAATTGTTTGAACCTGGAATGATGATGAATTCCATGGTGATGAGCATCAATCATCATGATGAGAAGGTTGTGGGCAGCACAACAATTCCCAGTGGAGCAAATTCCGAGGATTATGATTTTCCAAGTTTTCCTGGGAATTGGGGCCAAATCAACAATTCCAAGAACATTACAGGTAATAACGTGCTGCAAGTAGATCCAAACCCTAGTAACTCATCAACTATGGCTACTGCTCCTCCTACCTCATACCCCCTAGAACAAAAGCCTAGTTCAGTTTTCATGTCCACCTCATCAAGCATGCAAGAACAAAACCCTAGTTCAATCTTCGTCACAACCTTGATTGCTGAAGACCAAAATCCCACTACTTCTTCAAATTTTGGGACCAATTCAAGTATTGTTTTGAAGTCCCATTTCCTTGGAAATTAATGAATTGAAAGACCAATCTTAGTTTGCACCTCCAATTCCTCACAATACGGTGTTTGTATGAAAGTGTGGATAATTTTCTTTGATATCGCGGGCGCATGAGTGTGCAATATGTTTTCAGGAGTGTTTGTTGAACTTTTATTCCAACTTATTAGAAAATTTAATTTGAGGATGTCTATTTATAAAAATTGTGCAGTGTCAGGTGCTATCATGTCATCAATTGATAATTGCATAAATTCTCCATATAATGTGTATTCTCAAGAATTCCAGTTATTAAAAACAATATCTTAACTTCATGTTTATATTTGTATTTACCAGCCAATTAAGTACAATCTGCATATATGCCACCTTCAAATATTGATGTTTTGCAGGTTTGAGTAGCTAGCAAGAGTTCTGCTGCAAATAACAAGCAGCGTATCTTTCTATTCCTTTCAGGTCTTTTTGATATCCTATATATGCAATAAAACCAAACCATGGATACAGTCATATCCAAAACCAAAAGCTTCTCAGAATATAAGAATTGCGTATTACAGGTTGAGGAATGATCTCTCTGCTTGGATATTGGACACCATACCGTGATCGATCTTACACGGCAATACAAACGTTCTGTCAGTATTCCAGGTAGGCTGAACGCCTCATTCATATATTCTAGTAGGTTCCATTTTTCTCAACAAGATTGCAATAACATCAGTAATATAAAATACTAATCAGCTAGATAGTTTGAATGGAATCTCTACAAGAAGTTGTGTGCTATATATATATATATATATCATTCATCTGTTCTAGTTTTTTCAACAAGGATGCAATTACTTTGAAGAAAAAAATACTAATTCCCATTTCCATTTGGTCTGCTCCCCTATTTTACTATAACTTTTGGTCTATACACGCTGCAAATTTCAAGATGGTGGTTTAGATCTTTATATTGTTTTTTTTCTTTTAAATAAAGGAATATATATAGTAAGGAAAACAACTAAAATAATACATATCTGCTAGGTACTCTTCTGTTTATGCTAAAAACTTCCTTGATCGTCTTGATTAAGTAGCCTAGGTTAAGTTGAACGGCTACAGATATGTTTTCATTGTTTGTGTGTTTCAAGCTTTCACAATATAACTTTACTTATTTTGTGCATCTTACCTATTCTTGCGCAGTTCAAACTGCTGTCGTGTGCATTCCTCTAATACAATATATAATTTCTTAATTAGTTGGTATTAATTACAGAATGAGGTGAAAGAAACTGTACCTTACCATCAATCAGTCAAGAAGTCTGCATAGATGTTCTTGTTATTATGAATCACATACGTAGTCCTTGATGGGCACAGTTCGGCTATCTATTACAGAACAGATGCAGCATTTCGGCTATATTCTCTAGCCAATGTTTCTGCTTTAACAATGTTTAAAACGATGGAATATCAATTCATATTAATTTGCACAAAATCATCATATGCACGTGTATTGTTGTGTGTTTTTGCATCAACTTGAGATAATTGTTGTTTCCTATAAATTCTGGCCAGTAATATATATACGTGCAAAAATAGTTGATAGAGAAACCATTTAAGCTCAATTCTCTTGAGACGATCTAATTTCAACTGTCAAAAAGCGAAATCTTTTAATCGATCTAATATTGCCTATTTGTATCCTGCAAAACCTTTTAATCGATCTCATATGCACATGTTGCAATCTTAACCTAAACTAGTCCTGGAACCTGGATTCTGTGGTTAGATAGCATCATCAGAATCCTGATGATATGTATACTTAGTGAATTAACTTGCAAGCTGCAAAAGGGGAAAGTGTTTTGAGATTCTATGGCCATTTTTTGTTGTTTTTCTTTGTGGTTTCTGTTGTCTTCTTGTTATATAATCATATTTTTTAGCATAAAGGTCCTTGTTGCTGAGGCAAACAGAAAGATAAAACAAGTAGGCACATATAACATTGTACAACTAAACAGAACATCATTGCAGATCGTGATCATTCTCAGAACTCTATCCTCAAAAGTTGCAGCAAGATGTTGGGGAGATTAATTATAAGATGTTTGTTTTCCTAATTTTTTGGCTATATGTTGATGGGATCAGCGTTGATATCAAAACAGCACAGAAGTTACACATGCAAAACGTCATTCATATACAATTATTTAACTACCAATATATCATATATGTGTGCAGTTTATGAGAAATAAACCTGTGTCTGCAATATACGAGGGAGAGTGTTACCAGGCCCCTTGCTCCAGTTTAGCCCAAGTTAGAAAGGCAAACCACTTGGACCAAAAACTTTTCTGAAAAAGAAAACGAATTATAAAAAATAAGGATCAAGTACAAAACAGCACCCAATAAAGATTTTATTTATTTATGAGATAGGGGGGACATAAAACTCAAAAAAGAAACGACAACTAACTAATACAGATGAATAAAGAAATTTTAGTTATGCTTTGGACTACATAAACATTACATTGCCATGTTTCCTTGGCACGAGTTTTGACTACCTTTTCATTGAATTCAATTCAATTAAAACCCAGCAGCCGCAATGACTACTTTTTCATATTGGGAGTAATTGCATTTATTTCAGATCCAAAAACAACAGTAATCAATGACAAATGGAGGAGGACACGCAAGAGAGAGAGAGACAGAGAGTAATGGAGGCAACTGTTACTGTAGCCGCAACCACAGCATTTTCACTGCTGAAGAAAGAAATAGGGCGAACCAACACTCATCCAGAAAAACAAAAAAAATAGAACAGAGTGCATGGAATCTTGAAATGGAGATGCTCTCAAATATATCTAAAACGCGGTAGCAAATTCTCAGTTATTCTCACCTTGATATGATATGTGTTGATACTGTCGGTATTGTCCCATTATTTCAATAGAGAACAACCCCAAATAGTCTTAATATATGAATATATTAGGGTTTAGAGATATTTTTATCTTATTTAACTCAAACTTCCAATACCATTATTAAGTGGGAAGGAACCATTATTAAGTGGGAAGGAACCAGTATTAAGTGGGAAGGATCCATTAAACTATCGGTATGCTGAAACAAATGGTATCATCATATATAATTAGCATGCCCTTTGTTGTAATCATATGAGATTAACCAACATATATATAAACATCATATATAATTACTGCCGTTATGTTAATCTTGGTCGGGCTCTTGGCTAATATTATCAAGGACCTCTTCAGAGAATATACCTCATTCAAGAATCATTGATTGATACAGAGCAATAAATATAACACAAGTACTTTGGAAAAGAAGAAAAAGAAAAATAGAAGTGATAGACACAGATAATCCAGTGAAATTAAGTAAAAGAGTTTGAATTAGTGTAAGAGAAGGAGCTGAAGCATTAACATAATCATCAAAAGACAGGATGAATTAGGTTCTAGTACTCACCTACAACACTTGCAGTGATCTCTTTGCTTCCAAACCAGACCAGGCAGTTCCTCCGTCTCCCAACGAAAAGCAAAAGCCATAAGCATAACCCCACATGAAGAAAACAAAAAATAGCCCCAGTGAAAGGGACTGTTCATAAGTTGTACATATTATCTAGCTGCACAACTTCTGTGAGCTGTACACTTAAAAAGTCTTAAACCCACCTAAGAAAGACAAATATATCTCTGTGGCTTTGTGTTTGTGTGTGTATGGGAGAGAGCAGAAAGCAGAGAGAGAGAGAAAGGGCAATCCGAAAAGATGGCTTTGTGCTTGGTTACAGAGAGAGCTGCAACTCCTGTCTCTCTTTTTGTGTACGTACGTTTTGGTGTTTCGGCCATATCTCTCTTTATCAGTAGAAGGTGTGTTTGTTATATTGGATTGGATTTGCTTGCTACCCATCACTTGCGTGATCTTATAGTAGTGTTTGGTGAAGCTTAGGCCCATCTAGGCTGTACGGAACAAAGTAGGAGCCACACACTTTGCTTGCTGATGATGAATGAACGATCTTACTACTTCCTGACTTTCTCTCACACTGTTTGTTATTAATTAAAACGACGAAGGAGTCCACCCAAATACAGAGCATCCTGCCAAAAAACGAGAAATTAATTCAACGAAGAGAGTCTAGCTCTAGCTCTAGGGAACCCAACAACAGGGCACAATATCTAATTTACTCTAAGAAACAGGGGCACAAGATCTTTGGCGTACCTACTACAAACAGTGACAGTTATATACAATTAATTATTATGGTATTTGGTATTTGTCTTTCTCTCTGCTGCATACTTGTTTTTGTTAATATATATATATATCTCTGAGGGAGGACTGAGGTTGAGTTGGTGTGAACAGTGAGAGGCCGGCCAGAATTTAAGCCTATATTTCTGTAACAGTTGTACTGCACCCACCAACCATATCATGATTGTGGTTTCTGTGTTCAGTCGCTTTACTTACAGAACATAATTGCTTTTTCTTGAGGCTTGAGACTGAGAGGATGTTATGGTCAGTACAAATTTCTTCATGTAAGCGAAGCTCACGAATAAAGTCATTTGCCTTTTTACAACGATTTCTGAACTGCAACTGATTTTAAGTGTAACCTCGCAAATAAATCACAATGTATTTAATTTATAATTGAAGAGCTTGATGATGATCAATTTTCAAATGGAGCCATCTTCGTGTATATATAACGACGATAGTACGCCTGGCTCCGTTGGAGGACTTTGTGTCTCATGCATGCACAAAGTAAACAGGCCTAGCTATGATTATGAACATTGCTGCGCACTTTTGCAGACTCTGACACTAAACACTTAACAAAAAACAGATAACTTTATTTAGAGGAGCTTTTGGGTTAAGCTTTGACAGAAACGATTAGTTTCGAACAACTCATCAAAAGATAAGCTGATTTTGCTTAGGACGCACTAGGTTTGGAGCAATTGCTTCCAGGAAATGTCTTGGATTCGAGTCCTAGCATCTGTGCACTATGTGTAAGTTTAGTATGTTATTGCCCGAAAAGATCCTTTAAAAAAAAACTCTGGTTTTTTAAATAAATATATATTTTTTTTCCAAAGGGAGAGATAAGCTGGTTTAATGGAACGAATTTTTTGAAGCAATCAAGATTAAATAATATTATGAAAAAAAGAAAGCCTGATTAGGAACCTAAAAGATGGTACTCAATCCCTGGCCAGTGCTAACAGTGTTTGGATAATCTTTTCTATATGCTTGATTTGATTAAAAGTTATTTTACCTGTCGGCTGTAGGAGATAAATCTGTCACTTTCCACATTTCATTCATTCATTCATCCGTCAACCTTCATCAACCCTGATGATGATTTAACGGTTTTGTAATTGTTGAACGAAATGGAACCCAGTCGATTCTTAAATGGACCGGACTACGATGTGTTTCTTAAAATCAAGCGAAAACCCCGAGGACAAAGGTTGACATCATTAACCTATTGAAGCTGCATGGGATAAAAAGCTACTGGCATCTTATAGCAGCCGTTTCATTTCATTACTTGAAACATGATTTTATACAACTCCAAATACACACCAGATCCCCTGCACAGGGTAGGAGAGGAAAACTAAAGAAGGTGATATGTAACATGAAAAAGAAAAACAAATTACAACTGGCGGATCTATAAGCCAACTACACGAGAAAGTGTGATTTCATGAGCTTCATGTGAACCTGAAGTTCCCCAGCCATTTCATTTCACATTGGGTGTTGCATAACTAGGAGCGTTTCACTGTCACTAATGTTCCATTGTGTCTGCCTGAAGAAACTGCATTCTGAGACCATGACGATGGCTTGAATCCCCCTGTAAGTAAGTTAGATGCAGCAGCAGCACTTATTTTCCTTCTCTTAGATTGTAGTTCCAAACTCTTCTTACTGGATGCAGAAGTCCCAGACGACCCAGGAAAAATTGAAGCAGCATTGATCAAAGCTCGCTTATCCTTCCTGCTTTTGTCAAACCTGGAAGCGAACTTCACTCGTGATGCCACAGTAACATCCTCCTCTGCCACTGGAAGCAGTCGTATACCAAGACCCATCTTCCTTGAAGCAGCCTCTTCTTCAGCAACTCTTTTCTTTTGAGACTGAAATAAAACGATAATAAAAAGTGAGTAAACCATTTATGTAATGCCAAATTGAACACTCAAGTTTGGCTCATTCTCTACTAAGAGACAGAAAGAGATGTAAGAACAGAAAAAATTACTGAGGTGAGTTCTTTTCTTGGAAAAATCTTATATTTTGATCCCCAATAGTAAACTTTCATCATATCTAAATACTTTAAAAGAAATATGGGTAGGCAGGGTAAAAAATACTAATTATCTCTCCATGTATTCATTTATCATCTCTCTGTTATACAAACGATAAAGAAGAAATGAAAACTAACAATTTTACTTTAATTTTTTCTTTTTCAATAGAAATAAACTACTGTGTGAGAAGAAAAACATTAAGGGAGAGCTAAATAAAACCAGTGACATACTCTAAGTTTTGCTCTGAGGGCCTTGTTGAGGGCATAGTCATCTAAATGCCTTTCATCAGAAACTCGCTGTAGGCGCACTAATACTGGCTCAGCTTCTTTCTTCTTTTGCAAATCCTCTTCTTGGTGTTCAAGACGATAAAATGGATCCGCGAGCTTTCCTCTTTCTGGAGAACAAAGAATTGACTTTCGTTAGGAGAGGGAAGAGTAAAACATCATAGTGTTTCCAACATATTATGAAGAACAATTGAGCGTTTTCCTTGTACATGCAGTCAAAGGACTCTGTTCATTATCTTGGTTTTTCTTCCTTATTTGATTGAGTTTAAGTTAATTTAATTAGAGAACAATATATTTCAGTAAGGCATTATAAAAGTTATAAAAGTTATAAAAGTTATAAAAGGAAAAAGATTCTATTTGCATCTACTTCAAAACCAACCTTCATCTCCAGGAAGTGCAACAGTTTCTGCATCCACAATGTCATATTCCTCAACCTTTTGAGTGGCCCCACTAATAATCACATACTGGCAATTCTGCGGATCTGTCTGAATAACAATCTCATGTTTGCAGCAGGCTGACTTCATGGTAAAGCTCCATATCTGGAGGAAAGAAGACCTTGATTGTTAATAAATGTATTAACCTAAACCAGTTAAGAAAGAAGTAAAAACCAACATTATACGTGCTAAAAAATGAACACATGGATTTTTTTTTAATCAAGGGTAGCAAAACTAATAAATAGCCAATTTAATTCCGAGCAGAAAAGTCAGTAGAATCAGTAGTATTTGAAAAATATACCTTTGTAGAATAGTAATTTCCGACTTGCTTTTTTTCTGCATTAAAACGAACACCCTTTGCAATCATAGAATTGCACCCACCACACCATATATGGTAAGGCATCTCAAACCTGAATGCAAGATAATCAACACATCAGAATTCTTCTGTACTCCTCAACTTCAAACTGGAAGTACATAAGTTAGCAAACAGCATTTGTTGGAGCAAGGAAGTCACTTGATCGCATTAAAACTTTCCATTAACAAAACATGCTTCTTGAGATACATTTGGAATATCTATCAAACACCAAACGCATATGAGTTTGATTAGTTACCTTATAATCAAAATCCCCTGGTCCAATTTCCTTGCTCTCTCCCTCAAAGCATGTTGACCATGGAACTTGTTCAAAGAACCCTGAACCACAAAGCAACATTAGAACTCCATATACCAACCAATCATGATATATTCTAACAAGAGTGGAACGCAAGTATACCTTCTTTGGCGTCCATTCTGGTGGATATAAAAGTTGTCTGCCCTAGCAGCTGCAAGTGAGGACTGCAGAAATCCAAGTAAAGCAAATTTAGCAGATTGAACAAATTAATGAGCAGAAAAGAAAAATAAATAAATAAATAAATAGATATATATATATATATATATACATATTTATACGAAACTACAAATACAGATACAAAAGATTCATCTCAAAGCCCAATGACCAAGAAGTTCTAACCGCTGTTTCAAATGAAATATGTGAGATCATATAAATTAAGAAAAAACTCACATCCCAAATTTTCACTCGTGAAGAGCCCATAGGTTAAATTTATCTCCTATACATATAAAAAGCAAAATTACATGACCACGAAATCCTTTTGGGCTCAACGGGCCACCTAAAATCTTAGACAAGCAACTTTGTCGATTAATTTTACAGTGTGAATAATGATATCCGCTGCTAGGTTCTCAAACAACCACAACCAAAAGTAGAAACAAATTTGTGCACCATTAAAATCCGGACACTCAAAGAATTGGATCAATGGAATGTGAAAATTCAAAGTTTAGGCGCCTCTTCTTACATCAAAATTTAAGTTCAATAATAAATTAACAAATTCAGAGAAAATTCCCAAGAAAACGCGTCTAATCGATACCAAACCCTAATACCATAATAGCATAGTACGAACAAGATTAATGGAATTATTGGAGAGAGAGAGGATGCTGGCATACCATCTTCGCTTTGTTGAACTACTTGGTCACCGCAGTGTTTCTGATCAATCAACCAGTCGGCTCGATTCGATCGTCTTGTTGAAGATTTTGTGTTTGATCGTCAACTTTTGGTTCCTCTTTTGTGTTTCCGCGTTTTTATTGATTCTTTTCTTTTCCCTATTGAACAAGGAGACGACGTCGTCCTAGTATCCTTTCACGATCTTCCGGCCCTGGGCCTGGCTTTTATTTCTTTAACAAATTTCAATAACAATTATTTATTATTAAAATAGTCCAACAAGTTTACAGATTTTAATCTGCCCCAAAGTCTGTCCCTTTGGTTTTCGGTCCGTATAAGGAAATTACAGATCAATACAAAACTTTTGGGCCGGGTCTAATGTTCCAGTCTAATTTTGGCCTAATTTCTCTTACTCAAAGTCACACAATAAATTGCCAAATACCCTCTAAACTATCACGTTTGTCGAAATCTCTATTATGAATTAATTTTTCAGCCAACTTAACCATCTTATTATATTTATTGGCCAATTTCACTCCTGCGGTTAGCTTTTTCACAATTCCATCCAACTATCCGTAAAAAAAAACCACATGGCACGTGTGGCTATTGTTGAGGGTAATCTCGTCACCCAAACCCAGCCACCCCTACCGCTCTCCTTTGCTTAAACAACCATCACCTCCTTCTTGTCTCTCTCTCTCTCTCTCTCTCTCTCTCTCTCCTCCTACATAGAGGCCAAATTCACAAAGCACAAGAACCCAGCAACAGCCTGGGTGTGTGCCGAAACTCTCTCCCTTTCTCTCACTTCAATTCCTCAAGGATCTGGTATTTCTTCCACTTCAAATCTCACCCTTTTCCCTTCAAATAAAAAGGTGTTGCTGAAATCGTGGATTCGAAACCCTGGGTTTGCTCCAAAATAGAGTCTTGGCTAATGAAAAATTAGGGTGAATGAATTTTGTATAGTTCGTACTGTTTTCATCAGCCATCTGCCAAAAAAAAAAATTTATTTATTTTCATGAGTTTCTGAAAGGATGATGATGATGGAGACAGATTAGATTAGAACAAGGAGGGTGTAGCTGTTAAGTACATGATGGGATTTTTTGGTTTCTTTTGCTGTTTGTTTTTCAATTCCACCTGCTCCTAAGTTTGGCCTTAGGAGCCAGAATTTGTCTTCACCTCAACAACTACAACAAGAACAAAGCTAGAGTGATGTTGATGAGGTGGGGCTGTTGTTGGCTTTCAAACAGTCTTCTGTTCAATCTCATCCCCAACAACATCGTTTTGGTTCTTCTCTGCTTCAGAGTTTTTTTTTGCCAATCGTTGGGAGGGGATGGGGGATATCAGTTAAATTGATTCTCTACAAAATTTTGCTAATATTAAGCGTCAAATCTGGGTGCCTATTTGTGGGGGAGGGGGGAAAATTACTGCCAAACCACCGCAGCTAAACCCCACTGGCCTTCTCTGCTTCAGCTTGATCTCTCCAACAGTGAAGAAGTACAGGAAAAAAAATATCTGGTCATCTTTATTTTTTATTTTTCACCCTTATAACAAATTTACCCTTATAAAAATAACAAATTTACACTTATAAAATGACTAGAGTGCTTTTATTTTCTTAGATATTTTTATAAGTGAAGAAGTAGAAAAAAAAAAAATTTAATTTAACAGTGAAGCATATGACTAACATGTGACTTTTTTAACAGAGATTTGAACGGAAATTGTCAGAAACTAACGATAGGGGTGAAATTGGCCATTAAATATAATACGAGTGACAAATTGGTTGAAAAATTAATTCATGATGAAGATTTCGACAAGCGTGATAGTTCATGGAGATATTCAGCAGTTTACCCAAGTCACGCTCATTCAAGGGGAGTTCTTAAGAATTCCGAACCTTTACATTTAGAGTACACGCATTTTTCGCATTTCACTTCATTTAGGCAATTGTAATAATTCAATTGTTTAAAACATGACATGTCATCTATAGCATAAAGTTCAGTTCTTTTTATTTTTCATTGTTCTTAACTGACGTTAGTGTTGACGTTATATCTCCACCTCTCTTGTCTCCTCCCTCTCCTCGATTCTTTCTTGTTAGTATCTCCCAATTCCCACTTCCCCTCAACACTAGTTCAAAACCCAAATAAAGTTGGGTATATCTAAATCAGATTCCAAGTGAAAAATTATCAATTAAATTTTAGAAAACCATGTCTGCTAAGGCATCAAAAAGACCCACACCCTAAATTGAATTTCCTATGTTTTATACAACTTCAACGGATTCAACATAGAGATATGCTGGAGCTTCTCTCTTCTTCATCATTCCTCCAGGTTTGAGTTGACGACATGCGACCTAACTTGGGACTCCAGCCTGAGCCCCTTGAGCTCTCCTTTGTATTTCTCCGAGTTCTTGGCTCACTCATTGGGTTCTTGGCTCACGCACGAATTCAATTGCGAAATTGTTGAATCAAATTTCAAGTGGAAAAGCATCCATGAATTTCAGATACAAATCTGAATTTTTAGGATTTGAACTAATGTTGAGAAGTAAGGATTGCTGGGATATAAATTGGGAGAGAGGATCGAAGAGAGGGGGAGGGGAGAGAGAGATAGAGATAAGAGAGGGAGGAGAGAGTGAGATGAGTTTTTATCAAAAATAGCCCAAATTTACCCTATACTTTCATAAATGTCAGTTTTGTAAAAAACTTTTAAAAATAGCCAAAAACTAACTTAAATATACTCAAATGCTCTCAAAACTAAAACCCACATAAAAGTTAAAACTACTATTATTTGATTATATATATATATATTTGGACAAATTCTGGAAACATTAGGAAAAGGAATCGCAATTGTGGATCCCGCTTCCATCTTCTAACTATCCATTCCATCACTCACGTCCTAAGCCCAGAAGCAGCCCCCTCCTTCATCTCCATGTAGAGCACTGATCACATACAATACACACTTATATTCAAGTCAAAGTAGCTGATTCCTCAAGCCCATCTTGGTTGTGCAAAGTATATGAGAGAATATAAGTTTTTTTAAAATTAAAATTAAAATTCTTCCATCATGAACATTAAAGAAGCATGATGGATTCCAGTAAAAACAAGAAAAAGAACCATGTTGTCCAGTAAAGGGATGAACAGATACAAATCTGATACTGCAATATTTAAGATGACATTATGCAGTATCATATCATGTATGTATGACTCACTTCATAAATAGGTCCAAATTATTATAAGCATAGAATTAGATAGTTAAGGATCAAAACTTGTATATATATGTTGTGGACTGTTAAGATCCATGAGCCACGACCATGCTTGGCCCTGCATATGTTTATTAAAAAAACTAGTAGACCGAACAAAGAAGCAAGGGAAACACACACAAAATATAAGTAACGGCACTTATAGTACAGGGAGTTTGACTAGTGCTGCAAACATGCCTACTAAATTCTAAATTTTTATCTAGTAGGGTTTTGCATTTTAGATTTATGTGGTTTTAGTTTTAAGGGTATTTGAGTCTATTTAAGTGGATTTTTGGCTATTTTTGAAAGTTTTTTACAAAACTGACATTTATGAAAGTATGAGGTAAATTTTGACTATTTTTTATAAAAACTCTAGTGAGATAAAGATAGAATAAACAAATAAAAAAAATAAAACCAAAATTTATGCTATTGATGATATGTCATGTTTTAAACCATTGGATTATTATAATGGCCCAGATAAAGTGAAATGCAGAGAAATATAGAGACTCTAAGAGCAACTCCAGTGGAGCCCCCTTGCCTCGAGTTAAGGGGAAAAAAAAAGCAAAAATTGGTTTCTAGCGATGAGCCCAAGCCTGGGCTGGGAGTGGGTCCTATGAAGTCGGGTTGGCCTGAAGGCCAGTTCATCCCAAGGTCGAGCTCGCGTGTTGGTGACGTCATGTGCGACGTCATCGTTGGTTTAAATTTTTTTTACCGTTGGTGCGTGCAGCGCGCGCTGACGTGAGCCCTGCGTAGGCTCCAACGGGTGGAAGCCATGTGTCACACCCCCCAACGCTCCAATCTGCTTCTCCGAATCCAATCCAACGGCTAGCATTTTTTTGGCAATAAAATTATGAAAAAAAATTGAATTTTTTTTAAAAAAATACTAAAAAATTCTGATTTTTTTTTCTTCCTATAAATACCTATCAATACCCTTTACTTTCAACACCAATCCTCATATATTTTATTCTACTTCTACTATTATTCACTCTTTACTCAACATTTCCTCTATTTCACCTTGTATTTTAATTTCTTATTCTTATAGCTTCTTATATCGAAATTGGAGGGGCGTGGAGCACCATGGAAGATGTTTCCTTGTGTGAGGCTTGGCTCCAAGTTTGTCATTGTCCCATGTCAGGCAATGAGATGAAATTTTTTCATATGTGGAAAAAAATTCATGCTGAATTTTGTGAAAAAATTCCGGAGTCGACTCGTACGGAAATTGTATTGTCTAGTAGGTGGAAAATTCTCAATAAAGAGTTGAGAAAATGGAGAGATGCCTTGGCAAAAGCGATGCACAACTATAGAAGCGGGGAAAATCATACTAACGAGGTAAGTATTTTGTAATTTTCGTTTTATTAAGTTTAATGTCCTAATATATATAGATTTTGTTAATATTTATTGCATTTTCAATATTTTGTTAATATTTCTTGCATTTTAAATATTTTGTTAATATTTCTTGCATTTTCAATATTTTGTTAATATTTCTTGCATTTTCAATATGTTGTTAATATTTCTTGCATTTCCAATATTTTGTTAATATTTCTTGCATTTTAAATATTTTGTTAATATTTATTGCATTTTCAATATTTTGTTAATATTTCTTGCATTTTAAATATTTTGTTAATATTTCTTGCATTTTCAATATTTTGTTAATATTTCTTGCATTTTCAATATGTTGTTAATATTTCTTGCATTTCCAATTGTTTCTTAATATTTCTTGCACTTCCAATTTATTTGTAAGGTTCATTGCATTTCCATTATTATTTTTTGTTACTTGCATATCCAATATATTTTAAATATTTCTTGCATTTCCATTTTTTTTTGTTAAATAGATTATTCAAGCACAGATGTGGTTCGGTGCAATCGGGGGTGGCAAAAAAAGTTTCAACCATCATAAATGTTGGGAGGTGGTGAAATATTGCAAACGCTTCATAATTATTCACACGGGTCCCAAGGTTATGTTAAACGAGTCGCCACTCCATGATTTAATGACATCGGATTCACCTATCAATTCCCCTATGAGTCAAGACTCACCCATAGAAAAGGAGTCGAGGCTCATTGGCCGAAAGGCTGCGAAAGCAAAGAAAGCAGGTAATTCGAGCAATAATAATTCAAAGTTTTGGAGGAAATTGCAAGGCAAAACGCTATAAGAATTGAAATGGAGCAGAAACGCCAAGGTAACGAGATGAAGATAGCCGAGTATGCACGAGAAAGGGAGTATTTGCGCAAAAAAGATGAGTACAAGACGGATCGGGAAACTATGGCGATTGATACAAGCCATATATCCCCTGAAACAAAACAATTTTGAAAGCTAGAACGAAAGGATGTTATGAGAAGAAGACTTTTCCAGGATGATGGGCCTAGCAACACAGATTGGTTAAATGATGAAAACCATTAAATTAGTTGGCATACCTTTTATGTATTTGTATTTTTCATGTTTTCGATTAGAAATTTGTATGAACCCAAAAATTTATTTGAATTTTGAATTTTGAAATTCATCCGAAATTTGAACCCAAAAATCTTATCCGAAAATTTTATCCGATTATGAATAGTCTTGCCACGTAGGAACCCGGAAATCTCGTCCAGCCCACTATCATTTAAAAAGAAAAAAACAACCCCAGCCCCCTGCATGCCACCATTGGTAATTACAAATTTATTTTTAAAAAATTTATTTAAAAAATAAAAAGTTTACAAAGAAGATGCACAACAGATCTTAGGCCTTCTCCAACTCATGAGGGGCTAAACCCAAATTTTCCCCTCAAAAAAGTAACTATTTGGGTTTTGTCCGGACTCAAATCGTTTTTCTCCCCAATTATTCAGACTTAAATTTTATGTCCGCAACTTTATTAAATTGTTTAAAAATGGCTTAAGTCTAATTTTTATTTTTATTTTAATGGAAAAAATTTTCTTCATTTAATCTTTTTAAATAACGTTATGATATAATTTTACTCCAAAAGAACAACACACATTTAAAAAAAAAAAAAAAAAAAAAAAAAAAAAAAAAAAAATTGAAACACAAAAGAAAGAAAAGAATGAAACAATTGTCGAAAGTTCAATTTCACCATCTCCAAAGCTGCTCCAAAGGTGATTGATTAAATCATGTCGGAGACTCTGATGCACATGTGGAGATCGAACTCTATTATGACAAATCATGTAATCAGAGAGTCTGCCTATCTTGGTGGTTCTCGTATGTAATACTTGGCTCCAGCTCATATTGTCTTGCTCTGGCCCTCTTGAATCGTTGTGGACACATATCCTCATCATCAGATTCCTCTTCAACATATTTATACTCATCCTCTACAATCATGTTGTGCAAAATTATACACATCATAATTGTTGAGTGGAGGTTATTCTTGCACCACATACGTCAAGGTCCCCGAACAATAGCCCATCAAGCATGGAGTATTCCAAATGCTCTTTCAACATCCTTCCTGTAAGCTTCTTGCATTTGTGCAAAAAGACTCTTCTCCGGGTGATCATGAGAAGAGATGGTTTTAACCAAAGTAGCCTAACGGGGGTAGATCTCATCTGCCAAATAGTAGCCCAAATGGTATTGATTTCCATTGACAATATATTTAACATGAGGAGCCACTCCATATACCACATCATTGAACAATGGAGAATGAACTAAAATTGTAACGACCCAGTCCTAAATAAATTTTTAATTATTAAGTTATTCAGATAAAAGACCATTTTGCACATGAAATATTTTATTAGGTTTAAAGTTGACTTTTTGACAAGAAGGACAGCGGCGGATCCAGAAATTTTTCAGCGAAGGTGCAATTCTTAAAGCTAAAAGCTCAAAAAACCAAAAAACAAAACAAAAAACAACTAAATATCCTTATAATTTAAACAATACTAATGTTTAAATTCCATGAGCAAGTTACCAACCAAAATACAAGTGCCTCTCTGTCTGGACTAGACTACAGTCCAGAACATACTACACAGGGTTTAATGAATCTATAGATATATTGGGGAAGTTAATTAACTGTTGAGGCAAGTATGTGTTTGTAATCTGTTGAGTTTTCTATTCAAATTTGATACAAAAAGTTAACGAGAAAATCTGCTGCTGCTGCTGCTACTGTGGCTAGGATGACTTCTCTTTCCCCTTTTACTGTTCTTTCTATTTTTTTTATTTAAAGGAAGTCATGACAACAATTGGAACAAAATCAATGCAATCCTCAACTGTGCCCCATGATCATTTCATCTACTGACATTGGTCTTCATTTTGTTGGAAGAGGTTTCGAGTTCAAATCCCATAATAAACAAGGCAATTTTTTTTTTTTTTTTTTTTTTCTAGAAAAAATCTCTTCGTTCAAACTAAACTAGAACAAGGGAACAAATTCTCTTCATGGTTTTCTTTTCCTTTTGTAGCTGGGCCATGGAATAAACCATTGTAACCCTCACATTTCAATATTTCAGTGAATTAGTAAGTAGAAAGCAAATAATACTGTGAACTCTTGGAAAACATAACTTATTTACGATTCAAGATACTTTTTTTACAAAACAAAAAGTAGAGCCAACCTAAGAGGCAGCTCGAACCTAACATATAATATTAACCAAAAAAGAGTTTAAATTAACAAGCTCAATGAGCTAACGAACATAAAATCATATCCTATCCATCTATGTAGAACCCCGCCTCTCCCCCCACCCTTGAAAAAAAAAAGATCAGACAAACTTTTTGGTAGATTGAAGTCAAAGCCACTTCCCTGAGGAGCAACGGGTTCAGGATAAGACAAATCAACTCGATGAATCATCTCTTATTTCAAAGAAGTGGTTCACCAGAAGCTCCTTGCAGCCTTGTGGAGGACAAATCACAGCAGTGCTTCACTTGCGCATTTCATCAAACAACTTCCGTGCATGAGCAGAGGTGCAACTTCAGCAGCTTCTATGGAGTTTTCCGGCGACCGGAGGTGCAGGTGCACCTCCTTGCGCCTGCACAGGTCTGCCAGTGAAGAAGGAATGTCGGAATTTCAACTGTACCGTTGCGTAGAACACGGCGAGATGAGTCCGTAGACACGTAGTAAGCTTGAATCGGAGCTGTAACGAAGAAGTTACGAGCAAAACATCTCCAGTGGCACAATCATAATTATTACGAAAAGGGTTTGATAAAATGTGATCTTTCTCTCTCTCTCTCTCTCTCTCTCTCCTCTCTCTCTCTCTCTCTCTCTCTCTCTCTCTCTCTCTTAGAAACTTCGGCCACCAGCCACAACAACGGACGGGACCGGTGCCAAAAGGACTGGCCCAACCCAAGCGTCAAGACCCGGCCTTTCCCCGACATCGGCCGCCACTCCAGCCGCCGAAAAAAGCTGAGAAACGACCATTTTTCCCTCGATTTTTGTCAGCTTCGTTCGCCCTCGTCCGGGCACCAACTCCGGCTAGTAAGGTATGCTTTCTCACCTATTTTCCATGATCTAGCTGATGGTTAAGTAGGATTTTATCAATTTTGAGCCTAGGTAGTTCGATTTTCGAATTGGATTTCGGTCGATTTTGGGATCGCGATTCCTACCACTTCCGGTCACTTTTTGGGGTAGGCCTAAAAACAAAAGCGACTCTAAATAGGGTGTTACACCTAGGGTAGGAATCTTGAGCTGTGATTTTGAGAATTCCCGGCGAAGTGTTATCACTTTGGACACCCATGTGCTGCCGGCGAGTGTGGCGGCATGTGGGCACTGTAGAAAAAGGGCATTGTGTCCCTATGCGATCTCCTAGTCCTCACGAGCACGTAGGTGTGCTTGGATTTCAATTTGGATACCGTTTGAGTATCGAACGGATTTCACCTTATTGTACGTCATCCAGGTTCGATAGATTTGAACTGTTGGATCGTGTTGAATTTAAAGTATGTTAATCTAGGCATTCCTAGGATCGTGTAGGAATTCACGGATCGTGAATCGGAGCCCCGGATGTTCCGATTTAATAACTTGAAGTTTGTGTTTTACAATAATCGTCCGATCGTGTGATCGCAAGCGATCCGACTGTTCGATCGGGACCAAACTTGCAGGACATGTATCCTAAACCTTGTGGAACCTATAGGAACTTTCGGATCGGAAATCGAAGGTCGTGGGCCCTGTGTGCCCGTTTGATCAAGTTTGGGTAGTTTGACCCCTTGTTGACCATGAATCTTCCGAGATAGTTTCACCTTTCAAGGAGTATTAAAATGACCTTATTGACAAGTCTTGACCGTTATGTGAGTTATGTTGATTACGTGGGATTATGAGATTAATTTATTGTCTTAAACTAGGGGAATTATCGGATGTTATATTGTTATTTGAAGGTTTGAATGATTTGACGATGAGTTATATAAAGGGTCAAGTTATTTGTGATTAAGTCTTGGATGGATGTTTAGGGGAAATCGGGAATTGGATATTATGGTTTATTGTGGAAAGTTATATGATTACATTATGTAAAAGTACATACTTCCCATACGTGGCGTTGGAATTTCCGGCGTATGGGAAGAATGTATAATTATTTAGTCTCACACGTGGCTTTGGAATTTCCAGCGTGTGAGACACTTCCCATACGTGGCGTTGGAATTTCTAGCGTATGGGAAGATTATGTGGTTATGAGGTCTCACACGTGACGTTGGAATTTCCAGTGTGTGAGACACTTCCCATACGTGGCGTTGGAATTTCCGGCGTATGGGAAGATTATGTGATTATGAGGTCTCACACATGGCGTTGGAATTTCCAGAGTGTGGGACACTTCCCATATGTGGCGTTGGAATTTCCGGTGTATGGGAAGAATATGTGATTATTAAGTCTCACACATGGCGTTGGAATATTACGGCGTGTGAGACCCTGTGATTTGTTATGGATTATCACACGTGGCGTTGGAGAATTCCGGCGTGTGGTAAAAGAATAAGGAGAGGATAAAGGGATTATTTTACTATATCGGGGAAAGGTTGATGCTTAGAAAGAATAATGTCTAGTGTGTTGTTATTTAAATTAAAAGGGAAAGGAATAATTCTAGAATTTGTTATTTTGTATTGTTGTCATTGATTGTATGTTATTGAAATCGGGATTTTTGTAGAAAGAACACGTGTGGCTTGATCCCTCATTAAGGGTATGTAGGCAGCCTAGGGTAGTGCCTTGGTGCAGCTGCAGGCTAAATTACTTATGTTGTTTTATTGAGTTTGGTGCTGACCTTGTCGTTGGTCCTGAAACTCTGATGAAACCGAGGTGCGATTGAATAGTTGATCATACCTCTGGTTGGCCAAGGGAGGGTTGTGTAAATGGGTTCGAGTCATACAAGTGAAAAACCCGCTTTGGATTGTTGTACGATTTGGGCTGAGGCCTTAAACTACTTGCATTTGTGTTAGGAGGTTAAACCTCGCATGATTAAAATTTGGGAAGTTAATTTATGTTATTTGCAGTGGGCATTCATATATAAGTTTGAGTTTATTATATGCATTGTTTGCATTATTTTGATTTAAGAACATTATTGGCAGTTCTGTTTCCAATTATGTTAAGGCCGGAGGCCAATTATGTGAATTGCATGAAATTATATTGTGCATGCTGCTTGTTGGGATATTAGAATTGTGAATTTTGAGCAGGTTGAAATTTTGGGATTTATTCAATTTACAGGGGAGACTCTGCCAAAATTTTGGTAGAAAGTCTCAGTCTTTAGTAAGTGGGTTCGGCATCCATGTGATGTCGGAAATTTCCACAAGATTCGTTTCGGGTTCCGAGGAAATTCGGAGCGGGTCCTGTCAAAAATGTTGATATCATTGTTGGATCCAGCGGCTCCAAAAAAGGCATGTCATATTCCTGTGTCGTACGAGGCCATGGCTTCTCGCACACATTTTTTTTTTTTTTTTTTTTTTTTTTTTTTTTTTTGGTGAACTGTAAAATAGTTGCCTAAGAAGATGGGCACTTCTTCCATTCCTAGTGTATGCAATCAAGACTTCCTAACATGCATGGGAAGCCTCGACTGCTTGCCTTGTGCAATAACTTGTAAAGGTCAGCTGGATTTGGAGACCTAAGGTATCATTGGCCATACACGGCTTCAACAAAGTAACAAAACTCACGGAGTGATTCAAGAGTTGTGCTTTCACCCAATCTACAGTACTTGTTGGTTGCGTTAGCCGAGCATCCCCATGCGAGCATACGAAAGACAGTGGTTAACTTTTGCTAAGGGGATAGCCCTTGTCGGCCAAACCAGTCTTTTTTTTGACGAAAGTATGACTCATGGTTGACAACATCATTCAAGATGCGGTAAAACAACTCCTTCCGCATTCGAAACTACCTACGAAAGTTTGTAGTATTAAAATGTGGCCTTTCAACGAAGTAGTCGGACATGAGGTTGCGATGGCGATCTTCCCTCTCATGGTTCTTATACTCACGATCGAGTACCGACCCATCATGTTTAGTGGCTTCATTCTCTAGTGAAGTATGGGGGACAATGGCTTGTATCACTCTTTGATGATGTTCCTCATCAAACATTAAGGAAAAGATGGCATTGCCACAGTTATCCATTGAAAGCTTCAAATGATATGAAAAGTATGAGAATGAAGAAGATGATGTGCCTGAAATGATATCAAAAGTATGAGAAGGAAAAGAGATTAATGAAATTGACCAAGTAAAAATAAATTGAGAAATAGAAAAAAAAAATTTGGTAGATTAATTGAGAAATGGGTGAGTATTTATAGAGTGTGGAGTGAGTTTTGGGGTTGGATCTGATTTGGATTAATTTAAAATATTATTTTGACCGCTTGATTTAAATTTTTTTTTTTTTTTTTTTTTTTTTTTTTTTTTAATATAGCTTAAATTTAATATAGATTGTTGATTTAAAGTTACTATTATAATATTTTTTTTTTTTTTTGAAATTTGAATTGCAACGGCAACTTCAGTTGGAGCTGACACGTGGCACCTGTTGCACCAGTCCAGCAAATAAAGCCAGCAGTGCTGGGCCCAATCTCTTTTTTAAAGTTACTATTTTAATTTTTTTGAAAAAAAAAAAATATTTGAATTGCAACAGCAACTTCTGCAGGAGCCAACACATGGCATGTGCTACGTCAAGCTAGCAGACAAAACCACCAGGGTAGGCCCCAGTGTCTTTTCTTATGCACATGGGCTGTGCCATCTTTGGTGGGCTCCACTGAATAGTTTTGGGTCCATGCAATACTTGGACTGATATTTGGGTATAAGTTTAGGTTTTCCCAAATTTTGACCCCTTCATTTTCTTGGGTTGGGAGATGTTTTGGGTAATAATTTGGGATATTTTGGGTTTAGCCTCTTGTGTTGGAGATGACCCTACTACTATCAAAAGTTTTGGAAAAAAAAAAAAATTGTTGAGGCACAAAAAATCCAAGAAAGGGCCCAAATGTATTTCAAGCCCGATGCAATACTTCGTTGTAAAAGAAGCTCGAACATGATATGCAAAAATCTATCACATGGTTACAAAGTGCCTACACGAGCTTTGGTATGTGTGCCACTCTAAGCAAATCCTTAACCCGAGACGTAGGGAGTCACAACAAGCTCGTAAAGATGTACCGGTTTTGTGAACTCGCTCTCATTGTCTCGTCAAACATCACCTAGCCCAACCATAGCCCATTGCAATACGACGAAGCCCAAGCACAAACACACAGATAACGAGCAGAGCCATGTAAAACCCCCTATTTTTGCCTTTACAAGCTCATGTAAGAAACGAGGAAAGAAAGGGAGATGAAGCGTTGCCAAGGATGGAAAGTCTTGCATAGGCTAGCTGCAGGAAGACTTTGGAGCTCCAAAACACTTTGTCCTATTGTGCTTGAATTAAGCAAGTTTCGCTTAAAATGATTGAATTGGAGAAAGTGAAAGGAAAATGGAGAAGAAGACTTGGCAAATTTGGGGAGAACCAGCTAGGGTTTTCTGGAAATAAGGGGCTTCCAGCACCTATAAAAGGAGGCATATGCTATCCATCAACTCGACCCAAGCAATCTCTCTAGCTACACGAATACCCTTAAGCTTCCCCTTCCATATGGTTTTTCTACTTGAAATCCTCATTCCAAACACCACCAATCATTTCACATTCCCTCTGAAATAGTCCAATCTCTCTCTCTCTTGCTAAATTCGTGGAGGCTCAGCTTACACACCACAAGCTACTCAGACCAAGCCCAGGATTGTGATTCTCCATAGTTATCAAATCTTCTTGGTGAGAGAGACTGAAGCACTCCCTAAGAACCCATAAACTTTTGAAGTGCATTGGGGTCTGATTCTTAAACTCAGGCAAATGGTCGACATCACCCACTTTCTCTTCATAGCAGTCCATGCCCATAAAGAGCTACCGGGATGAAAAAGCTCCTACAAATACATATCAAAAGTAATTTACAAATACATATCAAAAGTAATTTAATAAAAAAATATTCAAGAATAAATTATTGAACATATACAAGTATTTGAGGAACAATGTCCCTTTTTGACCAAAACCTTAGCTACCATATTAATTTCACGAAACATATGTTGAATAGGAACTGAAATCGTGTAGAACATTGGCGATTACAATGGTGCAAGGATTAAAGAATGTAGCAGATTAGAAAATTTTGAAAATACTCAAACTTATGTCTTGGGTAAAATAAAAAAAATAAATTATGCATTTTTTCACCTTTCACAATAGAGAGAGAGAGACATCAAATCCCACACTAACTAAACATTTTGAAGCTTAAATAAGTAATCAAACACATATGATTCATGGTTTGACAATAGATATTATAACCCTTTTTTATTCCTTTCTTTCTAAGGAACTTTAGCTTGGGAAAAGGGTGTACCGCCCTGCCCTCTTCTCTTTCTTTTCTCCCCCTCAACATTAAAATTAGCATAAAAAGGTCACATGAAAGCCAGGAACACCCACATTTCAATTACTCTCTCCAACATACACACACACACACATATATATATATATATACATATGTACATATATATCTCTCTCTCTCTTAGTCCATTAAATTTGAGATCAAGCTGTCAAATAAACTTGGGAAATTTCTCTTTAGGGTTCCTCTCCTCCTCATACATTTAGGTGCTCCATGCTTCCCCTTCTCCTCTATCTTCTCCTCCTCTTATTCCACCATGGCCTTGAGAATTCCTCATCACCTTCTACTTTTCACCATTCTCTTCCTCTCCCTCCTCTTCTTATTCTTATTTCATGAATACTACAACTCCACCATCAATCTTCACAAACAAATCATCATCGGCAGCAGCAGCCACACCATAAACTCCTATTCTCATCATCATCATTATCATCATCATCACCGTCCCTCTAATTTCATCACAAGAAAAGTGTTAGCAAGCAAATTTGACTTCACCCCATTTGTACATCATCGCCAACAACACCAAAGATCAAAATCTTCACGGGGTGATCACCACCACATGCAACCACAATCGGAGCCCTCAGCCGATGGAAACGAGATTGATCCACGTTATGGTGTTGAAAAACGACGTGTCCCCACCGGTCCAAACCCACTGCACCATTGATCGTATATATCATCACCGTTAATTTCTCAGGTGAAGTGAAGAAATAGAGGAGAAGCGTGAGAGAGAAGATATTAATGTTAGTGGAGCGTTTATTATGACGTATGATGTTTTATTTTTATTTTAAATTTCCTTCTCCAACTCTTTTATTTTCTTTTCAGAAAACTATAATGTGAGAGTATGAGGTTGTACATGTATGAAGGGCTGGTCGACAACACTATAATTGTTTTCATAATGAAAAGGAAGAATTAATTAACACTCCAATTTTTATTAGGTTTTCCAGTGCATGATTACCATGATATCTGTATAAACGCTTTTACGATTTTGGTGGATTTTAAAAGTGATCGCAAAGGAAGAAACAAGAGTAGCTGTGACGGCACGGCACATTTGAAAGGAGCATAATTTACCTGTATTATGTATAGCTACACCATCCATTACCATAACGATATAGAGATTTATGAATATGAATATAGAATAAAATTTCTTGTATCGGAAAGGAAGATGTTACCGTAAATTGTCAAATTTCTCGACTAACTTTATGATGAGTGATTACCACTCCATACAAATTTCGGAAACTAGTTTAAAATTCTAAACATGCTCAACCATTTGAATGATTAAAATTGACTCAAAATTGAAAACTCATATCATAAGCTTGAAAAACTATTATATGCTAGTATGACTTAGATGTTGTTATCATTTATGAAATAACTTGCCTATGTCTATTCGGTCATTAAATTGTATTTAGTTCAACATGAAATTATTAATTGTGTGTAGTCGAAACTTGATATTCCAATACATTCCAATTCAAATTCAATTTTTATCGGAATTTTCATATATCGAAATTGATTTGGACTTGCCAAAATTGAAAATTATCAAAACGAAATCGATCGGAATCGAATTTTCCAATCCAACTTGTACCCCCTACATGGGAGACGCCACTTCATTGTCAATTTCTTTTGTTTGATAAGACACTCAATTGTCACTTGTAAAGGTAGGGCATGGTCACTCTCAAATTAATAGACAAATAAATAAAAAGAATAATAGGTAGGGTGGCAGCAGAATTTGTCTGGCATCATGTGTTCATACACCAAAATGGCAATTTGAAGGTTTTTCGTAAATATGTTCATTAGTGCACTGAGATGGTGAGACCATATAAGAAGGCTGCAGTGACGAATACTAAAGTCAGCTAGGCAATCAATTATAATCATCACTAATTAAAGAAACCAAATTTTCATCATCAATCTGTTTGAAGGAATCCACTTATGCGTTTTGGGGTAAAAGAATAATTAATCGCATGCCGGGTGATATCAGAAAACCTTCATCGATCTTTCTATTAGCTATTATCATTTTTTGGACAAATTAAGTTTTACACTTTGTAGCAATCTTTTCCATGCGTTTTCTTATAACACAAAAGGAAAATATTTTCCTCCTTACCAAGTTATAAGCATAAGGGTTCCTACATTCCTGCCAATAACAGTGTGACATGTGTGCATACATTTTTCTTTTTGTGTTTTTGATGAATTATTTTTATATATGTGTAATTCGCAGGAAATATGAGTATCTCCTTATAGGTAAAGAGGCAAGCAATATTCAATATTTTTATTTCTTTTGTACATTTAAAATCCAACTTCAAACAATAATTGAAACATACGTGCTTGGATGACATCTTCTACTTGTATGTGTTGCTAGGTTTGCATGATCTGTGGGATCTATAGAAATTATATAAATAATTTTACTTATTTATTTAATTCATTTTATTTTGGTAGGCTAGGTACAATATTACAGTTTGCGTTGGCTGAGATTCCTATCCTAATATATCTTTGGATCCTCTCACCTGCAACTAAAAATGCGATGTGCCAACTTATGAATGTTTGTCTTCCATCAAACACCATGCATGCACTGTGCACATTGGCCTTCCACTCATCCCCCCCACCCACGGTTTGGGCGACAACCAGTATATTTCAAAGGGTTTGCCGACTTTCCCTATTTGCTTCACCAATAATGCATTTTATTTCCTTTATTTATTTATTTTCGACCCATTTTGTCAACTTAATTTTGTCAACTTCGCTCTGATTATATTACAAGACACATTTCAAGAATCTTTCGTGGCCAATAATGTGACCCAAGGTCTTGTCAAAACAATTATATTAATAATGTACATTAATTTCCCTGTAAAAACATGACTGATTAATTAAAAAAATAATTCATTTAAATTAATCACTCCCTTCCACCGGCCACAACTAATTCAAACAAAATAATTAAAATCGCTAAACTCCTCCTCCTATATATGTATAAAAACCAAGGTGGTTCAGTCTTAATTTCAGTCCAAATTAATTGCATGCCATACAATTTACAAAATGGTTCGTCTAATTCCAGAAGTTGCAGCCAATGACCACTTTGGCTCAATGCCGCTAGCAATGGCCTTGTTCATCTCTGTCACAGCCCTTGTGGCTCTATGTGCCAAAGCCAAACATGGACGCCGAGCCCCACAACAAATCAATGAAACCAATGGCAAGGAAATTACTGGTATCTCCAAGAAACTCGTGGCCAGCATCAGCAACAAGGCAATTCCATTTGTGCACAAAAATAAAGGTGGCAGAGAAAATTTCAGCCAAGGGGATGAAGTTGAAGATGGGTTTGGAGAAGGAGGGGTTTGGCAGAGGTCAATTTTGATGGGTGACAAGTGTCAGCCACCTGAATTTTCAGGTGCGATTTATTATGATAGTTCTGGGAATCAGCTTTCTGAGCTGCCTCCAAGGTCACCTAGGGTTGCCAGTCCCTTGCCAATGCCTAGCTTTTTATCTCCCGTCGCTAGAGATGCAAATTAACTAGGCGAATTTAATTTCATATGAAGTTTTTTTTATGACGAGCAAGCAATCCATTTACTGTCTCAGATCAATTTTTTCATCTCTTGCTTTACACTTCAATGTCAATCTTAACGTCAATTTCGTTCATTTTTCACTTAAAATAAGATAGTATCATCAAGTAAGGTAAGGATGACACTCACCATGCGGACAGAACCTGCCAATCAAATGTGGCCACATGTCCATCTTTAAAAAAATAAAAAAAAAGAATTTAGGATGGGACTCACCATCTGTTTCCGTTTGGTTATTGAGAAAATTGATCTCGTTATCAATTGTAAAAGTGGATGTTCTAGAATGTATCTTTTTTCCTTAATAATGAGTTGGGAGGTGTAATTAGTGGTGGTCTTTGTGTAATATGGTAGTTAATTACCTCACAACTTGCAAGCCACACAAGGCTTAGAAAGACAATTTCTTTTTTTGGCAAAAAAAAAGACAAATCCCTTTTCACCAACAAATGCTACAAAAAAGATGGATGCACATTTGATGTGATCTGTAATTCAATTGGTAATTCCCTTTATATGACAATAAAATTGTGTCATCAAAAGAACAGGCAGGGTGGCATTTGTTTTTCACCCCAAAAAAAAGGGTGTGAAAAAGTAGGTAGAATGGGGTAAATAAAAAAGAGTTGATGAACTTTTAACTGAAGGCACGTAAAAGATAAATCTTAGCTTTTCATCCCCTTCAAATAAAAATAAATAGTAACAAGAATCTCATAAACCCCCAAGCCCAACTCCACTCCTCTGTCTGCTTTCACCTACTTCTGAGTTTTGACCCACCCAATGGCTTTGCTTCTCCTTCCAAATACCATCTCTTTTTCCCTTCTTACAACACCGCCGAAGGTACCCAGAAGTAGAACAAGAACAAGATTCGCGAGACACCGCCGGTTTCTGGCCTTGGCGGCTTCTCCGGAGTCAAAGGATGACAAGACTGCTTCTTCTCAGAAATCAACAAAGTTGGTCACTTTTTGGGGAAAGGTGGCTCCGGCAAGACCACCTCCGCCGTTTTCGCTGCCCAGGTATCTCTGTCTGTCTCTACATTGTATGCTAGCTCGGTCTATATATAATTTACTGTCTACTATGAATGAATTTGGTTTCTAACTTGTGTCTGAGTTAAAACTAAGAAAATAGTAGATACCCAAGTTAGAAAGCTAGTGCCTTTGGTTGAAATTATGGTTGTGGCAAGTGTTAATTATACTAATATTTCCTTTTTATGATGATTGACGGGGTTTTCTATTTAACATATTATATTCGTTAAGGGATAAGCCTAGAAGAAGAGACTTGGCTCAAGCATTTCATTTTAGCTGATTATATATGCTTGTGGAGATTGTATCTCAGAATTCTGACTTTCAAGGTTTAAGCATAGAATTACAACTTCAATTTGCACCTCTTCTTTTACTGTTACTTTTTGTTTAATGTTTTTCTCATGTTGGATTTTCAGCATTTTGCAATGGCAGGGTTTAGCACATGCTTGGTGATACACACTCAAGATCCCACTGCTGAGTTCTTTCTAAACTGCAAAATCGGAAGTTCTCCTACACTATGCAACAGCAACCTTTCGGCTCTTAGATTTGAAACCACCCAAGTGTGTTTTCCAAATTCCCTTTTCTGTTTTCCCTTTTTCATTCCATTCCAATAATGAATCTATGTGAAGAAGTTTGCTGCAAGTCACCTTAGACTCAAATTGAACCATTCTTGATCGTCTAGATGCTTCTAGGACCTCTGAAAGAGCTAAAGCAAGTGGATGCTCGTCTTAATACGACACAAGGAGTTCTTGAAGGGGTAGGTACGTAATATCATTTGAGGGGTTTAGTTGCATTTGAATGTTTTATCTGCAGGGGCCTTTATGATCCGTCTTTCTTTTCAATTGATCAGATAGTGGGAGAAGAGCTTGGGGTGCTTCCTGGGATGGATCCTATTTTTTCCGCGTTAGCACTTGAGAGGCTTGTTGGATTTTTAGGAATGCGGCCCAAAGAAACCACAACAAAGATAAATTTGATGTAATAGTATATGATGGTCTGAGCTCTGAGGAAATGCTACGAATGATTAGTGCAGCCAGTAAAGCAAGGTCCAGGGAGTTTCATCTCTCTCTCTCTCTCCCTCTCTCTCAAACATTCTTTCACATTCATAGGTTCATATTGATGTATTGACATGGGCCACATGTCTATGCACCAGGTTGTACTTGAAATATCTGCGTAATGCAGCTGAGAAAACTGATATTGGGAGGTTGGCGGGTCCTTCAGTTTTGAGGCTTGTGGATGAAGCCATGAGTATAAGCAGCAGTACACCCCATCGCAATGGGAAAATGAGCGCAGAAATATGGGACATTCTGGAACAAATGTTGGAGGTATGAATAATCCATATTTCCTATGACCAGAGTTTTTATGTACATCCATTGACATCCTGCATTGTTTCTGTGGTGCAGAGAGGGTCGTCTGCTTTCTCAGAACCTCAGAAATTTGGCTGCTACCTAGTGATTGACCCAGACAACCCAGCATCTGTTGCTACTGCTTTACGTTATTGGGGTTGCTCAATCCAAGCTGGTGCACAGGTCTCCGGAGCCTTTGCGATTGCTTCACGACATGTGAATACAGAATCAGAGGAAAGACTCAAGAAAACCTTTTCACCCTTGCCTTTTGCTTTCATTCCACATCTCCCCTTTGGTTCCCCTCTAGATTGGAATGCGATCATACTGAACACTGTCAATGAAAATGCACGGAATCTTCTTTCTTTGCCTGCAAGTGGCAGCAGTAGCGTAACACCCTCAGTGAAGTTTGATGCAGCCAGAAAATCAGTAACCCTTTTCATGCCAGGTTTTGACAAGTCAGAGGTCAAGCTGTACCAAGTATGCTAAGATATATTTAATTATTTAGTTCTTACCTATCTTTTTCGTTTTTTTGTTTGACTTGCCTCTTTCTCTTAGCTTCCTATGGAGTAAATCTACAGTTAGTCTTAGAGATGTTCGAGATAATTTCTTAACCATATGCACCTGCAGCCAACAAGTTTTATAAGCCCGTGAGCCTTGATGCATTGAGCATTAAGTAGCTTCAATTTGATAGAGAATACAAGTGTCGATTTGAATATTTTAGCAGTGGATCTGATGACAAATTGCTGATAAAGTTCTCCATTATGCTTTTCTTCTTTTCGTCCTGGTGGCAGATCATATTATTATTGTGATACTTTTCTCTGCCATTTGTCGTGCACTTTTTTTTTAGTGTGTGATATTGAGCATTTATTTATCTGCAAATGCAGTATAGGGGAGGATCTGAGTTGTTGGTGGAAGCAGGGGATCAAAGACGTGTAATTCAGCTGCCTTCTAAAATTCAAGGGAAAGTTGGAGGTGCCAAGTTCAACTTCATAGACAGAAGTCTTGTAATCACAATGCGATAGTGTAATCAAATTCTGATAATTTCATATATTTATAATCAATTGAGATGTATCATGTACCTCTTAGAGAAAAAGAGAGAGGGATTAGGAAAGCCGACATTTGTTTCTCTATAATCTCAATAAAGGTGGTTGGTTCTCACAATCAAGCAGACATTTATTTCACTATAATCTCAATACTATGATTATATTCTGTTGCGAAGCATATGAAATAAAGCTTGCACAACTACTCTTAGAAATTACTCTTCATGTGAATAATCTTTCTAACTTAATTTTTGTTTGGTTTGAATTGGACTTGTCCTTGTAATAAATGCTCAATAAACATGAAATTTACAACAGAAACAGGAGATTAAAAAGGAAAAAAAATTTCAATTAATTTACGGCTCCTGCTTATTATCTTCTGTTTGTCTGCTGATGCGGCCCCTTAGCTCTTCGAATGCCTTCATGCTCTCTGCATCAAAGCCTCCAGCAAACTGCAAACAGTTCCAAGTTAGCGTTTCATTTTTATATTATTTTTCTTTAAGATTTCAAAATTTTCACATTTGAAAACTATGTGTAACGAGGGGATCAAAAGTTGTTTATCAAAAGCTAAGAACACAATTTATTGCTGATTATGTTGAGCAATATTGACAACCTTAAGGTCCACTGAACGCAAATTTAATCAGCATTAACATGAGCGAAAATCAATTATACCTGATGAACACGGAAAGCAAATCGCACTCCTTGTAGTAGTATAAACTCTCTGTTCGGTTCCTTCTCAGGTCCACTCAATGCATCAAGTTCTGAAGCTACACGTTTCATATACTTTCTTGCCAATTGAACAGATGAGAGCTTGATCTACAACGGTAAACATATTAAGTGAGCTTGATCTTGCCAAATGACATGCAACAAAATCATAAAAATTTTAAGCAGCAACTAAGCACAATGGGATTTTTCTCAGTTTGTAAAGCATACCTTGCCAACAACGCCTGAATCCAATAACCAATCAACTGGAATTCCGAATTCCTTGCACCGTGAAATAGCCATGTCCCTTGTACGCAAGAGAGCATATACACTCTGTTCCACCCTGGAAACAAAACAACAGAACGCTTTAGAACAAAGAACAAAATCAAAGAAATGTTCTTGCAACCAGCACGTCAATGCATGAAAAGAAAGTTCATACTTTTCCAGCAATGAGTACATCTTCTTTAATGCAGCTTCGCATCGGAGTTTGGGATCATCAACAAAAGAGGAGACCTGCTTCTCCAATTTCATCAGGTCTTGATATTCAAATGCTGCTTCTCTTAGTGCGTCCACTTTTCCTTCAGGCCAATCAAAGTGCTTGAGGACAGCCCTTTCGTCAACCTACCAAAGGCAGCAAGAGAGATAAATAATTAATGAATATGTCTACAACATGAAGCAGCATGCCAATGCAGATTACCCAGATAGGAGGGCTTGTAAGTATACATATCGAATCTGGAAGGCACGAACAAGTTCAAGGATATTTTGAATGTTACAATAATAAGAGGGGAGCCCATATTGGAAACAAGTGTTGTAAGGAGTTCAGAGTTCATAATTTGGCAATAGAAGTGTCCTCTAACCATCTGGTGAGTGAAATTTTTTTTTTTTTTTTTAAAGGAACCTCTGAAAGCAATATTTTATCCAGAGGAAAAATAATGGCATACCAAGAAGGAGAGCTCTTCATCTAGCCAGTTCACAAAGGCTACCAGATCTTCTATGTTTGTGAAGGAAGCTGCTCGAACTTCAGCTGCCAATGACATGACAAAATCACCTTGAGCTTCTACATCAGCTTTCACCTGTATCCAGCCCATACATTTTTTAGTATTTGAAGCATTGAGTACTAAACACCACAGTTCATGCCTCAGATAAGAAGATAAATGAAATTTTTTTTAAAAAACGTTCTACTCACAGCTAATAGGAATGATGATTTGTTCTCAATCTCCCCAATCATGTTGCTCCTCGCATCAGATACATTAGATGATGAAGATATTAAAGATGATGTATCCTTCTTTGCTTCACGTTTCATCAATGACTGATAGAATTCAACCAGCTCAGGAGCACGGTGCACTTTATCAGCACTGCCTGCCCCTCTTGGCAGGCTTCCTGGTGGAGGAGGTGGACGAGGTGGTCCACCAGGTGGTGGTGGCGGCGGTGGTGGGCCACCTGGCGGAGGAGGTGGTACTCCACTTGAGGGTTTGGGAGTTGTATCAGCAGGGGCACCTCCAGATGCTTTAGGAGGCGGCCGAGGTACCCTAGGAGGCCTCTTCTCAATTTGGGCAAGTTTCATCTTGGTTATTGCTTGAGAATCAACAGCGTTACCATCGTTAGTTTGGTTGCTTGAATCACCCAAAATAACTGCCTTTTCCTTTATATGGGCAAGTTTGGGTGGTAAAGCTACTGGTCTCTCAGCTTTGGCTCTGGGTTCATATGTCAAATTTACATTTGATTTGTCACCAAACTTCTCTGCTCTTGCTTGCTGAGCTCTTTCATTAATTTGTTTTTCCCTTTCTAAGGCCAACTTATGCCGGTCTTTGTAAGCAGGATATTTCTCATCCAGAACTCCTTCAACCGACTTTGACATCAACTGGAAAGATGCTGCAACAGAATTAGGTGAGTCGCTAGAAGACATCTGTGTTCTAATGTTCGGAAGACTCGGAGTTTGAGGGGAGTCTGGAAGTTCCTGATCCACCTTCCCAAATGTAGTGATGGCTACACCGTCACCAGCATTCCTTATCATCAAGGATTCCAACGGACCCCTTGGTCGAACACTCATACTTGCCCTGCTTGGAGAGCCTCCAGAGAGAGATCTACTTGGAGATGAAAGAGCACTAGAATCATCTTTGCTTTTACCCCATCTTTTCAGCTTTTGCATTATACTAGGTTTCTTGCTGAGACTACTATACCGACTTGTGGAACTATCAATAGAAACATTGTCAAAATCCTCGCTTCCAGGGGAGGATGGATGAGAAAAGTTGCTTTCAATATCTGTATCCCCTTGCCCACGTTCTGATCCTGCATACTCCAACATCAGTTGTTTGGCCTTCTCCTGCGATTTGGGGCTCAGACTCTTGTTGAGATCACGAGCTGATACCTTTCCTTGAGGTGTCTGATAGTTCCGGAGCTCATACCTCAAGCATGCATTTACCCAACGAAGGTACACTAGCTCTTCAACTTCACTAAACCTGTTCATCTGAAGACCTTCCACTTGCTTTGACAGGTCCTCATTCGCATGCTTTAAATTATTGACCTCTTCTCTTACATTTGCAACCATATCACTCTGAAATAGTGAGGAAAAACACTGTAAGAATAAATTCAGACAAACATGTTTACATGCAGTGATTACAACTTGTTCCGTACATAATACCGGTTAAACAGCCTATGAAATTTCTACCAGCTTGCTGAATCAATTTCAATTTCAATAAATTATTTAATCTTCGCATCTCTAAGTTGTAGTCTCAATTTCAACTCAGAATAGTCAGGGACCATGTCGTAAACCAAAAATAGCCAAAGCTAAAAGAGAAACTACATGTCTGGCCAAAAAAACAAAGTAGGAAGAAGAAAAAAAGGGGGGGGGGAAACTTACATGGCAATGTTTTAAATATTCTCCCTTCCTCCCATACACATTAAAAAAAAATGACATACACATAGTATGCAATGCAAGAAAGCACTGAGACTAACCTCAGTCATGTTGGAGAGGGCTGCTACTCTTGCTTCAGCAGCATTCAATTTAATAGTTAGTTCTCTCTTTTCGATTTGAAGTTCTTTGTTCTTTCTCTTGAGTTCCATGACTTCCACCTCTAACTCCTTTACAGCTTTCAGCTTCTTTTCAATTTCAGCATCTTTCTTGACTGCTTCTTCCTCTTTTGCCTGTAAACCAGAAACTTGTTGTTTGAGCAACAGTAGCTGGCCTTTTGTCTGGTTAGCATCAAGCTGAATCTGCCTCTGCAACTCCTTGAGTTTGTACCTTGCCGCCTCTAGCTCCTTCTTGGCTGAAACTCCCTGCGCAATCTCTTCTTGAAGCTTCTTCCTCTCAGTCTGCAGAGAGTTAATAGTAATATTGAGCATGCCAACCTCCACTGTCTTTATCTTGAGCTGCCTTTGTAATTCGGTGACGTCTGATTCCTGTTCCTTCAATCCATAGTACTCAAGTAATTCACCTTCAAGCTTCACTTCTCTTTCCTCCAATTCCTTTACCAGATTACGCAACCGTTCCAGCTCACTTGCATTGTTTGCCATCTCAGTTTCATGTACATGTTTCTCTTTTGAATCCATCTTGTTAACAAGTAATGGGATTTCAATCTCCCCAGATAAAAGATCTTTAAATTCAGGTAAAATATCTTCATCTTCAATATCACCAGGTGAAATATCACGAGCACGGTCAAATATACTGCTAATTAATTTAACCTCTTCTTCTTCCTCCTCCTCTTCATCTTTCCCCTGCAGTTAAGTCAAAAAAATATAATCCTTTTTTATGAAAAGAAAAGGTAAAAAATTGCAAAACGCATAGGTAAAAGGAAGGGAACATAAGATTTGCTACCAATATTTTGATGTGGAAAAAGAGGAGAATTTGATAGAATTTTGTTATGTACTTACATCCTTTTCTCTGAGGCTATCATTAGAATATGTAAGTTGCTCTTCGTCTTCCTTCTCACTTTGATGTTTATAGTTTGGTTCGCCATTTTCTAAGTTAACAGTATCACCAGAAGAACTATAAGAACTCAGAATGACTCGCAATGAATATAACTCATATCTGGAATAAGATTACTAAATATGGCTCAGTTTCAATAAATCAACTGATAAAAGGCCAGGAACTGTTTTGGGAAAATAATAAAGATGTAATAGATATGAAACTCATTGAGATGAATACCTGAATGCCTGCTTGTTGAGGCTGAGTTTTTGACGTTGTGCTGCCTCGCTGCAAAGGCAGCAATAGAAGCAGCAACCAAGAGGCCTAACCTGACTATCATGAAGGTATTGCAAATAGGCAAAGCTCAAGTCCTCACTCATCTATAAAGATAACCCAATTCCAAAACAACCCGCCACCCCATAACTGATAGTTCAAACCATTAACGCCCTAGAAATGCAGCAAGAGCAACCCAGAATCTGTAATTCCCATGAGAGCTTAAGAAGACAATCCTTTTCCTATAACCATATCCAATCATGCACATCCCAGACGAGTTTAAAGAACTTGCATTTATAAGTATAATTAATATCCAAATCTAGCTATGAAGTATAAACATTCCCACACCATCAGCTATCATCTTCTTATCAGGTTTATAGACCTTTCACTCGAGAAGGCTTTGCTCTGTCGGAAGTTCTTGATAAGTAGAATTCCAGCACAGCTCTTAATGCTAAGAGCTACAGCAACCACCAATAACTAGTGGCCAATCTTCTCCAAAAGGTTTTACAATTCACATTTGGGTGGGTCCAAACATGTCACTGAAGATTTTAAGGATCATATATCGCTAAACAAGCCAAAAACCAAAACTTCAAAGTGAAAAGACACAAGTTACTTCAAAGTAAATTTGAACTCTTAGTTATGTTTATCTATGTTCGGCCGTTAAATGGGTGGGCATCTTTGTCTAAACTATGTCACTGACCTGGCCCAAAGAATAAATATTTCTGTTTGGTTTGTGTTCACTTGATTGAATCAAGCTTTTAGATTGATCAGAGCTCAAAGACAATATGACCAATCATTGCCATCTGATCCATTTGGTAGGCTTGGTACAGTTATTATTGTATGGCAGAGGATCTACAAAAATAAACATTGATAAAAGCAATTTTAGAAAGTGGGTCCAGATTTCCCAAATCAAAGGACTCGTAAGTTAAAGGGATGCTTTGTTTGGCTTATCACAGAATGAAGATGGGAAATTAGAAAGTGGGTTGATGACTGAAGATGGGGCTGGAATTTAATTCTCAGCCGCTAGCTTGATGGACTGGAGCAATGGAAGCCGTGTAGCCAAACACAAAGCAAAATAAACCACACTTTTGGGTGATTGACCTCAAACCCACTCGTATGCCTTTTTGGCATTTCATTAAAGCTTTGTTCTTTTGTGGTTGGTTTTGTGTGTATAAGCAGGTAAACAAGAATACATTATTTTCACTAACAATTCTGTTCAATCTTGTGATAACCAGTTAAAAAAACCAAAGAAAAGTCTACTCTTTTACTCATCCCAGTGTAGCTTTGTGATACAGAAATTTATCCCGAAGTGTAAATTATGACAGAAATGAAAAAAAGGCATAAAACAGAAGGTCAGGAATTATAGATAAGATTGAAGATGGAGATGTGGTCGAAGTCTGGCCAGCAAGATGACCCATGACAACAGAATCAGAGGCTATGCCTCCCAACTCCATCCATTGAAGGAGTTGTTTGGCCGAGGAATTTGTTGTTGTGAACTTGTCAAGAATCAAGAGGATGTTATTCAAAGAGAATGCAGATAAGTGTTGAGCAAAGCAGAAAGAGAACAAGAAAATCGTTTTCTGGGTTATGAATTCTGTGGGCTCCACGGCCACGGCAGAAGACAAACTCTATTATCTATAATAAAGTTGGATTTTTGGGGCTCTTGTTGCTCCATATGCCTCGTATTGGTAGGAAGCAAAGAGCTTGCAAGGCCTGAGAAGAGGAAACTACAACATACTCACCACTACAAATCAGAAAATGAAGGGTTTTCTTTTCACCAAATGAAACAAACTGGTGTCACTTTCGTGATTTAATTTATCCAATTGAGAGTACAAAACCAGACATAAACATAAAAAAATACATGAGATTTGGAGCTGGGTAAAAGTAAAAGCATACCATCCGGGCTTCACTTGAACTGATAGAGCAAGCAAACGTACAGTTGGGCTTGGTCTTGTTGGTCATGGCCAAAAGCTAGGATTTTCGCCAGAGAGAGAGAGACAACAGAGCAAGTCAAACAAGCGAAGGACTTGGGAAGAAAGAACTGAGCGAACGAAGAAAGAACTGAGCGAGCGGGAATAACTTTTTGACCGCTTTGCATTCATGCTTTCGTCTACAACATGCGAAATTACCATTTTACCCCATCTGGATGTGATTGTATATTTTCTAGCTACTCCATAATGCCAATATGAAAATTACGTGCTACCGTGGGGATTTCTTGTTATTTTTCTGCTTCGCATATCAAGTGCCCACAGTTGCTAATTTATTATGACCTCCTTCTGTGGCCACTTCTTGCTCTTGCTACTCCATAATGCCAATATGAAAAATGAATATCGCATTATTTTCCAGAACTTAATAATTTTTCTTCAATACTTAACACTATACGTTATGCACAAATTTATTAAAATTCCCATCCCAGTCGCATTCCGCCTTCAAAAGTTGTACAAGGAAATCCTGGTACACAGCAAAACAATCAGAAATTCCTTGTGTATCCCTCCACTCATGATTTTACATAACTAGTCAATAGGAGCCAAGGATGATCACGCCTGGCTATCCCATTTCCACCTTCGTCCAACCTCCTCGAGTACCTTGGCACGGGCTTGGCTTTTTCTGGCTTCGTCCTCTACCCAAGATCTGCATCATTACTTAAAATGATTAGAAAAAAAAAAAATTCATGCCATTTCACAATACGATTGAAAGTTTTCATGACAAGACATTTTCAAGCACGCTCTCTAGTAAATATATGCCTATGCATTATTATGAATAGTTGCAATCACGGTCGATACCTAAGAATCCGAATAGCTTCTATCTCAGCTTCGAGTATAGATTTCGCATCAAGCATACTTTCCTGCTTGGTCTCCAAATCACTGAGCATATCCTGCAAATCACACTTCTCGGCTACATAAGTAGACCTCTCGGATGCAAGCTTTTCTGATATCTCATTGACCTCTTCCTTGAGACTGAGAAGTAACTGCTTCTGACATTCCATAGCTGCCTTCTCCTTCAAAATCTCGGCAAAATTCTTTTCTTGTAAAATCTTCTCCTGCTCCAAATCACTAAGGGCAGCAAGATAAGCCTTCTCCATCTCAAGACCACGGGTTTTCTCTTCATTCAGTTTATCATTCCAAAACCTCTGTATGTCCTCTCTATCAAGCAATTCGGACCTGATATCTTCCATCTCTGCCTTCCTTGCAGAATTTTCAGCTTTTATTCTCAACAATTCAGAAGCAATTGCTTCTGTGATCCTGCCACTTGCCAGTGCCACTGCTGCTTGTGCTTTTGTTGAAGGTTTGTTTGGTTGAAACCGCCTGCACTGTCCTGCAAGATAATTATGTCATGGGGTTCTTAGAACAAACCTCATACCATATAATGGGAAAGAAAAAAAAAGTAAACATTTATTACCAGCCTACGCATCTGCTTATTAGTTTTCAACGTCTGTAACAATAAAGTATTGATCAAGTTTGTAACAAATCTTTATTTTCTTCTACTTTTAAAGGCTAAAACAACCCTTATTTTCCTACATTGTATCTTCAAATGATCTCTGGACATGGTACTGAGTTTGCACCCTGTGAATAGATATCAGTAACAAAAGCTCACCAAAACTTATAAAAAAGCAATTTAAACATATGTATAGATGTGTTTCTTTTATGTATGTATCTTCGTTTGTAGGTGATGTTTGCATGCTTGAAATTGTTGAATTAATTTATGGAAACAGAAAATTGGGAATACCAAAAACTTTTCTGAGTATGCTATTTTCCTCTGCCAACATGTCAGTATATAGTCCTGCTGGTGCTTCTGAACTGATCTCTTTCACATCCATAAAACCTACTGTTGTTGTTGTTGATATCTGGACTGTAAATAAGTCAGATTTTAAGACATATGATTGAAGAGGCATGATTTATACCAATTGATGACAATGATTGATATCCTCTTTACCTTCTCTATTACTCCTGGCAAAAAGTCATACTCCAAATGGGCTTTCCAGTCAATCAGATCTTGTCGAGAGATAAACCTGCAGCACCATGTATTTTTTGAGTATGGAAGGAAATTCAAGATATTAAACAAAAAGTCAAGCATACACTCCACCTCTCAGGGGAAAAATTGATGTTTCCATGGTCTTTTAGACCGTCATAATTGGAGCTCTTCTGTGATAACTTGCTAGGAATGACACCAGCCTCAGCCAGGGCTTAGGGACAAGAAAAGGAAGCACATATTCAAACTTCAATCTTTGTAAAACAAAGACCTTTCAAATTGCAGGCAAAGGGACCAATCCTTACCTTGAATGGACCCAAAATCCAGGTCTTCGACACTCACGTCATTAAATGCAGTAATTGCAGACCCAGCAAGAGAAACTGATGGCACAAGCCGGTGCTTTGCATTCCTGTAGGGAAAATTAAAAAAATATGTAAGGAAGACCATCCTTGAGATCTCAAGTTCTCAACAATAACAAACAGAAGATATTTCAAGGTGTGTATGTATTGTATTACAACCTCTCCAATGACGAGTTTATTCGAACTATCCATCTTGCATACTCCCTTCTAGTACACAATTCATCAGCCTTGACATCATCTTCAATGATCTGTATACCTTAATCACAGTTGAGATATTCATGCTTAGAACTGGACCCAAAGCTTCAGGCTAATTAGCACACAATTTCAACAAAATCCAAAGAAGAGAATCTCACAAGTCCAAAATTCAAGAATGTAAGACATGTCATTGATAATAGAAAATTAAAATTCTACATTAGAAAAAATAGATTGAAAATTCCATGGTGACTCAAAAAATTTATCTAACCACTATGGTCCAACAATGTCGCTATTGATGAGCATACAACTCATATCTCAGAACCGCTCAAGTCTTTTTAAGTCTATGTTCCTTACATGCAAACTTCAGTTAAGAAAAAGAAACATCAGCATCTCACAAGTCCGACTTCAGAGTAAGGAATTAATAAAGAAGAACAAGAAGAAAGACGCAGTACAGGCATGACACCGCTCAATAAAGAAGCACACCTTCAATTTCTTCAAGACTTTTAGAGCTTCCTGTTGAGTAGAATCCACAGCAGCTGGGATTATAATACGTTCAAGCTTCTCCGTAGATGCTGAATTGGACAAAATACAAACAAGAAAATGTCCAGGGATCAATTAATATAAAGAAAATTTAGACATGAAACGATCTCAAAATGTGTTCAGCAAATAAACAGATGATATAGCTTAACGCATGTTCAACTTGATGTACCTGAAGTAGTATTTTGGCTAACAGAAGTAGGTACAATCTCTGGGCTTGCCTCAGATATCATGGCATCCTCATCCAATGCTCCTTGGTTTGTTGGTTTGGTATCAGCAGGACTCCCATGAAAAGTGTGCAATGGACTCGTTTTTTGAAACTTAAAACCTACAAAAATTGAACAATGTAGTATGCCCAACCACCTATTTAGCAAATGCCCAATTATACGAAACTACAAAGGCTATTATCCTTAAAAACCAAGTAACCAAAATAATGCAATTGAACATCCCACTCACAAAAAAAGGAAAACGTAAAAGCATAAATCTTTCAATAAAGGTCCATTAGGTGGAAATGCAGACCCTTTCTGGATAGCGAGAAGTAAGCAATTGCAGCGATTATAGCAGCCAGTGAAGCCCCAATACCCCCAATCACAAATGCAGGCAACCCTGCAAAACCACAAAGTACAATTGAATAAAAAGCTCAGTTTTTGTTTTTCTGTAAAGGTGTATTACATTTATGAAAAATTGAGGAGATAAAGAACTCAAATTGAGAGAAAACCTGGATTTTTGTGTTGAAGCGGAGACTCTACATGCGCCCAACCGCCATAGTCGTTGCTGGCAGTTTGGTCCGGAGGGAACCATGAAAGTTCGAGGTTTCTCTGGGCGAGTGAAGCAGAGAGGTGCAGTCTAGGCCTTGTGGCTTTGGGCTTCAAGAGAATTAGGGTTGGGGAGAAAGTACGACGTCGCAAAAGGAAGGAAGTGTAAGAGGGAAGGAAGAGAGAGGAATACGGGGGTGCACAAGATGAGCACATGATTACTTCTCAGTTGAGACAAGATTTGGGAATTAGGATTGCAATTTACGGTGGGAAGTGAGAAACGCTGAAGCTCTGTAATTGCAGAGAGAGAGAGTTTTAGTAGGGTGGGAGACTGAGAGGTGGCAGCGGCATCTGTTTGATGAAGGAACCAACTTTCCTTCAATTTATTACTAGTTTAACAAAACAAAAGAAAAAAGAAAATGCTTTCTAACTTAATATATATATATATATATATACACATAAATTCTCAATGTGGACGTCAGGAAGCTATTATCATGTATGTTCTACTACCCCTACTTCATTTTCTCACTGTTTACATTGGCTTCTACACCTACGGACGGATGAGATAGTAACTTATATATAGTTGATTTTCCCACTCTTTTTTTGTCTATTTACATTCTCTTTGTTTGAAATTGTATGTTTCCACTCTTTTCATAAATTGAGAAGAGGAAATTCATCACTATCTAGTTGCTAGAAGAAAACCAACCTAATACTAGTTTCCTGTGTTTTTGTAACAGCTGCTACATAAATTCTAATGGTGAGCTTGCCATTTCCATTTTCCTGCTTGTAAAGGTTTTTGTCAACCATACCAGATTCGTTTTTTCCTCTCTCCCAACCCCAAAAAATGTTTTCAGGCTGAACTGTGATTGGTTATTTTTAAGCTCACCTTATATTTAAGGCTGAAAACATAATTAGCATCAGCCAGCCTTGTCTATTTTCTTGTTAATTAACATAACATCACATTAACCCAGATTGTATTATTACAAAGATCACAAGAACAGTAAAAAAATCAAAACAACAAACAAAATTTATTAGGAAGACAAGCAATTTTTGGTATGTGTTGAGTAAATGGGTTTAGTTTGAAGGGCTTCGTACTTGGGTGAAACTGCAGCCAATATTACAATGCCGCTGACCAATGCCAGGCCCAGACCTAAACTATTTACAACCATGGACTCTGCACTGTGTTTAGACACATTCCTCTGTGTTTGCAAGAATGTCAACTTCTCCAAAAGCCCTGTTTCTGCTGTGGCCACGGCCAAACCATAAGTGTAGAGTCCGAGGAATATGTGCCAAGGCAACAGCCTTAGCCTCACTGTGCGCACTTCCCCTCGATGCCAGAAGCTCAGGAAACCCATCAACCACTGCAATTTAGAAATCTAATATCAGCTCAGTCACTGTTTCTTCATAAACATCATAAATTATTAGCTTATCTTGCCTCACAACACAACTTTCTTTTTTCTTTTTCTTTTTGTTAAATTGGGTTGGGTGGGGGGCGAAGGAAGGCAAAATCATTAGTACTGGGCCATTTGCCTTCCTTCTGGCCCGTTGACTGAATTATTTTATGGACTCATTTGATGAATTATTTTGATTGATACATGTTGATGGCCTACTACTTGCTTACTAAGCATCTCTGCTTAATGATAATATTGAAATGACAGACTCTTGTCATTAACTTACTAAAGACAAAAGGCACTTGCACCGAACTCCAAAAGTTGAACTTAAACCCAGTAATTAGTTGAACAAAAAAAAATATGAGTTGAGTATGAAGAACAGAACCTGAGCTCCAAACAAGAGGATGCAGATCAAACCCATCCAAGAATGCAGACTATAGAAATTAGCCACAATGCCATCTTTCCCTTGAAACCTTGTCCAAATCCCGAAGATCCCAGAAGCCAAGGCCACGCCTTGAAGACACAAATGCACTGATTTCTTCAAACTCCTTGAACCAGGCAACCACCTATGAACCAGAATCGCTGGGGAAAACAAAATAAAGCTAAATAAAACTAAAAACCCAAGTAATAAGAATACTTCCTTTTATCAATTAAAGGGTCTGCTTCAATTTTTAACTCCCTGCTAATTCTTACACTACCTTCTCCGCTAATGAGAATAAAGCCAATGACCATGAACAGAGGATGAAGAGCCTGTAAAAACAAGAACAACCCACCAAGCTTAGCTTCCAGAAATCAGAATCTTTCTGGAGTTTTCATTCAGCGGAGAACAAATTAAGAAATGTGAAGAGAAAGAGCGGATTAGGTTCGTACTGCATAGATGAGGCCCTGGTCTTCTTGGGAGGAAGAGTGACGAGGAAGGAAGCTGGACTTGAAGGACAAAGCCCAAAAAAGGACCAGCACTGCAACTAGAAGCCCAGAGATCCTGGCAAAGAACAGCAATGGGACTTGTGAAGAAGTGACTGTGGCCATGGGTTTGAGGCATGCGGAACCAAAACTCTGATGAGAGCTCAGTGTAAAGAGAAGCGGTACAAGTAGTTGCCTACCGACAGCTGAGCTCTAGATCTACCTGCTACTAGCCATTTTGAGTAAAGTTCCTTCCTTTATTGCATTCTTTGTGTGGAAAAAAAGTAGATTTTTTCCCTACAACTGTTTCATGAGAGTTTATTTTTTGTGGGTACCCCATTAGATTTAGATAAGCTTATTTCTTACGAAATCTTTGTTTAGCTTATAATCTATTTTCAAAATTAAATAGGTGTAATAAATCAAGATGCTTTGTCGAACTATACAAAACTTCATGGAATTGAGTGAGGCACTTAAATTGCTCGGAGTTGTTTGACTCTGCTCTGTTTTATCGGTCTCGTGCCTCGTGTCTAAGGAAGTCCAATTTTATTAGTGACTTGCGCCACTTTTCTGAAAGAGTTATTTACACTAGTACTCTTTTGAGGTTTTTTGTGTTTTCACAAAACCTCTTCAGGTCTCAAAAATTATATGAACACCTTATGAGATTTCAGTTTGTTTTCACAAAATCTATTTTTGTTGATTGTTTGTCCAAAAATTGATTATTTCATTAAATAAATAAATAAATAAAACTTGTGCAAATGACAAACAATCTAATCTCAAAAGCCAACTTTGTCATTTGGAGAATTTTTTGGTATAAAACCATTAATCTTTGGATGAAAAATCAATGAAAATGAGTTTTGTGAAAATAATTTAAAACCTCATGGGGTGTTCGTATAATTTCTAAAACTTCATGGAATTTTATGAAAAAGCCGAAAACCTCAAAGGGTGTTAGTGTAAATAACTATTTCTAAAATATTATTGAGCTTTTGCCACTGCGCACGTGATGCAGAATATTTCAATGGATTTTTATGCACAGGGATTTTGTCGATGTCAATAAAATAAAATTCCCTAATGTGGTCTGTTAATTAATTTATTTATATGCGTTAGCTAGATTGTCTATTGTTGATATCACTATTATGTTATGACACGAGTGATAACACTTTCATGTAGCATAGTATTATTGACCGAAATAGCAAAACAATGTTATCATGTTACAACTAAGTTTTTCTCTACTTTATGGCCTATAAAATTGCCAAGTGGAGCATAGGCAGGGATGAAATGGCCGGCTTAAGTAGGTCACTTCTGGACAGAGACAGAGAGGATTTGTCAACTTGCTCCTGTATGTTAGCAGGTTTGCTTATAGCTCAAAACGTTGTGGAAACAAAGCACAAGTTTTTAATCACTGCGTATATTTCAAGGCCTTCAACAAAGACAGAGAAGTTTGTCAATCTTTTTTCATATGTTGATAAATATGAAATGAACAAGCTGTTACACTATGCTAGCTGTTGCACAAGAAATATCAACTAGTCCTTGTGCTTTTATAGGCCATTTTTTTGTTTAACCCTACCTTGGATTTGTAGTCGCATACAAACCAGAACAACTCATTTTGGGTAATTATCTTCCTATCCTCCTAGGTGCCCCAATTAGTTCTTGTTTGTATCCCATCTGATGTTTTGAGGTAGCTGCCTTAGCAGTAACGCATTTAAAAAAAGAAAAACAGAAAGTCTTAAAATTGAAGTACCTCCCCAATCATAAACCAATAAATAATAATAATAAAAAGACTCTGTCTTATTACAAGCATTCACGCAACAGGACATAGAAAGAATCCTAAAAATAGCCGGTGACAATTCCAACTCCATTGCTATATAATAAGTAGCTTGCAAACCACATAAACACAGAGAAGAAAAACAGAGAGAGAGAGAGAGAGAGAGAGAGAGAGAGAGAGAGAGAGAGAGAGAGAGAGAGAGAGAAATTATGGAACATTTCACGAAGGACTTCAAAGTGGGAAAGTGTGAAGGGCAAAAGGTGGTGGATGGAGAAACCATGCCACTGGTGCTGCAGCCTCCAGAGCCCAACAACAGCAATGATGTGAAGAGCCTTGTGTTGGCTCTGAAGAAGAACAAGGACTGGTTTGAGCAGATGCTGATCAAGAACAGCGCTGTGCTGCTTAGAGGTTTCAATGTGCAGAATGCAGAGGAGTTTAATGATATCATTGAAACATTCGGGTGGGATGATATTCGATACGTAGGGCCGGCGCCAAGAACACATGTGCACAAGCGAGTATGGACTGCCAATGAAGGACCTCTTTCAGAATTCATATACTATCACCATGAGATGGTCTTGGTAAGTGCCTCAATAAGCTTCTCAATTTGGTCATGTTTTCTGCAACCTTTTTTTAAGCTAGTTTGTTTTATGAGATCATAGTTTGATGCCCAATTCTTGCACCAAAATATGTCCGTCTCCATTAGACTTTATAAATTCAATTCTAATCCAAAGAATTAACCCAATATGATATTATTGGCATCTGCTAATACCCTACCCTCTTAATTACTTTAACCTTTAATTTACAAATTAATTAACCTGCAGATCAAGGAATATCCGAAAAAATTGATCCTATTCTGTGAGACACCTCCACCAGAAGGCGGAGAAACACCCTTTGTTCCGAGCTTCCGGGTAACGGAAAGGATGCTGAAGGAGTTCCCAGAAACGGTAGAAGAAATGGACGCAAATGGGTTGAAGTACACTTTCACAGCTCTCAGTAAGAACAGTACGGGTTCCATGAGGGGTAGGGGCTGGGAGGATACTTTTGGCACATCGGACCGTGCAGAAGCTGAGAAAAGGTGATCTTTGCTTACTACTCACAAGTCACAACATGATAAATTGGTTTCATAGTTACAAGATCATTTGGTTAAAGACATTATGATTTGGCAGGGCTAATGCTTTAGGCATGGACGTTGAGTGGCTACCAGATGGAGCAATCAAGACAATATTGGGGCCAAGGTCGCTGACGAAGGTGTTTGATGGAAGAAAAGAAAGGAGAATGTGGTTTAACACGGTGGTCGGCATGCATGGGAAGGAGCTCAGCTCTGCCTTCATGGCCGATGGAACCGAGATTCCGGCAAATGTGGTGAATAGATGTGAACAGATTATTGAAGAAGAAAGCATCCAATTTAAGTGGGAGAAGGGTGATGTTCTCTTCTTCGATAACTTGGCTTTGCTCCATGGAAGAAGGCCTTCTCTTCCTCCCAGGAGAGTCTTGGTAGCCACATGCAAGTAGCTTTTCAGCAAAGCAAAGTTTGTACGGCCAGTTATACTGGCTTCAAGTAACAACCTTTTTATTTTCAGAGAGAATAAAAACTGTTATAAAAATAAAATAATCAGGGTATGAAAAATACCGTTGAATATTGGGAGTAGAATTGTAATTTTGCTCTTGTGATGTTTACATTGACTGAATTTCCTTTCAGATATAACTCACTCTCTTTTGTTTCCTCCCTCTTCCTTTCTTTCCTCTCTTCTCCTTTGGTGTGTTTTGCTTAGTAATGGAAAGCCTATTTATAGACAAATTGGATGGCTTACCCAACATCATCATTAAACTTGTTGAATATCATTCCCTTCTTTTCTTTATGCGAGCTCCACCATTTTCTTTACAACAAAAACAATGTCATCTTTCAATACATGGTCAGATACATCAAAACTCATCATTCGATTTCCATCTGAAAGGAAGAGGCCTCAAAGTGCTTGGTGAGTGAAAAGTTTCTCGTAAGTTGGCAGAGGAACAATAGAACGAACCCAATCGCTGAATCTTAAATCTCCAAACTTTCAAATCGCAAATCAGCTTGCAATAGATGCCACATGAAACATGGAATATACATCCATCCGCATCGAGTCTAATTTCACTTTACCAGTAATATCAGCTCGCTCACCCTATTTCTAAAATCAACATTTCCTGATGCATTCATGGCAAGCCAAAAGTCCAACTTCAGTCCAATGCCAATAAGGTGAAGAGTTTGACATCAAAGAACAACAAATTTAATAGGTAAGAGAAAAAAGTAAACTTGATTAGGTTCTGTCACTAAATTTGATGCTTCTTGATTAGGTCAATGAAAGGAGTCCCAAATCAGGGAAATAGATAAAAGACAATTTGATACAGAAACAGCATTAACTTCTATTTATTTTCTGGACAGGCATAAATAAGGAAAACACAACATTAACATAGGCCTAAATCTGTTTGTTGTTCTGATGGGCTGCTGTTCGGGCTTTGGGTTTTAACCATATTAACTCTCAGGAGGCAAAGTGGCAACTATGGAGCACGAGTGGGCATGGCCCGGCCACGGCCCCTTCCAACATAGCCACCGCCATAACCCCCATAACCCCCGTAACCCCTTCCATAGTAACCACCACGACCACGGCCACCACGCCCAGGACCACGGCCACCTCGACCACCCCGATACCTTGAAAAAGTGCCAAAAGTCTGCACCAACAAACAAACAACCATATCCATGAAAATCTCCAAAACTAAGATGGGCAAAAAAATAAAAAATAAAAAAAAGGTACATTACCTCAGTATCTATCTTTATTTGCTCAGAGTATCTAGTCCTTCCATTCTGTTCATGATTCATAGCATTGCAAGAGATGGTATCAAAGAAGTCATCCTTATTGTAGACGGGCTGTGGCACAGGGGCACAAAACTTAACAAAATGAGATGACAGAAGTAATAAAAAGATTATTTCTTAATCTAGAACCCATTTAGATTATGAATGAAAAACATGATAGCCAAAGCCACCTTGATCTCAACCTTCGACAACTCCACCTCATCTTCATCCTCAATATAATCTTCATCACTGGCGTTTCCATCTCCATCTTTGTCCTTTGGGTGAGGTTTGTTACTCTTACCCAGATGACCCCAAACCTCATCCTTATTGAACTTCTCATTCATTGCCGTGAAATCAAAGTCTTCAGTGAATTTTGTTATTGGACGGGAACTCTGCAACCAAATTGTTAATTGTTTGGCACTGTCAGGTATCCCAAAAGGTATTACAACGACTAATTGGTAAGAGTAAATTGAATTTAATCAGGGGGAATCCTATCTGTAAATAATTTTGGATTTATCACATATATCTTACTATAGATTAAAAGCCATCAGAAGCGCTGAAAAACACTCCCCTGACAAAACATTTCCAATCAAGAAGTTCTCATTTTAACTCAAATTTAAGTTGTCACTTAGATTCAAATTTACTCTACATCCAAAGGTCCCTATTAATCATATGCTAAAAAGGTAAATAATACATTACCCCAGATCCTCGCCCTCTTTCGCGCCCCCTATAAGTATAACCGTGGCGATTTTGGAATTGAGCTCCATTTGGCTGGGAATGCATTTATACATATATAGAAAAAGATAGGGACAATGTCAGAGACCTCGTTGGATCATAGAGTAGATAATAGAATTGAAATACAAAAAAAGGAACTGAAGTCCTAAATTGTTATAACTTCATCCTTTTATTGCACAAGTTTGTATAAATTCCTCCTCCTCAGAGAGAGAGAGATACCATCTTTTTTTAATACCCAGAAATCCCCCAAGCCTGCATTGCAGACTAGGCTTCGAAACTGGGGCCCACACCAAATCCTACAATCTTTGGGACGCAGGGATAGGTAGCTTGAGATATTAAACCCCCAGACCATGTGGGATCAGACCACAGGTCCACTGGCCTGACAACTCAACTAAATCCAGTTGGTGAGAAAAAGAGAAACCACGAATTCTAAGATCTAAACAATTCAGTCATTTAAAAACCTGAAACTAGTTCAGAGCTGGCAATTTCACATAAATCTAATTTGCAACCCCAGAGATGTAAATACACGTACAAAAAGAAACTCAAACAAAGAGGCTGGCTCATGAATGAAATTTTCATTGGGTATGGAAGTTAAACCCACCCATCTTACACTGAATGCTAGCAATTCAGTCTAATAAGCCTGTTAAATAACAATCTAATATTCTACTGCACCCACCCACATATAAATAGACATCCAAGAGGAGGGGAAAACAAAGCAAGCAAGTCCAAGAGCATGAATGTATGACAAAACAACACCTTTTGACCAGCCCGTACAGGTGGTGGTAATGGCAATATTGGGGGCTGAGATTCGGCCGAGACTGGCACCGTGGGTTCTGATGAGGTTGACGATGAAACTTGGACCACCTCCACATCCTTGTGAGCGGTTTGCAAAGATTGAGTTGAAGAGACTGCACCAGATCCAGATTGCAACAGCTGGCCCGGGGTTACCAAAGAAGGCAGTAGTGTTTCCATGCGCAAAGAACTGGATGTCCCGACAACAGAGGAAGTAGCTTGAGATATGTTTTGATAAGGCAAGGTTGGGCCAGAAATTGCATGAGGCTTGTTAGAGATTGGTGGTACAACAGTACTTATATCTGGGCTTGTAGTAGTTAGAGAAGAAATAGGTGGCAAGTTTGCACTAAGGGTGGCTACAGAAGGGGCAGAACTTGGTGCCTTGTTAGGCATTGAGCTTGGCAAGGTTTCAGAAGCTAGTGTTGTAGAAGGCACTGGAGGCAGAGTTGTTGGCAACGTTGACTGAGACAAAGAAGTAGAACTAATACTAGCAGCTGGAAGCAAAGGCGACGGAACATCAGGCAAGTTTGAAGTTCCAGTAGGTAAGGAGGCATTAAAATTGGGGTACTGCAGTGGCTGCTGCATTGAAGAAGGCATTGATAGCCCAGGTGGTGGTCGAAGCAACGATTGCTGGTGTAAATGAGGAAGCCCATTTGGAGGGCCATAGTATCCTTGCCAGTACATTGGCATTGCAAGCCCACCACCATTTGCACTTGGAGGAGGAGGCGTAGCCCCCCATGACGCTAAATTGCCTCCAGGTTGATATAAAGGCAAACTACCTTGGAAATTTGGACCAGGGAGTCCCAACTGTGCAGTATGAGGATTAATATCCGTCAAAGATCCACTAGCAGGAGCAGGTAAGCTCGATGTTGAAGGAGCCGGGCGGGAGTAGTGAGACTGCAAGAAGGTAAAAAGAGTTTGAGAGAGAAAGAGAAAATTACAAGAGGTTAACTAGATGCATCACAAAAGTGAGACGTCCTTCTCTTACTTGAATAATAGCTGGATCATTGTTTATAGGTGGTAGGGTAGGCTGAACAGGTGGAGAAGACTTAACCTGTAAATCCTGTAAACAAAAGCAATAATGAAAGACTTAGGGCTTCAATATTTACATGAAAATATAACCAGAAATGAATCCCGGCCTACAAAGTTCCAAAATTTGACATGATGACATTGCAGTGAGTTACATCCCACATCATGGATTATGACATTTGTGTTAATTTTTCTATCTTATATCATTATTATCATATAATTCAAGAGTCACAATATTTACACTCGAGTTTTCACACACCTTAGTAGTCAACAACAATTGCAAGTTTGCAACAGTACATGCTCTAATTTTATTTTTATTTTAAAATAAAAATAAAAGCAATGTCCTTGCCAAAGATTGAAGAAAATACCTTTATTGAATAACTTAAAATCATAAAACAAAGGAGATTCAAGGTTTTTTCGGTAAATTATCAATCCTCAATATAGAACGCTCATTGTGAATGTCTTGAAAAACAAAGTTTCGTTACCAGACTCTGGTCCTAGGGTCTTAGGCATCTGTGTAAACCATACCTTGATGTCACTCCCGCGGAATAGTATATACTCATAAACTTTGTCACCCGGAGGGATTTGTGGTCCATCTTTTTTCCTTCCTTCTGTTCCAAATGATCGTACTGCCATGTAGAAAGTAACAAATAACCACCAGCTCATCTACCCATATCTCAACAAAAGCACTTAACAAATATTATATGCATATTATGATCCATGGCACATAAACTATTCATGAACATTTCATGCTTCAGGTAAAGGTAACGTGACATCAAAACCATACACCAACTAACATATGCAACCCTTATTTCCATGCATGATTAATATATATTAACCATGCTGATACCCTCCACTTCTACCATTTGATAGCATTATGACAATGAACCATAAATTAATGGATGCAATTATACTGTTCTGAGATTAAACCATAAGTAAAAGAACAAATAACCATGCACCACAAGTGGCTGTTATAAATTCCACAACCCTGGGGACACAATGTCTTTGTAATAAAATAAAATTATAAACGATTTTTCGTTCTCAAGATATCTTATTGATGCCAGCAGTGGTATCGAGGAAACTGAAATGACTAGGAAGCCAAATATGAATTGCTCAATCAAAACAAAATGAAACAATTTCAACAACAAAAAATATAGTCCTTCCCAAAAATGGATAAGATAAACCAGTTACAATCACATATATTGAAGAGACAAACCATTTACAATCAGAGAGTTGGACATTTTCACAGAAATTTACCCACATTAGTTCCTCGCCAAAGCATACTTTCATACTCAGTTCAAAACACACGTTAATGCCTGAATCACATACTTTGAATACACACACGTGACTGATGGCCAGTTTTTAAAAGAAATTTCATAATTAGCGAAAATTTCAAATATCTGAAATAAATAATAATTAAACAAAAAAAAATGTCAATCTAGGCGACTGTAACTAGTAAATAAACATTCTTTTCCAACAACAAAAAACCTTGTAAATGAACAATTTAATCAATTCGATTAAATTAAATTAGGCATAGAAAACAAGAATGAACGAAACGAAATCCTGAGAACAATAAATCAAATCAAGTGAGTAAGCAGTACCGTTTCTGAGCCCAATACTAGACTCTTCGGTGTTGATGTTGTAAAGCACGCCTTCGTATCTGATCTCACTCTTCGAAGTCAAACTTATCAAGCTCCCTATGTACGAATCGGCCGCTGAGCTCGATCTCGTAGCAGTCTCCGTAGCCATAGCCTCTGATTTCAAACCCTAACGCATGCAGATTTACAGAGGGAGGGAGATAGTAGGGTTTTGCTTTTGGGGGTGGCTTTGCGATTATCGGTTCTCTGTTTTGTGGAAAAGAGGGAGATCTGCCCATTTAATATATAATTTTGTTTTTGCGTTTTAGGTAATTTGACGATAATGACGAGCTAACCAATGGTAAACAGACACGTGGGTGGGTCTCGGACTTGTTGGTCTTTTTGTTGGAATTCGAGGAGAAGGCGGTCCAAAGCGTAGTGGGTCTAGTAAACGAGGAATAGCAGTGGGTTTGAAAAGGGTGACTTGCTAGGCTGCTGAGAATCGCCCCACTTGAAAATGACTTATCTATCCATGCAAGTTTGGCCGAACGAGTTTGAAATCTGTGACAAAACAGGGTAATTTCGTCTATTGGCTAAAATGTTCATAATTCATGGCTTTTGCCTGTGCAGTGCGCACATTATCACTGCGAGCGCTAATTAGGGGGAAAAAACCCATTTGAGAATATATGAGAGAATAATTAATGGTTGCAGAATAAAAGTTGTCTGCCTCATCTTTCTCAGAAACTATCTTCTTTTGCAGCACGCTAGTACTAGTAACCAACCAGCCACACTAATCAAAAATCAAAGAGGCAAGCTTTGAGATTTGAAATTGGGACTAAGACTAAGAGCAAGCAATTCCGTATTTTCTTTTTGTCAAATTTTGATAGATTCATAATTTGGTGGTTTATTGGATTTGGAAGATTAGGGGCAGCCAATCATATGAGGAAGATGAATGGATTCATTGTTTGAAGGGATGGTGTTGTTTACCCATAACAATACCAATAATAATCACTTTGCCGTCTTAAAAAAAGTGGTGGTTGTTTTTATGGGGAAAAAATGGTGGTTGTTTACTTTACACTAAGGGAGAGAGGAGAGTGAGGGAAAGAGGAGAAAAAGGGTCAGGGGAGAGCAGGAGGAAATAAAGGAAATAAAAAAGGGAAGAGGGAAAGAAGGAAGAGGGGAAGTGTGTTTGTGATGTGGGCCCTTTAAATTAATAAAAATCAGTATAAAAAATCAGAATAATATTTATCGTCTCTCTTATGATTTTTTTTTTTTTTTTTTTTTTTTTTTTTTTTTTTTTATAATAGTACAAAGCAGTGAAAAATTATAGTAGTTTTTTATAACAAGAATCATCAAAGGAGGTGTGATTTGGTTAATTGTGATTTGGTATAAAAAAATCTATACCCACAAATAGATTGGTTAGCCTGAGAAGAGGCAGTGGGTTGAGGGAAATTGTGAAAAATGGGAATAGGGATAAGAAATAATGAGGTTAAAAGGGAGAGAAAGAAGTAAGAAAAGAGAAAGAAATTTTGTGGAGTTATATTAGAGGGAAAAGTAAAGAGGTAGGATGAAATAAAGAAAATTGAAAGTGTTGGGGATAAAATGTGGAATGAAGAAACAAAAAGGACAAAGGGGGGAAAGTTGAAGAGAGGAAGTGTTGGGAGGTGTGTGGTGAGAGGAGGAATGGGGGGGGGGTGGAAATAGTTCACAAAATGAAATTGAATAGAAAAGAATAATAAGGGAAAGCTTAAAATTAAGAAAAAAGTTTGAAGGTGTGAAGGCAAAAGAAAAAAAAACAGACCATTATAATGAACGAAATTAGAGAATTCATCAGTGTACTCGCAAACACACGGGAAGGACAGGCCCAGTCACATTAAGTGCTTCCGCGGCCTGCTTGCCGGGCAAGATATGGGACCAAGCAAATGGGCAAACGACCGAGGAAAAAAAAATTGTATCATACTTGGTTTGAAGAAGTCAAGATGAAGTAATGAACAACAACAAAAAACTTTTAAAAATACTATTGTTAGAACTTTTTTAATAAAAAATATCATTTCTTCACTTCCCCCCAGCAGCCCGCCCCAAATCTATAAAATCGTCTTTATATCTTTGTGAAATAGGGTTGCCATGGAATGGTGAAACACCACAACCTTTGCAATGTTGTCACATTCAGTGAATGTACAATCATTGATTGCCTTTTACCCTGTGGCCATGGAAATGAGTGGAAGCTGCTCCTTACCTCAACTTTACAGCACCACTTGCTACTTGGCTAGGGTTTTTGTCAATTCGCGCTTCCGATAGCCATCCACAACCCTAGCATGGAGAATAATAAAAAGCTAATGAAGTGAGTCAGGCACAAAACAAACTACGATGGCCCATGACATCTGCATGCTGTGGCAGGCCACTGATAAATGACTAGAACATGAGAGAGTCGGGCCGGAGGATAGGATTGTGATATAAAAGTACGTGACAATTATAATAATATTTCATCATTGTTGATATAGTTGCTCATTGGATATCAAAGTTACTTGGAAATAGTTCAGTTCTAGCCAGGATGATCTGATATGTTGGTGAATGTTGGTGCAGTTGTGTGGATCATTGATTTTTTTAAGAAAGGGAAGGTTTTGGAGTATTCGAATTTTCACCGCGTGACATTGCAATATAAATTTGTACAATTTATAATAACCCAATCCTAGACATGTATTCATAAAAAAAAACCCAAACCTTTTTAAACAGTAGAACCACCCAGATCAAACCATAAAGTCAACAATTCGCTATACTTTTTTGGGTTTTTATAAATGGTGTTTCTGAGTGGTGTTTAATGAAGGTTTTGGGTGTTTTTAAATACAAGTGTTTTGCCGTGTCTCGTGGTTTTTTATAATTCATTCCATCAACATACCCAAATTTTAGTGTTTTAATGAAACGCATTATTTTCTCGTGTTGATGTAATGGAGTTTTGCTCATCGCATAGTCACAAAGTCAGGCTTGACATGCCCCATAACTCTCATTATCTCATTCATTGTATTAGAGACGTGAAAGCAAATGATGACTTCTAAATTTGAAGAATATTCCCGTACTATGGAAATCGTACTAAAACCATAGAGCGATTACTAGAAGTTTCATGTTGTCGGCCTTCTGTTTAGCCAAAAAGTTTGTATTAACGCGGTAAAGTTTGGGTTGTATCTTGGCTTCTGTTTGAACATGTCGTATAATTAGACAAAACAAGAACAGGTCGTATATTAGCCAAAAAAAGAACAGTCGTTAGAAAGCAAAATGAATTGTGTGCAAAGGGAACTATTATTTTGGATATGCCTCCCATCTTGATCATTGTCTCATTATCGCAACCAGAGAATTAAGAATAACATTGGGATGAATCTTGCAATTTTCTTGATTTAGTTAGCTAAACATGGATGTCAGTCTTAGACTAGTGACCTCATTAAAGCGCCCATTATTTATGTACGAATTATATGTCATTCTTTTTATTTTCAATTGGTGATGGTGTTTTGGGTAGGAAGGAGATTACGAGACTTGGGATGGCAGGATCTGATTTTAGTCCTTTTATTTGGTTTTTGTCGTGATATCCAACACAAGGCCTCGGGGTTTTTGCAACGTGAGTGCCGCATAAGGGAGAGGTTGCTGAATCATGGCTACTTGTGTTTAATGGTTTTTTTTGGCTTCAGATTCCTAGACGGAGGCTGTGGCCTAGAAAATGGGTGTACGATTGGTAGTATGTCGGTATATTGTGGAGATGTCGCCCAGGATGGTAATTCTGAGTGTTATATACATTTCTTTAGCTGGCAAAATTTTGGTCTACCGCAGAAGGGAAGCTTTGGTTGAGATGCTGCCGTCTCACTTTGGTTGGGATTCGGGCATTCGGCAACCTGGAACTATTCGTCCACTTAGTTTCTCTTGGTCTTCATTGTTTTCTTGTTGTGTTATTCTGGAAAGAGCATAGCTCATTTTTCTGCCGTATTTTTATCTTCTGGGAGTTTTTTAATGTAATATTTTAAAGGATGCCACATATGGCTCCATCCGCTTTTTGATTCGGCTTAGCAATCTGATGTAATGCTTTGCTGGTTTTTCTTAAGGTTATCATTTTATTTAGTTCCTTGACTTAGCCCTATTTACATTTGAATCCCTCAATTTCCATGATCGTTTCATGTGGTCCTTTATACTTCCACTTCGTTAGGACACATAGTCTTGCAGTCAATTTTGTTAACTTGGTTCTATTACATGTATAGGGCGAAATTGGTCATTTTTATATTAAATAAAAAATGAATAAAAAATTTAATCTTTAAAATAATAATAACAGGAAATCAATAAAAAGAAGGAGCTTTAGTTAAAACACAATATGTTTTCTATTTGCAAATTACTAATACAATTTCATCTATTCGCATAAGGCCAAAGACCAAATGTGGCACTAATTTACAAAAATATCACTAAAAAATATCAAAATTACACACATGCCCTCATTCTAAAATAACTATGTCACAGGTCCATAGCTAACCCCCACCTCGTCACCGTCCTGCCACCTGACAAGGGACAACTACGTGCCCTTTATCACCTTTAAAAAAAAAAAAAAGATTTTGTGTCTGAAGGGACTAAACCTTGACCCTCAAAGGAGGAAGGCTCACTCACAAACACTACACCAAACTGATTTTGTAATATTATTCAGTTATACAATTTATATAAACAATCAACATTTTTTTTTTTATAATAAAAAAAATCAATTTCAACCTTTTTCACACAAAACTGCAAAATAAAAACAGAAACTTGCAACAAAATCAATGTCAGAATATCATTATGTTTTAAAAAACAAAAACTAAACGAACAACTACACAAACATCTATTTATTTTATAGAAGCAATGGAGCCGAACGAAGATTACCTCCGTTCTAAAAGGATACTGCGTTGTAACGGAAACTGCAATGTAGTAGAAACTGCATATGCATAAACGAAACTGCAATCACGAAAAATGGAACTTTGCAACGTTGGTGTGGCCAAAAATGGCCCAACTCTAGAGTTAACAAAAACAAAACCATATTTTTTTTTCCAATACACATGTTGGTACAACTACTCTTTGCTGGCAATGCGGTTTTCAAAACTCATGTGTTTGTCCAAAACTGCAATGTGGTTTCCAAACGCATGCGTTGCCATAAGTCTCATTTTGAGTTCCTCTTGTGCTCTTGGGTACTTCTACTCTTCTCTTGCCCACCCCAACTCCTCAGGTCGGTAGCCCTCTCCTCTCACATTGTGACGTTGAGGCCTAAGGAAAGAGCAAACTCCATTGTAATTAATGAAAAACTGCCATGCAGTGTGCCACAGTCCACATTTATTCCCTTGCTCGTTGCCAGTTCTACTCTTCTCCTTGCCACCCCCAATTTCTCATTTGGTTACCTATACTATTCAATGGTGGATGAAGGCCAACGCGATACGTAGCAAAAATCCCCGTGTAATTAAATGGAAACGCAAGTCCAATTTGAGTTTCCCTTGCTCTTGAGGTAGTTCTACTCTTCCTCGTGCCCCCCCAATCCTCATCCTTGATAGCTCATACATCTATCAATTACGAGGTTGAAGGCCAGAACAGAAACTTCATTATAATTAAATAACAACTGCAATCGCAGTTTCCAAATCCAAAGTCCACTTTTAGTTCCCTTTCGCTGGGTAGGTCGACTCTGCTCTCTCGCTCCACACCCACTTCCTCAGCTGTAGCCACGACTCTTTAAATTGATGAGGTTGAAGACCGAAAAGAGCAAAAATCCAACGTATTCAAAACTGCAATGCGTTGCCATCCAAACTAACAATGCTAACCTGTACTAAAATTGCATGAAACTAAAGCTTAAAGGGTATTGCAACAATATCATATACATGTGGGATGCGCTCCAACCGTTACCAACTCAGAACATGGCATTAAGTCGCCTTTGTATAATAAGACGTTGCAGCTAAATTGATTATTGCATGCCTCTTGAGTCATTTATCGACACCATGTGTGGGGAATTTTGTAGGCTCAATGGAGATCACCCCCCTACTGAAACTAAGATATAATCTGCAAGCATAACCCAAAAAAGAGACACTGACGAAAATAATAAATGTACGCACCAAGTCCGACCACCATAACCTTTTAGGCTTTACAAAAAATTCACGAGAAGCAAAACTTACAATACTCGAAGAATGTAACCGTTAACAAGCTGAACCTAAAAGCCAAACTCTCAAAACCGGGTGCAAAATAGAATCTTAAACACTCAATGCATAGTTGTGGCCTGTTCTTTCTCAATATTCCACAGTGAGGATTGTGAATATGCCTTGAATGCAGTGGTCCCAGAATGCTGAAAACATAACGTATCACACAGATGTATATAAATATAATTATAGTCAGTACCATTTCTCACACCAAAAAAATAGCACCCCCAAACACCAAACATTATCTTCTCCCCACTCATCAACATGCCAGCACTGCACATTGCTAAATGATCACACCGTTCATTCCATCACTCAAACCGAGCACACCTTTTTTTTTGTATTCTTACCGAGATTCTACAAACATAATATTTGATAGTCGTTATTATACCTGCTATGTAAAAACAGTAATTCAATGAGCAAAGATGCGCCTGAAGGGCACTCCAACCTGGGGCCACATCAATTATACATTCATATCCACCAATCAAAGGCATCTTTGCGACAATTCTCCTCTTAGGCGCTTCAAATTGCATCAAGGAGAAAAATGAGAAGCATTAATCTTTAGGCGGGCTACTCCTGATGCCCTCCGGCAAATTTTAGAAAGAGACGGGAGCCATCAGCAGACAACAAATCGGCAGTATTACTCCAATAATGCACTAGTTTTTAGCTACACGAGAAGCGATCACTCTATACATGATACAACGGACCCTCAAAACGCAAACAGACCACAGTTCAATCTCAAATCACCACACTGAGATCGAAAAAAAAAATATCAAGAAAGATCCATTTCTAATATGTCACCTTGCATAACTCAAACCAACCACGAACCAATTAAATAGCACATAATTTATCATAGTTTTGAAATCACCGGGGGGGAACGAGAATTATTAGGCAGTCACCGAAATCGCAAGAAGAGCCTTTAAGCTTGGCTACTCTGCCGACGTTTGAACTCTAATTGCTTCTCGAGGGACCAAACTGCCTTCTCCGCTACAATCGTCGACGCAGGACAACTCGATGGTCGTCTCGATTCTCTCTTGCCAAAAATGACGGAAGACGCCTTCGCCGTTGGTCGAGTCCTCCTATTGCTTCTGTCTCTCGCCAGCCTCCGTTTTTGCCACCGGTCGGGTCTCCTTTTTGCACTGCTCAAAGATGGAGCGTGCATCTGGCTCCATTGAAAATACAAAGGAGTAAACGTTATTTCCAAAATACAATTTAAACAAAAATAAAAGCATCTTGTGTAAACCCATTTGCTTTTCACAAATCAAATTTATACCTCTCCACTATTTCCAAAACAAAATAGGTAATGTTTCATGGCTAATTACTAAAGTTTTTGGCTCCTATCACACTCATTTTTCTAATAAAAACCCCCAAAATAATAATAATATAAGTTTAGTGCTAGAAACGGGATAGAGGGTAGAGAGAAGCGGAGAGAGGTGTCTTAATGTTACTTTTTTTGTCATTTTAATTTTTTTATTTCATCTTTTTAATCATTTAATACAACTTACCACTTTGGGTGCTTGCATTTACTAAAAATAACAAAATTGATGGCAAGACCATTTAGTCCTACGAATTGCGTTGAAGGTCAACGAAACGATGTTTGATTGAGGTCTCAATTGACTTTTTTCTATGAATTTACCATTTTTGATAAATAAAACATACAACAAAATACAAAACAATGTTGCCTTGTGGTAATAAGAGATAGAGGCCATAAATCATGCAATTTCCTAAAGCGGTTGTTTAAATAACGCCGAAAGGCCAAGGCACATTAAAATATATCAAACATTATTTTATAATTTTAAGACAAACTATATAGCACTCCCAAATTATAGGGTCATTTTCACGTTTATACCCACTTGGGGATATTTACAAGCACTGCTCTAACTCGCGCAAAATCTACACATTACCCCACTATCAATTAGAACGTTATAGTCTATCAATGCTAATGTTTTGAACTGGACCCGTTTTTTCATGACGTGGGACTTTCCAATGGACAAACAAAAATTGTCCTTAAAAATCACTATTTAAAAATACTCAATTATAAAAGTAAAATATATTTTAAATTACATTAACAAACCTCAATCAAAAGTATTATTAAAATAAGATATGCTCTAAAAACCTACTATTGTCGATGACAATTAGATGCCATGTGTTGTATCATCACCTTCTCTTTTATAGACAACAGGCCTCTATTAAAAAAGATGTCCTGAAAAATCACAATATGTCTTTCATGTTACAACCCTACCAAGAATGCAATGTTTCATTACTATGAAACAATGCACTTTTCACATGCGAATTATTATTTTAATAATAGTTTATTTTTTCTTCTGGTAAGAACTGACTAGTCCCTATTGATCATACCAATTCGTAAAATCATGTCCTTACGTCAAGATTCCACACTTAATTTCCATTTCAATTATTAAAAACAAATATACAGATTATAATTTCTAACAGATCAATCATTTGATTCATCAATGGGCTGCTTCCTTCTACAACCAGCCTCCTCAAGCACTTGCAAGAAATTCCGGGTCAGGAATGATATCTTTGCGCCGAATTTGCATGTCTGCTTCTTTTTCCGCATAGCTCACCATATGCGTTGTAATGCCTGCAGACAAATCATCAAAAACCTTCATACCCTAATTACAATTAGAAAACTTTAAGGTGAAATTGAGCATACTGGGGCACGCCTAGATGTAATTCACTCTGAGGTACGTTGTTTGTACAGGGTTTCCTTCCTCAACTGCAATTCTTCTTGTGGGCAAGCAGATTTTAGATAAAACGATTTAGTGGTTGCTGACTAGCCCTGGAAAGAGCCTATGTCAATCTGCCAGTTCAATGGAAAAAAAAGTGTTGGTAATGTCTTCTTTTCTTGTTTTGAACTACTGCATGTTTTGACGATACACTCACCTCTGCTCCCATATGTCATCTAAAATACACCAATTTTTGTATATAAAATAAGCCCTCCAGAGACTGTTTTTGCGGTCCATAGTCTCCCTTAGCTCTGACTTCACATACCCCACGAGGATCGGTCCGAGCTTTTTTGAAATAAATACGTGGAGAACGTGCGGAAATTGTTTACGGGCCCACCTCATCCAGCGTGTGCTTTTCAATCAAATCTGAATTTGTTTTCCTGATCAGTGTGCATTTCAATAGGAATACAAAAACAACCCATTGATTCATAGCCCAAACCAAATTATGCAAGTTAGAATTTAGGCAGTACCTTCAATCTATTTTGCTCTCTTAAATTACCCATTAAGCCATCCTGTAATTCGAAAGCCCCCGGGCCAAACCTGGAAGTACGAACAACGGTTTAGCTATCTTTTGGTTACTGGGTGATTGAATCAGTGATAATCCTGTTTCAATGGGAAGTAAAAGGCACATCAGCAATTTCACATTACCATTTGGTGTTCGTTGATCTAGATCTTGATAGCCCTGCTGAAAACACCCCCACAACATTGATGGTCGGCAGCATTGTGCATTTCAGTCAAACAAACTTTTTCTTTTTTTCTAAAATAATTGAAGGCAAAAAAAACAGGGATCTTTTTTTCTGAACCAACGAACCAACCAAACCCAATATACAAGAAAACAGAAGAATTAGCAATCACTATGGAACACGAGCTTCAGCTTTAACCTAGCGGTGGGCCAGCTTCCTAGGCCAGAGCTCAACCATCGCCGCCCTTATCTCTGTTTTTTTTCGTCAAATCCCCAACCCACCTCCGCACAACTCCACCAAAAATCAAGGTGACCCAAACCATCCCCACAAACCAATCAACAACCCACCAGCCTTTTCCCCTTCACTTCTGTTTCTCTCTTTCCCTGCGAGCCCAATCCGAAGCTTTTCTTCCTCTTCAGCTCCCCTGAAACTCGCCGCGAGCAGAGACATGAGCGAGGCCCCATCTCCAGTCAGCGGGTGGAATGCGGAGAACGCCGCAGTTAGTGAGCCATGAGGAGAGAAATTCCCACAGTTTTTGTGCGCGCTGAGGCCAGAGCTGGTGTAGAATTCGCCAAGTAGGCGGTGACGCGCCTCGGTCAAAGGTTTCTGATTCGGGTTGTAAGGGTGTTTGGGACGACTAATAATGTGGCGGTCGAGGTCGACCGTGGGAGGTCCGGTTGTATTGCTTTAGACCTCGGGCGCTCGACCATGAGGCTGGAGAATCTGGGGTGGAAAGAAAGGAGGAGTTTTTGAGGTGGGGTATTAATGCGCGATGTCATGTGGTTTTTGAAGCCCATGGTGCTGTGGATTAATTTGTTCCATTTGGGTTTGGGTCCTGATACGCCAATTTAGTGGCGTATCCCGTATCGGATACCGTTTGGATACGATACGCTTCGAATACGGTCCCGGACGCATTGGATATGTATTGCAAGTACACGGATACGTCATTTGACTACGGATACTGAGTATCCGCCATTCCGACACGAGATCGTCTTTTCGGGTCGACCTCCGGGCGGTTTGCCGTTTGAGCCCCTGGGTGCAGCGTTGTGAAGAGGAGGGAGGGTGAAGAAGAAGAGAAGATTTCACGGGAGGAGGTAAGAAGGGAGGGGAGTAGAGAGAAGAGAAGATTCAGCTGCAGGGTGACAGAGAGGACCGAGAGACAGAGAGGGATAGAAAAAGATTCAGACTATCCACACATGCGACGTCGTTTGGCTAACACAGGATTTGTAATATAATATTGTTGTCTATATATTTTTTTCATAGAATCTGTTTATGGGTTTGGGTCCTTAAACAATGGCTTTGGTTAATGATATTATTTGGGTTTAAAAAAGCTATAGATCCTAAAAATATAAAGACTCCAAAGAAACCAAAATGCACACATATTTCTAATTTATATTTATATATATTTAAATTATTTTAGGTTATATATTTTATTATATATATTTATATATCCGTATCCATGCGTATTCGTATCCTATTTTTGAAAATTTGCCCGTATCCCCGTGTCGTGGCGTGTCGTATCACCGTATCCGTATCCGTTCCCGTCATCTTCTTAGGGTCTTAGGAAAACCCACCAAATTGGGGTTTTTGGGCTTCGGTCGGAGAACTTGTCAGCTTGCCGACGAACCCATACAGAGAGATAAAGAGAAGATAAGGGTCGTTGCTCTGGTTTCCTTGCTCTCTCCATGTGGGCTCCCTGTTTTGGGGTCGGTGCTGGCTTTTGTACTTTTGGTTTGTACGTGGTGGCGTTATAGAAAGCAAAATTATTGTCTTGCCCTGCGAGAACCTGCATTGTGAGCGCCCTGCATTTTCCAATCAGCAAACACATTCAGACCATAAATTATACTACAGAAAACAACATTTATGATCTGATGTATGTTTTCTATCTCCTGCCTAAAAAATTGTCTTGTTTTGAGGGCAGTACTTGTGGAGGGTAAGTTGAATTCAGTCGCAGATAGTGACTGTTTGTCTACGGCTGTACTTTCCTCTTCTGGCCAATGATATTGGAGATAGATAAGCTCATATGCAAGGATCTTGTATTAGCCAGGCGTAACATCAAGCAGTAATAAGTTTTAAAAAATTTTTCGAATATCACTTTTTTTTATTATCCTGAACTCCCCTTGCCCCAACTTTCCAAGTAGGGCATTGGTCGGAAGTTATAGCTTTGTTGATAATGAGCCTTCTTCAGATGCACAGAGGTCAGTGCTGGTGCTTTTATGATTAATCAATAGGTAGCAGAATCATGTCGAGACTTGTTTTACCCCCACGTAGTCCTGGTGAATATTTGCTTTCACATCCATTCGGATAGTTCCTGAGCTTCGTTTCAGTCCTCAACCACCACAGTTGAACAGGATTGAGGATCATTTCATGATAAATAAAGGAGCTTATTACAGTCTAGGGTTGCCAGTTACAACAAACCTGCAACAAGTCTCTCTTATAGATTTACCATTGCTAGGCCCTGTATTTTGAAGCCCCTCAGGCAAAGCTGATGATCTAAAAACAATTGATTTAGGAAGTATAGCTGTCTCAGCTTATGGAAGTGATCATTTTTTCAGCTTGGGGATAGCTATAGATTTTCATTCCCAACCTTCAAGCTTCGTTTCTCAAAACCACATCAAATTAGGCCCTATAGTGAAAATAAAATTGGAAATAGGGGTGTGCTTGGTGGGTTGGCTGGGTTTTGGAGCGATTTTTTTTGTCTGGGTTTGGGGGGGGACAGGGGATTTATTGCCATCTTGTAATACAATTATAGAAAAGTGGTATTTGCTTGCACTGGAATTTTTTAATGGTGGCCTTGATACAGCAGACAGAGAGACAAAGAGATAGGTGGAATGTCTTGAGAATTTTTGTGTGGGAGGGTATAAGGTTTTGGTTGCTGGTGTGTGTATTGGGCAGTGTTCCTTGTTAGATGGTTTATATTGGTGGGAGGGGGAGGGCACGAAGAGTATAAACGGAATGAATTTTTTGTTATTTATATTATTTTTTTCCATTTGTATTTGGTATTTTAAGGAATGATTTTTTTTAATAAGTTTGACTCGAGATTGCCCTTCACAAGTAAACGGAAGTTAAAAAAAAATTTACAAAATGATATTTGTGTGCCTGAATTGCGTAAAATTTGCAACCATAGTACGAAAATGTTTTAGAATATGGAACTCAATAAGGTCCGAAATGTTAATGGAACCATAGGACTGTGGTAAAAGTGATATAACGCATAGGGCCCAAAGTAAACTTTTTGTCTTATGCATATATGTCACACTTTATGACTAATTAGTATTGAACTTGCTACCTTTTTTTTTTTTTTTTTTTTTTTTTTTTTTTTTTTTTTTTTTTTTTTTTTTTTTTTTTTTTTTTTTTTTTTTTTTTTTTTTTTTTTTTTTTTTTTTTTTTTTTTTTTTTTTTTTTTTTTTTTTTTTTTTTTTTTTTTTTTTTTTTTTTTTTTTTTTTTTTTTTTTTTTTTTTTTTTTTTTTTTTTTTTTTTTTTTTTTTTTTTTTTTTTTTTTTTTTTTTTTTTTTTTTTTTTTTTTTTTTTTTTTTTTTTTTTTTTTTTTTTTTTTTTTTTTTTTTTTTTTTTTTTTTTTTTTTTTTTTTTTTTTTTTTTTTTTTTTTTTTTTTTTTTTTTTTTTTTTTTTTTTTTTTTTTTTTTTTTTTTTTTTTTTTTTTTTTTTTTTTTTTTTTGCGGCAGAGCAAATGGCAATCAGAAAGCGATTTTCGACCAAGGCGATCGGTATCACAGTTCGCTATCCATCCTTTACAGCTCGAGTTAAGGTATCGTTCGGCACCCTCATTTAACTCTCTCATTTAATTATTGTTGTTTGTCACACGTCCTTCCTTGGCATGAACTAGACTGACCATAGGGTTCTGTTCGATAGTTTAGTCATCATAGGTAGTGATGTACAGGTCGGTAGGCTAGTATTCGGCATGGACCTTAGTTTCCTTTTTTCATGTTTTGTAGATGTCTGATAGAGAGTCACTATTCGAGAATAAGCCCAACGCTTTCGAGGGTGAGTCATCGGACGGTCTGTTCGATTCAAAAAGTGAGGCCGTTGTAAGCCTCGGTGCCGAGGACGGAGAAGACACCGATGTCGAGATACTTGGTAAAGGCCCAGCCTCCGTCCCTACCCACGACATCGGTAAGGGGCTCATGGTAAGGCAACCAGAGCCGTTGGTCGCGGTCTATCGTGATGGTAGCCATTTTGGCATAACCCAGCACGGTGAGTCCAGTGCTGGTCGTCAATCAGAGGCCTCCACGTCTGGCCGTGGAGAGGCAGCTACCGAACCTTCTCCCCGCCCTAGGGTCTCCGTAGTGTATCCTAGCAACCCTAGGGTACCCATAGGCGTGCCGAAGGAGCATCTATTCGGCGTCGATTACTTGGGGCCGAATAAGATAACCGAATGGGAGATCGCCAAGTACTGCACTAAGTATTGCATCCCGGATTCGGTGAGGATGAGGATTCTAGGCCCTACCGAATCCCTCAGCAAGCCGAAGGACGGCGAAGTCGTCTTTTTCACCGACGTCCTCCTGCAGGGGGTCCGGCTACCGTTGCAGCCTACCGTGCAGAAGATCCATGTCCAAATAAGGTACGCTCCCGGACAGTACAACCCAAACTTCTGGGTGGCTCTGATGGGGGTAGTAACGGCCTTCAGCATTGCCGAGGAAAGGGAGCCTTCCTATGAGCAGTTCTCGTACCTGTACAGCGTCACGAAATCAAAGAGTGCCGATCCCGGAGGTTGGGTACAGACAAACTGCCTCCGGGCTTCCGAGCGAGGCCACTTCGTGAGTGCCGTGCCGACTTCTCAGAAGTCCTGGAAGAATCAGCAGGTGCTCCTTTCGGGAGACTGGGAGTCGCCATCGGGATAGCTTGCCTGCTTCCCTATCCCCACCACCTTCCAGATTGCCGGTAGGTTGACTTGCCGTTCGGTAAGTCTGCAGTCGTATTCATCTTGAGACTAACATTGCTTCGTTTTCTCTTGTAGGCAAACTGAAGCAGCCGAGCCCTACGCAGTCTGAGATTCGGCAGATCGACAGGGTGAGGTTGAAGGTCACTGCTGTTGAAAGGGTGTACCCTCAATTCCTCTTCACTGCGAACTTGGTCATAGCCGAACTTGCCAATCCTGCCGAGAGTAAGTGGACATCGTCTTTGAGTCCATTTATATTATAACAACGCCTTACCAATCTTTGTTTTGTGCAGTGACAGACGAGAGAAGGGCTCCAAGCGGCGCCTGATGATGGGCCTGCAAGGGAAAAAGGCGAAACGGTATGCGGAGGCAGTGCCGATTTTGTCGGCGGGGGTTGATCCGGAAGATCAAACCATTGTCGATCGCCTAAGGCAACTCAACATCGAGACGGCGTCTATTGGTGCATCAGAAGTAGGCGGGGGCAGACTACCGACGCCACATCCTCCACGACAGCCGGTAAAAGGCCGGTGACGGTGCATCTGGAGGTGGAGCCGGCACCCAAGCGGAGTCGGTAGGGGGAGGTGCCGAGGGTTACCCTTGCTGCCGAGGATGATGAGAACCCGGCGGAGCTAATCACGATTGCATGTCCGTCGAAGGTAGTCCAGTTTTGCGAACCATATGATCATTGGTTCGCAAATAGAGCTGTCCAAGATCGAGGAGTTGCCGAAGAAGCTCATACGGGAGGAAGCATGGCGCACCTTCCGTTTCCAGGCCTCGGTAAGTTTTTTATTTTTATTTTTTTTTACCGTTCGGTTCCCTACTGACTTCTTTTTGTCTTTCAGGCTTCGATGGACATGTGGCTTGTGCATGCGGTGGGCCATCAATGCTGTCGAGCGCGCCATGAAGGCTTACGAGGATGGTCGGGCCAAGGTTGCCGAGGCTGGCAAAGCTCTCCAAAACGACACTCATCTCGTCAAGGATATGCAGGCTGCCAAACGGTAAGTCAAAGCTTACGAAGCCAAATTTGCTGAGATGAGGGCGGCTCTGGAGTGTGCGCAGTTGGTGGCAAGGGAAGGCGATGAGGCAAAGGAGGCGATGCAGGTGGCCTTGGAGGAATCAGAATGAGCCAAGGCTTCGGAGATTGAAGCTGCCGTTCGGGAGGCGATAAGGAGCTACCGTTTGTCAACAGAGTTCTCTATCCTGCTGGACAAGGAAGTAGGCTCCGAGATAGCGGATCTGCTCTACATATTCAAAAGGCACAACCTTGGACGAAAGCTCAACCTTAACTTCATTGCCGACCCTCCTCCCCTTCCGGAAGGCTTAACCGAAGAGATGATTGAAGACTACGAAGGGGAGGACGCTCCAGATGAAGCCTTTGCCTCTGAGGGCCCTGCTCCCACCGATGCTGCTGCCGCTGAGGGTATCGATGCCGAGGGCGAGGAAGCCACTGCCTGAGCTTAGCACTAGCCTTGTAATTTTAATTTTCTTTTTGTTTCTGCCATAAGGCAGTATTTCTGAACACATTGGTGCCGAGGGCACCTTTTAATGTATTTCGTTCTAGTTTATCTTCAAATTTTGTCTAACTAACAAGTGACCATACTATCGGTAGATTTCACCTAACAAGGCAAAGCTAACTGCCGAAGGACTATAAAAGAATAACTCTTAATTAAACCTCTAATCGGTAAGGCAATTTAAGAGTCAAATAATCTTACTTGCCGAGGGCTAAATAAAAAGACTGACTGCCGAAAGCTAGTACAAGAATAATTTCGAAGTGAACCTTTAATTGGTAATACACTTTAAGACTCATTCGCCAACGGTAAGGGGCTTGTGCATTTTGATTGCCGAGGGCTAATCATTCGTGTGGACTTTAGATCTTGTTGCTGTTATAATTTTGCAAGTGCAGGTGGGATTAGCAGTTTTGAACTCAAACTTACCTGCTCCCGTTGGCTAAGTAAAAGTTTTTTTAAATTTATAAGCATAGGATACTGCTCGACCGATGGTCTCTACCGTATATATATATATATTTTTTAAATAATGAAAATTAAATAAACACACCGAAGGTTATGAATATATAAGTCGAAGGATTTTTCATTAAAAATTGCCAAAGGCAAAGATACATTCGGAACCCGTTTTATAATTACAACCTGCCGTATGTTAGGGAACTACTTAAAATAATACTTCAGATGTTTGACATTTCAAGGATGACCGAGGGTCTTACCGCTGGAGTCTCTGAGCCGATAGGTTCCCGATCGAAAGATGCCGATGATCTCGTAAGGTCATTCCCAAGAAGGTCCGAGGGTTCCTTCCGTAAGGTCCTTAGTTGCCAGAGAGACTTTTCGCATGACCCAGTCCCCGATTCGGAAAAAGCGGGATCTGACTCTTGAGTCGTAGTACCGAGAGACGCGCTGTTTTTATGCCTCATTCTTAAGGTTGGCTTGCGCTCGGCGTTCTTCGATGAAGTCGAGGCTCAACGCAAGGGCTTCCTCATTCGCCTTTGGAGCAAAGGTTCCCATTCAGTAAAAGGGCTCGCCGATTTCTACAGGGACTACCGCTTCCGATCCGAAGGTGAGAGAGAAAGGGGTTTCACCGGTTGCCTTTCGGTAGGATGTCCGAATGGCCCAAAGTGCTTCTGGAAGCTTCTCTGGCCAAACTCCTTTGGCTTTGTCAAGCTGCCGTTTAAGTAGCTTCTTGATGATTTTGTTTATTGCTTCGACCTGACCGTTCGACTGTGGGTGAGTTGGCAAAGCAAGGAACAGATTGATCTTGAGGCGAGTACAAAACTGCCTAAAGACTTCCGAATCAAACTGTCTGTCATTATCGATGCTGATCACATAGGGAATACCGAATAGGCAGCAAATGTGATTCCAGATGAAGTCTTCCATCCTGGCTGCCGTTATGGTTGCCAGAGCTTCGGCCTCTACCCATTTGGTGAAGTAATCCACGGCAACAACGGCATACTTGACTTGTCCCTTTTCCTACGGCATACTTGGTGAAGTAATCCATGTTATGGTTACCGAACCATTGACATTTATCGCACTTCTTCACCAGCGTGTTTGCATCCCGACGCATCGTCGGCCAGTAGTAGCCCTGGCGGAAGGTTTTATGTGTGAGGGATCGGGATCCCGAGTGATCACCACATACGCCACTATGGATCTCTCGAAGGACGTAGTCCCTTTGTTCAGCGGTGAGGCATTTTAGATACGGCGTGGTGTAACCGCACTTGTACAGGACATCGTTGATGACCGTGTACCTTGCCGATCGGTAGCGTAGCTTCCGTGCTTCATACTTGTATGGGGGAAGGGTGCCATTCGTTAGGTATGCGTAGATTGGGGACATCCACGTGTTCTCGTACCCTACGGTACATACTTAGGTGGTTATTATGCTTGGCTGAGACAAGATTTATACTGGCACCTTCCTCCCGATCTTGTTGTTTATTACTGAAGCTAGCCGTGCTAGTGCATCGGCATGACTGTTTTCTGTCCTGGGGATTTGTCAAATCTCGTAGGCTTGGAATTTTTGAAGTAGTTGGTGGGTTGTCGATAGGTAGGCCGACATGGAGGCATCCTTGGCTGCGAAGTCTGCCGTTGGCTGAGAGTCACTGTAAATGCTGATATGTTCTGCGCTCATGCTCTTGGCTAGCCGAAGGCCGGCCAAGAGAGCTTCATACTCTGCCTCGTTGTTAGAGGTTCTGAAGTTGAATCGGAAGGCATATTCGACCTTGGCTCCGTCTAGAGTAGTCAACACCAGATCAGCTCCACAACCTTGTTGATTTGCCGAGCCATCGACATGCAAAATCCATAGAGGAACAGAAGGATCGAAGCGTTCAGCATCCTGCTCTCCTGGTTCCCCAGCATCTGGATTGGCTAGCTCTGATGCAACCGAAGGTGTGAGCTCGAAAATAAAGTCAGCGATGGCCTGTCCTTTCTCCGCAGGTCTTAGCTTAAATTATATGTCGAATTCTCCCATCTCGATTTTCCATTTGACCAATCGGCCGAACGTTTCTGGCTTTTGGAGTACTTGCCGAATGAATTGATTGGTTAGGACCGCGATCTCGTGCGCTTGGAAGTATGGACGGAGCCTTCGAGCTGAGACAACAAAGGCTAGTGCTAGCTGTTCCAAGGGGGGATACCAAAGTTTTGCGCTCTGCAGCACATTGCTGACATAGAAAATTGGTAGTTTGGCCTTCTCTGGCTTCCATATCAACACAGAGCTGACGGCAATGATGGATACCGAGAGGTAGAGAAAGAGAACTTCTCCAGGAAGTGGTTGTGACAATAGCGGCGCCTTGCTCATGTAGTTCTTTAGGTCTTGAAATGCCTTGTCGCATTCGGCAGTTTATGCGATATGTTGTTTGCCCTCTTTCAAGGTTCTAAAGAACGGTATACACTTATCGGTAGCCTTGGAAATAAAGCGTGTTAAGGCGGTGATACGCCTGGTAAGGCTCTAAATGTCCTTCTGCGTTTTTGGCCTCTCCATGTCGATTATGGCCTTGATTTTCTCAAGATTCGCTTCGATCCCTCTCTCACTGATCATGAAGCCGAGAAACTTACCTGAAGACACACCGAAGGCGCACTTCGTGGGGTTTAGTCTCATTCGGTTCAGTATACCGAACATAAAGGCCAAGTTGTTTAGATGCTCCTCTGCCGTTCGGCTTTTTACCAGCATATTGTCGACATACACCTCCATGATGCTGCCGATGTGTTTAGTGAAAATTCGGTTGACAAGCCGTTGATATGTTGCCCCCACGTTTTTCAGGCCGAACGGCATGACATTGTAACAGTACAATCCACGGTCAGTGATGAATGCCGTATGCTCGCTATCGGCAAGGTGCATGAAAATCTGATTGTATCCCGAATAAGCGTCCATGAAGCTGAGCAGCTCGTAACCGACAGTCGCGTCAACAAGCTGGTCAATCTTGGGCAACGGGAAACTATCCTTCGGACAGGCCTTGTTCAGGTCAGTATAGTCTTGACACATTCGTCATTCGCCCTTGGCCTTTCGAACCACGACTGAGTTGGCAAGCCAAACGGGGTACGTAGCTTCCCTGATAAAGCCGATGGCTTTTAGCTTGTCAACTTCGGTACGCATGGCCTCATACCGTTCAGCATCATACAAACGACGCTTCTGTTTGACGGGTTTATAGGCAGGGGAGATGCTGAGCTTGTGGCTGATGACTTCAGGTGATATACCTGGCATGTCGTCATAGGACCAGGCGAAGACCTCCGCATGGTGCCGCAAAAAATCTATGAACTGCATTCGGATGTGGGGGTTGAGTGTGGTGCCGATCTTAACACATCGGTCGGGATGCTCTTCGTTCAGCATTATTGTTTCCATTTCCTCAGCAAGTTGCGCAAGCGGCGTTGGTGTTTCCTCTCTTGGGTCGTTTATTGGCCCGCTACCGTTCGGTAGCTCTTGCACAGACATGGCTTCCATCGGAGGCTTGCAAGCTACTGATTTTAGGGTCGTCGCATAACACGTTTGTGCACTGAGCTGATCTCCTCGGATAACGCCAGTACCATTGCAGGTTGGAAACTTCATCAGCAACATGTGGGGGGACTTGTGCGCTTTGATTCCATTGAGTGCCGTTTGTCCGACAATGACATTGTATGCCTTTGGGCAGTAGATAATGAGAAACTGGTCATATATCATTGTTTTTCGATGGGCAACGCCGAAGGCAATAGGCAAACTGACACTGCTGACTGGCTGGACCAGATCCCCAGAAAAGCTCAGCAATGGCGTTATCTGTCGATTGATATGACTATCTACTATTCCATATCTTTGAAAGCATCAGCAAAGATTACGTTTACCGAGCTTCCATTGTCGATCAGCACTCGTCCTACATCGTGGTCTGCGATTTCAACTCGAATAATCATCGGGTCATCGTGTGGGTAAATGATCCCTTCTTCCTCTTCCTCACTGAACTTGATAGGCTCCCAACCAACCTTCGGTACCTTGTGATGCCGGTTAACCTCAACACCGAAGACTTATGGGTAGTGAGTGGCACGCACATAATGTTTCATCGATCAGTGTGATGATCCCGCCAAAGTGGGACCTCCGCTAATGGTACTGATCATGTTGATTTGTCGGTTCGCGTTCGGGATTGGAGCATGCGGGGGTCTAGCGATGTATTGATCTAGTTTTCCTTCTCGAATCAGGCGTTCAACGATCTTTCTCAGACTTATGCATTCATCGGTGTTATGGCTGTTATGCTGGTGGTATCGGCAGAATTTGCTGGTATCCCGATTAGGCTTTCGGTGATTTGGCTTGGGTATTATCTCGTGCTCGTTCATCAGGACAACCTCATAAGTTGTATTCAACATATTGAAAACTTCCTGAGTGCGGTCTTGATTGGGTAGGGGCGTACTGTGATCATTGCGACCGTATTTTCCTCGTCCTTTCTTAGAGTCACTCTGCCAATTGTCGCAGTCATCCTTCCGTTTGTGCCATGCCGAGGGTTCGTCAGTTCTCCTAGGGACATACGATGATCATTTCCCGGGATAGCTTTTTAAGGCTAGCTCCTCCTGTCGAGCCAAAGGCCCGGACTTTGAGTTGGAATATTCAGCCTTGGCATGAATTGCTGCTTGCTTCATCAGCTCGTCATATGTACGCCAGTTGCTACTGTGCACGAGGTACTGAAAGTGTGAGGACCGAAGGCTCCGTAGGCTGCCATGTCGTCCGTTTCTGGACACCTCGAGTATTTGTGACTGAAGCGTGTAGCGTATTCCAGTAGGGGCTCATCTTCCTTTTGCCGAATCGTGTACAAATCATCGGCAGAGTATAGATGGTCCGTCTGGATCATAAAGTGATTAAGGAAAATCTACTTTAGTTCGTTGAAGGAATCTACCGTTCCAGGCTCCAAACGGTAGAACCAATTCAATGCGACTTCGGTAAGGGAGGACGGGAACAGCAGGCATTGCCCCTCGTCGTTGAGACCCTTGCATCCGACTGCCGATTGGAAGGAGTAAAGGTGCGTCAAGGGGTCTTCCACTCTAGTGTAGAACGGTATGCGAAGTGGTTGTATATCCATATCCTGCCGTGAGCGCTTTATGCATTCGGTGAACGGTCCTGGCCGAAGCTTGCCCCAGTCTGGTTCTTGGGAGCGGGTCCTGTCATTTTTCATCTTCTGAATCCTTTGAAAAAGTAGGCGAATAGCGGGGTCCCGGCTCGGAACCTTCTCGGAACCGTGGTCCTCAGAAGGTCGCCGCGAGCTTGAAGGCTTTGCCTCAGAAAATCATGTGGGAGTTTCCGAACGATAGGTGGATTTCGTTGCCTTTGAAGGGACATATTCGTCGTCAGACTCCACTTCTGATTCCAGCCCTTGAACCTTTCGAATGGGCGATTTGTCTCCTAAGACCTTCATTCGTGAATCCCGTAGACGGGCATTTATCCTGATCGGAGATCTCCCCCTTTCGGCCTTCTTATCGTTGATCCGATGGCGACAGTCGGTGTAAACCTTCTTCGGTATGTGCGGCTGGTCTCGGGGTGCCGGAACTACCAACCGCTTGGAGGGCACAGGCGTTGCCTTTGCCCCATTCTTACCCTTCTTCTGCCGACTAGGAGTCTGCAGACTCTGGGAAGATTAGGTTGTTTGAATGGTTTGCGTTCGCTGCTGATTGAGCAGTTGCTGGGTTTCGTCTACTTTGGACGAGATGAGGTTGTTGTGCTCTTGGAGCTTAACCATATCCTTCCGAAGGGAAGTGATTTGGGCCAAAAGCTTGTCTTCGGCTGTAGTTTGAATCACCGGTGGATTACCAAAGGGAGTGCAGGGAGGCAGCATGGGGCTTGCCCCTCCTTGCCTACCGAACGGTAATCCATCCTCCGATAAAAACGTTGGTACTGAAGTGGTCCCCATTTGTTTTGGGGGAAAGAATGGGTCGATTTTGATCGCTTCCCACAGACGGCGCCAAACTGTTGACACAGAAAAATGGTTCGGCACTTTCCCACGCAACTTAGTGATGTTGGGCCTTCGGTATGCTCTGGGCCTCGGTAGAGCGCGTGATCTGCAAGATAACAAAACGCTCGGTAAGACCTAGGGCACCGGTGTTGTACCGGCCGAAGGCTCTCCGATGCTTAAGTAAGTACGGATTTAGTAAAGTTGGACTACAGATCAATAGGCTGTATGCCGTAAGTTCTGATTACCTCTATTTTGGGATATTTTTCCTCTTTTATAGACCTTTGGAGGAGTGCATTTTGTTTGGAATTTCGATGTGGGACTGCCACATGTCCTGAAAGAAATGTTGCCCTAATAGCAGGATCGGTAGGAAGGGTGCCGAAGGCAACCATGGTTAAATTCAGTTCCATCCACGTGTCTGGTTTTCATAGGCTGCTCGCTTTGGGTATAAACAGATCAGATCAGCAACATGATTACCAGAACAAAAAATATACCAAGAGTAGCTACTTTTCAGTACAATATGGGACCAAATTCAAAGAAGAGGCAGTGAGAGAGAAAAGAGGAGAGAAAGAGACAATGTATTTAAATAGTATATTTTTGAGTCATTTTCAATGAAATCAAAAGGTTGATTCGTATGGCTGGGTTTGATTCCTATGAAATCAAAAGGTCGATTCCTATGGATGGGATTGATTACTATAACAATTAAGTTAATCGAGATAGGGATTGATTCCTATGGCTGAGATTGGTTTTCTTGTATGAAATTTCCTAACAGAGATTAGAAGGGAGGAGAAATGGGTTTTGTAAGCATTTGAGAGTTAATGGTGGAGAAGATGCAGAGATTATGAGGCAGGAGAATGGGTATGGCTGGATTTTGCAAGGAAGGAATTGATGCTGCAATTGGAGAAGAGGAGAAGACACTTACGGAGAAGACGAAGACACTTGCTGGCTTGATCGAATATTTGGGTAGTTTTTAATTTTTTTTAATTTTAAAATTGTTAAATAAAAAAGTTAACAGAGTTAACTCCTTATTATGTTAGTTGATACGTGTAAGTAAATTAGAGAGAGGACACCAATTTGGGGACAAAGAATTTGCTCCCAGGACCCAATTGAAACTATTTGTTAAGTTAACAGATGTAATTGCCTTAAAAACAAAAGTTCGAAGACTCAATTGCAACTCGAGGCAAAGTTCAAGAACGTCTACAGTTAAAAACACTAGAAATAAAAGTTATTTTCCATATAGCGATAGGATTAATTTCATATTAAAATCTTAATGACAGAAATACCCTTAAAATTAAAAACGGAGCGTCATCAGTTTTAGATCCAGACCGTTCATACAAGATCTGAAGCCGCATAAAAATAACGTCGTGTTTTCTTCCCGTTATCTCTCAAACACGCCTCTTTTCTTTCCTCTTCGTCTTCAACAAAGGGTTCTAACCAAATCCACAATTTTTAGTCTGCAATATTTTATCCTTTTATGAACCCAATTCTGCGAGTATTTTGGGAACGGAATTAGGGTTTTGTCGTGACAATAATGATGTTCACGCCCCAGAGGAAGGCGTTAAATGCCCAATCACTGACGCCGAGGAGCGGCGCCGTCGTTTCGAACCCTAGGACCGCTGGGAAGGGTAAAGCGGTGGCGTTTGTGGACGGTCCGCCGCCGCCATTGGGTTCGCTGAGCGAAAGTGGACCCACTCCGGATTTTGACACGGGCGATATGGACGATTGGAGGAGGTTTAAGGAGGTTGGATTGCTAAACGAGGCGGCTATGGAGCGCAAGGACCGCCAAGCGCTCGCCGACAAGGTCTCTAAGCTGCAAAAAGAGGTTAGCCACAAGCTTTTGTTTGGTTAATTCGGTTATACTCACTGGGTTTATTTTGATAATGTGTTTTTTAAAATCCTTTGCAAGATTGTGGGCAGTATGCGTGCCTTTTTTATTACCAGTACAAAACAAGTCTTGCACTAAATTTTTATATTTTAGCAAATTTTTTAGCTTTCTAATATCTCACGAAGTATTTGTTGTTGGGCAGCTTTATGATTACCAGTATAACATGGGGCTTCTCCTGATCGAGAAGAAAGAGTGGGCTTTAAGGCATGAAGAATTGGGGGAAGCTTTGGCTGAAACTCAGGAGATTCTTAAAAGAGAACAGTCTGCAAACTTAATTTCAATATCTGAAGTTGAGAAGCGAGAAGAGAATTTGAGGAAAGTATTGGTTGCTGAGAAGCAGTGTGTAGCCGAGGTATGTCAAAAGATGCATTTATACAATTTTATATCTTCAATTTACCGGACTTTTATGGTACTTGTGTGTCAAGATGCACTTTCTTGCCACTTCTTGTTAGTCAATTTGTTTGCAATTTTTTGTTTGGGTTGGAATTATTGATATGGATGTATTCATTCACTTCAGCTAGAAAAAGCTTTGCGTGAAATGCATGAGGAGCACGCCCAAATAAAGCTCAAGTCTGAGGCAAAGTTGGCTGATGCAAATTCATTAGTTGTCGGAATTGAAGAAAAATCTTTGGAGACAGATGCAAAGTTTCTTGCTGCTGAAGCCAACATTGCTGAGGTCAACAGAAAGAGTACAGAGTTGGAGATGAGATTGCAAGAGGTGGAGGCACGTGAAAGTGTGCTTCGAAGGGAGCACCTTTCCTTAAGTGCAGAGTATGCATTATGCCCATGATACTTGCATTTTGGATATGAACGTTCCTAACATATATAGCTGTGCTTTATGCCCACGATACTAGCATTTAGGATATGATGTTCCTAACATATATAGTTGCTCTGCCCTTTTGTTGAATGTGAGACATCCCGTCACTTATGAGTTAGTCAGTTTACACCGTCTCAATTAAATTTATTTCAGGCACTCATTCGACATATGTTAATACAGAGTGTGCACTATGCTTGCAATCATTATGGTCTATGTTTTTATTTTTTATTTTTGTATATTTGAGAATCATTGTGTTACCAATCATGCTATTTAATTTCTTTTGGAGCTTTTGACTTTTAAAATTAAACCTGACTTGTTCTTTATCAGGAGAGAGGCACATAAGAAAACTTTTTACAAACAAAGAGAAGACTTGCAAGAATGGGAGAGGAAGCTACAAGAAGGGGAAGAGAGGCTATGCAAGCTTCGGAGAATTCTGAATGAGAAAGAGGAAAAAGCAAATGAAAATGATTTAATAATGAAGCAAAAGGAGAAAGAGCTTGATGAGGTGCAAAAGAAAATTGAACTTTCAAACACTATACTGAAAGAAAAAAAAGCTGATGTGAATAAACGACTAGCTGACTTAGTATCAAAGGAAAAGGTGCGTCTTTTGTCTAGATGAGTTTTTTCTTTTTCTCAACACGTACAATTGCAGTTTTGTTCATTACTCTCCTGTTATGTTTATCTGGTCGCAGGAAGCTGATTCTGTGGGAAAGATCTTGGAGTTGAAGGAGAAGGAATTACATGAATTGGAGGAAAAACTAAGTTCACGAGAAAATGTGAGTCCCAACTCCTTTGCTTTTAAGTCTCAAAGGAAATGAACAGAAAAAGAAGTTGGAGTGCAAAAATTGATGTGGTGCAATTTTGTGGTTTAGAAGGGCTTGAGTGTTTATTTTTATACAATTTGTCTAGAAGTCTGACACCCTGTATATCTATGGTTTGTTACAGGCGGAGATTGAACAGGTGCTTGACAAGCAAAGGGCCCTTTTCAATACGAAAATGCAGGAGTTCGAGTTGGAAATGGAAGAAAGGAAGAAATCTCTTGACAAGGAACTGAGTGGCAAGGTAGAAGTGGTGGAACAGAAGGAATTGGAAATCAACCACAGGGAAGAAAAGTTGTTAAAGCAAGAGCAAGCATTGCATGAGAAATCAGAGAGGCTGAAGGAGAAAAATAAGGAACTTGAAACAAAGTCAAAATTTTTGAAGGAGAACGAGAAAACCCTCAAAGTTAATGAGGAAATGTTAGAGGTGGAAAGGCAACAAGTAATTGCTGATTTAGAGAGTTTTCAGAATCTTAAAGGTGAAATTCAGAAGATAAAGGATGAAAATGTTCAACTGGAGCTGCAAATTCGAGAAGAGAGAGGGAAGCTGGTAATTACTCAGGAAGAGAGGTCAGAACACCTCCGTTTGCAGTCAGAACTGCAGCAGGAAATAAAGACATATAGACTTCAGAATGAGTTACTTTCAAAGGAAGCTGAAGATTTGAAGCAGCTGAGGGAAAAGTTTGAGGAAGAGTGGGAAAATTTGGATGAGAGAAAAGCTGAAATTAGCAGAGAGCTAGAGAAAATTGTTGAAGAGAAAGAAAAATTGGAAAAATTACAAGGCACAGAAGAAGAAAGGTTGAAAGAAGAGAAACATGCAATGCAAGATTACATAAAGAGGGAGCTGGACACTCTCAATCTAGAGAAAGAATCATTTGCGGCTAAGATGAGGAATGAGCAGTTTGCCATAGCTGAAAAGGCCCAATTTCAGCATAGTCAAATGGTGCAAGATTTTGAGTCTCTAAAAAGAGATCTTGAGGTTGATATGCAGAATAGGCAGCAGGAAATGGAGAAACACCTGCAGGAAATGGAGAGAGCTTTTGAGGAGGAGAGGGATAGAGAATATACTAATATCAATTACTTGAAGGAAGTTGCTGAAAGGAAGAGCGAAGAATTAAGATCTGAAAAGCATAGAATGGAAAAGGAAAGGGAAGAGCTTGCACTGAACAAGAAACAGGTGGAAGTAAACCAACTTGAAATGCGCAAAGACATTGATCAGCTTGCTATGCTTAGCAAGAAGATCAAGCACCAGAGGGAACAGCTTATTGAGGAAAGAGGTCGCTTCCTTGCTTTTGTTGAGAAGATTAAAAGTTGCAAGGACTGTGGAGAAATGACAAGGGAGTTTGTACTTTCTGATCTCCAAGTACCTGGAATGTACCATGTTGAGGCTGTTTCTCTGCCAAGGCTCAGCGATGAATTTTTAAAGAACTCTCAGGCTGATTTATCTGCTCCTGATTTGGAATACCCAGAATCAGGATGGGGAACATCTTTGCTCCGCAAATGCAAGTCAATGGTTTCTAAAGTATCTCCAATTAAAAAAATGGAGCATATTACTGATGCAGTGTCTACGGAATTGCCACCACTATCAACTATGCAGGTTAATGAGGGAGCAAGAGGGCATAGCGGTCATGAAGATGAGCCTGAGCCATCTTTTAGGATGCCTAATGACGCAATTTCTCAACCGCTACCATCTGATAACACTACTAAAGAAGTGGATGATGGGTATGCTCCATCAATTGATGATCATAGCTTTATTGACAGTAAGGTGAAAGATGTTCCAGATGATTCTGAGCAATCAGAGCTAAAGAGTTATCAGCGTAAACCAGGTCGGGGACGCAAGTCCAGACTGTCAAGAACACGCACAGTGAAGGCAACGGTTGAAGAGGCGAAGATTTTTCTACAAGATACTCTGGAAGAACCATCAAATGCAAGTATGCTGCCGAATGATAGTAGTAACATTCATGAGGAAAGTCGGGGTGATTCCAGTTTTGCTGAGAAAGCAAATAGTAGCATTGGAAGGAAACGAAGGCGTGCTCAGAGCTCTAGGATTACAGAAAGTGAGCAGGATGATTGTGATAGCGAAGGACGTTCTGGTAGTGTCACAACAGCTGGTGGGCGCAGGAAGAGGCGACAATCTATTGCTTCCTCTGTGCAAGCACCTGGAGAGCAGCGATATAATCTCAGACATCGCAAGACGTAAGTTCCTTAATGTCTGTATGAAAGTGGCAGCTAATCTGGAAGTAAATTACAAAATAGTGTTTGCAGTTTCTGTGGCATGATCATAATATTTGGACCAACTTGGGTTGAGGATGTGGTATCTCTACTGTGTATAATATACACTGTATATCTATATAGACACATTCCGGATTGGTTTATGTAGTCTGGTTGAACTCTTGGTAAATCCTTTTGCTTTCAGTATTATGTTTATATAAATGGTTGGACCCTTCTTTCTATTCAATTTTTAAGTTTTTGGATTATTGGTTTTACACCAAGTAAAGATTTGATGTGTCGAATTTGTGCTTAGTCCTATCATGGTAATCCATTTGTTTCTTTTTTCTTTTAGGGTTTACGAATATCTATTTTTTGACCCGTATAAGGGGGCCTGTTTTTGTTATGGATTACCAACCACTTTATTTGTCTAGGTCTTCTTAGCTAATATATAAATAAATGTTCTTTAGATCCCAGAATAACTAATTGTACCAGCTATACACCATGTTGTCCAGGCCAAATTACATCTTGACCATATTCAGGTGGTCCTGGAATGACATGTTACTAACCGTCATTCTGAAATTATTGGTACTAGAAAAAAAAAAAAAAAAAAAAAAAAAAAAAAAAAAAATTTATTTGTTTTATATAATTTTGTTTCTACATTGTTAATGGTGTGGAAAATAAATTTGGTTTTTTTCTGATAATTGGGGTCTTTTCGATCATAATTTGAGAAGATTTAAACATAGAAAGAATTAAATGAAGATGAAATGTTAAACATGGATAAAACTTTGATTGTTATTTATTAAACTACTGAAATATCTGTGGAAGACATGATTTGTACAATCTTACATGTGACCTGGTATGGCATAAACAGTCCAAACTAAGTAAAATTTGATCTTGCGTGATGTGTTGACATTTTATATGCTGTAATGTACCATATGAGATAATATTTGATTATTCTAAAGTTTTCTATGAACATTGATCAGTGCAGGCTCAGTCACAGCAGCACCGGCTGCGGCTGACCTGAAAAAGAGAAGGAAGGAAGAAGCTGGAGGTGGTGGTGCAGAACCAAATCCGGAATCTGTTTCATCATTGGGGATGGCTGGTGAGACTGGGCAAACTGCACAGTTGATGCAGGTCACAACTTCAAAAAGTGTGGAATTCTCACAGGAGCGAGTAGAGAGGGTAAGGCCCTCCTTACCTTTATGGTTTTTTCTTATTTGTAACGGTTTTATCAGAAATCATCTGAAGAAGGCCTTGTAACTTATGTTTGTTGTGCTACAGTTTAGCACACCAGAAGACATTCTTGATGGCAATGCTGCTGATGCAGCAAAAACAGTTGAAAATACAGAGTTGAGTGGGGAAGATAATGGTACACCAGAGTCTGGTAGTGGCAACAACACAGTTGGTGAGAGCGACGATGATTACGATGATGAGGAACGTCCTGGGGAGGCGTCAATAAGAAAGAAGATTTGGAATTTCCTTACAACATGATGAGCAAAAATACACTTTCAACATCATTTTAAAAACTCTGTAATGACTAGCTTCAGTTGGCAGGATTTCCTAGCATTTTTTGTTGTCACCTTATTTGCCTTGTAGTTCCGTGAAAATATGGCGTTTCTTTTTCTTTTCTTTTTTCTCGGTTGTGGGACAGAAGATGTTTATGTCCAGGACATGGCTGAAGATACCAGCTGTTGTATCTGCTAATTTGTATTATGTGGAAGTATAATTGATAGTGCGATTTTGATACAGTTTTCAATCTATTGCCCGTGTGTATGCTCTTTTTTGTTCGTCCCACTTTAAGCCCGTTTGGTGCGTGAAACAGGATAAGATTTGGATAAGATTCGAATCAAGGACTTGCAAAGTGTTTTTTCGCTTACATTAGAGGAAAGAAACTCATTGGGGTTCGATCTTGGGTGCCATAAGGGGGGAGGGGGAATCTACCACTGTGGTGGGAACCATTGGCGAGGACTTATAAAGTTACCATGTTAGAACTTAGATTGATGTCCAATTTGATAAAGATTTAGTGATAATGATTATAAATTCACCAGAGCAATTCAATTGAAATAATTATGCTGGATTATAGTTATGCTAGATTGGTGATTTATAAGTTTACCGAATGACAACTCAAGTTTTTTTTTTTCCTTTTTTTTTGGATCAAAGGGAAGAATTTCATTGAACTTGCATCAACACTTGCAATAGAATCAATTGGCGAAACGGAGGGCTAAGAGTGGCCTCATTAAAACCTTGCCATATAAAACCCCCAAAGAAGAAAAATCCAGTCAAGGAAAAATAGTACTACAGCACCTCCAAATAAACAACAGAGAAAAATAAAAAAAGCACCATTAAGTATGCATCCTATCGCTCTCTAGTATCTGCTCCAGCCAAGGGGGGGCAATATCTTCCCAAAAAAACCACAGACCTTTCTTCAAACCAAACTAGGCCAGTGCATGTGCAGCCCCATTTCCATCGCGAGGTTGAAACACCACATCAACCACCCCACGATCCGCCATTAATTGTCTAATATCCTCCACCACATTACCCAAATTACTTCGCCATTCCAAAGCTCCCTTGAGCATTGCCACTGCTTCTTTGGAGTCAGTTGCAAGCAGAAACTGAGTATAGCCTTTAAACCCCATCATCAATAACCAAACCCACATATGAATCTCCCTGCATTATCTTTACAACAGCCCCACAAACCTCTCCTTTCTCCTTCACGGTCCAAAGCACCATCACAATTAAGAATAATGGTATGCAGAGCCGGTCGATCTCATTTGATTGGTCGAGACACCCCAAACAGCTGGGGCCGCACCAGACAGGATTTGTAACTTTCATATAGCTCCATAGTTCTCTCCACTAAATCTTCTACGCGAGGAACCGATTTCCCATGCAACATATCATTACTTGTCTACTATAGCTTCCACACACAACAAACAAACCTCTCCAAGTCGACCTGTGAGCAAGCTCTAATAATTGTATCAAATAAATTTGCAAAAGAGCCTCCACTAATTTTAAAATGCCCAGCAAAACCCGTACACCTCCAGACCTGCTTACTGAACTTACAACTCCACAAAGCATGACAGGCATCCTTATAATATTTGCCACATCTGAAGCAAACTTGGGACTGAACCACTTTCCTCTTATATAAATTAACGACAGTGGGCAAGATGTCTAAACACGCCCTCCACACCAAATTCTTAATCTTACTTGGCAACTCAAGCTTCCAGAGTTGCTTCCAAAAAGATTGTCTTGCCGAGGAATCTGAGCCACCAATATCAAAGTTCTCGTTGCATTGGGATAAAGCCACCCAATAACCAGTTTTAACTGAGTACCTACCAGTTTTTTAGAAGTACCAGTATTGGTGTCACCTAATTGTGCGATTGACCCTAGAGCTATGCTAGTTATTGCCTTTTTATCCTCCCCACATAAGTGGTTTGTTAGCAAAGCCAAATCCCATGCTCCAGAATCAGTGATTAAATCAGCCACCTTAGCATTCCAATCCAATCTTGCATTTCACAACGGTTTTAAAAGTACACGGTTTAGGAAGCCAGTTGTCATTGAAAATCCTAATTGAATTCTCGTTCCCAACTCGCCAAGCCAGCCCTTCCTCAATAACCTCCTGTCCCCACAAAATAGATCGTCATATCAAAGACGAAGAATGACCCGGAGGGACCCCCATGAAGTGTCCATGTGGAAAATATCGCGCCTTCAGAATCTTTGGCACCAAAGAGTTGGGTTTCTCCAAAATACGCCATGCCTGTTTCGCTACCAAAGCTTTATTGAAAGCTTCAAAATTATTTAAGCCAAGTCCCCCCATACATTTAGGTTGACATAACATTCGCCAACCCATCCAATGTATGCCTCGTTGATTAGATTTCCCCCACCAAAATCGAGCTATCATAGTCGATAATTCTTTGCACAAGGTCTGCGGCAATTGAAAAACTCCCATTGTATATGTAGGAAGAGTCTGCCCAACTGCCTTGATTAATACTTCCTTTCTGCAGCCGACATGAGCTTCATGTTCCAATTATTTAGCTTGGCCATAAGAGTTCCCGAACATGGTTAAACATTTGGGATATATTTCAAGTAGCTAACGTGGGCAAACCGAGGTAGCATTCATGGCAAGCCACAATCCACACCCCAAGCATCTGAAATCAATTGCTTCATTATAGGATCTGTCTTGGGACTGAAAAACATCGCAGACTTGTCAAAATTAATTTTTTGGCCTAAGGCCACAATCTGAGAATATGAAGGAAATTTGCACAATCAGATAAATGGGCATCACAAAAAAGCAGACTATCATAAGCAAAAAAGAGATGGGAAATAGTGGGGGCTCCACTAGCCACTGAAATTCCCTTGATTTGTTTCGTTCTGAGAGCACAAGATAACAAGGTAGACAGTCCTTCTGCACATATTAAGAACAGATAAGGCGATAGGGGGTTGCCTTGCCTAAGCCCTCTTGTCGGCACAACCATGCCCGTCACCGCCCCCCGAACCTGGATAGAATAGGTAACCGTGGACAACCAATCCATGATAAGCTCCACCCATCGATCACTAAAGCCCAACCTTTGAAGCATAGCTTCAAGGAAACCCCACTTCACTCTATCATAGACAACTCAAGTTAAATGGCCAAGTCACTAAACGGGTCTATTAATGATAAATTGACATCAAATGACTGAGTAAATTAACTATGGAATCAAATTCAATGAGATTAATCAAAAGATGAGATGCAAGTATGAGTTAGATAAGTTGGTCAGGATAGTGAGTTTTCCCCCTTGCATAAATTCGAATTCCTCTCCCCATAGATTTACATTAATCTATCACTTATATGTTTAAAATAATAATAAAAAACACAAACTATCTTTCTACTGTTCTACAGTTTCTCTCTCTCAAACACACATACAATAACGTAACGGGGACCTCTATAGAAAGAAAAGCTTGTGAAGAAAATGACTTATCAGGCTATACTAGGTCTGCCAACAAGCCAAACAATTAAGTAGAGGGTGGGCTATGCCTTCTTAGCCTTCCATCTATCCCTTCCCCACGCCCCCCACCCACTACTGAGAGACTGTGGTCCTTCCATCAAAAGCTCCAAAGTACCTGCAACCCAGAAGTAAATTAAAAAAAACGTGAAAAAAGCTCCAAAGTACCATTATTTATGTATTCACAGCTGCTTATTGACCTCTTTTTTTATTTTTTCTCATCCAGTGGGTATAACTTTATAAGATATAGAGAAACAGAGGATTTTGCACTGGATTATTACTGTTGTCCAAATTCTGTTGATATGTGAGTTGACTTTCCAAGCAGGGTTATAATTTTAGTGTCTACAAATATACACTAATGAAAAGGAAGGATTTTGTTTTCTTTCTTTTGGTCATTAGGAAAGGAAAAAAGGTGGAACAATTGGTAAAACTATGGTTCCAATCCAAGATATGCCATAACAGCACAGTATATAACTTGAAGCCTGTTCCTAAAAGCCCATTTGGAGCCATACAGTTTGCCCCATCCTTTTTAGAGATTCAATGGTGTTTTGTCTCTTTCCTCCACTGTTTCAGAAGACACTCATTAACCCAAAAGCCAGAAACCTCAGCCCTAGAGAACAACCAAGCAGGGAGTGATAAAAACCCAACTTTTTGTCTTGCATGTATTTACATGCACCTCCTTTGTTTTGCATGAGCAAATGGTCCCATATCCCCCTATCACAATCCCCACTGCAAACCCTATTAAAACCCTTATACCCTTTTACCATAACTAATCTCACATTTTTGACAACCCCCCTTCCAACTAGCACACTCTTTTAACTGTCTGCAAAGTAAACATCTTTTTTTTTGGGACGAAAACAAAGTAAACATCTTTAATGAGCATAATGATGATAAAAGGAAATATCATTGAATTAAAAGTTATTAATTAATGATTGATAAGACTATCACGGGATTGAAAGCAGAGCCTAATAAAACGTAATATCCAACCTTTCGCTTTCACTTTCAAGTTCCTACTTACTTCTCTTCTGATCTTAATTATTGTTCACTGCTATTATTACTTTGGCACTCTTCGAGAACTGCGCTTTAGATCCTCTGTCCTTGCTCTCTCTCTCTCTCTGCCCTTGTATATACTTTCTTAGCTTTTCCATAAACACAAGGGGTAGAGAGAGCTTAGCTTTCTTACTTCTGCTTCTGCAATTTCCCTTCTCCCTTTTTCTTTCAAGTCGCTTTGGATCTTTCTTATATTCTGCTTGGGTCCCAAACACTTCTGATTTTCCATATATGTAAAGGGACCCATGTTGCCATTTCTCATGAATATCATATCACATCGATGATTGTCTAATTCATTCTCTTTTGGGTCGGTTCATCTTGTTGCATTTTTTTCCCTAAACTACATGGTTCAAACAAAAGAAAGAAAGTCTTCTGCTTTGTTTCATTTCATAGATAGAATGCATGGGATATAGTGACCGGAGTTTTTCCTTGAATTCAACTCAAGCTAGCTTTCTGACTTTGGTTTCTTCTTCTCTTCTGTCAAATTTCCTATTTTTCTTGACTTTTAATCAGCATCCATGAAGGGTTACACAGCCATCAGTCTTGTCATTTTGGTTAGCTGTATGTTCTTTTGGGCTGGTTCGTGCTCTGAAGAAGAAGATGATGATTTGGCTCCAATGGAGAAAACAGAGCAAGAAGCTCTGTACTCTGCTATACAAGGCTTTGTGGGCAAACAGTGGAATGGCTCAGACCTCTATCCTGATCCTTGTGGGTGGACTCCTATACAGGTACACCTTTTTACCCTCACCACTCTGTACTGTCTGGTTTATCACCTAATGCCAAAGTAACAAGCTTTATGTTCCTTTTTGGTTTTTACTCCGTGTACTTGACATAAGGTTAAAACAAGTCCCAGTTTTTCTGTCATGATTGAAAGCTTATTAAGAATTCCTTATTAAAATTATCTGGAATTTTGCTATGGAAACATATATTTATAGTACTTCAAAAGACTAGAAATTAAGAAATTCAAGGACAAACTTCAATAATTTGTATATGGTACATGTATTTTGCACAACTTTACATGTAATTATTTACTGTTTCATGCTTTGGTTATTGCACATTAGTGCTATAGTTCATACATAGCCACCAGTAAATATCAAATGAGCATAAGTATGTTAGTTGAAGTTTTGAGCTTCCTGAGTTTTCATTTTCTTCTGCAGGGGGTGTCTTGTGATCTCTTTGACGGTCTTTGGTATGTGACCTCCTTAAATATTGGACCCATTCATGACAACTCGCTTAATTGTTCCACAAGTGCAAAATTTAGGCCACAACTGTTTGATTTGAAGCACCTAAAATCTTTGTCCCTTTTCAATTGCTTCCTCTTACCCCACAAACATCCAGTTCCAATCCCCACAGACAACTGGTGGAAACTTGCTAGTAGCTTAGAATCACTAGAGTTCCGATCGAACCCCGGTCTCATTGGACAAATTCCCAGTAGCTTTGGCAGCCTCAGAAAGCTCAAATCATTAGTACTAGTGGAGAATGGATTAGCAGGTGAATTACCAACAAATATTGGTGACTTAATCCAATTGAAGCGGCTAGTTCTTGCTGGAAACTGGTTTACAGGTCCAATTCCTAATGGTTTTGGTGAATTGAATCGGCTGTTAATCCTTGATTTAAGTCGGAACTCATTCTCTGGGCCTTTGCCAATGACTCTGGGAAGTTTGACTTCACTCTTAAAGCTTGACTTGAGCAACAACCAATTGGAAGGGAAGCTGCCAGGAGAGCTTGCTAATCTAAAGCAACTGACCCTTTTGGACTTTAGGAACAACAATTTTTCAGGTGGGTTGAGCAAATCACTTCAAGAAATGCATTCCTTGGAAGAGATAGCCTTGTCCAGCAACCCCATAGGTGGAGAGCTCAACAGGCTAGAGTGGCAAAACATACGGAACTTGGTCATTTTGGAGCTCTCCGGCACAGGCGTAACTGGTGAGATTCCAGAGTCGATATCAAAGTTAAAGAGATTGAGATTCTTGGGTCTAAGTGACAACAAGCTCACAGGCAGCCTCTTACCAAAGCTTGCAACTTTGCCGTGTCTTAGTGCACTCTACCTACATGGCAACAACCTGACAGGGGTGATGAAATTTTCTGAGAGGTTTTATCATAAAATGGGGAGTCGTTTTGGTGCTTGGAACAACCCAAATCTCTGCTTTATGAGTGCATTGGTGCCTGCAGGCCATGTACCATTTGGGGTAAAGCCATGCCAGCAAGACCAAGAGGTCACATTGCTTGAACCCAATTCAAAAACAAAGTTGGTGAATGGTAGTTTAAATCAGAATTCCCATTTCACCACTTCGTTGGGATTCTCAAGCAGTGGCATTGATGGGATTTGGTGGGTTAGTGGGCTTCTCCAGTTAAAGATAGTTGTATTATTGACTTGTTTCCTATAGGTCCTTTTACTACTCTAGAATATAACCCCTCTCGAAGCACTTGTAACTTGATTTTTATTGCTTGTTTGTAACTCTTGCTTTTGTCTCTTAATATGAACTCAATATATAGCTCCACTTCTGGTCTCACAGACACAGCCTAGTTCATATATTTCTATTTCATCAGAAATTGCTGATATGTTTAACTCCTCTGGTTTGAGTGGAACTATTGTCAAATTTTGTGGGCCATAGCTCTGCCGTACATGTGACTTCGATAACAATTATACCATAGGAAACAAGAAGGTATGATTGGCCCGGTTGCTAACCAATACACAGCTAGCAGAATTTACTTTGGTTTCTTGCTAAACAGAGCAACCCAACCAAACTTTAAATGCTGGGAATTTTTGCCAGCAGTGGGAAAAGACTTCAATGGAATATGGGTAAGTGTGATCCTTTCCTTGTTTTTTTATTCAAATTTTTTAAAGGAGGCAAAGATGCCAATAATGTTATGACTTTAATACATTGAAAGTGAACTACACAAATATTTAGAGTTGTAGCCTTAGCAATATAGCCTCCTGCATGGCCTGTACTTTGGTGGCATGGCAGGCCTAGGCTTTGTAGCCTGTGCAGCACAGTTGTGCTTTTGTTTTGCAGACCTTGTGCTTTCAGAAGATGATTAGGTTGGTTCCATAAATACAACAGACAATTAAATGTTAAACCTCAGCCCACCAATACGGAGGATCTCTTTGTTCTAGTTCTAGAACCTTAGGATCTTACATAATATCAAGTTTCAACATGTTCAAGATGTGACTGGAGAGTTCAAGTGAAATCTTCCTGTCTTGTCGGTGCATATGTATTAGGAGATACGTGAGGGAAAAGGAAATATTAAGACTTTTTGTTATAAAAAAATTTGTTACTGGGTTTCTAAAAGCCAATTTCAATGTACATTTGATTCTTTATTATTATCTTAGAAATCCCAAAAAAAGACAGATTTCCATATTAGAAAGGATATTATTTGCCTCCTTATTTGTAAGGAGATACTTTTCCTTCTTACAAATCACAGTTTGATCATATGCAAAAATAATTCATAAAAAACACAAAAAGAAAAACTTCTGCACACATATCACACTGCTATTGGTAGGAATGTAGGAACTTCTACTTACTTGGTAAGGAGGGAACTATTTTCCTATTGGAAATGATACTATTTGCCTCCTTACCAGTAATGAGATACTCATCCTCCCTACGAATCACAGTTTGACACACATCAAATCAAAGGAAAGCCTCTCCATCAACCTAACATAAATGCAGTGACTAATGGCTTGAGTTTGTACAATAATTTTTTTTTTTGTGGGGGTAACTTGAGTTTTTTGGTGTAGTATCAAGTATGACTGTGGATTGTCATTGTCATCATAATAATGGTTTGTTTTTTGGGGACGAAATACTGGTTTATATTTGGGGAAGGCAAACAGATTACCATGGTTTATTTATGATGGTGTTCGGCTGGGGCTGTTGTGGTTTGCCAATGAGCCCAACTTTGACAATAGGCTTTTCTTGGCTGGGGCTTGTTATGGTTTGTCAATGAGCCCAATTTTGACAATGGGCTTTTCTTGGCTGGGGCTTGTTGCCCAACTTTGCTAATGGGTTTTTCTTGGCTCGGTTTTTGCCGAAGTTCCAGTCCAAGTTCGTGGCTGACGGGAATTTATTCAGCAGAAACTCAGCGTTTGAGGCTGTGTCACACTCTGAACAGCAATGCAAACCCAATATCTCCACCATAAGCCATTTGGTTAGACCAGTAAAATACCAGAAACTCAGTGAAGTTTAAAGCTTTACTGAGATAGGAAATGGTTAAAACTTCCCAAGGTTACCAAATCACATTCTATTTTGAGCTGGGAATTGCAAATGGATTATGAGAAAATGCTCTTTTTTCTCTTTTTGGTGCAGCTTACATGCTGTTTATACTGAATTTTTGATTGAAAGAACATCACATTCATCAAAATCCCAATGTCCTTTTCAAAGGGAAAAGAGGAAAAGAAAGAAATGAAAGCCAAAGTCCCTTCACAAACTCATCACGGCCATCACCACTGGTGGTGTTGCTCTCAGTTACCAAAATTTTGAAAACATGCGGATTTGAGGTCTGTAGCTATAATTGACTAGCAAAGTTAATACAATAAATGAATCAGAGTACCTACTTTTAGCTACTTGCTAGCATTCTACATATTGTTAGTCTGTTGCTATCCAAATGGAAAAGGAAAAAAAAGAGAGTAAGAAACCCCAAAAATATAATAGTGGGCAGCTGCCTTTTTCAATTATCCCAGAGAAAAATGAAACTTTTCTCAATTACCAAAAGAAGAACCCAATTTGCAATGAACCTTTTTGGTTTTTCTTTTTCCAGCATATATATATATATATATTTATATCTCATCGAAATGTCCACACGTTATTATTGTACGGACACGATTGTAAACAAGAGCAAAAATAAAGAGGGATAATAGAATATACATGACGTCCACACAATAATAACATCTGGACATCTGCATATATATATATATATATATATACATGCTAATTAATTAACAGCACAAGAAGCACAACACAGTGGCTAAAATATACGATTCATTAGGGAGCAATGAGCCATATTGATGAGGGTTGGTTTTCTTATAATCTCCAGTCACTATGGGCACAACCAATTCATGGTAATTGGTGTGACAGAATGTCACATAGGAAGAGCCATCAGCTGCCATGGTATTTTTCACACCCCATTTGCATCCTGCAGAACTGTTCCCAAATAAAATCCGAATCTTAAGTAAACCCAGCAGTCTGAATAGGCCATGACTTGAGACTTGAGACTTACTTTGCACCAAATTTTACGCATGTTGATATTTGACCATTCTGATGATATATATTATTAGGGTTTTATTGTCAACAAACAACAAACCCAGCTGCCACAATCTCCGGTTTTGGCCTGCATTTGCGTGTAGCTGCCTCCTCTCCGGATGTCGGTCTCTAGAGGCAAGGTATATATCTATCTTACACTGTTTTCCATTTGTCTAAATTTTCCTTGGTTTTGGATTAATTAAAACTTAATCTAAAGTTAATCCAATGCGGTGGCTAACACACTGGCTTAATTGTTAATGGCTGGCTTTAAGCTATGCAGCAACTTGAGCATCACATTGACGATTGAAATGGAATAATTTAATTCATCTTAAATTGCTTACCAACCCAGCTGGCAATTTGCCACACGTTCAAGACCCAGACTCCTCCCTTCCAAGTCTTGATTTTGACCCGTTTACCTCTGACTCTCATCTCATACTCCTACTAGTCTACGTAGTCTTGTACTATTGCTTAAGAATACTTAACTCACCTCGCGTGGGAAGATATTGCTTAAGAATACTTAACTCACCTCGCGTGGGAAGATAAAAAGTTGTCTCGTATTGAAAAGTTAAGAGATTTAAGTAATAAGAACTTCTTACGGTTATATTATTAATATTTTGGTCAATTAAGGTGTATTAGCTTGGTATTTAGAAATGGTCATTTTCTGGGTATTATTTGATTGACTAGAACAGCATTGAAATTTGAGTTGCATGCTGATTGATTGATTGAATAGATAGTGATAAATAAGAACATAAAAAATTATATATAATTTTCTTCTTTTGTAACTGAGAGATGATCATATACCAAAAACAGGTGTGCATCAGTGTCAATTGAATGTGAATGTTAAAAATAAATAAATCAGTGGACCCCCTTTGAAGCCTTGTTTTCTTAACAGACCTTCACACGCAAAAGATCATCAGCATCATCCCTCACCTCATGACTCATCCGTCTCAAAACAAAACAAAATTAAGTGATGTTTAAATGATGGATTGTATATATGTATATAGGATACCCAAACACAAGGCACCTAATTTCAGAGATGCCTCTGCGTCATCTCTGGATTTAGTACATCATTGTTTCATTAATTCTTCATTAACCACTTTAATTAGTTGCTGTTGAAAATGTGATCAAGTGATTAATTACAGGGCCACTTTAACCACTAATTACATGACCATTTTAATCAGAGATGCCGACTTTGAAGTCCCACTGTTGCTGTGTGAGAGACGTACAAGATTATTGGCGAGTCCATTTTTAATTAGGATTATGGTTCTTTAGTTAAGATTTATTTCTTATTGTAATTTGGATTTATTTCATATTTTAATTAGGATTGTACTTCTTATAAATACCTCTATATTAGAGAAGAATACAGATTTAAGCATAATTGAATATTCATCTTACTTTGTGTGACAAAGATTGCTTCCTGTCGCCAAAAAATTAGAAAAATGGCAAGGAATTCCATTATTCCAAGCATCCCAAAACTGCAATCATCTTGTTGAGAGCTGAGAAGTTGCAACACACAAACTGCCTGCCTTCCCCCCGAAAATTCTTTCGACCCGTAGAGGGACATAGTTTCCTAGAAAAATCTCACACTCAATTTGACCTGAAATAAAGAATAATTGGGAGGCCAAGGCCAAGTCTTAAGCCGGCACCAAATATATACTTTTGTACCAATATATATTTTCAAAACCGTTGACATTCAAAATTCCCATTAGTCATTGGCGTGCAGCTCACTTCTCCTTCTCTTTCCTTCCCTTTACAATGCCAAACTTCTTCCTGTTTCCCCATGCACATGTATATAAAAATACCCCTTCTCTTTCCCTCAGTGAATTAATTTTTTCTTCTTCCTAAAAATCCTCAAATTTCTCATTCCTTAAACCCTGCATATCTCACAAAACATTCCACACACTGCAGACTCTGCAATGGCTTCTTCCTCTCCCAAATCTAAACACTTTTCTTGTTCGTGCAAAACTACCATGTTTGTTGTTTCTCTCATTCTTCTTCTCACTGGGTCCTGCTCCGGTGCGAGGCTAGGGAAGACGGTGATTCTGGCGGACCCGAAGGTTTTGCTGAATCTGGAGCATACGAAAACGCTCAATCCGAGAACACACCAGACAGGGTTTCAATACAGAGGCCAGGTATTCAGCTTCTTCCCCAAAGGGACCCCTATCCCTCCTTCTGGCCCCTCCAAGAGGCACAACTCAGCGGTGGATTCTACACCTCATAATTAAGTCACACAGAGTGTTTCATCTTAGTTCTTCTACACTTCTTCTTCTTCTTCTTCCTCTGTTTTGTAGTTTTTTCTTTTCTTTTCTTTCTTAGATTTGTATTCATTAAAGGGTTGCAAAGCTTTTTTGAATCGGATGTGAATCTGAATGGGATCAGATCAGTAGGAGGAGATATGATTTTTTTTTCTTTTCTTTTTTCTTTTCTTGGATTTGTGATAATTCCCAATTATACTGTATAGAAAACCTTTATTTGTTGAAATGTTCTATTCAATTCAATGTGAAAGAAGTGTGATACCTTTCAAATTAATGTCAGACTTTTGATGATCAATTTGTGGTTGTTTCAATATGATCTGTCTCTGTATTTACATTCTAGGTGGAACTAGTTTTGAGAGAGTAGGTTTAACCATTTGAATTGGACACTCTGGTTTTTGACTTTGCATGATGTGTCAGCATTTGGATATACTTACCAATTGCCATGCTTTTGGTTGATTGAGAGAGAATAATGGCCTTCAAAACGGTTGCCCAAAATCCATTCATTCCAGTTGCCTTTTAGTCTAGTCTAGGCTAGACTTTTGCTGGCTTTGGTCCACCACTTTTTTTTATAGCCTTCCACCATTGAACAGAGCACTTTGGTTTGGTTTGGTTGGTTTCTTCACATATTTTTTTTCCGGTGCGCAAATGTCTGGTGCCATTTTCTCAAGTTTTGATGAAGCTCTTAAACAGAAGAGAAGAGAGTGGCATAAACTTTAATTTGCTCATTTAATTTCCATTAAAAATGGTTAGGTTTACTAAATAAGCCCTAATTATACGTACCACCCAATCTACTAACAAGCTCTCATTAAAGAAAAAGGAGCTTCAAAATGGGCAATACTAAAATAAAGTATTTAATTCACAATAATTGATAAGTTAAATTAGGAGGAATATTTTAAAGCAGCCCATATTTGTCACCTTGATCATGAGGTCCATCATGATCATGATCAAACACGCACACATATCATATGTATTAAACAATTGGAATTCGAGGGCTATCTTTGATCAAAAGGAAGATAAAAACCAATACTTGTACGGCATGTCATGACTTGTGTGCATTATTGCAGCGCAGAAAATTTTGATATTGGGGGGAAAAGGCAACATACTTTTCACTCATTCTCATTAATTCATGCCTTAAAGGGTGTTACCAATGTGCCTAATTTGGATATGTCGAACACCAACCCGCGTAGGCTTTGATGAACTTAAACTGGATATTTAAAGACCTTTTCTTAGATGTATCCAAACACTTTCCTTGGCCTGCCAAATATTAGTTATAGCCATTAATTGGGGAAATTTCGAATACGTGCGATCACTCGCAAGCTACGTGTATTTAAAAGTCGGAAATATAGTCTCAGTTTTGGACACCATTAATTACGAAGGGTATAATTTTCCTTAACTTGTGATTGGCAAAATGAACTTGGAAAGGCGTGCAGTCTCGAATCTCAAGAACTACAAATCTGGAAACCATACCAAACAACTCCAGCAAACAATTGTCATTGACGGTTTTCATGGTCTTCTAGGTTTCTTGATGGGCAATGCAATTGAGATTTGGCTCCTCCGGACTAAACTCCCCAGCTCACGTGGGGTTTGTTGTACGGTGTTCTTTTTCTTGTTAATTCTCAATCAAACCACGAGGTTATGGAGTTGACAATGAACAGGCCCTCAAATCCCTCGACATTCACACTCATAATAATCATGAAGATTGTAGAAAGAAATAAAAGGACATGTTTCATGGACCGTAAAAAAAGGAATAGAGAACAAGTTTTTAAATTTGCCTTTTTTGCGTATGATGAAACGACACGTTTTGACTTTTGAGGACATGGCCTTTCTTTCCATGAAAAAATAATTGTCATTCATGCATTGCACTGCACCGCAAAGGCTAAGCTCAACTTAATTAAAGCAATTATGTGAAATTTAGAGGACAATTCTTTTATTTATAGAAACTGCAACGTTTCTATGATCAATTATTTTATACAACCTGCATCTGCATGTGCCACGACTTTTGATATCTCAGATTCTGAATGCTTACATCATTTCCATTTTTTATTATTTTATAAAGTCTATCATCATCTCGGGGGCACCATGGAAAGTCTACATATGGAACGACAGGAGATATGTCGACGTATCAACAATTATATAATATATTAATCTTCTTCTATTGAAGGATCTCTTAAATAATTTTAGTTGAAGGACACTTTTTAGGGTTTCATACGAATTGTTTTTCAATGATCCAAATTATCTATTTTTTAAGTCTATATTCATAAATTATCATTGTAAAAAATTAGACAAATTAGAAATCATTTCGACATCCAATTGTGTTTTACAAAATCAATGAACACAATACTTCAAGAAAGTACTAAAATTTCAATAATTCAATTGAGTGGTCAAATGATATTGGATTTAAGTGATTTTTTTTGTAGAAATAATCTTTGAATGAATATTTACAAAATAGACAGTTTGGATTAGTAAAATACAATGCGAAGTGGGCCCTATAAGAATGTCCCTGAAATAAACTTATTTGAGAGATCCATCAACGAAAGCTATATATATATATTCTATAATATTCTTACATTACATAGTTGACACAAAGAGTTGAATTACATGTGAATTGGATTTGAGCCAAAGAATAATATTCAACACGTACACCGTTAAAGTCCATGACCATATTTTTGTTTTTGTTTAAGATAGATTTAATTAATTATATATCGTTTACTTACAGATTATCAAAGTTTGAAATGTTTGCGCCAATCTTATTGTTTACTTATCATTTAAATACAAGCTGAATAGGTGGTCTTGGAGTCTTGACCCATTCTTTTGGAGTATATAGGAGAGAGCCAGCTGCTAATCTCATGAACGAGGGGAGAGCAAATGAGGAATGAGGTAGGTACAGAGTTGGTTATTCTAAAAACAAAATTATATATTTAAATAAAAAGGGCAAAATGGCATGCAGCTGTTTCCATTTGCCAATTTCCAAAACTAAAGGCAAATGGTAAACATTTTTATTTTATTTTAATGAGCTGGTGGGATAGGGTTTTGCTTGTTGCCTGTGGCTAGACTTGGTCATTGGATTGGATCATCCTCCTCTCGTAGAATTCTACATTGAGCGTCTTATCTAAGATGCTTCGATGAGACATCATATTTTAGCTGTTGAATCAAACTAATTAATTTGATTTAATAATTAAGAGCTACGGTCTCGTGTAAGGGCCTCATTGTAGAATAACTCCATCCTCATTTCACTCTGGCTAGACTTGGTCATTGGATTGGTCCGATAAGATGTATCTGATTTATTTGACCCAATCCAAAATAGAAATGGGTTGGATTTCGTGTATGTCATCTGTTTAACAAAGGGACAGCTCGGCTTAGTCCATTAATCTAAGCCCAAAACCAACCAGTATAAATACAATGTTGGGTCAGTCCATGTTGTGAGGTGAATGGATTGAAATTTATTAGTAAGAGCTAAAAACCCCAAATAGGGTGGAGAGAGGTTTTTTATTGCTAAAATGGAACAAACCTAAGGTCTGTTTTGAACAACTCAAGTTCCGACATTTCCTTGTTGCTATTTAAAAGATTATAAATTTGGACAAGCCCATTAGAATTTTTTTTATAAAAAAAAGAATAAACAAGTGCATATGCCACGGGTAAGAACAAAAGCTACAAACCAAACAAGATTTGCTATATATGTTGTTTTGTTTATCTGGTTTGGCTTTGAGGAAGGAAGGAAGCAGCAACATGGTAGTGGAAACTGGGGTCTTGTTTTTTAGTCTCAAATGGAAAGCCTTTTCCAATGGGTAATAGATCAAAGGGTGAAACTTGAAATTCCTCTTCCATCAAACACTTGTAGATATGACAATGCATGAATGATCTGCTTCACAAGTTATGAACTCTCTGAGAGCTTTAGGCTGCTTCACAAGTCATGAGCTCAGTAGGCAGGCAGGAACAGGAACAGGATGGCAATAAAGTGGAAGACAGAAGTGACATTTTTCAGCGTGAGACAAACAATAGGCCAGAATCTTTTGAAAATAATTGAGTTCCAATCAACCAACAACCCCTGACCTAGCGGGCTACCTAGCTTGGGGAATCCCAATGGATTTGTCTTCCCCTGCTGTAACCAACAACCTCCGAAAATACCTTTTTCCTTTTCTTCTAAATTCCCAATCAGATTAAGAGAGAGAGTGTGTGGGTGAGAGACACAAAGACAGAGTTTGTTAACCTAATTAGTAACCTAATTAATAATCAATTAAAAACGTGACTATCTCCTTATCAATATGCACAAGGTTCATATTGTGGGTATGTCAGTATAGAAGAATTTGACTTTGCATTTCACAATCAAAGCTACCCAAATAGATAATAACAAGAGTCTGATTTAACTCTAAACCATTTCACAAATAATTACTGTTCAGTTTAAAGATTTCCTCAAGAATGTAACAGAGTCATCTTCCTAATATAATATGACCAGGAAGGAACCAAAGTGAAAAACTGATGTAGTGCTGCTAAGCTAAATCAAACATGCAGAATGGTATGCCGTCAAAAACGATCACAATGGCATTAAGACTTGAATACGAAATTCGATTTAGGGTTTTGGAGAAGGGAAAAATCAGAACTTTAAAATTGGCAAAACCATGACCTTCTTTTTCATAATAAGCATCTTGTTTCCAACATTCCAGCTGAAAAGAGGAAGAGAGAAGAGAACCCATAGATACATATAAAAAATACCCCACACTGCCTACCTCTGTGGTATGCTATTATCCCATAATCCCCCCACTGCCTAAAATTCTGAAGCATGATACGAGTGATCAACCCATATTCTTACTTGGCTCCAAATGAACAAAAAAGACAGGTACATGGAGAAAGAACTAAACCTCCAAATTTTTATGGCTCAATGAGCTTTCTAGACTCTAAGCAGATAAATACTAAGTTCAGGACCTCCAGAACCATCAGGGTTCATCATGTAGAAGGCCTCAGAGTCCTTAGACCCCACAACTCTCTCAAACTTAGCTCTCATGTACATGAGCTCACCCTCAGCTCCAACTCCATCTTCACTTCCTGGCAAAACACCAGCCCCCATTGAAATTGGCTCCAAAGCTTTCAAAACCTTCCACTCCCCAGGTCCACAGTCACGCTTCATAGCAAACCCACATTTCTTTCCATTGCAGTAAGTCCTCCAGAGTGGCTCCTCAAGCATTTTCAAACCTTTCTTCTCTGTTTTCTTCTCGCACTCCAAGGCAATCCGCACCAACCCAGAAGCCATTTCTCGAACCAAAACACTTGTAGGTGTTGCAAGCTCGATCAGGAAGGCAGGGCTCAACTTGGGTTCTTCTTGAAATGCCAGATGAACATGTCCACGACGATAGCCGAACAGAGTACCCATGACTCTGGTGCCAAGGCCAGAGCGAGAGCGGCTCTTACCAAACACTGTGAGAGCTGAGCGGAGCTTGGACACTGACATCAGAGAATGTTTCTTGCGTGGTATTATTGCGGGGATCAAAGCAGTGTCTGTTGGGACTGGAATTCTAAGCTCCTGTTCATCTTTCTCTGATTCCTCAGAGAAATGCGAGTATGATGAGTTGAAGTTTAAGATTTCGTGGTCATCTTCTTCATCATCCTCCACTTTCTTTTTCCAGTGGAAGTACCTCCTGGAGAAAGAGAAAGAAGAGTCATGAGGGGTCTTGGCCATAATTGTCCTCATCTGGGAAATTTAGGAAGAGAGAGAGAGAGAGAGCAAAGAAGGAGTGGAAGTCTACAGAGGTTAATTAATTGGTTGGTATGACTATGGGACTCAATGGAGAGGAGTAAAAAAGATGGAGAAAGATCTGATTGTGTTGCTTCTATTCTAGTGGTTATATGGGGGCGTTATTGTTTGCTTGCAACACCTTTTGTCATACTTTAGAGACTGGCAAGAGAATCCTGACAAAAAGAAGGTGAGCAGCACCTACCTACCTGTAACAAGAAGAAATTGAGAGAGAAGGGGGTTGGAGACAACAATAGGTGAAAAGTGACTTTGGAGAGGGGATAGAAATGGACAATAGATGAAAATAAAGATTGATAATTTGATGGTGGAAGAAACAGAGGAGACAAAGCCTTTATGATTTCTTTATCATGTGCAATGCAGGAGGAGGGGGGGCCTGTGCAGAAAATAAGGTGGGTGTGTGTGTGTGTGGGGTAGACAAAGAAAGAGAGGCTTGACTGACTAGTCTGACTTGCATTGGAAACAGTTAAGGACAGGTAAAGCCACACCAACTGTACTCACACCAGGTCCAGGTCTAGGACCACCTCCTCCGATAAACTAGATTGCTGCCCTTTCAGTCCTTTCTTGCCCCTGCTACTAGCAACAATGCAACAAGCACATGAACCCAGTAGCCACCATTAGCCACCATAATGTTTGTTTTGTGTTCCAACTTGTTTTCTTCTGCTTCCCTTTGTTTTATTTGTTGTTTGTACCTCAAGCTCAACTTGTTTAATTTATCTTTCTGATTGAGAGAATGATTGGACTGATAGTTGCAGCTATTGTGCACAAGCAGTAGTTTTTATTTGATACAGAAGGTGCTGGATTTCTGGCTCTCTTCAAAGTTTGGTCTGTCAAAAACTATTCTCCTACCTTCCTTTGATTCCCAAATCTGAAAAACAAAAAAATGAAAAAAAGAATCCAACTTATAAAAAAAACTTAACAGAAGTCCACATTTGAGTGCACTAGGCCAAACGATCCAATCACGAAGGCTAATAACATTGAGCCAATAACCTATTTTCTCATTATTATCCACTTATGTTTGAATAATTTTAATATGGTAGATCCCTAGGTAAGAGGCCAACTTAGAATTTTTGTCTCAAATCATGACCTGCTGCATATGCTCTGCATGTGAAGCAGACTCTTGGTTGAATTTTGAGGCAGCATGAGCATCCTAAGTCCACCAATCCACAAATGAAATATTAGTAGGATTTCATCCTTTTCATGGACCGACCAAATATCATCACGGATCAACTACCTATGAATCTATGACCAGCACCAACAACTTGAAGTGAAATTATAACAGATTTAGATGTAACCAATGATTCTATATACAATAATATTATTACTAGATAAAAGGTTCGGTTTCATCATCTGTTTGTGAACATTAACTATATTTATCTGGATATCCAAAACATTCTCTAACAGTGAGAAAGATGACACTAAAAAGCCTTGAAACAGGTCTGCACAAAAGTCATCTAGTTAACCAACCAAAACTAACTTCATCACAATCATCCAAACAGTTCGGCCTGCTGTCAGAAAATGTTGTTGATGCTCTTTTCATATCATCAAGGGTCTGGTGTCTAGAAAACTGACCTAATTAGGGAATAAACTGGCTACAGTACGAAAAGACTATCATAACCCTGATATTATATCAGAATTACCGCGGTTCACCTCCTCAGATTCACAGGAGCCCCCATAGCATTGAATGCAAAATTTTTAGATTTATTTATCCACATCCATGGCTTTAGAATCAAAGAATTGATGGGTCTAGTTGAATGGAAAAAAGTTTAGATTTGCAGACTAATGATTTCAAGTTCGAACCACATAACACATTGAAAGTGTATGAGAAACTCCTGCCCCTATCTAGTTTAGACTATTACTTGTATTAAGAAAAAAAAATACCAAAGAATTGATTTCTTCAAAAAAAGCAGTGGGGACAGCAGGATTCTAAATTAGAGTCGGCTTGGCCTGGTAGGTGGGCTGCGGATAGGAGAGTTGCAGTGGGCTATAACTTGTGGGATACGGAATTTAATAAAGATTTTTCTTTTTACTTTTTTGATAAGCATTGGCATCTTCATTCAGGTAATAAATAAATTTTGTAGACATAGAATTTTCATTGGGAAAAGTTGTGAAAACGCATATGCATCATGCATGCAACACATGGAATTAATTAACTCATGCTCTTGCTCTTCGTGCATGAAAAGGATTAAATCCTGCCCACCGCATTGTGCAGAGGACGAAAGAGTGGTTTGGGGAGGTTGTCCCACTCATGCCAATCCCAACCATCACACAGTTCTGGCTCCACATTTTGGGGCTCTCCATCTCCATCTTCCATCACCGCTCTCATGCAAACGGACGCGTACTGGGATGGCTTGCCTCCCTCTAGGAGCAGCTTGTTTGTTGTGGCTGTCAGAAACTCCATCCTCTTCTTGTCAATGTCTAAACCAGTTTCTTCCTTCAATTCTCTTGCTGCACACCCCTCGAAGCTCTCACCTACATAAACACAAAACTAATGTTATTTAGAGTCCGTTTGATGTGACCATTTCAGTTTTCAGTTTCCATCCCCTTCTTATCAATGTTCTCATCTCTTTCTTATAGAATGCATCTAAGGTCTAGACCTCTAGAAACCTTAAGTGGAGTGGAGAATTTCACCAAGCATGTGTTGGGCTGAGAATGTTATGGTAGACTGAAAAAGAAAAAGTCATCTCGATGATAGCCCAGGTTAGCCATATGCATGGTCCATTCCTGTGTGTGTATTAAATATCTCTCTTACCAAACTTACTGTTTCATTGAAAAAAAAAAAGACTTTTAAATTAAGAGTCAAATAGGTGGCGTGTGTTCTCATTTTTTATTTTTTCCCTACACAATGCATCTAAGGCTTAGACCTCTACAATCCTTTAGTGGAGTGGAGCATTTCACCAAGCATGTGGTGGGCTAGGAATATTATGTTAGGCTGAAAAAGAAAAGGTCACCTGGGCTACAGCCCAGGTTAGCCATATGCACGGTTCGTCCATGATTTGAACACATGAAAGAGGAGTCATAACAAACAATACAAGATATTTAATGTTTGAAGGTTTGTGAGCGACGACCAAACTCTGTAAGACCTAGAATAAAAGAGTTAATGAAAGTGCCAAATCATCATACTTAATAATGCGATATTATATTCGTAAGGGGCTTGTAATTTAAATGATTAAGTATATTGTCAATGGGGTCTAGCCTAATGAAAAATGGTATTGACTTGCAAACCAGAAGTCTTAGGTTCGAATCCCCACGACATCATAGTTGTGTGATTGTGTGAGAGACCCTATCCTGTAGTTCAGACTATCACTTGTACTTAAAAAAAAAATTGATTAAGTATATTTAGTGGTCAATATGTTTATAAGGATTTGTAATTCAAGTAGTTAAGAGCATTTCCTCCAATATCCAAAGTCATGTATTCCATTCCCCAATCTCCCTGATATCTTGTATAAAAGAATTTAGGGCTTATCCAATATAGATCTCTACATTTTCTATTTCCTAAACATATACCCATCATTTTATAAATCTTTGTGTATTCCTATGTTTTTACATCATTGCCAACAAACTTCATATTTTATTTATAATTTATTTCAAGCATTTCATTAACTGCCATAATTGTAATTAATACTCCCTATTAATAGCATATCAATCACCTCATTTATTTTGGTTATCATTTCTTCTCACATATCGCCGCCTAAAATTAAACCAAAAAAAAAAAAAAAAAAAAAAAAAAATGCATAAATCCAATAATGTACCTAATGAAAAATATAAATATAAATATAATACATATAAAAAATAAAAATATATTATTTAAGTAAAATATAGGTATATTATTTACCAAATTAAAAAAAAAACTAAGGGGGGTGTATCCAATTCTAACTTTTAAATACTTTTTTTAAGTGAATGACTTTTCTAGAGTAGACAAATTCTTAATGACTTTTACATACTTTATAAAGTTAAGTGACAAACTTTCATATACTTTTTGTCATAGAGTTTTATAGACTTTTAAATACTTATTTTTATATTTATTTTACAAATAGCATTTATCTTTTATGTTGAATGAATTAGTCGGCATATATTGAACAAAAAATTAGAGAAAAAAACAATTGGATACAATTACATAAAAGCAAAGAATAGTTCTCCTTAACATTAGAAAATGATAAAAATGACAAAGTACATTTGAAAATGTACCATAAGGAAATAATTGGCATTCAACTAGTCATGATCTTGGAATGTTTGGGTGATAGATCTTGGAATGTTGCAGCTTCAACTTCATTTGGTATGAATGCATGATTATCATAGTCATAACTCAAGTCATCTATCCCCACACGTCTACTTTCTTCCACTCCTAATATTCTTGCATCCGTATCATCTCCCAATGCAATTGAGTTTCTTCCAATGGCAGTTCCATTCCCAATTGCAATTCTCAGAAGTTCATAGTCAGCAAAAGTGTCTGTCTGAAAGTTGACATGGGCCGGGTGGGACTAACAAAGGGAAAAAAAATACAATTAATGCATACACATACAAAATAATAAATTATCATATAATATATTTTCGAAAATAGAAGCTCACCTTAATATAATCTTTCCACACTTCATCACTAGCAGTGAACTTCTTTGTGATTGGATCCCACCCAAACCCAGAGCTATGACGCATAAGCTCAGAAAAAATATTATATCGTTGCTTAAACCATTTCAATCGGCTTAAGTATTGTGAATGATTCCTTTCACATCCAAGTTTTGCATTAAGAGCAGGAAGTATCTTTTTCTCAACTGTTTGCTTACTTAGCATTCCATTACTATCACGCCATCCACGATTGGCGGCATCAACCATGAGTTGTAGCAACTCATTGCTCTCTTCCAACGTCCACAATTTATAACCCCCACTAACTTTGCTCTTTCCTTTGTCATTTCCTCGTTGTGATTCTTCCATTGATAATTACTATATCACACGTACAAATCCTTATTAATTGTGTATATTTTCATAATAGCTTATTGGTAAACTGCATCCAATGCACCTTTTAAATTTTTATTTATCAAATCTAATCACATAGACAAGTAACATATTCTTATCAAAAGAAATAATAAATATTACTCAGTCATCAATAATATTTCATAAACACTCAAAAATCAACAGAAATGGTCAGATTACAAGAGTCTATATTCCAACAATTCTCCTAACCTAATATGTGGGATGTAATCAAATTGAGAACATTATATGAAAAAATTATCCATCTAATGAATTATGGGTAAAGAAACAGTACCTAAAGAATAAATTAATGGGTTTAGGGGCAAAAAATTATATAATAAAATATTGTATGCAAACATAGCATATGAGACAATCAATATAATAAAATAAACATAGCTGAAGGAAGTGGATGAGAAGAGATATTCATCAACAGAAACGTGTGGATGAGAAGAGAAGAAAACATTCAATATTTTTTTACTAACCTGAAGGAAGTGGATGACAATGGGATACCAAAGTGGAGCCCTAACCATGAAGAAAAAAGATCCATTTGCATGATGCTTGATATAACAAAGGAAGAAGGAATTGGAGACGTTTGGAGACGTTTTGGTTCTATCTTCTCAGCTTCCCAATATTTTCATAAAGTCTGGTGTAAATTAGCAAGACTTTTGGTAGTAAGAATTACCTTTAAAAGTATTGAAAAGTCATTTATTTAACAAAGTTTTTAAAAGTCATTAACATTTTGGATACCTCAAAACTTTTAAATACTCTTTAAAACTCACAATTGAATACAACTAAACTTTTAAAGACTATTTAAAAGTCACAATTGAATACCTTCAGACTTTTAAACTCATTAAAAGTCATTAAAAGTTAGAATTGAATACACCCCCCTAAGTCAGTTACTTTGTAATTGAAATTTTTGTATATTTTTCATAAATAAAAAATAGGTACACAATAATTTATAGAACATATAGGTACATTATTTACCCATAGATAAATTATTTTACAATATACCTATAAAATATGTATAGGTTTATTATTTGGAGAGGAAAAATAGGTTCATTTAAAAAAATAGGTACATTAATAGAGAAAAAAATAGGTACATTATTTAGAGAAAAAAATATGTTCATTTTAAAAAAATGTTTTTCATAAAACAAAAAATAAATATATTATCAAAATTTTTTTCAACATAATTAGAATGTACACTATTATTCATTAAACTATAATAAAATAGATTACTAGTAGTATAATTCATTTTTAGGAAAACAACATAATTTTTTTATTAAATAAACCAAAACGATAATCACATGTAGATTACTAATACATTAATGTTGAATTTAAAATTTAATTTCAAATACGTTTCTAAATTAATTCATACATTCATTACAACAATTTGAAGATCTTTCCAAATTCAACGTGTGTCATTAGTTACACCCCCACATAACATTTTAACTTGTAAACATGAGTAGTTTTGGAATTCAAAAAATAGAATAAATCATATTTTAAGCTCGATTAGGTAACTTGCTTACTTAGATCCTCGGGTTTTATTTTAAAAAATTGGGTATTTTAAATAGAAAAATAAAGGAAAGAGTTGTATGTGATTAAAAATAAATTTTATGGATCTAAGCTCAATTTACTAAAGAATTTATAAACTAGAAAAAAAAAACATGTCTTGATCAAGTTCTAAATTAAATTCGATATGACTCGCTTTGCTAGGCAACTATACATGGCCATATCTTCGGATCAGCGTGTCGTGTACGCAGCTCCTCTAAACAAGGCTAAGGGATATTCTAGTATTTAATTATCTTGTGTCCAAACCTAAACAACACATTATTATTTGCAGGATTTCATGTTTGACGTCAGGTGTGAGAAGAGCAATGACATTATTATTGTTTCCCGACTACCTTAAACTTCTGTTAAACCACGTGTTTAATGGTTTCTAAATCCAATTCCAACTTTCTCGAAGCCTATATATATAGGCATATAATATATGGCAACTCCTGCTTACCATGAGATGCTTTAATGATTTTCAATTTATTTGATTTTTTTGCAAAGATGATCTATGAATGAAGACTTAAAAAATAGATACAATTTGGATCGTTGAAAACAAATTCGTAGAGCATTTTAAAGGGTGTATTTGAAGAATCTCTTAATAAAAACGAACTTTAAATATATACACATATATTTATATATATATGAAAACAAATCAAGTTTAAGTCCTCACTCAACTTGTTCTTGTTTTCTGTTTTTCTTCGTGTTGTTAAAATGACAAGGTTACGTACTGAACTTTAGGGTGTGAGAGCTGGGCCTGGTAAGGATTAGGGTGGGCTAGCAACTTGTGGGCTACGTAAAATTATTATTATTCTTTATTTATTTATAATTTTTGTAAAATATGCTGGGGTAATTGTGAAATTAAGATACATAACAACAAAATGAGTGTTGCTATTTTCACCTCTTTTTTCTATTTTCCCACTCACTTTATCTTTCCACCCACCATGCAAATTTGAAAAAATACAATCTTATTTTTCCAACTACCATTATTCCTAAGATACCATTTAATTATTAAATCAACTAAAACCCAAAAAATCTCTACACACATCGTGACCTCAAATTCATCAACAATGGCAGTCACTAACGACTCTCTGCAACAAAACCATCATCAACCAAACCTTGCATTTCAATATCTCTTCCAAGCCATCAAATCCATCTCCCTCATTCTCTCCCAGACCCCAAAACCAGATCAAGAGCTAGTCGAGTCCCTCTGCTGCTCATCACAGAGAACTACATCATGGAGAGAGGACCCAAATACAAAGCCTACGTGGAGTTTAGAGAATCAAAGCTGCAAAGGAAGCATGGACTATAGCCCAGGTGACTTTCTTTTTCAGCCTAACATAACTTTCCTAGCCCACCACATGCTTTGTGAAGTGTTCTACTCCACTAAAGGTTTGTAGAGGTCTAAGCCTTAGATGCATTGTGTAGGAAAAAAAATGAGAATACACGCCACCTATTTGACTTTTAATTTAAAAGTTTTGTTTTTCAATAAAACAGTAGGTTTGGTAAGAGAGATATTTAATACACACGTAAGGACAGACCATGCATATGACTAACTTGGGCTATAGCCGAGATGACTTTTTTTTTTAAGCCTAACATAACATTCCTAGCCCAACACATGTTTGGTAAAATGCTCCACTCCACTAAAGGTTTGTAGAGATCTAGACCTTAGATGCATTTTATAGGAAAGAAATGAGAACACACTCCACCTATTTGATTTTTAATTTAAAAGTTTTGTTTTGTTTTTTTTTCAATGAAAGAGTCAGTTTAGTAAGAGGGATATTTAATACACACGGTGTCGTTTTGATTAAATTTATGAAACCCAACTCAGTCAACCCTTTCATTCTTATTAATTGATTTCCTTCTCACTACAAGCCCAAGTTCCATAGAGCAATAGCTGCAAACCTTTTCCAAGCTTCTAGCTTGTAATAAGCTCCCTATTCTACTGCATTTTTAGTTATAACTAAATTTTACTTTATTTTTACATCTCATTCTCTCTCTTTTGACTATGATTATGGACTATTTTTTCAACGTAGCCACCATCATCACTGTACGAATTGAAAGAACAAAACTTGAATAGCAGCACTTCCGATTGAACAAACTGCTGGAAATTGGATACTATGGTGCTTCTCGCGGGAAGCTAGAAAACTGCCCAAAAAGGGACACATGGCATGCTGAAACCTGGTCCACTTGTCCAAGCATGGTTTATGAAAGAGATGAGCACATCTCTCATCTCAATTCTCTACCGTACATGTGGGAAAATGAGAAACACCCAAAACACATGATTTGGCCTTCTACAAAATCAATTTGATTATATTATAATGACTTTTTCTAGGTATGTTTGCTCACCACTTTAACCCAAGATGTATCTTCACTATCATTCTTAATGGTTGACACATGTCCATATATAACTATGGTTAACTTTTTACTTTGTATTATATAACCACGGTTATGTATATGGACATGTGTCAAATGTTAAAAAAAAGTAGTCAGAATACACCTTGGATAAAAGTGGTGAGCAAAAATGCTTTCTTTTGGATATATGTTATTATTCTCGATCACACGTCACCATGAGATGAGACTCATAATTAAACTAGTTTTGTAGCAGCAGATGATGAATGAAACATTTAGATGCTCAATCACCCTTTTTTTAAACCATATATTTCTCAATTACCTTTGTTCACAAAAAAAAAAAAAAAAAAAAAAAAAAAAAGGAAAAGAAAAGAAAAGCAAAACGTGCACATGCCCAATACGAAATCAGTATAGCATATTATATATATAAACCCTATTAGAGCACCTCCAGCGCTAGGGCAAGCATTGCCTTGGCAACAGCCACCCCAAGCCCGATTTCCACCTCCAGCACAAAAAACCCAGCCCGGGAAGCCCACATGCAAAAATGGATTGGGCTGTTGCTCGAAGGCTGTTGACGTCAGAAGCTGATTTTCAAATTTTTTTTACTGTTGGCATGTGGAATACAGTAAAAAAATTTGAAAATCAGCCGCTGACCCACCAACAAACATAGCCCAACGACTACAAGCCACGTGGGTCCTCCTAGAGTCTTCGATTAAAAAATCTTGCCCAATCCAATGGCTGTCCAATTTTTGGCTTAAAAAATATAAAAAAAATATCAAATTTTAAATAATAAAAAATCAAAAAATTCTGAAATTTTGTCTATAAATACCTACCAATATTATTCACTTTCAACACCAAATTTTCATACAAATTCATCTTCTTCCAGTATTTTTCACTTTCCACACCAAATTTTCTACTATAAAATTCCATTTGTGCAAAAATACAAAAGGCCTCTTCCATCGAAGTTGGAGGGTTGTGAACAAACGTTCGAAGAGGTCAAAATCTTGGCGACGAGGTAAAAAAAAAAATTGCCGTTTTATTCAATTTAATGTCATTTAAAAAAAAATATTTCTTGCATTTCCAATTTCACTTTTTTTAATAGATTATTCAAGGCAAAACAAAAAAGAGGAAAACCATTACACATGGCTTCTCAAGTGAACAATACCCGCAGTCGGTTCCAGTGGTGCGTTCCGTGTAGGAAATAATGGCACTATTACATCATTCAAAGGAAAATACTTCTCTACGTCGTGATTCGGTGGAATTGTCTCCGCCAATGATTGAGTCGTCCTTGTACTCGATTGCGTCGGACTATGAGGACTGGAAGTATTTCAATTGTATGATGAGTGAGTAGGTATTTCAATTGTATTATGAGTGAGATGTGAATTTTATAATAAATATGGACATGTGGCAATCGAAAATCTTATCTGAATTTTTAGGTGAGAATTTTATAATAAATATTGACACGTGGGCAAGTAAAATCTTATCCGAAAAGCTTATCAAAATTAATGGTTTAAGTATAAAAAATAGAAAATAAATTAAAGTGAATAGTGTTTGATCTTGCCATTGCCCTTTGGGGTGGAACAAAAAAAGGTAAGGTTATCACTATTCATGTGAATAGTAACAAACCTTGCCTTGTCTTTGCCTTGCCCTTTGGGGTGGAGGTGCTCTTAATAAAGAGCGGAGAAGAGCAATTCAATTCAATTCAAAACTATAAGCTCCGTTTGTTGAAGTTTCTCTTGCGGCAATCAGATTCTGACCCAATCCTTTTGCAAGGTTTGGGATTTTTTTGCTTATGTTGTTGTTCTCTTCTAGTTTCTCTTCCCTCTTTTTTTTTTCTTCTCTTTTTTTATAATATGTTTTTTTTTCATATATATATTTTTTTCCCTGATTTGGCTTTCTCTGTATTTGTATAATCATTAGTAAACTTGAGAGGAAAGAAGAGATTGGGTAGTATACTGCTTGAGGTATGATCAATTATAATTTTATTGTTTAATTGATGAAGTAATATGCATTTTGTAATGTTATTCGTTTTCCATGAATTATTAATGACGTTAGTATTGTTTAAATTTTAAGATATTTGGTTTTCTTTTAGCCCCCTTAAAAGTAAATTTAGGAAATTCAAAAATAAATAAGGGCAATTTTGTCCATTTTGGATTCTTTTACAAAATTTCTCTCTCCTTTGTATTTTTCCAAAGTCTCCCTTTACAATTACCTATTTCCTGAAAAATTCTTGAATCCGCCAAGAGAAAACATAGAAAACAATTACACGCTGATTATCTACACCAAGATTTTTGACCGAGCAAGAAAACATCTTTCGTCATACAGATGCACAAGTGTTAATTAGACATGCAAATATAATATATATATATATATATATATATAAAATATTTCCTCCATCTCAATATATCCTTGACAATAGGGATTGCATGCATGGGGTACTTCTCTCTCTTTTGACTATGATCTGGAGTCTGGACTGGTTTTTCACCGCAGCCACCATCCATCTCCATCATCACTATCCGAACTGAAAGAACAAAACTTGAATAGCAGCACTTCCGATTGAACAAGCTGCTGGGAATGGGACACTAGGGTGCTTCTCGGGGGAGCTAGAAAACTGCGGCAAAGGGGACACGTGGCATGCTGAAACCCGGTCCACCGGTCCACCGGTCCAAGCATTGTTTATGAAAGAGATGAGCACATCTCAGTTCTCTAACCTCATCTCCTTCCTCAATCTTGCATAGACACACAGCACACTCCTCAGGACTCTCGTCGCTGGTCCCAGAAGGCTCGGGTTTGTAGTGAACTGTGCTGAGCGACGATGGCTCTATGGTTTGCTCTGAAGGGAAGCCAAAGCAGTGATCATGAGAATGTCCGAAGAAGGAATGGTAAAGCAAGATGTTGAGCAACGAGCTTAAGTGGCTGCAAATTACAACCATGTAATTCCACATGCTTGATTATAATTTGTACAAGAAAAGGAGAAAAAATTGAGTTGATTTATTGATTTGAAAATGGGTGCAGTTTTGGGTGAGTTTCTGAGGACCAAATACTTATAGGCTCGGGAGGCATGGGATGCACGGCAATAATGTTACTCGAAATAGTCATCACGGTGACACAATAATGCAACCAGAAAAAGGACAAATAATTAATGTGGCAAAAGTTTGTGTTGTGATTAACATGTCATTGTGGACATTTGGATGATCGTGTGGTTGTGGTACTGCGCACTTGGTTCACATCTTTCTGTTAACGTTGTACTGTTCGTAGACTATACATGGTACTGTGCACGTGGTTCACAAAATAAAGGAAAAATGGAAGAATTTTATTTTGAAAAATGGAAGAATCTTATGGAAAGGAAGAATTCAAAAGCAAAACATTTTGGTACCGACCCAAAGGCTGATGAACGGACCGGGGGGGGGACCGATACTACAATTCGTTGTGCATGTCAATTCTAGTATTCATTAAGAGCTCGTTTGGTACGTCAAATTGTATTGATTAATTTATATTTGATAGTATAAATTTATTCCGGAGAGGATTGACGGTTTATTCATAAAATTATAAGGCGTTTGGTGCTGTTCTGGATAAATAGTCTGACTAAGTTATATTGTGTTTGTGTGCTTTTTTTTTTTTTTTTTTTTTTTTTTTTTTTTCAATTTTTCTTTTGGCAATTTTGCATATGACCTTTGTTTTGTTTTTTTTTTTGACAAGATGTATAAGACAAGATTACATGAACTAACTCATTATCATAATTGTAGAACTTGGGATTATAAGTTACATAGTATATAAGCACACCTTTATTGATGGGAAAAAAAAATCAGGTCTTGATATAAAAAACTTCTTTTCTTGATATATATATATATATATATATCTCACATACAGGACATGAAGCATGTCGAACATCATCAATATTTTCTCGTGTTCTTATGTGGTTAAGTGTATGAGAGATCTCCCTAATTTAACTTGGTTAATGTGCATGAATCGATTTACCCATGGTCATTCTAGCTTTTGCCATCCTAGCTTAACATTGTAATTATAGTAATTTTTCTAATACATGAAAAATTGAAGGATCGATGTGATGGTTATTGCATCTGGACTGGAATTTTTTATTTATTTATAAGCATTGGCATCGTCACTCAGGTAATAAATAACAAATTTTGTAGACATAGCATTTTCATTGTGAAAAGTTGTGAAAACGCATATGCATGCAACACATGGAATTAATTATAAATAATTCGGTATAAGTCCAATTGTTATGATAGAATTTGAGTGCAATCCACACACTTATTGTTAGTAATCCAAGTCCTTTGACTTTTATGCCACATAAGATTAGTTATCTTTTTTCAATTTCTGACATTTATATTTTATATTTTTAATTTTTTTATTTATGTTGTGGTTCCAAATTTGCCCCTAAAATATAAATCAGGTAAGAAGTGTTTTCGTGATTTCATTTGGCCATTACAAGGCACATTTTTTGTATTGTTTAGCATGTTTATGTTCTCTTCGTCTGTTTACACCTTCGCCTATATCATAGGTACATTTTGTTTTAATGGGATTATTTTTGCCTATATGATAGTTACATTTGGGTTTAGTACCTCCCTTATAGGTAACCAATTGCTTGCCACCAGCAGGTCAATTTACCTGTAACACAGATATAGGTATTTTGTTGAAAATGAAACACTTTGTTATTAACTTTATCTTTCTAATTTTCAATTGGCTTTGGTGTATTTTTTGCCTTTTTGTTAACAAACAAATAAACAAATCTGTGGATGCCCTATTTACCTATAACTGCATATGATCTATATACCTATATCCCAGAAGCATGAATTACCAACGTGTTTTCTACCTGGAGGCTGGAATGATGGAAACATGAAAATATAGTTGGGGTCCTCTACCGATACCATAGGAAACAGGCCAAACCATACAATCGTTCTTCTACCTATGGCATTGGTATGTATCAGGAACTAAGCATAATAGAAAAGTAGGAACCCCAATCACACAATTTACCTGTACAACAGGACCAGAAACTGACGTTTAGTGGCAGAGGAAATTTGCTTGGAAGGAGGAAATTTGCTATAGTGAATCATATTGTTGAACCAAAAGAAAAAAGGTGGGTTTAGATAAGCCCCACAACTTTGGGTGGGTGATTCCCACAACCAAACGCTTTCAATTACAAATTGGAAACAACATGTATATCAGATTTGTCTCTATTCTTATCCCTAGAGAAAAGGAAGGGATAAATAAAGGAAGAGGGTAATCAGATAAAGGGGAGGAGTCCAATTTGAATGAGAATTCTTCCATCTCAAAACTCTCTCACAAGCACTCTATAAAAAGGGAGGCTGAAAAAGAGCCTAAGGGCCCACAAAGGCAGGGGGAGGCAGCCGTGAGGCTGGAGGAAAAGAAGAACAGCCGCTGGAAGACTTCAAAGGATGCATTCAACATCCAGTACGATTAACCCATGGGGATTCTTGGCTATATATGATGATTGAAATCATCACATATTAAGTCAAGAAACTACCCTAAGGCGTACCTCTTCTCAAATACCTCCAGGACATCCAACTATGGATTGACAGCCAAGATGATTATAATCATCATGAGATCAAGTCCTATGCTCCGAAGTGTAGCTCCGCTCAGACGCTTTCAGGATGTGCTCAACATCCAATTCACAAGCACTTTGTAAGGATGGCTTATCATGATGGGCTAACCATCACAAAACCAAAATTGGTTGCGGCGCCATTAAAAGACGTAGAGAAACTCCCAGAATTCTCCGGGCTTCTCTTACTGCATTGGCATAATGGCGAAACCCTGTTCAATGTTGTTTATGTCTACCGAGAAAAAAATCACACAAGATAGAATTGATGAAGATGTGGAAGTGAACCCACCACGGAGTCAAAAGCTGAGGAGTGTGTGTAATTACCTTCTCAAATGGAAGTTGCAATCCTCTGTGTGAAGTCCAACAAATCAAAAAGACTCCCCCGACAATTGAATTGCCTTCCACATGAAACACTTGTTGCCAGCAAGTCAACAAAAAGGAGCTCATCTCTATAAAATCCATACAAGCATGGAACTGAAAAAAACCATGAAGATAGGCATGTGGGTTACCACGTGAAATCCCAGAGGGGAAGAAACAAATTGTTTCTTCTTTTGATGATGCAACAGGTGGCTTGTGCAAGTGTATGGAAAAGCAAACATAGAAAGAATATCAAAATGTTAGAATTGAAAGGGGGAAACAACAAAGTGATTTTATTAATTGAGGAGGTGAATAGTACATGGCTTAGTGTAGACTAATTGGCCTTCTTCACTTAGCATATTGGCTTATTGGCCACAACACTTGGTTTAGATTAGTTTGGGCTATTTGACCCTTCACTTAGATTAGTGAGCTTATTGGCTCCTCAACATAACTTTGTTTGGGTAGCTCTTGACTCCCTCATAGATTGGGAGTTCTAGTAGTTGACTCCTTATATGACTTGGGTTGGGTAGCTTTTTTTCCTCCCACATAGATTGGGAGTTCTATTAGTTGACTCCACATAGATTGGAAGTTGGTGGATGACTCCACTTTGATTTGGGTTGGGTAGCTTTTGTGCTCCCTAATAGTTTGTGAGTTCTTTGTTAGACTCCATCTTTTCTTTGTTGTTTGCATGCCTATTTATAGGCACCTTTGCCGACTTAGCCCTTGTCCACCGACTTGGGCATTTGCTCCAGCCACATTATGTGGCTTTGCCTAGAAACTTCTCCACAATTCCTTGTTGCATGCTTTCTTGGTTTTTCTAGAACATTCTTCAATCTTTTATTCCCTTCAAGCTTATAGCTCTTTCTTCAAGCTTCTAGATTTTTCTACAAATATGCATTAATTTCAACAAAAAGCATTCGTTTTGTTTGCTGGTGATCTTAACTTGTGGTGCACATGTCTTTCTTTATATAAAAGAAATACATATAGCCCAATCCTATGTTGACAAGGGGCTTACTTTCCTGGAAGATCCAGGGGTTCCAAATCAACAAGGTGGTTAATTCAGATTTTACTTGGACATGACTTTTATCCTTGGGTGTCTTAAGCAAATTAAAAGACACTTGTTAATGGCACCAAGCTGTGAGGGACCAGTTGGAGCAAAGCAGGGCCACAATCACTCTTCCTTCACCTTTTCATCATTCCAAACAGCAAGCAAGACCGTTGGGTCTCTCTACTATGCTTTCAAGCATCTCAAACACAAGCTCAATCCGTGGGGATTGTCACGATGGTTTCAATCATCACAAAACAAAATTAAATGTGGTGTCTTTGCAAGGAAATCATGAGCAGGGGTTTGCCTCTGACTTTGGATTTTCCGAGATGAAGATGGGTGTGGTGGTGAGCCACTGTTGAAGTTTATCCCTGTTGGTCTTACGCCACCTGCAAGGCACCAATTTAAAAGCAAACAATTCACAAACAAAGACAGACTGCCTTGTCTTGCTCCCTACAAAAAAAAAAAAAAAAAAAAAAAAAAAAAAAAAAAAAAAAAAAAAACTGGGCAACTGGCAATCCCAAGTTTTCCTTACCTCTATGGCCCCCACAACAAGAATTGCAGCTGAAAGATTTGTTTGTTGTAGTGAACATACCGCATGAAAGCATGAAGAGCAATGTTGTTGCAGATAAAAAGGGAGAAAGCTCCTTTGGTGTGAGACCACCACGTGAAGCTCCAGAAGGGAAGAAACAATATGGTTCCTTCTTTGAAGAAAAAGTGAAGTTTCAGAATTTCACAGGCCCACATACTCAAGGCAAGTTGGAGAAAACCAAAACACAAGGCTTTACTTCTGGAAGGACCGCCGTCTCAAGTCTGTCTACCAAATCAGTTGAAGTGGGCTTCATGGGTTTGTTGTACAAAGTCACAAAGACCACGCAACAAGTCCGGAAGTCAACATAAAGTCTAAGTTATGCTTTGTAAAATATTGGGCTAACAAGTGAAAACAAATGTCTCGAGACCCGACGTCTGCAATCTCGCCTCTCAAGATTCGGTGGGCTCATTCTGTTACAAATCTCCAGCCCAATGGAATTGTCCATGAAAAATCCGATTGGCAAACAATTTGTCCGAGTTCTTAAATTCACAAATAATGAATTAGTGGGTTCAAATCCAAAGTACCCATTAATTTCTAATTTTTCCCATAGGTCATCTACCTATGAAAAATTTTCAAATCGTCTCAAAGACACTAATTCTAAATTATTGGGCCACACTTACCCATTAATTTCCAAATTTTGGAACTACGTCAGTTTGATCCCGTCAAGGGTACGTAGGCAGTCCAACATCCTAATAGACGCAACCGCAACCAAATTTAAATCCCTGGTTTATCTTAACCAAATTTTACCAAAACACCTTCCCAAGTGCAATTGTCAATCTTTAGGAAAAATTAATGGGATAATTGAAATTACTTATTATTTTTCTTGGACATTGGCAACAAGAAAAGTGGTACAAAACCATCCAATTTTCATGGGTCATCTACCCATGCAAATTTCAATTCAAATATCTCAAACACAAATTCTTAATTAGTGGGCTACACTCACTCATTAATTTTCAATTTCTCTTATGGGTCATCTACTCATGAAAATTCCAATGAGATTAAATTCAAATATCTCAAACACAAATTCTCAATTAGTGGGCTACACTTACCCTTTAATTTCCAATTTTTTTCTCATAGGTCATCTACCTATGAAAATCTCTAAATTGTTTCAAAGACACAAATTCTAAATTAATGGGTCACATTTACCCATTAATTTCTAATTTTTCCCATAGGTTATCTACCTATGAAAATCTTTAAATCGTCTCAGAGACACCAATTCTAAATTATTGGGCCACACTTACCCATTAATTTCCAAATCTCCGAACTACGTTGATTTGATCCCTTTGAAAGGGTATGTAGGCAATCTAGAGATTCAATCTAGATGCAACCATCCCAAACACAATTCCATATCGAATTCCTGGTTTATTCAGCTAAATTCATTCAAACACTCCTCAATCAAATTCCTCCTTTTGCAATGAGTCATCTATTCATTGCGAATATTTGAACTACGAGTGGCTTGATTCCCGCAGGAGATACGTAGGCACCCTGAGGTTGGACTTGAGAGCAGCTGCAAAATCAAACACACACGTTCTGTTTCTTTAAGATAGAATCAAAGGGTTTTCCCTTGTAGAAAGGGATTGTAATTAAGAGACTTGCGTCTCGAATGGGTTGAACCTAAAATAATAAAACCCCATTAATTAATTAGTGGTGGTGAAATTATGTTGGGAGATTCACATTTTCTTTCAACACATACATAGAAACCCACAAATCTCTCCATTAAAGAACCAAGAAATCAGAGGAAATTTGCTTGGAAGGAGCATGACGTTTGGAGGAAACGTAAATTCTGCAATTTGTCGATCTGTCTGTACTTTCCTTTTCTATATAGTGGCAGAAATTGTAATTGCATTAAAATTTGTGGACATACTGTTTGCTTAGGTGGCTAAACATCTAGTCTTGTGGACTGGAATTAAGAGGTAACAACTCTAGTCCTGCATCCATTATATATTTGTAAAATTAGACCTATATCTAAGAGGCCCAATTAATTAACTCATGCTGTTGCTCTTTATGCACGAAAAGGATTAAATCCTGCCAGCACCGCATTGTGCAGAGGACGAAAGAGTGGTTTGGGGAGGTTGTCCCACTCATACCAATCCCAACCATCACACAGTTCTGGCTCCACATTTTGGGGCTCTCCATCTCCATGTTCCATCACCGCTCTCATGCAAACGGAGACGTACTGGCATGGCTTGCCTCCCTCTAGGAGCAGCTTGTTTGTTGTGGCTGTCAGAAACTCCATCCTCTTCTTGTCAATGTCTAAACCAGTTTCTTCCTTCAATTCTCTTGCTGCACACTCCTCGAAGCTCTCACCTACATAAACACAAAACTAATATTATTTAGGGTCCATTTGATGACCATTTCAGTTTTCACCTACGCAAACACCAATTAGTTAATGACTTGGGATTAGGAAGACGAGAATTAACCCCTCTATTTGTGTATATAATTACGTACCGAGCTCGAGGTGGCCACCAGGTAGGGAAAAGGTGGAGTAGCCAAGAGAGCAACGGCGTTGTCCCAACAACACCTTTTCCCCTTTCAACAGGCAAACCCCTACCGCCACTGTCGACGCCGCTGCTGCCTCCGTTTGGTTTCCCATGCTCAATTAATTTCCTTTGAGTTTTTTGCTTTATTTCCTTCGTGTTTTTTGTGTACTGAATGTAGCTTGACTGCCTTGCCTTTTATAGATAGTCTTGGTATATTTATTTCATATTTTTTTGTCCCTATCCGTTGTATTTGTATTTTATAACATGTTTTTGGCGTGTGAAGTGGATATCAATGCTGACAAAATGATCTAATTGCATATGATTAATGAGTCAGTTGGTTATATTTTTAGTAAACATACGGATATAGTATAAACAAATTGTACATGTGAAATGGGAACCCGCCAAAGGGGGAGATCTCTATTAGATGTTGACAATGATAGTTACCTTAAAAAACCACTAATTTGTTTAAATGTATAACATTATTCTATGCCTTTTGAGTACTAATCCAGGCATCTCATCATATCATTAGAGTCTAATTCTTGGAGTTTAGTTACATTATTCTTTGAAAGTTATTTTTGGAGAGTGATTCTCTCAAGATCGACTCTCTTTTTCCTTTCTTTTTTGCTGGCTCGTGTCATTTTGAAAAGTTTTGCTCATGTCCGCCATATTGTTACTGGGATTGCTCCCTTTACAATTTTCTTCCTTTGTACTCTTTTGTTCGTTTGATCTATTAAACTTCTAAATATTTGAGCGCTAGAACTGAGAAAAGTCAAAGGTTTGAACACATGAAAGAGGAGTCACAACAAACAATACAAGAAATTTAATGTTTGAAGATTTGTGAAGCGACCGAATTCTGTAAGACCTAGAATAAAAGAGTTCATGAAAGTGCCAAATCATCATACTTAATAACGTGATGTTATATTCATAAGGCTTGTAATTTAAATGATTAAGTATATTATCAATGGGGTATAGTCCAATGAAAAGGAGCATTGACTTACAGACTATAAGTCTCAGGTTTGAATCCCCACGACATCATAGTTATGTGTATGTGTGTGTGTGAGAACTCTCATTCCTATGTAGTTTAGACTATCACTTGTACTAAAAAAAATTGAAATATATTTAGTGGTCGAGTATGTTTATAAGGGCTTGTAATTCAAGTGATTAAGAACATATATTTCCTCCAATATCCAAAGTTGTGTATTCCATTCCCCAGTCTTCCTGACATCTTGTATAAAAGAATTTATAAACTAGAAAAAAAAACGAAGAACCTTCCTATTAGTTTGCTGATGTAACATCTTTACAGGTTTACTTGAGACCTGACATTGGAGTTCTTATGTTTATAATCTTAGTTTAATCTCAGTGGAGTTTTTAGTTTTGTCTGAGCTGGAGTTTGCATGTTCTCAATGTGTTTCTGTTGGAATTCCCCAGAGGGCAAGATCTTCATGAATATCATAGTTATTGATAAAATTAAATGCTACTGGAGCATTTAGGAAGACTGCAAGTTGAGAGACTTAGTGGTGAAAGATGGTATGGGGTAATCAGTAATGTAACGATATGTTTAAGTTCAATATGAATCTAATAATTACTCTCAGGTTTTAGTCGCCTTGAGTTTGTATATATTTTTTTGTTATTTTCTTACTCTGTCATGTATTGTTTTCTTCCTTGATATATTTGATTTAACACATTGACTAAAAGTTTGTTTTGGTAACAAAACTAGCGCTGTTCTTGTTTTGGTAGGATTAACAATGTTATTGTTAATGGGAAGCAGCAACAGCCCATCATTAGTGATGATTCCAAGGAAGCTATGAATCATGCTTTCGAACTCTTTAATGTTTGATTGGAAGTAGGCTTTGGGACTAGTGATATAGGACATAGCTTAGGATTGTAATGAATATTTGTAATTTATTACATTTGTCTTTTATTAATGATAATATATACTATTTTTCGAACAACAATTTCTCAATTGAAATTTTATTTATAGTTTTGGACCAAATTTTTGTACGTTTAATGCAAATAAATGTAGTTGGAAAAACATTTTCGACAAACTTCCATGTCGAGAAACCACAATTCCAACGAATTATATTAATCACAAATAGTAATCGAGGGTCGGAAATACTATTTTCAACAAATAGTCATTGGTCGAAAAAATAGCATGACAAAAACAAAAGATCTCGATCAAAAATTATTTCCGACAGGTGCGCAAGTATTTGCGACCACATTTATGGTTGGAAGTGAATTTGTATGGTTGTTTAGAAAATTTATTTCCGATAGAAATATAAGCAATATCGACGAAATATGGGTGTCGGAAATACATTATTTCCGATGGAATGGTCGGAAAAGAAGTATTTACAACCAACGTTTTAACAACGACTTTCGACGGAGTTTTGCTGTCGAAAAAGGGTATTTCTGACGGCAAAATGCTTTTTGCTACAAATGAATTAGGCCCCGTTTGGTTCACAGAACGAATTTGAGTGGAAATCATTACCTATTTCATTTCCCAAGGAATGGGAAATATAATATTCATTTCCCATGTTTGGTAATGCTCGGAAAGTAACCGGGAGATATCAATTTATTTCCTTCCCCATGTTTGTTTTGAGTAGAAATGGAAAACAAAGTTTGTATGAATTTTATATTATACCCATATTAAATCAAAAAAAAAAGAATGCATTTATTGATATATTGTAATTCTAAATTGTTAATAGGGGACAAAATGGTCATGAAAAATGTTTATTTAATATTGGCTCATTTTCCCAAACTTTTTCATAAGGAGGGAAAACAAAACCTAAGTTGGGAGGATGGCTTCACTTTCCCCCTTACTTTTCGATATGCTAGACAATGATTTCACATGCATGGACTTACCAAACACGGGAAAGCAATTGATTTCCCATCCCTAAGTCTTCTTTCCCACGAATCAAACGGGACCTTAGTGGAATGAAGCATTTCACCAAGCATGTGGTGGGCTGGGAACATCTCTAGTAAATAAAGAATGAACTCAAAAGTTATGAAAAAATAAGGAAAAAATAGAAACCCCATTCGCAGCAGTAGAAGACAAACCCTTCAATTCCTCCATACTCACCTAACTCTTCCTTGCCATCAACGCAATGCCATTGTTGTACCTCTTCTCCCTTGCGGTTGACAACTTACTCCCTCTCGAATTCGACAAAACCCCATTCGCTTTTGACCAACACTTCGCCAACGAGGTCATCTCAAGCGTCGACGAAAGCCTTGAAGATGGCTTGCGGTTCTCCTTTCTCAACACAGCGGAGAAATCAGGCACTGACTGAGCCTAGGCAGAGGACTCATTACACGATTTGGTATTGGTGTGAAATTTGACTTGTTTCTTCAACGAGCTCGGTATAAATTCAAGTTCTTCAGCCTCTTCTAGCCTCGGATACTTTCTTTTAGGGACTTTAAAGTGGAGTGGGCTAAATTTATCACACATACAAACGTACTAAAAATATTAGTGCGTGCAATGGCTGATCCATGAATATTTGTTCAAAAATATTAGGCTAAATAAAGTATTTTTTTAGCATATTAAAATAAAGTAATTTAGTTATAACTAAAAATATAGTAGAATAGGGAGCTTATTACAAGCTAGAAGCTTGGAAAAAGGTGTGTAGCTATTGCTTTATGGAACTTGGTTTTGTAGTGAGAAGGAAATTAATTAATAAGAATGAAAGGGTTGGCTGGGTTGACTTTCATAAATTTAATCAAAACAACACCATGTGTATTAAACATCCCTCTCACTAAACTTACTGTTTCATTGAATAAAATAAAATAAACAAAACTTTTAATAAAAGATACACGAGATTAATACTTGACTATTTGCGGGAGCAATGGCATTATTATTGCATTATGATTTGCTTCGCTGTCGTCACATGAATGGAGGAAGAACTAGTCAAAGCTCCTATTATAGCATATATGGCCTTTTTGGGTACGTAAACCACAAGACATCCAAACTAGCACTTTCCATAATTGGTAGTGAAACGTTAAAGGTTTATTTCAGTCATTTTTTATTCATACATACATGCTATGTATATATTTTTTTTCATGTATGAAAAGGATTAAATCCGGCCATAATCGCATTCTCCAGAGGCCAAAAGAGTGGTTTAGGGAGAGCGTCCCATTCGTACCAATCCCATCCGTCACAGAAGTTTGGCTCCACATTTTGGGGCACTTGATAATCATCTGCCAAAACTGCCCTCATGAAAATCCCCACGTACTGGCATGGCTTGGCCTCGTCTAGGAACACGTTGTTTCTTACCGTCATCAGCTCTATATTCTTAATCTCCAAACCAGTTTCCTCCTTCACTTCTCTTGCTCCACACTCCTCAAAGCTCTCACCTAAACCAACACGACAACACAAAATTAATTCACTAGGAATTTGAACAAAAAGGAAAAAGAAAAGAGAAGCAAAATCCCATGAAATTTTCTATATATAATTTAGTACCGAATTCGAGGTGGCCACCAGGGAGGGAAAAGGTGGAGTCGCCAAGGGAGGAACGGCGCCGTCCCAACAGCACCGTTTTCCCTTTGATCAGGCACACCACTACCGCCACTCTCGGCACGGGTGCCGCCTCCGTTTCCGTTTGGTTTCCCATGCTTTAATTGGAGTTTCTTGTATTAATATACGGGAGATATATGCATGCAGGCTTACTGCCCTCAGCCTTATATAGAAAATATTGGGTCTGCTTATACTCGCACCAGTCCTGATCCATAAATGGTGAAACGAGAGAGAGCGCGCGCATCCTTTGATTTTTTTGTTTGGTCAAAAGCACTGTTCCATATTGATTCTATGTCTTTCTGATTCGCTGTTGCGGTCCATATGATTGTATTATTCTTAATTAATTAGTTTTATTTTATAATCTTGTTTATCTGTTTCAACGACAACGTGTGTATTGAATAGTTCCCACATGTTGTGACGCGCAGCCTTGTTGTAATTGACGTAGGTTGCACATTGATCTAACTGGATAGATAGTTCATTATTAAGGTCCACAACGTAACTTGTAATAAGGTAATAACGTAATATGTTTCAGTTCTATTCTTATTTTCAAAGTTTCATAATATTATTGTTGAGAACACTCATTTTATGCAAACCGCGTGCAGGGCCGGGAGAGCCACCACCGGTTAGGCAAAAAGGCGGCCGTGTTTTTTAAGACATCGACCAAATAAATATTTAGCCAAGTTTCCTTCTACATTTTGTTTTTAAATAAATATTTCTTAATCTATTGATGATTTTCAACCAAAATCAAAATGAAAAAACACAACTAGCATGGTAGTTTTGTTCTCAAAATGATTGTGGTTTTAATGTTTTAGCTTTTGATTTTAATTTCAATATAATTTTGAGATATTTAGTCATATACCCATTCTTAGTACTAAAATTATAAATAAACCCTACATCATTTAATTTCTATAAACAAAACAAAACAAAAAACCCAAAAAGTGACAATTGGCCTTATTTAATTTATTTTTGATTATTAAATTACTTTGACGCCCTATTGAGTATTTTGGGCTTTTTTATGAGGTTTTGGGGTTGAGTTTATTTTAAAAAATCAATTACAGTTTTGTAATTCAAAAGAAGTTAAAAACTTTTTTATTATGTTGTAAATGGGCAATGGGCAATGGGCTTTGGATTTGTTTTTAAAGTCCATTTCATATAGGGTTTTTTTAATTTATAATTTAGGCTCCTATATTGAGTATAATAGTGAATCTCCCAATAATTTTAAGCTCTGATCTTTTTTTTTTTTTTTTTTTTTTTTTTTTTTTTTTTGTTTGAATGAGATAGATGAAAAACTGGAAATTTTGTGGTTGAGATTGTGAGAAGTAGGAATCTAAATGCGAAGCGATGTAAAAGATATTGGAAATCTAGGCAAAGTCTTGCAGCATATACTTTTTCCAACTTAACTTGTAAGTTGGAACTCATACAGTAATTATTCACAATTGCAGCATTTACTTTTTACAGCTTAACTTGTTTGGTATTCTCCAACAAGGACCAAAAAAAAAAACCACTTCTTGGGCCCACGCAAATACCCGGGGCTTGCTTGAGTGTGTTGTGGTATGGATGGTAACAAGCTTTCATGAGGCCCATTGATGAGCCAAGAAATGGAAGTTTTGGGCTGCTTGGGAGCCCCAAAACTCAAGCCCATTTCTTGAGCCCAAACACATGGGCTAGCATGAGAGAGAGAACATGACCCAATGCCTTAGAGAATACAGTAGTTTGCTTAGGAAACCCTATGTTAGTTAGAGCATCCAAATACTTTGTTAAAAATGCAACAGGCAAATTGCTTCCAGCAGCTTGACGAAAACCTGTCAAACGATAGAAGTAACAAGTTAAAGACCCAACACTGTACATATAAACCCAGCCCAAAGCCTTATGAAAAGCCTGGCGTCGTGCTCCATTCTGATTAGGACTCCAAGACAGTCAAACAAGGAGCCATGGCAGGAACCAACAGAAATCCGTGCGTGAAGGACGAGTACCCATCGGACAAAGAACTCCCTCCATCTCTCCTTTCCTCTGCAAGTTCCATCTTGAAAATCCATAAGGAAAGCAGGTGACGCTTCCCCCCTTATGGGAAGGTCCAGCTGCGTCAAACTCTTGGAACCACAAAAGGTTCCTTACCCATGCTCCTTGGATGGGAGAAATTTATTGGAAAAACAATTATCAATGACTGATTAAAACAATTATATAAACAGAATATATAACAATCTGTACCACAGAATACAATATATTAACAATAAATAAAACTAACTTGAATTTGAGATAGAGGCTTGCAGATTTGATGCAATGTCCTAAAGACAGTAATTTCACCCCTTCTCGGTGCTTGAAGTTCTACAGGTGACTGCCTCCCAGGATTCAACTATCTATATTCTAAGCCCTAGCACTCGGACTTAGAATCTGGCGAACGTTGTTTGTTTTCCTCTCAGACAATATGAAAATGCTTGTAGAATGCTTTTTTCTGTATCTAACGTATGAGGCTTTGTTTGATTTAAATAAACTTCTGAAACCTTATCAGAAGAGTCACAACTGTTAGAAAACAGTTAATAAAACTAATCCGAATTAATAAAAATTATTAATTCGAAACCAAAAAATAATTTTAAATCTGAAAGTGCCCAAGTGCCCCAAGGCCCAAGGCCCATCTTTTTGACCATTAAATATTATATATTTTTATATAATATTCAAAGCCCAAATCAATTTTGAAGCCCAAATTGCTTCCACTTGGCCTACTTCCATTTACTAAGTGTGGCACTTCCACACTTATAAGGACCTCACTCTTTCTACTTTCTATCAATGTGGGACAAAGGTTCTTGAATTTAATTCAAACTTCCAACAATACCCCACATTTGAATCGAAATTCTAGACCCCACATTTGAAATGTGATACTTTTACTGCTAAATGTATGTAATGCATTTGAGAGGAAACAGATGTTATATACATCAGGAAAAGTGTCTTTTGGACTTGAACTTACCCTAGTGAAAACATATCGGATTTACTTGATGACGCAGTGGATATAGTTGATCTTGAACTGTTCACCGTTATAGTAAACCTAGACAATATGTCTCACACATATAACATCTTAACAAACATTAGTTCATACGTTTTTGTTCATTTTGGTCCTGAACATATCCCAGGTTTCATGAGAGCTTTAGAGAACTTAGCCTTTTATTTTCCGTTCTCATAAATGCGACCCCACATTTACTCCCATATAGGTGACACCAATTAAGAGTTTTCTGCCTAAACTCCTCTTAGTAAGATATTAGTGTCATTAAATGCAAAGCATAACCTTCACATCAACAGACAACACACTAATCATCATAGGAATGAGTTAAATTGTGTGTTCAACTTTTGAATCTTACCCAACCAGTTTGCCTATTGAACCTAGACCATGGGATCTCCAATCAACTAGGTTAGGTTTCCGTCAGGTTTGATTCATTGGATTGGCTTCAATCCCATTCCTCTCGATGTAAATTTGATTTGCTCTCTTGGTAGGCCTTTTGTCAAAGGATCTGCAATATTTTCCTTTGACTTCACATAGTCAATGGATATAATTCCATTTGAGAGCAATTGTCTAATTGTATTATGCCTACGCCTGATATGTCTTGACTTTCCATTGTATACACCACTCTTGGCTCTTGCTTGTGCAGCCATACTATCACAATGTATACAAATTGCTGTCACAGGCTTAGGCCACATTGGAATGTCCTCTAGGAAGTTTCTCAGCCATTCTGCTTCTTCAGCAGCTTTATCTAAGGCTACAAACTCTGATTCCATTGTAGAGCGTGCTATACACGTCTGTTTAGAGGATTTCCAGGATACTGCAGCTCCACCTAATGTAAATACATATCCACTAGTTGATTTGGTTTCTGTACTATCAGAAATCCAATTTGCATCACTATAGCCTTCTAGAACTGGTGGATATCTAGTGTAGTGCAATCCATAGTCTTGGGTGTATTTCAAATATCTTAGCACCTTTATTAGTGCTTCCCAATGATCATGTCCAGGATTGCTTGTGTATCTACTAAGCCTGCTTACTGAATAAGCTAAGTCTGGCCTAGTAGAATTCATTAAATACATTAGGCTCCCAATTACTTGGGAATACTCCAATTGGGAAATTGCATCTCCACTATTCTTTTTTAATTTGCAATTTACATCAAAAGGAGTCACAGCAGGTTTGCAGTCAAATTGACCAAACTTTCTTAGAATTTTTTCTGCATAATGGGATTGAGTAAGAATATACCCATCATTATTTCTTTTGATTTGAATTCCCAATATGACATCAGCTTGACCTAGGTCTTTCATGTCAAAACTTGAATTCAACATCTTCTTTGTAGAATTTATTGCATCCTTACTCGTTCCCATTATGAGCATGTCATCAACATATAAACATACAAGAACACAAGAATTCTTGTTGTTTTTTATGTAGACACACTTGTCACATTCATTGATCTTAAATCCGTGTGACATCATTGTATGATCAAACTTTTCATGCCATTGTTTTGGTGCTTGTTTAAGTCCATATAAAGACTTAACAAGTTTACAGACTTTAGTTTCTTGACCTTTTACCACAAAACCTTCTGGTTGTTCCATGTATATTTCTTCATCTAATTCCCCATTCAAGAAAGCTGTTTTTACATCCATTTGATGTATGTCCATATTGTGTATTGCAGCTATAGCAATTAACATCCTTATAGATGTAATTCTTGATACTGGAGAATAAGTGTCGAAATAATCCAACCCTTCCTTTTGCCGATACCCTTTAGCAACTAAACGTGCCTTGTATTTATCAATAGTACCATCGGCTTTTAGCTTTCTTTTAAAAATCCATTTATATCCAATTGGTTTGTTACCAGGTGGTAAATCAACCAATTCCCACGTATGGTTCTGCATAATGGATTCTACTTCGCTATTAACAGCTTCCTTCCATAAAGGAGCCTCAGGTGAAGCCATAGCTTCCTTATAAGTTTGTGGTTCTTCTTCAGTCAGGAAACTTACAAAATCTGGTCCAAAACTTTTTGGTGTTTTAGTCCTCTTTCCTCTTCTAGGTTCCACTTCCTTTTCTTGGACACCTGAAGAGGATGGTTCATCAGGATTTCCATCATGTACTTTCCTTTTGTTTGAACCGGACCTCTTTTCTTTGTAAGGAAAAATTTCCTCAAAGAAATCAGCATCAACAGATTCTATAATTGTGTTAACATGTATATCAGAAATATCAGATTTAATAACTAAAAATCTATATGCAGCACTTGTGTTAGCAAAACCTATGAAAACACAATCAATAGTTTTAGGTCCAAGTTTTACCCTTTTTGGTAAGGGTACTTGTACTTTAGCTAGGCAACCCCACACTTTCAGTGTCTTGTATGTAGGAATCCGTCCTTTCCACATTTCATAAGGAGATTGTTTACTCTTCTTATGTGGAATTCTGTTCAAGATGTGATTTGCAGTAAGTAAGGCTTCACCCCACAGATTGTGTGGAAGCCCAGAGCTATTCAACATGGAATTTATCATATCCTTGAAAGTTCTATTTTTCCTTTCTGCTACACCGTTTTGTTGCGGTGTATATGGTGCAGTGGTTTGATGTATAATTCCATGAGTTGCACAAAAATCAGAAAATGCAGTGGACTCATATTCTCCACCTCTATCTGATCTAAGTACTTTCACTTTTCTATCAAGTTGATTCTCAACTTCTGCCTTGTATGTCTTAAACATCTGTAAGGCTTCATCCTTGCTATGTATTAAGTATACATAACAATACTTACTGCAATCATCTATAAATGTTATATAATAATTTTTCCCACCACGAGTTGGTGTAGATTTAAAGTCACAAAGGTCACTATGAATTAATCCAAGTAATTCATTTGATCTTCCTTGAACAGATTTAAAGGTTTGCCTAGAAAACTTGGATTCTGTACAAGTTTCACACTTATTATCAAAGTCAATATCAAATTTAGGCAATAAACCTAGATGCATCATTCTATGCATAGATCGATAATTTACATGACCTAATCTAGCATGCCAAATATTAGAAGACTCAGCAAAGTAAACGGAAACCTTATTTATATTATTATTAAAAGCATCATTGCCAGTTACATTGAGTTTGAACAAACCATCAGCAAGGTAACCCTTTCCTACAAACAGCCCTCCTTTGGTTAGGATGAACTTGTCAGATTCAAATACAAGTTTGAAACCCTTCTTACTAAGAATTGGGCCAGACACTAAGTTCTTCCTAATTTCAGGAACATGCAGCACATCCAATAGGGTTAAAACCTTCCCAGAAGTGAACTTCAGCAGCACACTGCCTTTGCCTTCAACTGCAGATGCAGAGGCATTTCCCATGTACAGTTTCTCACCACTAGAATTCTGTTCGTAATCAGTGAACAGATTTCTGTCACCACAAATGTGCCTAGTAGCACCTGTATCAACCCACCAGTCCTTAGTATCAGAAACCAGATTGGTTTCAGACACTACAGCCACAAAATGTTCATTGACTTCAGTCACATTGGCTTGAGGATTGGTTGGATTTTGGTCTCTTCGGTGGCGGCAATCTTGTGCTTTATGCCCTGGTTTTCCACATACCCAGCAAGCACCTTTGATTTTCTTGAAATCCTTGCCTTTTGGTGCATGAGTTTTGCCATAGTTCTTTGCAACTTTCTTGCCCTTGTTATTCTGGAATTTTGGCTTTGATGTCTCAACGACATTGGCTTTGGCTTCCATGACAGGCACTTCACCCTTGTCACCTTTCCTGTGATCCTCCTCAACTCGAAGCCTCAAAATCAGATCCTCCATAGACATCTCTCTGCGCTTGTGCTTCAAATAAATTTTGAAGTCTTTCCATGATGGAGGCAGTTTCTCTATGATTGCTCCAACCTGGAAGTGTTCATTAATAGAGCACCCCTCTGCAAGCAAATCATGGATCAGAATTTGAAGTTCTTCAACCTGTTTAATAACAGTCTTCGAATCAACCATGGCATACTTGAGAAATTTGCCAATCACGAATTTTTTGGCACCAGCATCTTCTGTTTTGTATTTTTTCTCAAGTAATTCCCAAACTTCCTTTGCAGAATTGTATGACGAATAAATGTCATACAGAGTATCATCAAGCCTGTTAAGGATGTAGTTTCTGCACAGGAAATCAGATTGTTTCCAAGCCTCAATGGTCATCATTGTTTCCTTAGACATTGGATTTTCTCCTGATTTGGGAGCCTCCTCTCTGACAACATGTGCCAGATTCATGGTTGTGAGATAAAACAGCATCTTCTGTTGCCATCTCTTGAAGTCAATTCCCTTGAACTTCTCAGGCTTCTCGTCATGAGGATTCTTAGTCACCCCGTTCACAGTCACTGATGATTGTGAATCCATTTTACTGTCTTTAGATTGTTGGAAAAACAATTATCAATGACTGATTAAAACAATTATATAAACAGAATATATAACAATCTGTACCACAGAATACAATATATTAACAATAAATAAAACTAACTTGAATTTGAGATAGAGGCTTGCAGATTTGATGCAATGTCCTAAAGACAGTAATTTCACCCCTTCTCGGTGCTTGAAGTTCTACAGGTGACTGCCTCCCAGGATTCAACTATCTATATTCTAAGCCCTAGCACTCGGACTTAGAATCTGGCGAACGTTGTTTGTTTTCCTCTCAGACAATATGAAAATGCTTGTAGAATGCTTTTTTCTGTATCTAACGTATGAGGCTTTGTTTGATTTAAATAAACTTCTGAAACCTTATCAGAAGAGTCACAACTGTTAGAAAACAGTTAATAAAACTAATCCGAATTAATAAAAATTATTAATTCGAAACCAAAAAATAATTTTAAATCTGAAAGTGCCCAAGTGCCCCAAGGCCCAAGGCCCATCTTTTTGACCATTAAATATTATATATTTTTATATAATATTCAAAGCCCAAATCAATTTTGAAGCCCAAATTGCTTCCACTTGGCCTACTTCCATTTACTAAGTGTGGCACTTCCACACTTATAAGGACCTCACTCTTTCTACTTTCTATCAATGTGGGACAAAGGTTCTTGAATTTAATTCAAACTTCCAACAAAATTCACCAAAGAAGATAAAGTGGAAATGAGCAATGAAAAAGGGGAGGAAAAGTTAAGACGAAATTAAGGTTCTTTGTGGCTATAAAAGAGAGCCTCAGCTACCCAGAAAACCAACCCATCCAAGGCCTGACCATGCTTTGTCAAGCAAACTGGAAATTTTACTCAAGCCACCCAATTCTCTTCTTCGTTCGTTCTCTTCCCCCCCTTAGGAAAGAAATCTGTCTAATCTTCCTCTGTTCCACTTTAACCCTTTGTTCACTATAAAAAAACTCACGCTTATCTCTCTCTGTTCATGCTGAACTCATGATGGTTTTGCTCTCATGCCACAAGCTCCTCATGCTAAGCCATTAATCAATCTATCATATTTATTTGGTTATTGGTGAAAAGAACCTGAGGGTATTTTTCTAAGGTTTCATCAAACCTTTCAAAAACTTTTTCAGGAGCTTGGTTTCTAAACTCAGATACTTGGGGAATTTCTGTTCGTTTTCTTCTTACGGCAGCCCAAACCCATTCGTCAAGCTGCTGGAACAAAAAGACCCCCACAACTAACAGTTTGGTTAACGGATGAGGTAAATTGTAAGGTTTCTGAGAGTTTGAGTATATACTCATAAATGTCTCTAAAATTAAGTATAAACTTGAAAATGACCCTATAATTTAGGGGGTTTTATGTAGTTTGTCCAATTATTTATTAGCAACTATCGAAGAAAGGATTTGACCAAAAACAGTCCAAGAAAGGAACGAATATCAATAATAACAGACTTTTTATTAGTTAATAGCACAACATTCTCACTAAAGAGAAGTGTAGCTCAATTCATGGTGATGCATGAAAATGATTAAATTCGGCCTCTATTGCATTCTGCAAAGGCCAAAACAGTGGTTGTGGGAGGCGGTCCCACTCATACCAATCCCTGCCGTCACACATGTTGTGTTTTTAATTTTGTTTATTGTTCAACATCGACCCCAACCACATTGTATTTGTATAACTATAAGAGCACTTCCACTCACAAGGGCTAAGTCTATGGCAATGGTAAGTAAGGGCTGCCACTATTCACATGAATAGTGTTAGCCTTGTCATTTGTAGTTCCACCTATGAGGGCTAAGTCTAGGGCAAGTCTAAGGCAATTACTATTCACTTAAATTTATTTTTTATTTTTTATACTTAAAACATTGATTTTGATAAGCTTTTCGGATAAGATTTTCAATTCCCCAGTGTTAATATTTATCGTAAAATCCTCACCTAAAAATCAAGATAACATTTTCGGATAAAATTTTGAAATTAAATTGGTGTGGAAAGTGAACAATATTGGTAGGTATGTATAGAAAAAATTTCCAGAATTTTTTGATATTTTTTTCAATTTTTTTGATCGGAGGATTGGGCAAGATTTTTTGCTCGGAGGCTCCAGGAGAAGCCACATGGCTTGTAACCATTGGGTAATGTGGGTTGGTGGGTCCAAAAGTACAAAAAAATTTGAAAATCAGCTGCTGATGTCAGCAGCCCGAGGTTTGGTGCCCAGGCAAGATTAGCTCGTGGGCTTGCTCGGGATGGTGGGTCCCACGCCTTGCCCGGGCTGGATTTCCTGCCCTGGAGGTCTCTTGGGCTCGCCAGGGCTGCCTTTCCCCCAGTTTGGGTCTGGCGCTGGAGATGCTCTAAGAGTTTCTCTTTGTGTGAGAATTGAATAAGAGTAGCCATGCTGTGACGCAGAGCCATGCTGTAACTGACGTACAGATGCTCCACTTATGACGTCATTTATAAAAAACAAACATAAAGATAAATAATCGACGGCTTTATGATTGACAGTGATTGAAAAAGGCAAGAGCACTTAGTCTATACACTAGCTATTAGTTAAGTGGTATTTCTCTTCCCTATACTAAAAAAGAAGTTTGAATAATCCTTCCTCTCATACTTTGTGTACATAATAACTCACATTACTCTGATAAAATTATTCTGAAGGACAGTAATCTATAATATTTTGTGGTTCATGGTCATAAGACATTTAATGTTGAACTTGTTCATGTTGGGAAGCCCCTCCAAAGACTGGACCTGCTCCAAAAATATCGTCGGGTCCATTCTGGCGGCAGTTAAGAATGAATATCCAAGAGCAAAAATCTAGAATGTTATAAGTCTTAAGACTTCGAGTTTGGGTTGAGGTATCTCTATCTCATCGTATCATTAAGTATCTTCTTCCATGATATGACAGGCTCTTTCCGTCCGTACGTAGTTTGAACTCAGGAAAAAAAGTCGATAGTATTGCAGCTTTAGCTTTGAACTTTCTCGAAGCTTTTTATTCAAATGATTCTTGGGACAAGTTGTTTGTGTCTGTCAGGAACTCAATCTTCTCAATGTCCAAACCAACCAGTTTCTTCCCTCGCTGATCATACTCAACCCCTAGAAATTAATGAATTTGAAACAACAGTCCCACATCGACAGGAAGCACTTAGAGTCCGCTAAAGCTATAAGCTATGTATAATAACACCAACAGTTACAGAAAGAAAGTCCATTGAGTAACAATTACCCAACTCGATCGAGGAGTCGATCGCCACGAGAGGAACGACTTCACCGACACCACTGCAGCAGCCACCCTAGGCCCGTTTCCGTTTTACATTAGATTTTTGCACACGGGCTCACTCGATTTATCACAAAAAATTGAAGAGCGACGAGTGTCTGCGTTGGATTTTTAGAGGCCTACATTTCCTCCCTGCCTGCGCCCACCATATTTGTCAAACTGTTGTCAAGTCCATTTTGGAGGCACCAATAACGCTCTGGCACCAGTACACATTAGAAAAGAAAACGGTTGTCTTCCTGCCTGCCTGCCCATCGTACATTCGAGATTTACGTAGGGGTACGAACGAAGCCCCAATAATGTTGGAGCTTTGTGGTTTAAAAGTTACTAGCCCCTTGTGTGTCAATTATTGGTTTTTTATTTTTATATTTATATTTGGTAAAATCGGCAAGCACGGGGTCTTTGCCAAATGGCCTAACTTGTAGACGCTAATAAAGCTATCAATACAATGGAGCTCACCTCTATTAGAGAGGTTTATGACTATCATTTTTATAACATTATTGAATGCACGTGACCTGCACCAAAATTATTGACGCCCCCAATAATGTTGGAGCTTGAGGTAAAATTGATTCAAGTAAGTAGACGCTGTAATAAAGCTGCCAAAATAATTAAAACAATTTGTTTTATTTATCTCATGTCATATGAAGAGGGAGATAATGAAAAGTTTCCTTCCATCATGTGTAGCAACACGTATAACATTAATCGTGATTCATTAACTAAACTACTGGACCTGCCCATGATATAATTTCAATTACATCATATTGATTAATGACGTCAGAAATATTTTATTTAATTAGATCCAGCCAAGACAAAATGACGTGAGATTTCGTTTCTTTTTAAACTTTAAAAAAAAAATGTGATTTTTGCACATTAATTTGAGATGGTTTCTAATTTAGGTGTTTTTTTTTGGTTGGTATGGATGATACCTAAAAGAGTTTAAAGACTGAACGCTACATCCCAGAAATAGAATGTGCTTATTTTTCTTAAATAATATATGTATAAAAAGTCTACGTAATTATTATTGAACTCAAGGTGGCCGCGGGGAAAGGAAAAGGTGGAGTCGCCGATGGAGGAGCGACCGCGTCCCATGAGCACCATGTTCCCTCTTTTCAGGCACACCACCACCCCCACTTTCGGCAATGCGGGAACCATTTTAGTCCTGCTTTCCATTTTTCCTTTTGATTCTCTCTCACAACTTCAAAGTTCTTTCTTTTGCTTGTAACAAAAAACTTTTGAAAGAACAATCAATCATGATCCTGGAGATTTATTGTTGTCGCATTTGCATCTCGTTTGAGTTCAGGCAAAAGTAAAAACTGTTGGGGCATTAACTTTTGTATCAACTTATCATAATTTTATAAGTGCGTGCGTACGTCAAGTTTTAAGAATTTATTTTCGCATCAGTTTTGAATCTTTGGTACAATCAATCTTGATCCTTTTGAATGTCTTTTAGGTTTCAAGACACTCAGGTCTCTAAGTTCACAAACAACAAATTAATCTAGGTCATATCAAGTTTATGCAGGGCCAACTCCAGCTGAATTTTACTAACCATCTCCTGCATTGTTCCTTTTACTATGGGTTTGGTACGGACTGCATCTATTGTTAGTTACTTTTGAGTCCTTCAAAAATATCTTGAATCAGACTTTATTTCCCCAAGTTATTTTGACTCAATTTTCCTCTCACCATGTCTCACTTTACTCTCTATCATCAAGTTTGTCAATAATGGATTGTACGATTGCCCCAATTTTCCTTACCTGTATATAAGGAGGATGTCACATGAAAAATTTAGCACTAGAAGAATCTCAGGAATCTCTAGAAAACGGAAAAAAGAATCTGGATGGAAGAAAATTATTACCGGCGTATGTTACTAGCAATCAAGGCAACATCATGCAACGTGATGTTTTTGAAAAATAAACGAGGTAGCACATCGGACCACAAGAAGGAAAATGGACAGATAGAACTTTAGTGCTCTGACCCTAAAGAAAGACGAATTGATTTATGAGCCCAAGTTTGGTTTCCCGTGAAGATATGAGCCCAAGTTAAATTATTTTCTGGGTCAGCTTCGACCCCAATTTTTAGACAGTTAATGAATTTCCTGGAAACAAAATATCTTCTGCATCCTCAACATAAAAGGTTCAACATTTGCTACTTAAAAGAACCAATATGCAGAGCACATCAGAAAATGGATAACATAAGAGTCTTGACTTGCAAATAAGTGATCTTAGATTCGAACCCGAACTCCATGACACTTAAAAAAGGGTGCTTTCAGAGAAAGCCCTGACCTCACTTACATACACATACATTATACATACGTGCATATATAGAAAAAGCAGAGGCCTGTACTATTATTCTTCTTCTTGTGGTGAATTGGGAAAAGGGTTAAAGCCACTCTTCACCATCTTCTCCAAAGGCCAAAAGAGGGGTTCAGGGAGGTTGGCCCAATCGTACCAATCCCAACCGTCACACTTGGTGGGCTCAAGATTTTGGGGCAATTGATCATCGCCATCTGCCCAAACTCCACGCATGAAAACCGTCACGTAATGAGACGGCTTAGGCTGCTCTGAGAACACATTGTTTGTGACCGTCAGCAACTCCATCCTCTTCTTGTCAATGTCCAGACCAGTTTCTTCCTTCAATTCTCTCACCGCACACTCCTCAAAGCTCTCTCCTACCCAAAACCAAAAAACCACCGAATCTAAAATTGTACTAATCTATAGATACCCATGATACAAAATTAATTAATTAACTAACTAATTACGATTAGGAAAAAAAAACCAAGAATTACCAAATTCGAGGTGGCCACCAGGGAGGGCAAAGGTGGAATCGCCCACAGAGGATCGCCGCCGTCCCAACAGCACCGCTTTCCCTCTCAACAGAAACACCACCACAGCCACTCTCGGCACCGCGGCGATGGTCGTACCGTTTTCCATTTTCTTTCTGTTCTTTCTCGCGCGCACTTCACTTGACCCGACTGGCGGCCTCACCTTAAATCTTTTGAGGCGCACGCTAATTTACTGTGTAGTGTTGGACCTTCTGGTCAAAACGCGGTTCTGTTGATGTCGTTTCGACTGGATTCTACTTTTAGGGTTTTCCCGCCACGGCGAGTGGGTTAAGGGAAATTATTTTGAGATGGGGTTAAGGGAAGTTTTTAATCGGCTGTTTCCTGTATGTTTGATAATTTAGCTTTCTGTAACCAAAGAGAGCGCACCACGTCAAGAAACAGGGGATCCTCGGGTTCCTTTATGCGCTCCTCTCACAGTGAGAGGGACCCATAAACATAAAACCCACTTCACTGTTAGGAGAGGTACCATAGGATCAGCTCCACAGAATACCTGCTCCTTGGATTAACTGGATGGTAATGCTTTGACACTTGCCAGGTCTTTATTAATATAATATATTTAAATGAATTAGGTCAGATTGCTACTTGCGCAATGCTTTCCACTTCAATATTGAAAGAAATACTACTAACTAAACTAATAGCTAATTTGTATTTTAATACATGTTTTCAAATATTACATGTTTAATATTTTATTACATAATTGTGATTAGTGAGAAGAAAATAGATGCGTTTTGAAACATTTAAAAGTACGTTGGCATCATGACAATTTTTTGTAAGGATCTTTTTTAATTGAGAGAGGTGATAATACACTAAACGAATGCTAATTGCTCTAAACCACTACACTAGTGGATTCGTTGTAAAAAGCTATTGTTCATCCAAATAAATAACTTATTTTTTAAGGTTTTAATTCAAGTTAAGAAGATATCAAATTCGATATTAATACTACTTGTCTCTATCCCGATGAGGAGATACTCATTCTTCCTGCAAATTACAGTTTGACATATGCAAATCACTTCCATTTTAAAGTCTTTTTTGGGTTTTGGGGTTAATGGGTTCGTTAAAGTTGGAGAACACCCACTAGTAGGGCCATTGTTGATTAGTCTGCTTTATTTGTTGGGCCTCTAACCCCAATTTTCAACCCAAACTTGAGAAAAAGAGAGCGAAATGTGCTTAATCATCCTTGATCAAGACTAATAGATGTGGATAGATTTCGCCTCGTCATAGAGTGATGCAAAAGTAAAATATGTACGAAGTTGGTCACACTTTTGCTCTTTTGGTAGTTGAAAAAAGAGTAAAATTGAGCGAGGTCACTTTTAACCAAGATTTCACGAGGACGTCCCTTTCCTTTTTTTTTTTTTTTTTTTTTTTTTTTTTTTATTTTTTTTTTCAAAAAAAAATTTTTACTCTTTCACATTGACCATCAACCATTTTAATCTTTTTTATATGATATTATTATCTGTTCCGTTTTAAACTTTTCTTTTATACTGATATATAAGCTTTTACCTTTGCGACCTATACCATAGATCATGGATGCACAACTGGTGCAACATGTATTAAATTAATTTTGGGCATAAAATATAAAAAATGAAGCGTGGAAGAGATTGTGCTAGGAATATATTGGAATAATATTACGGTTGAAGAATATAAAGTCCCATAATATTATGATAAAAAATAAAAATGAGTAATTTCACTATAAATAATATCGAGGCATTTTGTAAAAAATGTCACACTTATCAAATATGCAATGGTCAAGTTAGAGATAATATTGATATTGATAATAATGAGTCGTAGGTCTGTCCGTATAAAATCTTCACATAATATTATAGCGAGTTGATTCACTAAGCCCGACTAACTGCCACATAAATTATTTTCCTTTTTCTAAGTTCAAATGCATATAATGTGTATAGCAAACTCCATTATTTTTTAATAATAATTTATTAACTATATTTTTATTTTCGAAATTAATTTCACCTGGTCATAGAGGAGAGAGTGACAGCGCTTCTTTCAGGCCTATAAGACTGCCCTTCAACTCAGGGGAGAGTGCCACTTGGGTGTAAATCCTTGGCATTCATACGGTAAAAGTAGGACCCACGTTTACCCTCCTGAATATCCGTACGTTGAGACTCTATCGCTCCTTCCCTCTCTCTTCTTGCCACCACTACCACCACCACCATCACAAGCTTCATCTTCTCCTTTGCTTCTCTTGCTATCACTTTCTCTCTCTAAAACACACACACAGACACTCACACAAGGACACTTTCACTCTCTAAAACTCCCTCCCTCTCTGTTTCTCTCTCTGTATCTGTGCTTCTGTTGCAACAATGACGGACACGACGGATGACATAGCAGAGGAAATCTCGTTCCAGAGCTTCCAGGACGATTGTAGAATGCTGGGCAGCCTTCTTCAAGAAGTGTTGCAGCGAGAGGTCCGCAGCGAAATCATGGAGAAAGTTGAAAGGACCCGAATCCTCGCTCAGGTTTCACTCTCCCTTCCATCCCTCATTCCCTGCTTTATTTGCTCGCTTGCTTTCCTGAGGAGAAGAAAAAGAAAAAGTAGCTATGATTAGAGTGCGTTGATCATTTCCTAGATTTTCTCAGCAGCCAAACAGAGGGTCGAAGATGAATTTTAAATTAAGACATTTGATAGTGAATGGGGATTTTTTTCGTTTTGAATGTGTGCGTGTGTGTCTTCAGAGTGCTTGTAATATGAGGATAGCGGGGATAGTGGACATTGCGGACGTCCTGGAGAAGCAGCTGGCGTCAGAAATGTCGAAGATGGGCTTAGAAGAGGCTTTGGTCCTCGCTCGCACTTTCAGCCATTACCTCAATTTGATGGGCATTGCCGAAACCCATCACAGGTAATCTCGTCATTAGCTTTTTCTGAATTTTATTAGCTTTCTGGTTAAAATTATGGATGGAAATTTGTTGCTTTGTGCAGGGTTCGCAAGCAACGAAATGACTCAAATGAGGCATCTCTTGCAAAATCTTGTGATGATATTTTTAATCAGCTCGTGCATGGTGGTTTTTCCCCAGATGATCTTTATAATAATGTTTGCAACCAGGTTTCTTCTCGGTTCTTTTGCTTCTAGTCTTTTATTTTTGTCTTCGTTTGTTTGTATGCATGGGTTGAGAAATAGGGAGGCCTAATCCTGTATTAATCTTCGTTGAGTGACCTCTCTTGTTATCCGTCTTTCTATTCTCAATCTCCAAATTTTCTCGCTGCAGAAGGTTGAAATTGTTCTTACGGCACATCCTACACAAATTAATCGCCGTACCTTGCAATACAAACATATAAGAATTGCTGTGAGTTGTTGGTGGTTTTTGCTTAATAATCTTAAACATGTTGAAGATTTCTTTTTATTTATAATTTGTATTTCCCTGTAGCATCTTTTAGATTACAAGGACCGACCTGAAATTACTAATGAAGACAAAGAAATGCTGATTGAAGATCTGGTATTGTTTTTCCAGCCTTGTTCTCTTCTTCTAAAAGCCTATAGCACATTCCTTGCCATTTTCTCTAATTTTCCCTTTGGTTATTGCTTTTGAAGGTGAGAGAGATAACTTCGATATGGCAGACAGATGAGCTTAGGCGCCATAAACCTACACCGGTTGATGAAGCAAGGGCAGGTAAAATACTTGAATATTGGATTGGAACCTAATGATACTCACAAGCTTTGGTTTGGTTCTTTGGAAACTTGTGTATCTCTTATTAACGAACAGAATTTTATACATCATTACCACAGGTTTGAACATTGTGGAGCAGTCCCTTTGGACAGCTGTACCTCATTATTTACGTCGAGTTAGCAATGCTTTAAAGAAGGTTCTCAGTTCTGTTATTACTAGTTTCTTTATATGCATATCCTATCTCCTGTGGTTCTGTATTTTTTCTCATAAGATTTTCTCTAATTTACTCAGCATACCGGAAAACCACTTCCATTAACTTGCACACCAATCACGTTTGGGTCTTGGATGGGGGGTGATAGAGATGGAAATCCTAATGTAACAGCAAAGGTAATTCTAGGTCCTAATGTTTTCTAATTTGTAAAACTTTCCTACTTGCATGATTGTCCTATTCTTTCAATAAAATATTTCCCAATCATGAAATAGTCTTTCATTTTGTTGTGAGATATATATATATATATATATATATATGTCTCAAGATTGAAGAGTAGAAGCTTTCTATGTTATTTTTATGTTGCACGCTCAGTCATGGGGTTTTCTGTTTTCTTCAACTGATACCCGAGCTTTATTTCTCAGATTTGATGATTTGTGTGTCTCGGAGGTGGTGTGTGTTTGTGTCTTGTATGGAAAATTAATATTCTTGCACCTGAAACTGAACACCAATTGCTGGAAATATTTTCATCGTTTATTACCTAAATTTATTGTTTCTATGAAATTTTTTTAAGGTAGCTAAATTTATTTATTTATTCTTTTGTGTGGTGTTATGTTGTTTTTCATTTGTCTGTTGACTCTTTCTTTTGGTACAGGTCACAAAAGATGTCTCACTTTTATCTAGGTGGATGGCTATTGATCTCTACATCCGAGAAGTTGATCACCTCAAGTTTGAATTATCCATGAATCGGTGCAGTTATAGATTGTCAAGACTGGCAGATGAAATTTTAGAGCAAGGTTTGGCATGTTGCAGTTTTTTTGCATTGATATATTGAGTCATTGGGGTGGGGGAGGGAAGGGGGGCGAGGGGAGTGTAACAGCTTTGGGTGGGATTGAGTTGGTTTAAGGTTCTGATCATATGAATTGTAAAATTGTGAATCTCTAGATAGTTCTGTAGGCAGAAGAAAGAATGTTGAATGACATTGTCATATGCCCATAAACGCTTACTTTAGTTTCTACCCTGCAGGGGATAGACCACTTGGTTACTTAAAAGTAATTAAATTGATGCCTCTGGTATTTTCTCTTTTTGTTTACATTCTTTTGTATGTTGCATGAATTTAAATTGAATTTTGTACTGCCTACTGGTAATCTCTCTTGAACTTCTTGAGGAGTCACCATCTTTTTTTTAATTTAATTATACATGTTCACAAAACTTGCGATTCATTTTAAAATTTTGATTTCTCTACAGAAACTTCATCT